GCCGGCCGGCCGTCTTTTGGGGTGACCCTGCCCTCGTCCGCCCGCAACTGGCGCAGTGATGTCTTTTTCTGGCCCCGACCGTGTCCTAGGGACAGTGAACGTGCAGCAAAACCTCGTCGCCGCACGAAAAAGGCCGACGCCGCGCCGCCGTGCGCAGAAGCGACCGCGGGTGACCCTGTCCCTGGCCGCCGGCCAACAGATCCGGTGGGGCCAAAGCCCGCACCCGAGGTCTGGGACTCACTTCTCTACACTCCACCACGGACGGGGGGGACCTGCTGATGAGGAACCCAGGGCACGGCCGGCGGTGGGCCTGGTGCGGCTTGGGCGGACACGGTGGCGATTGTTTCGCAATATTCTCCTTCCGCCGTGACCACCTCTGACGGCCAGGTCCGTCGGACGGTGCGGTTGCGCCTGCAATCGCCGACCCTTGCGTCGGACTCTACCCGACTTGGACCATTGTGTCTTAGCGAAGATCCAATCAACGGCCAGATCATCGTCTCTTTCTATAATTGATTGGACTGCCTGTCGTGGTACGGGTGAACTGCATGTTTCCATGTGTAACTGTCAGTCTTTCCCGGATGTTATGCCCTCCTCAGAAGACAATGCCCAACTATGACCACAAAGCACAGTATCAAGCACTGTCGTCGTTGGTCAAGTATAAGCATCCAATATCGGATGCTGGATATCAACCCCACAATTACTTTCACAAAAGGAAGAACGATGATTGTTTCATTCTTAAGATCTTTGCGTCTTTTTCCCACTACTGCATACCGCTATACTACAACCACTGACTTCCTTTTCGCAAAGTCAAAGATACAGGTGTCCCATCAGTCGGCACCATCTTGATCGTTCTCCTGAGATCCTCCCTGCGTTTGTTTGCCTTGCTCTCTCGCCTATGATCCTTGATGCCTGCAAAGACACTCGGCCGTCTCTTCGCTACAGTTAGACCGGTTGAGGTGCTTTGCAGTCTTACTGGATTGTATGCTTCGGCTGCAGAAATGGGCTGTGGCGCACCGATGATCGGGAATGATGGCCGACGTTGCTTGATGTTCTCAATCACACTTGACAGGCCCCCAATCGCCGTGATCGATGACTTGCGCACGTGATGGCCGAAGACTGAGGTTACTTTGTCCGTCAATATCTTTAGTGGTGCTCTCGACCCTTTTGATAAAGCAACGCTGCCGATCCCACTATCGTTTGAAGCTTTTCTTCTTGCGTAATTTGATTCCTGAAACGACTTTGATGTATCATCGGATGGATTTGAGAGTATACTGGGCAATGTGTTCATCTCGAAGGTCACCTTGCTCTCAGGTTTGTTGTGCTCACGAGCAAGCTGCTCGGCATCTGCGTTGATACGTTGGTAGAAGGCAGAGAAACTATCGGAGTCATCGATGCTCTGCTTGCATTTCACTGGCGACGGCGCGTTTTTCGTTTGGTTTGTTTCAAATACCTGACCTGGGAAAGGTGGTGAGATAGGTATACTCCCGCTTGTACTGCGCCTTCTTACGCCTGTCGACTCCGGTGTCAAAGACAGCTTGTATGGGAAGTTCAGTGCTCGCTCTTTGCCTTTCGGGCTATGGTGCCTTTCACGGGACGCGCTGTTTCTCATTGGAGACACGCTTGCCAAAGGCACGTTTGCTTTGTTACGAGATCTCTGGTACTCAAGCTCACGTTGTCTCGAGATCTGTCTGGGATTGAAGAAGAGCGGCTGCGGTACCAACTTCATCTTTTCCTTTATGCTGTTTGAAGACGCACTGTGCTTCCGGTTGCTGTGAGACTTCGTGTCCTCGTTGAACAAAGCATGGTATTCATTGGCCAAACGCTTCGCTTCATCAATGAGACTCTCATTTGACGACGGATCCAGGCTTCGATCGTCATATGCGTCGACGATATTGCTCTCATAGCCATTGAGTCGTCTCCTTGAGCCGGCGCGAGATTGCTGGCGAGATCTTTCGCGTGGCTCATAGTCAGATGTTGACGGTTCAGGTGAGCGTGTGATGCATATTTCTATCGGGACTTTCAGCTGTCTCTCTACTGGTGACAGAGTCATTCTCTTTTCATTGTTCATCCCGAAGTATCCATCGGACAATTTCGACCCTTGTTCCTCAGAATACTTGTTCGCCGGCAAGGGCCAATCTAAAGGCGTTGGAGATGGCAGGGTCGGACTTGGTATCATTGCAGTAAGTACTGGACTCCGGAGAGGCACAAGTCCCTCAAATGATTTGCTCACTCGGACGATCCGCTGCTGACTCAGTTTGTTCGCCACGGCCATCGCTCTCATCTCCTCCGGCAAGAGCTGGAGTGTTCCCGGGGAATGTAGAGCGGCTTTCCATACGAGCCATCAACGGGGCCGTCCGTAAATTGTGTTTGCTGTGCGGAGGTGGAAGTCGCATCTCTGGCAACCTTGGTGTGCTCGTCTTGGTCAAGGTATCCCTGCGCCTGACGCAACTGCATCCATTTGAGGAAGGCTTCGAAGCTCTCGTCCGCAGGTTCGTTAGAGACAGAAGCGGCTGACACAGTAGTTGGAGTGCTGGTAAGGCTGCGTGCGATTATACTGCTAGGATACAGATCCTCCTCGGGCATGTATGTGGGCTCCAGAGAATTCACAGCGAAGTCTGGAATAGCTGGGCCTGCGTCGTTCAGATACTTGTTGGTTGAAGCCGTTGGGATCGCTTTATAGCCAGGAGCTTCTATTCGATGGTCAGACTTTGAACCATATTCCCAAGAACGTGAGCTACACACCTGAAACATCGATAGCATTTGTGCCTGCTGCGAGAATGCTAGCAGATGCGACTGTGAGAATTGAGAAATGCATGATCACAGAATTTTTAATGTGGGGCTGGCCTATGCGCGTAGTGTAGATCTATATAGCAAGGTTGATATTGTGCACCTGAAAGAGGTTCAAGAACCGTCAGTTGGTCTATTGACCAGCGGTGGCGTCCGCTTTCGGCAACATTCTTTGTCCGAATGCGACGCCATGATTACGCGGTGCGCCGTCCGCTTTCAACATAGCACAATGACCAGACTTGGAACAAGATGATGTCGCAACGAAAGAAGTGGACGCGACACTGGCGTTGGTGTTCATGTCGACTTGTTATTTGACCCTTGGGATATGGCGGACGATGCCAAGACTCCGAGATCGGCTCGCGCCACCTCCGCAATCGGTGCAATCCCATCTGATAAGAAATCTCTGATTATCTTTGATCACGAACAACAAACATCCGCATCAAGACCGTCATGTCGCTGAAGTCTAGATCATTACACTACCAACAGTTCACCGTGTCCTTCCCTGACGAACGCATTGTTCTCGTCACTTTGAACAGACCAGACAAGCTCAACTGCATTGATCAGGCAACAAGCAAAGAAATTGCCAAGATATGGGAGCTGTTCGACCAAGATGACAGCTTGGTAGTTGGCATCATCACAGGCAATGGTAGAGCTTTCTGTACAGGTGCCGACCTAGGAGGTACGTTTAATCGAAGTACTGATCTGTTCCGCCCATAGTTGACATGTATCAGAGTGGAATGAGATGAACAGACGCGGCATCGTCAACGACATGTCAGCGCCAGGCCTTGCTGGCTTGCCACGCAGAGCAGGGAAGAAGCCCATCATCGCCGCCGTCAACGGTATCACAATGGGAGGAGGCTTCGAGATGGTCGCAAACTGCGACCTTGTAGTCGCTGTCTCCTCGGCCGTCTTCTCACTGCCCGAGGTGAAGAGGGGTATCGTTCCTGTCGCAGGCTGTTTACCTCGCTTGACCCGGACCCTTGGCCTGCAGCGAACGACGGATCTTGTACTTACGGGCAGAAATGTAACAGCCAAGACGCTGTTTGATTGGGGTCTTATAACTGAGTTGGTTGACTCTGCTGAAGAAGTTGTGCAGGCTGCCGTCAGGACCGCACAACTCATGTGCAAGAACAGTCCTGATGCTTTGATCGTTGGTCGTTTGGGCATCAGATTGAGCTGGGAATCTGGCAGCGTGGAGGGAACCGTGACTACTCTGGCCAATGAGTGGTATCCTCGTCTTGTCCAAGGCGAGAACTTCAAAGAGGGTATCAAGGCATTTACGGAGAAGCGCTCACCAGTTTGGGTATCTTCAAAGCTTTAATGCAACACTCTGAGTTATGACGCAATGTTCCATGTGGTAAGCGACAGCTAAGAAATGCCAGACGAACAGTGGAATGTGACCATCTGGAGTTCTTCGATGGAAAGTCTTCCCGAGCATCCGAATCGGCATGCCGAAGATCGGGAGGAGCGCTGATAGGTCGACGGGACTCTTATCCCAGCAACGCAGTCGAGTTTGTATGCTCTCAGGGTCAACTTTGCCGAATCACGAACCGCTCGTCTCTGGAAAAGCTGACCAAAGATGACGACGCGGCAGGAACAAGCGTTGATGTTCTTTCACAAGTCTATTGTGTTGAACAGATCCTTCGTGTAGTTTTAAAAACAACGTCTGCAAACAGCTTAATCACAAAGAATCTCCTCGGCCGCGTCCCTTGTGCTCGCCCAGACAGGCCATTGCAACGACCTCCATCGAAGATTCCGAGAACCAGCTAGTCGGAACCGGCTTGACGGGTGCCTTTCGACGCTATGAACAAACAACATCGAGGCAGCCGCTGACAACATTTGAACCGTGGGGTGTGATGACGAAAAATGGTATAAGGTCAGCTACGTGTTTCGATCCATATCTTACAGCTCGAGCATCTTTTGCAGATCGACGGAGCAGTCAGCTTTCTTGACTTCGTTCCTACCTTGTACATACATAACACCTTGCTTCTACGACACTCGAAATAATCTCTTTAAGAATTTTCTCCTCTTTCACGTTGCGTACGTAGACTCCCAACAACCTGGCAGAATTCGACATTACTTTCGCCATGAACAAGACACTGCACTGGCAGCAGCGGATCGCTCTTATTCGTCACAACCTCCACGCCGCTCACCGTTCAGGCGACTTCACATTCTTCAAGACTTTGCAAGCTCAAGCACTGTTCGATAATACCAATCATGTAGCCACTTTGTCGGCAACTCTTGGCGATGAGGTCGACGGTGTCCTCTCCGGGCTCGATGATCTAAATGCGTCCATTGCTCACGTCCACGAGGACGCCTTCAGAAACGTGTACAATAGTCTCAAGACATACCTTCACGAGTCTGGTGCCGCCAATGGTGGCTTCGATGAGAAGAGCAAGGTCTTCGTCGATGTGCAAATGCAGAAGCAGATGGCGGACCACGCAATCGACAAGGCAACCTCTTCTGCCATTGCACTTATTCAACAGCAACCAGCCTGCGTTCAGGACACTGCAGCAGCGGTCTGGATCACAGGGACCACTATCATTGCCGACAGTGTCGAAGTTGTTCTGCAACAGCTGGCTGCGCTTGAAAGCAACATGCACGACTTCATCCGACTAGAAGAAAGCTGGAATGGTGTCAAAGCCAGTGTCGGGTACAGCATCTCTGCGCTGAAGGGCGTGTTCAACCTCATGAGCGATGAGGCAGATTCCCCCGCTGTCGGCGCAGCCTCCCAGTCTTCCAGCTTCTCTGGTACCATGTTCCGTCGTTTGTCCAGCGCGTTCGGCTCTGGTCCAGCTCCGCACAGTCGATCAAACTCATCAGCCTCTGTTCCCACCAGTAGATCATCCTCTTTCTCAGGCGGAACGAACCATATTCGAGCGTCCTCCTTCCATGCTCCCGACTACAAGATGCCAAGCAGTTTCCGCAACAGCGCGTCTTCCGCTTGTCCTACTTCATTACCCGCTGGAAGTGGTTGGAGGTATACACATCTCGATACCATTCCTCCCACTCCTGGTGCTGGGGATATTGGTGATGAGGAGATCAACCCTTTTGACACTTCTGTTCCGCCTATGCCCGAGATGCCTAACCTTAGTGACATTAGATCCGAACAAGCTGTTATGTAAGCAGGAATCTGTTATTATATTGAGCAAGGCTCATTGTGGAACGGTTCGAACAATTACGTAATCGTGGGTGTATATAGTTGATGGAAGCCGGCGTAACCTGGAGTTTGTTGTTTTGTTCCTTCGTACATATAGTTCGATGCCTTAATGAGACATGTACATATTTCATAGATCGACGTATCAGGTTTTGTCATCACATCAGGACGTTTGAGATTTTGGCAGGCTACAGTACGCTCAGGTCACATGACTGCGCCGGCATTCGGACACTGGGCGACAACAAGATCTTCCTGTATCCTTGCGCCTTCGGTGACACGACTTGCCTCGGTGGCAAAGTTATGTTTTGTCGCGGCTTATCTTCAGGGTGAAGTACTGTGGATCATGTAAAGATTAATCGCTATCAACGTCACCCGGTCAAAACTCAAATATGTTTCTCCTGCACCTCAATCTCCCGTCTCCTTCTCACATCAGCATCCTCCCCATCATCCTCACTAGTAACAGAGTCTTGCCTTGCAACTTTGTGTTCGGCTTGCCCGCCCAATGGTTCGTCCACCGCGACCATGCTTCCTCTATCAATAGCAAACCTCGGTGGTCGCTCGATCCAAGTAGGATTCTGGGAACTCGTACTACTATTTCTCCTTCCATCGAAAGGTGCCTTCAGGAAGCTGACCCACGCCTTAAGGATTCCAAACTTGAAAAGCAGGAAGAAGGCTTCGATGCCTACGAAGCCGATGACGTACAACACAGCCACTGCAGTGTCTTGAGGTAGAATCAGTTTCTGAATCTTGGGTAGACAGACATCGGTATCGCGCTGTTGAAGAATGTACAACACCCAAGGAATGACAGCTGTCGGGTTTGTAAAGGCCGAGGTGGTGTATGAGTCGACCTTAAAGATGAAGATAATACACACAAAAGCGATGACGAAGATAGCCAATGCGACGATAGCGAGGGAGCGCCATTGCAGTAGCAGGACTTGCTTGACGCGGCGTACTGCTGTCCAGGCTTGACGTTTGCTAGACGCTGATTTGACAGAGTTGGCTGCGTTACTTCCAGAGGCTGGTTGACGACCGTGCATGGCGGCTGTGATGTAGACTTTTGCGCAGTATATGAAAGTTGCCAATTGCAATAGCAATGCAATGGCGCCAAAGCCGATCATCTCGCCCCAGTATGTTGAGGTAGACCCAACGTTGACATGGCAGTATCCTCCGAAGCGAAACGAAACACCAGACTTGGCGAGGACAGCGGCAGTCAAGCCGATCGAGATTGACCAGGCTGCGATATTGGCAGCAAGGATGGCGATCTTGCCAGGCACAATGTCCCAGCAGATCTGCAGATGCATAAACACTGAACGCACCACGATCCAGCAGACCGTGAACATGCCGCCAAAGACCACGAGTCCTCCACTGACAGCGCAAGCATTGCTGCTATTCATGTCGTTGGGCGTGACGGGATCAAAGCATTGTTCAGGTCTGCGAGCAAGCGGGACGATGAATCCAAGTTCCATGATCATGATTCCAACCAGGAGCGCGATATTCAAGAACGATCTTCTCGTCGCGACGGCAGGTAAGACTGCATACGAAAGCAGTAGGAAGCCACAGAGGACGAAGCCGACGACATTGACCCAGGCGGCTCCATCCGCCAATCGAGGAAAGTCGGACGAGTTTACCCAGTCAGACAGGGGGCATGGGACGCAGCATTTTGATCCCCTGCCAGTGAAGTCGAGAGGGTTCTTTGCGCAATTGCGTCCTCCGGTAACTGCCTTGGTCAGCGTGAGTCGAGGGCTCAGAGCCGTGCAGGAATTACGCACATCCTTCAGTATACGGATATAGAGACTCGCTGACGAAAGGCTCTGGGCAACCACCAGCGTCAAGTGTAATGTTCCCAAGTAGGGACAGTAGGTTAGTCGACATTTTGTGCTGGCTGGTGCGACGCGACGACGATCAAGCGCAGGTTTTGCAGGCTGCACTGTCCAGTAACCTTGAAGATCGACAGCTCGCCTCAAAGAAGTGGGCCAGCGTCTCGACCCTCGATCCGACCGTGAGTGAGACCATGCATGACAAAGGCAATTGGGTGTTTGCCGCATCCGGCGTGACAGAACAAAGCTTGAATTGTAAAATCTCGAGATGGTGGGTCGACATTCCTTACCTGAGCCAGATGCGACAAGGTGAGATTATAAGGAATGTACAAAGCCGTTCGTCAAGCGTTGATGGCGAAATCTCACAAAGTGCTCGCATTCATTCTCGAGTGACGACCCATTCATTTACGCTATGGGAAATGATCCCGTGGTGTGACCATGCCCAGCGTTGAATATGATTGCGCTGCGAACATACAGATGAGACTTATTAGGAGGCTTGGGCGAGTATGTGACCAGTGTGCAGACTGTGAGCCACACGAGGGTCCGAAGGATTAGCAGGAGACGACCATACATCTGCATTGATTATGGCAGATTTGAGAGGGACGCTTCTCCACGAGGTCATGACACTGAGCGCAGAACGAAGCGCTCATGGTCACGGTCACGATGTCAGACGAATGGTCGTCAGCAGCGCAATACAGTCACGTGGCAAGATGCAGCTAGACCGCCCAGATTTGACCATCTCGGACACATACGTTGCAGTGACCGAGAAGTTGAGTTGGCCGGTCCTGAGAGCGCTGACTCCATCAAGCACAGAAAATAGAGCAACAGCAGCGCCTAGATGAACCTGTTCGAAATGTCTGCAGGTTTGCGCGATCCAGGTGACTTACCGTGAGACCACCTTCATCCCCGAGATGTCTGACCTTTGTTAGGATTATTGCAAGAACAGAAATATCACATGCGCTATACATCAAGCGTTCTTTGCTTGATAATCCAACAGCGCAGAAATTCCTGGACGTGGTGCTGAGCACAGGCCTCTCGAATACACTAGTGTAGGAGTTCGCGCACGCATTCTGTATAGCCTGCTCCTCGCGTAAGCGTGACGAGACCGTGGTGGAGCCTTTCTCAAGAGAGACACACAGTAACGGCCTAGGTCAAGGTCGAATCGGTCATGTCCTGTGGGGTCCGGCCAACACTGTTGATGTTCGCTCAGTCACTGCAACCGCCGAGACCAGGGCGCAAGCATAGGCGAGTGTGCAGCTGGCAAGACCAGGGGAGAAGCAAATGAGGTAACGAGTGCACCGGAGACGACCTCGCGACAGTGCGTTTGAGACAGTGCGCATGCTTCGTTCAGAGACCGACGCCTGTGTTTGTCAGATGTAGCCTTATTGGTGCCGTCCACAGGCTCTCCAGCTCAGATCCCGAGCGCTATGAGTTGGCACAGTGAATTTCAAGTGTCGTCCTAGATTTTCCGGGTCAGACTCGCGCACTGGTTAGACCGAATGAAAACGCGTGTCTTTTGGGGTCGACGATAGGGAGGTGGAGGTGGTAGGGGGCAGGAACGTTCGAGCTCGGCGGGAGCAGTGGTAGGAATGCGGTCGAAGGAAGTCCATCAGCATTGCCATTCTCACGCCCGACGTGTGCGGGTTGTAGGTCCTTGCTCTATTCCCAATGGCTGGTCCTGACAGGTGACGCACAGTCAGGCCTCTTTGTTATGTTTCCTCGCTCTTGCGCTGATGAACTTCTTGACTGGTCTTGTCTCTCGATGCCGGTGCAGAGATTGGGGGAGCGCGGCGGGGAGTGGTGCCGACCGGGCAGACGGGAGGACAGAGAAGGGTGGCGGCGGGCCGGAAGACGAAAGAATTGGTGGAGGGAAGCGCCATTGCCCGACGCGGGTTGCTCGAAGACACTCGAGAGCGTCATTGTTGTGTTTGTGGTTTCCAAGCTCTTTCTTCATTTGATTCTGGCGACGCGAAAGCGGCGCTTCTACAGTGCGACCAGATAGGAACGCGCGATGCGCGAGGGCGCGAGGGGCGAGGTCGAGTCAAGGACGAAAGCGAAGCCTCGAGGGGGGGCAGGCGCGAAGTGCTGGGGAGACAGTGCCTTCTCCATTGGGAGTGACTTGAGCCGTTTGTCCAGCAGCCGGGTGCCGCAGCTCGGGCCATCCGGCAAGCGCGTCATCCGAATTGCCCGGGGTCCGGCGCCGCTTCCATCTTCCGTTCTGTGCCTTTCTCGTCTTATGCAGTAATTTCCCCTCCGACTTTCTTGCTCCACGTCAACATGATTTCAAAGCGAGCCTTTCTCTGCATTAATGGCAAGATGATGCGCTGTGTACATAAGGTGAGCGACATGTAGGTGTTCTCTTCCTCTCATCACTGCTCTTCTTCCTTGACGCCGCTCAATCCTTCGCGTCTCTCTTTTCCAACTTCAGATATCGATCCAACATGGCACCCACAATCCTCGTCATTGGCGCAACTGGCAACACAGGTGCAGGCGTAGTCCACTCGCTGCCCGAATTGCTCAAGAAGAGCGAATCCCTGTCCAACCATCGCATCCTCTGTCTCACCCGAACAATCGGCAGCGACAAAGCAAAGAAGCTCGCAAAGCTTCCTGGTGTTGAGTTCGCCGAGAAGAACTGGGTTGAGATCGATGACGCTTGGCTCAAGGAGCACAACGTCGACAGAGTCTTCCTCGCCTCAGCCGTCGACCCAGCTCAATTCGCAAACGAAAGTCAGTTCCTCGTCAACTGTCTCATCGCTGGCATCAAGTATGTCGTGCGCATTTCCACCACGGCTGCCAACGTCACCTCCGACTGTCGAGCTTTCTACCCGCGCAACCACTGGGCTATCGAACAGCTTCTTAGCTCGCCGGAGTTTGAAAAGCTGGCATGGTCATCTCTCCAGCCTAACGTCTTCTGGAGTTTCGTCTTTGGGCCAGCCGCCGGCTTCATCAAGAACTATCGCGAGACTGGCAAGCAGAGCACCTTGTCAATGATGATCAACGCCGACGTAGGTGTTGCACCCATCGATGCAGAGGAGGTCGGTAATTTTGCCGCTACCCTGCTTGCACAGGATGACGTGACTTCCCACAACAAAAGGAAGTACGTCTTGAACGGACCTGAAGACATCACAGGCAACCAGATCGTCGAGCTTGTTGAGAAGCATGTCGGCACCAAGGTTGAGAAGGTAGCCTTTGGGGACGTGTCCTTCATCGACACTACGGCCGATCAGGCTCCTGACAACAAGCACCTCATAAAGTCAATCAAGAACGCTCCTCGCACTTCGTGGGAAGGAAAGGCCAAGGCCGAAACGACGAGCAAGGAAGTGCTAGATTTGTGTGCACCCAAGCTCACTGGCGCTGAAGCCCTGGAGCAAATGCTGCAAGAGTAGACCGCCATTACGTAGTCTCGTTAATTCATTTATTCTCTTATCTTTTCCATACCTCACCCTTGTCAGGATCTTTGGGTTGGTCACAGTTGCCGAAGGACTCTCCAGACTGCGCTCTACTCGAGTCTGACAGCCAAGACTTGAATTTGGAACTTCCGGCATCCTGCTGTGAAGCAGATCACATCACGACCCGAAGCGCTTCCGTGACATTTTATCTTTGAGACCATCTTGTATACGTTGAAAGCTCATTGCGGTTCTGCAACAGTTCGCACTGATTGAACGGACCTGATCTTTACTGTCACATAGCCTGGCCCCTTATGTCATCTCCCCTCGCAGCAGCCCAGTGACCCGTTACTCCCTGAGATCTCGATCGATGGTACGCACTACAGCAGGATCAAGATGTGGTGCGAGCAAAATGTCGCACACACCGAGAGTAATGTATCGTGATCCCAACACACCCAAGCCGCAACATCAAACAGTAGCACTATTAAAAACGCGCTAGGTAGCACTGGTCGCGCCTGAAGACTTGCTCGTCGTGCTTGTCTTTGTAGTACTCGACTTTACAGTGGTAGTAGTGCTCGCCTTCCCACTACTCGACCCACTGCTCGTCCCACTAGTCTTCGAACTCGAACTCGAGCTCCCCACCGTAGAACTCGACTTCGTACTCGTAGAAAGCGTACTACCCACACCAGCAACATGAGTCTTCCAATACGACACCAACGCCGCATCAGCATCAGCCTCATGAGCATACGCATCCAAATTTGCGAAGAAGTCTAATTTGTCATTGATTGCTGAGTCAGAAAAGGCACCTGTGCGGGCGGCGAGATCGGAGGCTGGGTAGGAGACTGCGCGGTAGCGGGGTTCCATGGGGTCGAGGAAGCGGGTTGTGTCGTTGTAGCCTAGGTCTGCTAGGACGGTGACGTTAAAGGCTGCCATCATCTCGTGATCCTGTTTTAAATGTGTCAGTCTGCTGGTCTGTTGTGACAGCTTGCTGGTCGCTTACCTCGTGTATCAGGTTGTGACAGTGGAACATATAAAGCCCTGTCGCAAATTCAGTATGACTGTATCACTCTGACTTTAGATAGCTGCGAAGACACGTACCATCCCATGGAGCATATCTCGCGATTACCTTGACAGTTTCTCCAGTGTCAAGCCATATGACATCTTTCAATGACACCGCTTCGTAGGGCAGGACTTGACCTCGGCCTCCAACCCGACTGGTGATTTGGAAGTCGACCTGCGTGGCATTAATTCAGCATCTTCCCCTGGAGGTTTCCAACGAAGAGACGGAAGCTTACAAGATGAATGTGGATAGGATGCGACCAGCCTCCGCCTCCGTTCTTGAGTTCCCACACTTCAATGGCTCCTCGCTCAGGCTTTGCCAACACACGAGCCTCGGGGCCATCAGACCAGACATGATCATTGATCTGCCACCTGCTGTTGCTATGCTGGAACTCGAAGCTTCGGTCGATGCCAGTCTTCGGGGTCGGGAAAGGCACTGTTCGCAAGACAGCAGGAAGTTCGTCCTTGGACACTATGCCTGTAGTGGCGGTACCCACTACGAATCCTGTCAAAATGTTAGCTTCGAGAGATCTGTCTCACCCAAGGAGATGACTCACGCATGACTTTGTCAGTACTGTTGTAATCAATATCAGCAGCGACTTGTCGATTATTCTTCAGCGTCACGTTTTGACCGCTGAAGCCAGTGAAGTCAAAAACGATCTCCCACCTCTCAGCAATGGAAATGTCAAGCTGAGTGGTTTTGACGGGACTCTGGGTCAAGCCCGCGTCGGATCCGACGACGGTCATCTGGGACCTCGTGCCGGGTGTCTTGTCGGGCTCAAAGTAAAGTTGATATGACCGACTGATACCAGTGTTCAATACACGAAACCGGTACTTTCGTGGTTCTACCTTCAAGAAGGGCCATGGTTGTCCATTCACGTGGAAGACGTCTCCCTAAGTTAAGTTATCAGTCACTGAAGATGGTTGGTCAATACGCCAGCGTGTACTCACATATACACTGGTCTCCTCGTTGTTCGCTTCAGGGTCCCAGAGGCTTCCGTCAGGATTGTATCGCTTGGCTGCCAGAGCTAGCGGTATGTCGAAGTCGCCTTGAGGCAGTCCTGGGATCTTCAGCTCATCGGGATCATGCAGGATGTAAAAGCCTGCTTGACCGTAGTATGCGTTTTCCTGTCGTTCGTGATGTCAGCTGCAGCCCGGCAAGAAAAGAAGAAGCATAGCCGTACGGCAGTGTGGTCGATTGCATGATCATGGTACCAAAGAGTCCTTGCATTCTGCCCGTTAGGATAGTAGTAGTCCTTGTACTGTCCCGGCTCAGTAGTATCTTCAGCCCAGCCGTCAAAGGGAGCACGAGCTATTGTTCGAATGTCAGCGATGAGCAGCATTAGCAGGGAGATTTTACCGACTGTAAGAACCATGAAGATGGACTGAGTTTGCACGATCGCCATTGTTGATGAAACGCACAACCGCCTCACGACCTCTCGTCATGTGGAACGTTGGACCTGGGTTTTGACCATCGTAGCCGACGAGTCTAGTCTTGCCCAATTTGGGATAGACTTGGACTTCAAGAGGCTTAATCTCGACTTCGTAGTAGTCCATAGGCAATCCAGTGGCTGGGCTTGTGTGTGTCCTGCATAATCTTGTCAGCAATGACCATGAGGCGAGCTTGCACTGTGTTGACTTACTTCAGGGGCACCTTCACGATAGGAATGGGCAAAGCGACCTGGAAGATCTGATCGTACACAGGGCTCAGCCATGGAAAGTCCGCAACTGCAACCGTGGCGTAGAATGCCAGGAGAGTCAGGAGTCGGGAGGTCATATCGGCGATGAACTGGACCGAAGTATGTTTCTTGTTGGATGCTTGACGCTGAAAGAAGTCTAAGCATCAATTTGTTGCTCAGGTAAGGTCATACGCGAATAGAAGAGAGATGTGATTGATGCTTGATTAAGCGACGGCTGGATTACTTATACCTTCATCTCCCGGAGAATCTCTGTCGTTTGTCAATCTCATGCGTTCGCCGACTTGGCTTTGGCAGTCCGCTTCATCGAAATCCTGCCGTCTTCAAACACAACGGGTGATCACACCATGATGAGCCTAGATCGCAAGTGTGAGCGTCTCGTTCTCAGAAAGAGAATTACAGAGAAGAGTCCAGTGTACTGAACATTGATCGAGCCAATGGCTGAGCCGACATGTGCTTTCGTAGAGAGCTTACTTCGGTGGCTTCGTCTCTATTGCTTCAGTCTCTGCGCCTCCGACACCTGACACCGCCCTCATAGCATCCTCCTCAACTAGGGGGTGGGTCTAGAGCGCACGAAAGTGGCTCTCCAAAAAGGAAGTCAGCTCGCGATTACTGATTCCTTGGGCTCGGCATGTTCATCGACCCGGATGTGCGCTATGAAGTTCTGCTACATCTAGAGAGAATGAGGCGTCCAGGACAGCAATATTGACTGCACTCCTCGGGGCTACTCGATACATGAAGGTTAGTCACAAGACTCAGGTCGAAGCCAGATGTGCCACTGTGGACTAGTCTTCGAGGACTGTGCTCGGGACCGTGGGTCAGAGCTGACAAGACAGATCCTGACCAGATCCTGAAGCTTGATATTGATTCTTGTATTTCTCCTCTGAAACAAGCTTGTCAGCCAAATATGTGCCGCCAAGAATCTTGGTTTCCGTACCGTCAAGAAGGATTCCGCTACTGTCACATGTATTTGAAGACGCAGATGGTCCCACGTGGGGGTTGGTTTCTGACATACACCCTTACGCTTGGCCCAGAGCTGATCCACTTCGAGACGTATCTTTCTCCAGCTTCACGTCTGTCCATTTCAGGCTAACGCATCACCTTGCATGGTTTTTAATCACGATAGACCGAGCTATTCGTCTTCTTACCCTTGACACCTCTTGCGAACGTCCATTCTCGCGCATGAAGTATCGTGACCAATTGCTGCAGTAGCTGGCAAAGCTGAGTAAACAAGATCCATGGGTCATTGATTTTACATCGGAGGCATTGGCCGTCCAGTCGAGATCGCGCCAAGGTAAGTCGGCACTGTGCCACAGAGACATCTATGTCCCGTTAGCAGTCAATTATCAGTTTTCCAGTAAGGACCACGGCGATCTGGCGGGGGCAGCCCTGTGAAGGAAGGCTCATTCGGGTTTAACGTGTGTGAAGGCGAATTAGTACGCGTGGCAGCTCTGGGCATCGACGACATGTGTTGATATATGAGTCAACCTCGAGCAGCAGTGCTCTAGACCTTCTATCACTACTCAACAGCTTCTCTGTTTACAGGTGTTTTGTCAGTACACTCCGCGAGATATTCAAGATGAGAATCAGCAAGATCGGGGCTGCGGTCGCCAGCTACTGGTAAGTCGCTAGCCTTCGGAATCTTTGACGATGAAAACTAATAATCACTAGTGTGCTCACAAGTGCCCTACCTCACGATGGCGATGATGACAAGAAGTCCACGACCACGACCGAACTCGAGGACCACCACACCAAGACGGAGAGACCTGAGTCATCGTCAACTGTCACAGGTGGCTTCCTAAGCACAACCACTTTCACTACCACGCTTAACGGCAGCCATCATGGGTTCAACTCTAGCATGCTCCATAACGCCACTCATACCTTGACGAGCATTTGCAACAACACTACAACCACGCTTGTAGAGGTTGTTACGACAAAGACCGATGCGTAGCGCCAGACTCTGGGGGGCCCCAGCTACGAGCTGATCTGGAGGCGTAGTGGTCCACTGCGAAAGCATGAAGGACGGCAGAACTTTCGCCTGTGTTTTGGAGTTGTCGTCTGCTTTTTTTCTGTCGTTATCGTGTATTTTCATTCTTGCCAAATCGGAGTTTTTACATGTCTGAATTCGATTAACGTCACTGCGTGACGTTCCCAAGTTTTGGTCGTGCCCTAGAGCTAAGTTGGTCGCGCGTGGGGTTGTGGACGCTCCTTGGGCAAGCCCCAGATTCAGAACAAGTCCGCAAAGATTCTGTCGAGCATGGTTGCCAGAGATCCACGTGTCAAGATGTGACCAGGAAACCTCGAACGTCTCTGTAGCGATTATGCAGCCACCAGACTTGAAAAATAGGCGTCGATGGAAGATGTTCCTGGTTCGAGCGAATGCGTTGTACCAGGGCGTGACCGAAAGCGGCTGGCAGCGGGTCAATTGTAGCAAAGCTGCCTCTCAGAGCGACTGCATGTATACCGACATGAACGCGGCAGAGCGACACGGAGATCGCGAGGCGCAAGACACTGAGAAGCGCCGTTCGAGTATTGGCAAATGGCTGAGCAGACATGCAGACGCATGACCGAGACTTATCGACAGGGCAACCACGGTGCCGGAACAGGGTTTAGGGCTGCAGCAAGCCATACAGGTACATGACCAAAGTCTGTCAGCAAGGCGTCTGCTATGTCTGGCTGGGTCATGACGCTGCAGCGAAGTCTGGGATGAAAGCTTGCAGTTGCAAGCATTGCTGAGGAAGAGAGAGGTAAGCGCCAAGTCTCGGGCGTCTTGGCTGATGCTTACTAAGAGCCTCCGCTCTGGACTTGACAACACTCCAGGCTCGCAAGTGTATTACATCTCAACTGCGAGTCTGACAGAGACTTCGAACACCGATGACATGTTTCTCGTACCTCACAGAGAAACGATTCTGATCATCAGATGCATGCCAGTATCGCGGCAGGATCGAGCGCAAAATCAATAAAGTCAAAGATGTGACAAGGCTGCTCGTCGATAAGTGATGGACTAGCATATACCTGACCAACAACTCACGAGTCTTCACCTTCAACATCAGCAGGCTCAGACCATCGCTCACCACGCTGGCCGTAACTCTGGTATCATAAAACACCCCTTCGGCTTGAAGACCTCTTTGAAGCTAGACGACAATCAGGCCACTCAAGCAAGGTAAGCTATATATCTCGACCATCTCCAGACCACTCGAAGGCTTCATTCTACTTGGCCATCTTGAGCAAAGCAAGCCTTCGGACAATGCATACTCTGGTCGGTCCCCATGCATTTCTTCCCGCGCTCCCTCCCTAAATTTGCACTGACCTTCAGCACCAAGAAGCCCACCTTCGCGTTCGCGTGTCTCCTTGGAGCAGCTTCTGCAGTCGCCATAGCAGCACCTGGCCTCGAAAGACGATCTGGCAAGCCAACTGGAGGACCAGCGAAGGCGAATGTCATCATCTATGCCGGGCCAGCCACCTGTGCTGACCCCAACACAGTATGTCAATCCACTTCCCATCTCAAGGTCTCATGCTTAACACCTTCCAGCCTCCACCCACTGATGGCAGTGCTGGTATCGCCAAAACTTACTTGAGCGTGACTGAAGACATATGTACCATCATCAACCCAGTTCTTGGTCTCACCGGAGCTGTCACTGCAGTTCTGACTCAGGGTCCAAAGACTGGCACTGCAGGTTGCTGTAAGATTCACATTCACTCTTGCTTCCAAAGACGGAAAGCTGATGTGAAGCAGATATCGAGATGTTTAAGGAGTCTGGATGCGGATTGACGCTTAGCAATCAATTCCATGGGTGGCCGTTTGATGGTATTGGAGTCGGGAATCACATGGGCTGTGCAAATGCTGTTGGCGGATTTAGCTATGGAGCGGTGACTCTGCTCTGTGTTTAGGATGTGTGAATCCAAGTACGTCAATGTGTCAGAAATCTTCACAACTTTTGACAAGGACGATGCGCTCCTGTGCATCACGTAAAATGAATACACAGGTTCTCACAAAAGGGGCATGCGAGATGTAGAGAGCCGAATTCAGACGAAAAGCTTCCCAGACTGGAAATCATCAACGCACACATACTGCCAACACATCACCACAAGCTCGCAAAAGACGTTCAAAATGAATTCCCAATCTTCGCAAGACATTACAAATATCCTCATTGCCGGATTTGCAGTCTTGGTACTGCGAAAGAAGATCATTGTGACACGAGTGCGGCACGATCAGGGTGCTGCTCACAGCGTACTACATGACCGCAAAGGCATTGCGGGGAAGCTTGAGTGCCAAGGCCAGCCTCTCGGTCGCGTCTCGTCCGCCATTCAAGTCGATCACCCTCACGCCAACTCAGTTCATTGTCCGGCGGCAGCCACTGCGATGATGGGCTCACGCGCGCTCACATCCAACATCAAGGCCATGTTGAGTTTCCTCATTCTACACTGCAACCGAGACTATTCCACCCGTCAGCCGAAGAAACAAACCGTGTTCCGAGAGACGATGTGGTTGCGACGCGACTTCCTTGACTGAGACAGGCGCACAACAAGCGACTGGCCATAAATCCTAGGAAGGACCTGGAAAGACGAAGTAGGTACGCGAGACAATATACAAGCGTTGTCTCCAAGACGCAGGAGCGAGGCAGAGTGAGTCCAATTGATTGCTGTGTTGACGAGACAGGAATGTAGCGCAGGCACGCATACCGCTCGCCAGGAATGCGCCCTCATCTCCCGCCCTCTACAAGCTCCCCATTGTTGCGCCCTCAACTGTCGCATCTTTTTCCCTATTCCTTCCGCATCCAATACTGGCCTCTGCCCATCAAGACTGTCGCAGACACGTCGCACCTGTCTCGTCGCATACCAGGGATTCCGCAAGACTTGCATCATGCCTCCCAAACGCAAAGGCGTAGTGAGCTACTCTGATTACGCCTCGGGCTCTGAGATCGAGACAAAACCCGCAAAGCAGACGAAGAAATCACCCACCAAGAAGCTGACGTTTGAAGAGAAGGGTTATGGCAAAGGAAAGGCCATCTCTGACAGCGAAACTTCTGGTCCGGAAAAGAAGAAGGCCAAACTCCCTACAAGTCGCCGCGGAGGGGACCCTTCTCCAACACGCCGCAGCACTCGCGCCACCTCGAAAGCTCGCCAGCCTCCTCCACCCGCCAAAGCTCCACCACTGCCAACTCCTCCCACCACCATGAGCGGCTCCAGAAGCCAGTCTACAAGCCGCAGAGGGCGCCATCCATCACCCTCAGCCATGGACACTTCCAAGCTCCCCAAACGTACTCGCACCGTCTCTCCTCGCAAGCGCCTCATCGAAGACTCCCCACCGCCCGAAGACAAGATGGACCCGTTCCCTAAGAGGCGCCCTCCGATGACCGTCACCGACAAGCCCGCCGTTCGCAACTGCTACGGCGAAAAGGTGCCTCCACCCGTCGACACTCAACAAAAGATGCGCCAAGCACTCAACTTCCTGTCGGACGAAGGCGTCGAGAACTGTCAAGACTTTGAGCAAAAGCTGGCCGCTCTCGAGGAGTGGCTCCGCAAGAACCATCCCGCCATGGACGGCATCATTCCAGAAGGCGAGGAAGATGTCGAGAGGCTCTGCCGCAGAGTCGAGTACATGATCTGGGTGCACAAGCGGCGCATCGAAGAAGGCGCCGACCAGTGGTTCTCGCGCGACCAGTTCCCGCATTCAAAGACCTTCTACACGCCCATCAGACCTGGCAAGAACGACGGCTGGCGCCTCAACCCGGATGGCTCCATGATCAACAGGCCAGAGCACGCCAAGCTGCAAGTCATGGTGCAACAGGACAGGGAACGTGCAGCAAAGCAACGCGCCGAACAAGCTGCCAAAGATGCCGCCGCCACTGCCGCTGCTGCACTGGCGCCAAAAGCTACTTCCGCTTCCAGGGCGCCTGCTAAACAGCCCGTTCGATCCAGGTCTCCCGCCAAGCAGACTGCCGCTTCTAGTGAAGACTCTGCTGCTGCTGCTCCCGATGCGCCCACTCGTGCAAAGTTTGGATTGCCTTATCCCGAATTCTGGCACCGCAAGGAAGCCGCTCGCTTCCCCTATGGCGAGACTCCCTACATGGAACGTGTCTACAGCAATCAAATCGACGCCGACCTTGCTCGTGGTAAGTCTCGTGCGACTGTCCTCACGTCATGAGACAATTGCTGACCCTTTCACACAGGCAGAGAATCAAGAGAAGCTATCCAAGCTGGCTCTCTCTACCCGATCAAGAAGATGTACAACAACTTTCTCGGTATGTTGCCCTTGTCTGGAGGAAAGAACAAGGCTGGTCCACCCTACGATCCTTACAAGCTGCCTGACGTCTCGGACGATTTCCTCGATGAACAAGAGCAGAAGCACGGTTTCCTCGGTTGGTATGACAAGGGCACGGGCGACAAGAGAACAGCTGCAGATGCTGCACTGCAAGCACCAAAGTCACCTGCCAAACGGACCAGATCTGGTAGGAACGCTACATGAGAGGGCCGTTTTTGACTTTCAAACAGCGTGTGCATTTGGGCTGCATTACTTTCTCGTTCCTGCATCTATCATGATTTCGTAGTCTGTTTCCAGTCTACTATACCCTTTAATTTACTCGCGTTGTTTTTTGTCTGTTTCGTTCACTCATTTGTTCGCGCCAAGTGAAATGCCTGTCATCCCAGATCCACCCGGCTCTTCTTCGAAGCACACTAAATTCTTCACACAACTCTACAATATCTGACTGCCAGAGACAGATGATAGACGCCGACAAGATGATGTCTATATCGTAGTCTACGCGGGCTCTAAATCACGCCCAGCCTGGCAGAACGAGGTCCCACTCCCGCAACAAAGCGAATGTGTTTTGAGACAGCTACCAAAGAGACCTTTTCACTCAACTCAACGTACTTCACAAAAGATGCAGGTGAATGATGAGACCTTACTGCACATGCCACATCCGGCCATGGTTGTCGTATGTATACCTCCAAGCTTCACTTCTGCTCCCATTGTCGCACTTCCCAATGCGGCGTTTGTCACTCTTTGTCAACAATCAACAATGAAGTCCATCACCACGATAACCATGATCAATTTGTCGCGCCGCCTTTCCAGCAAGCAAACATCAAACAACCTCACCAGCAAATCATGTCAGAGAGCGAATCAAACTCTCCCACCTTTGTGGATCCTCAAGCACCTTTGCGCCAGGAAATCCAACGACTCAAGGAAAAACTGGAAAAGACAGAGAACAATTTTGAATACTACGAAGAGTCCAATCACAAGTTTGAAACCGAGATTGAAAAGCAAAAGATTCAAATCGAGCGAAAAGATGCGCAAATCACCAATCTCAAGGAACACATCGCCGCCAACGAAAAGGAACATGATGAAACACACAAGGAATACCAGGCCATGAGACGTAGAAGTTCTGTCCTGGAAACTACAGTCAAGCATGCCGAGAGAGAACTCAAGACTGTGGCCGATCTGGAATTGGTTATCGAAGACCGCGAGGAAGAAGCCCGCCATGCTACTGCCGAACTTGCCAAAGCAAGGACCGAGCGCGACGACAAAGCCACCGAAGTCAAGGGCCTCGAAGGAGATATCGAGGCATTGCAAGAGGTGCTAGCCACTCAGGCGGTGAATATCGATGCTCTTCATGTCAAGCTCAGTATCTACGAACGTCACCTTCCCGTCAGCAGCGACCTTGAGTCTGATGCCTTGGACGATGTTCTATACGACTTTATGACAAAGTACTCTGTGCTTACAGAACACATCCCCTCCAGCGCTAACAAGAAGAATAATCGCAACTCTACTGGCTTCAATCTCGCTGATGAGTTTGACGCTCTCAGCAGTGATGGAGAGTTTGATTCGAATGACGGCTACGCATCTGACGGCCGCAGTGCTCGTAGCGATGAGTCTGACAGAGCTCCCCAGAGTATCGCCCAAGTTTTGAGTCACTCTGCTGTCCAGTCTATTGGTACTCATCCTTCCATCGGCCAACCTGTTCAGACTACTTCGACTGCTACTCAAACTTCGCCTGTCAACAAGCCACTTCCTCAACCGGTCAGCATTGCGACTCAGACCGACCCTATCCGATCTCCGAGGAAGACTTCAGCACCAACGAATTCCAACACCGAGACCCAGACAAGTCCCATCGCTGCCTTGATTCAAAAGTTCACACCGAAGATGAACAGTTCCGGTGTGCAGACAAGTCCTGCCACTTCTTCTCCTAGCAAGTCTGTTTCAGAGATGGTCAGCAATGGTGTCCAGATGGCTACAAATGAGTTGTCAACCAAGAAGACCGAACCTGAGACCGTAAGCGCTGGTGTTCAGACGAGTCCACTTGTTGAGACTTCGAAGAAGGCTTTGCAGATCCTGAATACTAGGGCCAGGATGTATTCTAGTGTCTCTACCAGAGGGACAACTTCTAAGGCTGCAAAGGGAGAAACCACGAAGTCGACTGCTACGACGAGTCCGGCTCCGAAGAATGCAGCTTCAGGCAGTGGGGATGGGGCTGACACTAGGCTGGCTACATCCACGAAGCCAGCTGCTTTCACGACAAGTGCGTTGTCTCCAGCCGAGTCTCCACCGTCGGATGAGATGATTACCAATGGAGAACTTGCACTCGAGGACTTCCTGCGTTCGCAGCTGGATGAACCGGCCTCTCAGGCTAGCGACCGCAACGACAAGGGGAAGTCTCCCCAGGAGCAAGATATGGACAAACCTCCCACCCCGCCTGCCTCCGCCCCTCCACCTGCACCTTCTGTCGCAACCCTCCCCAAAACACTCTTCTTCCCCCTCCACGCCCTCAGCAAAGAAGCCCAAACGCACTGGGAACTACTAGCCCTGTGTACCCTGACCTCCTTCCTCGCCGCCTTCCTAGGCTTCTCAGCAGCAAACTTTGCAACTGAACATCCTTGGGCACAAGTTAATGGATATGCACCGCAGAGTAAGGTTTTCTTTGTTGGAAGCAGAGTCCTGGGGTTGTGTGGAAGGGTTGTAGTGGGGATTTTAGCTTGGGTGTGGAACTTGGTTTTTGGGGGTTGGGAGCTAGGAGAGGGAGGGAGGAGGGAGGCTGAGATTGGGTGAGAGGGTAGGATTGAAATGGGTGAGATGGAATGAGGTGAGATGGAAGAGGTGGATGTGGGTGTAGTGGTGTTCTTGTATCTAAGGTTTTTTGACTTCTAGATGGTATTCAGTTTCCTTTGTGTGTGTATTCTTTGCCTCATTTCGTTTTCTTTGTCCACGTCCAAGGGGAAGCAGACTTTGTCATTACATACACAATGTCTCTTGGAACATATCTACACCCAGGCGCAAAGACTAGCTGGAAATGTGCAAAAAGGCAACGCCACGAGGAAGAATTGAACCCTAGCTTCCCACTTGGTGAGTAACTTTACAGCCCTCTGGATTGATTACGCCTAGCTCCGCAAAAATTCGACAACTATTACGCTGGTATTTGTGCCTTACGGTGATGGTAAGGTTACAAGAACAATGCTCAGCAATCAGTAGGCACGCTCTGATAGAGCAAAAAAAGAGCTATACGGGGACGTTATCAGTTAGAAGATGGGGAAGACCCCCGTTCCGTTTCGTTCCATGAACTCGAGACTGGCTGACCTCGCGGCCATGGAACCGATCCGTCATCATTTTCATGTTTACTTGGATTCTCTTTTTCAAGTATATATACGTTTAAAAAAAAGAAACAAGGAATACTTGCTTTGCCTCGTGGAAAAGGCTGTCACTTTGATTCTGGCCAATTGCTTATACGCGCAAAGTTCTCCAAGACACCAGCAGAATTCTGAACGGAAGTGCTATATCCAAGAAAACTTTGATTCTGAGGTCTACAAGGCACGCAGGTTTCCAAAGCGTCTTAACATATCTCCCTGCCTTTCCTTTCCATTTCCTAAATCAGCTCTGCAGAAACAAACCTCAAGACCCCAATACAGTCCCTTCTTCTTTCTTCTTTCCTCTTTTGCCTATTAACTACTTCCATACCCCTCAATCATCCTCCTCCTCCTCCTCTTCTGACACAAAAATATTATCCCACACCCACTCCTTGCAATCCTGATATATTGCATCAAACTTCCAAAAAGGATTCCTCTCTTCCTCTTTCTTTTCATCTTCCCAAACCAGGATTCGCTTCTCTGGTTCGTTTGCTATATTCTCAAGACGGAGACGTAAAGACGAGAGGGAAGTTGAGATGGCGAGGCAGATGCGGTAGAGGATGTACAGGGGGAGGAGAAGAATTATGGTTACGATGACATGGGTTAGGAGGGAGTGGAGGGTTGGGAGCACGGAGAGCAGCGTCTGGAAGGTGGTTTCGAGACGGGGGTGGGTGAGCTTGACTCCATCAGTAACTTCGCCTTCTATCTTCTTCTTGGGTGACTTACGAGTAGATCGTACCACAACACTTGAATTGTGTCCGCTCCTGCGTTGTATTTGAGATTGAGATTATGAGATGAGGAGGGATAGATGGCTTCCCAGAGGGAGAGAAGGTGGTTGTGAAGGTAGTAGAGAACGAGGACGTGAGGGCTGTATCTTGGGAAGCCGCGGAGGGGACGGTGGTGAATTGGAACGACCATGTCTTGTATCGTGTGAAGTCCACAGCAATCTCTGTCGTGGGTACGTCGGCGATGTAAGATGCGATTTGGTGGTAGAGGATACAGGTTCGATGCGCAAGGCGCGATGTGCTTACAAGGGACAAAGGATGCACGAGGCACTGCCGGATCTGGGGGATTGTGCAGTGCAAAAGCATGGAATTCAAAACAAAGAATGTTCGCTCGACAGAGGTGCTGATGCTCTTTGTTCCACTTTCGACCTTGTTGCAAGACGTGATTGGTTCTTTCGAAAATCCTGGCTCAGACCTAACGGACAAAATCGCATAGATATATCTATCACACGCAGCCCTTCTGTATGGTGTGTAGAATAGATTTTGACCTTCGCACAAATCCCGTAAGAGCATGATGCATCAACATCGATGTCTGAGTCCATGTCGGTGGCATGGATTGAGCTTCCGCATCCGGGAGATTCTTTGTTTCTTCTTGCGGATGCCTCCCCAAACTTGCAAACTTCCATCTGCCATTGTCTTTACCTGCTCTCGAAGCAATCAATCAACACCGAACCTCGCCTTGGGTTTCTGCTCAATAGGCCGTACACAGTCGCTGGCCTTATAGTCCGTCTTACGCCCCTCTACTTCAGCTTCCTAACATTCCAATCGATTTACCGAGCCGCATCTCCCAGCTTACCACACAACAAAAGTCAAAGCACCGATTATGGCGCTCTCACGCTGCAGGAGTTGATCGTGAGTCCAGTCCCTTTCTGGACTCTAACAAATATGTAGTAACGTTACATGCAGGTTACGGTGCAAAAAGACTTCCCACGCGCTTGGTATTCCCTGCAAACTGCTGTGCAAGCTGGTGCTTCTGCATTATTAGGTGTAGGATTCAATTATAGCGTCGATGTTGCGAAGTTTACGGGGGTGTATTTTGTGTATGCTGTGATTTGCTCTGTGGTCGTTCCTGTGGTGTTAATTTCCTGGATTGTCCGTCTGCCTTCGCGCATGGTCAAGGTTCTGGGAGATGTGATTGGGACCTGAACAGAGTGTGTGACGACGTCTCTCCCTAGACACTACTGCTATTTATGAAAAGTATTGTGCCTTTCTACAGCTAGAAGGGGCTAAGAGGCTGCAGCTAAAATAGCGGGTTCTTTCAGGTGCAAAGGTGCTTCCCCTTCCAGTTGCAAAGGTACTCCCCTAAGAGTATATCAAACCCGAGACATACGCATCTCCGACTCTCAATAAGAGTAGACTCCTATAAGCTGCTGTACGACCGTAAAGATACCCACAATAACGAGCGAAGGTCGAGCGACGACACTTGAGATTTCTCCGTCATCGACCCGGTTACGCTCTCGATCTCCGTACCGGGAAGTAGAAAAGAACGGCACGCAAACACGCTTCTTAGGCTTGGACATGGCTCTGGCCAATAGGCCAGAACTCCTGCTCCTAGTTGAAGAAAGGAAAGCAATGGACAAAGAAAGTTTCTTAGTAGTGTTTGGGAAACCAAACGACGATTGAAATAGCACGGTTCATAAGTCTCTTATCGTTGAATGCTGGCGAATGGAGAGTTGTGAATACGGTCATCGGTGCAGTCAATGGAGTAACTAGATGGGCATGGGGTCTGACTGACATGCTAGAAGAGTGGCCTAAAATGAAGAATAGGAGTCAGAGGAAGAAGCCACAATCAAGATGAGCTGGTTTGAATCCCCGGCATATATTTTCTCCATGATTTCCGAGGTAAGAAATGGGACGTATCATGCTTTTCCGATCCGTGCGTTTGTACGGGCGAGACTGCAAGATCAGCTCGCACGCTTGGCTCCCATAGCGGCGATTCAGTGAACAAACAACACTGCTCGCTCCAGGCTATTATCGACTCTTCATGAGACTATCACGAAAGTGAACTAGAGTTCGTTGCTCAGGTTCAGACGTAGAGACGGAGGTAACGGTTGCCAAAACACTCATCGTAGACTTGACTGACGACTCCCGCGGCTTTCGACATTAGATATCGATTGAACTTAGATAGTTTCTCCAACCTTTGCCTCTCGAGAATGGACTATTCGATACTCAAACACAAACACAAGAACAGTACAAACGGTACCAGACCGAAACCACTTAACCAAAACTCTTCCTCCTCGTCTTCTTCTGCACATGCTCATCTGCGATGTCAAATATGAAGCCGGCAATGGCGCCGATGCTGCCTTCTACTGCTCTTCTTAGTGATTCCCTTGACGATGTTCGCGTGGCTGTGGGTCTTGCTTCGGTAGTGGCGAGTGGTGAAGTAGGAACTTCGCTTCTTGAGTGTCTTCTCTGTGCTCTGGAGACCAAGTTCGCAAGATCAGCGAGTGCAGGCGTGGCAGTTGACGAGTGAGAAGCTTCTTCGACTTCGACACCATCGATGGTCTCGGCAACGACTTGTTGTTGCTCTGCGGTGAGGATGTCTCTGAAATGTGTCTTTGCTGTACTCAAATCCACGTCTTCGAAGTCAACGTCTTCTGATATGGTCCTCTTGGTGTTTGGCGTGCTGGAAACGCGATGAAGGACAGGAAAGGTAGCTTGTAGAGGTGTCTCAAGACCAAACTGTTTGCCCCAGCGACAATCAGAAGGGTAATCGCAGCGATTCCAGCAATCCTTCACTGGTCGTGTCGGAATAACAGGCTTACCCACTCGCCACGCAGACGTGCGTCTAGAAGCCTGCGTAGTAATCTCCTCCAAAGCCTCATCTCCAGACTCCTCGTCATCAAAAACACTGTCACAGCTTTTAGCAAGCTGCCTCTGCTGCTCTGTCAAAGCGATAAGGCCTCTCTTCCAGACACCCCAGTCTTTCCACCCTGCGTAGTCAAATTCTGATGCACAAGCTTTATGGCGACGAAGTCTTTTGATGTTGTCTTTGCGTGATTTGACCATCGAGGTGCCGGCGCAGAAGTAGTGGCCGTCGTCCAGACAGCGGCGGGTGACGCCGAGGTTGTAGTGGCGGCCGCAGAGGTGGCAGGACCAGAGCCATTGTTGAGGTTGGCGAGAGGGAGGCGGGAGATGCTTGATCAGATCTACATCTGCTGTTGCCGAGAATGTGCGTTTGAGTTGTTGAGGGTGAGGGGTGATGGGAATCAAAGGTGTGAAGGGTGATTGAGGGAGTGCTAGCCGCGAAGAGCGGAAAGGCATTGCTGTTGCGTTGAGTCTTGCAGGCATCTTTGTGTGTGAATGTGTGCGAAGACCTGCTTCGATGGTTGTTCTTGTGATGTATATGTGCTCAATGTCACCCGGACAGAGAAGTGTGGTAGGAGCACAAGGTATTGAAGCGTCAACGAATCGAAGAGGCAAAGCAATAGGGACTTCACGACGTGTGCCAGGGCAGAGACATACTTAAACGTCTGCCTCCTCACAATGAACGTCGCATATTTGACTCGAGCTGAGGCAGAATTCGACAATTACTGTCAATGCATCTTCGGATGCCTATCGAAACATGGTGTTCGAGATCACCTTGCTAGTCTTCTTTGTGCATCATGTCATGATGTCTGAAATGTCTTTGTCGTGGATACGCTTCGCCTACTGAACGCACGTGGAGTCTTTGTGCTAAATTTGTAATGTTCGAGGCGATTTGCAAGTGGCTTGTTCATGTCTTTGTTCCAAGATCAATTTCTCCTTGTTCGAACCCGTGGCATCCTCATTGCACGTGGAGAACGGTCATACATGATTTCAAATGATGTATTGGCGGCCACGCGATGTACACAAAGATGTGGATGTCATGGCAAATCATCCTTTGTCGTTAAGTCGGCAACACCGAAGGTTTCAAGATCTAGATGGAGTTGTGCTTCAGATACTCACGTCATGGTCATTGATCACAGAAGGGGCAGAAGAGGAATGAGACAAGAATTGAGAGAAGAAAGAATTGAATATTATTACCTGTTTTACACACACACGGACAGAGACGTGATTCCCATTACACCTTAGAAGCAAACGACCTACCGGGTCACAGTCTATAGGGCCGGCCTGTGATGCAAGCAATTTTTGGGGATCGATGGTTTCCAGGACCTGCCTGTCAAACGATCAACGCTTGAGGGTTAGGAGGAGTGGGGACAGTTTACCTACGACGGACATTGTACTTAGATGGGGTAGTGCGCGTGACTTCGGGAGTGGCTTGACGGGTTTCAGCAAAGAGGTCGTCAGTCTCATCATCACTCTCGAAGAGAATGTCTTCATTTCTCAAGGTGACCTTGGGACAAACGGGCTTCTTCTTCTTGTTAAGCTTGGGTGAATTCATCTCATCATCACTGTCAGATTGAGGAGCACGAGCGACACGAGTCTTCTTGGAGACGCGAGTACGTCCAGCGCTAGCAGTGTTGGAGGGAGCATACTTGTAACCAGGGAAGGCCTTTTGATGGTTCTCAGAATCCAGGATTGAACACTTGTTGAAGTGCTCAACAACGTCTTCAGACTCGAGTCTCCAAGAAACCCCAAGAATACGAGAGACATCCCGATGACTATCACTAGCGGCGAACTGCTTAGTACGATCAGCATAGGCTGCGCGGTACATCATGAACCGATTGTATGGTCTAAGAACTTTACCGGCCTTCTTAGCTTCAGCGTGTCTAGTGGCGGTCGATCTTGAAGCGTGGGACATCATGTCTTTGACAGGAGCCGGGAAGTCTGAGGTCAAAACAGAAATTGGACCAGCCAGCTCAGGAGGAGGCTGCTCAGGTTGCTTTGGACGAGCAACTCTCTGTTTGGCAGTAGGGATTTCATCGACAGCCTCAGGGCTGACAGGAGTCGGATCAAGCATTGGCATCGGCATCATGGGCTGTTGAGCGTAGAACTGAGAAATAGGGACGAGCATAAAACCAGGAGGAGGCTGATAAATGTACGGACCAGGGTAGGGGTATTGTGGAGCGAAAAGTGGCATTGGCGGCATAGGCATAACACCGAATTGGTTCAAGTCTAGAGAGACAAAGCTGTTGAAGCTGGGCTTAGGGTTGTTGTAAGACCCGGTATTAGTGTTGAAGTCGAGAGGCTCAGATGAAGCAGTGATATCAAGATCAAGAGGGTTAACGAGGCAGCCCATGTGAGTGTCAGTGTTATCAGTGGGGCAGTCCACCGTTGGGATGTCAAAGTCAAGGTCCATGCCATTGAAGTCGTGATCAGGCATATCGGGGGGTGGAGAGAAGAAAGTCTGATCATCAGTGCTCGAGCCCTGCTCGGCATCAAAAGTCATCCAGTCTTCAAGCGCAAAGTTACCAGGCAGCTCAGACATCTTCTTGTGGGGAACTTGCGTCTTTTGAAGATGCGGGTGAGAGAATGTTGATCGGAAGATGATAAGCTGCTGTGGTGCGGAGAGAACCTTGGCAGGAGAGAAACAGAGAGTGTGTGTATGTAGTCATCATCCAGACAGACTAGGAACGCTATTTGTATTCCGTCGGACCAAGCATCAGGATTCGACCTCAGATTCGTTGACAAAGCCAAAAGACAATGGTCACCGTCAAGTTCAAAGACACGATCGGAGATGTGAAAGGCAGGTACAGAGCATTGTGTGTGTTGCCTTTGTTGTGTTTGACACTCTCAATCCCTGGCGCGCCATCGTCATTGTTATCGCCATTGTTGCTTGATATGCCGGAGTGTTGGCTGTGGACGAGATGAGAAGGTGGAACAAAATTATCTGGGTGTGAATGGGTTGTGCTCTAGGACAAGGCTTCATTGCTTGGTGCTGGTGCGTGCCGAGTAGCCAACATAGGAAAAGAGTTGCTTCGTGATGCATGCTCGTACGTGTTCGGTATCGATGTCCACGCGACACATCTCCTTGGCCTTTCTCCTACTTCTGAGGTAAGCCCGTGGTTATGATACTGCTCAGCGTCCAGACTGAAGACGTGGGCCGACCGTAAGGTGAACAGTGTAATAGGTGCCACCGGTCAGAGGACGCCGGATTCTCACAGTGGTACGAGTTCCCCTCATTCTGGTAAACAATTACCCCAGGCGTCGACATCTGGCAAGGTCGAGCTGCTGCTGTTCTCCTACCACGATGTGCACTTGCTGGTGGATATTCTCAACAGAAGGCCGCGTCAGCTTGTAGCTCAGGATAGTTGGGCAAACTTCATGTCGTGAAGCCGACACAGCTGAGGTGGAGAGGGGTAGCTAGAAGCCGTGCGAGCGACCTCACAGACAAACATAAAAAGTCGAGGGTCGCCACTTTACAATCCCTTCCTTCTTCCATCCCTCTACACACAACACACAATCAAACCAAACTTCCAAAACAGATCCGCGAAAATGTTCGGCTGGAGTAAGTTCTCTGCGACTTCATGGTCAAAACTTCGGGATCTAATACCATCCAGATGAATCTCAAGAGGCCTACGGTCAGGTGTGTGCCAACAAGCACAAGGGCAAGCTCTCCGACGAAGTCATTGCCGGCAGTGCTTCCTTCGCAGCCATGCACGAGCTCGAGAAGAAATTGCGTCACGATGGTCAACCCATGCAGCACAGGATGGCCAAGGAGCTTCTGGCCGGCATGTGTGGAGCTGAGATTGACAAGCTCGTGGAGACCAAAGGCCTTGACTACATGGACACTCAAAAGGCCAAGCGACAGGCCAAGCAGAATGCTGAGCATCTCTACGATGAGCAGGTTCGTGATTCAGTAGCTTACACCGCAGCGCAAGCTGACTTTGGATCCAGTACGGCCAGTACGACAAATATGAGCCTCGTGAGCAGACTCCATGCAAGACACTCATGAACCAATTTGGTGGTTACGAGTGTTGAATAAGTCAAGACAACTCTTTGTGAAGCACATGAAGTGATGCTCGCAAATGGAAATTCATGACGAGGATCTCGAGGATCAGGTGTAGCAATTAGGCAGAACAAATGAAACCAATCACTCCTTTCATTGTTCATCTCGGCCGAGCTTGTGAGATATACGTGCGCAAGGTAAGTCGAACGGTGACGCAATGAGTCCGATCAAGGTGGCAGAGTAGATCTTCAACGCGTATATGGAGCTACATGCCCGTGGTGATTTCTCTCATGTCAAAGTTTGCAGAGTGGTTGCTCGGATGCGATATAGGTTCGCCCTGACATCTGTTTGAACGTCTCACATATGGTCGATCTGGGGTCGCGGACGTGCTTGAAAATAGATTATGATGGGTCTACTTAAAAGCTGTGAGTGCCGCGGCGATGCCTTGATGCGAGCGCGTTTCTCGGCGGCGGATGCTCGAGTGTACCTCTTGGTGGGTGCCTCTGACTGAACGTGCTGCGAGCGATGTTTCGCGTTCAGTGCCTGCTTGAAGCTCTTGAGCAAACAGCGCCGCCTTCATGATTGAGGGCTCAGGTACTGGCTCGTATTGAAGAGCTCAGCCATCGTCACAGCTGCTGATTGGTCGCGAGTGTGCAAGTGTTGCAGGTGGATACACGCTTCTGACGCGTATAGCTGTGGTGTAGTCGTTCGTGCAATGTCGAGGGCAGATCATGCTGCCTGGAAAGTGTCGTTGAGGTAGTCGACAAACAAGTCCTTGATCCGATCCTTGCTCAAGTTATGAGTACGGTTCATGCTGATGAACTGCCTGCGCAGACGCTGTAGCTGCGGCAGACCAAGAGGATTGGCGGGTAGCTCAATGACATTCTCAACACCAGCGACCGAGATGTCACCACCGCTCTCTCCAGGGTGGTCTTTTTGCCAGGATGAGATCTGTGCGACGATATCCGACGTCGTCTTGTCCAACTCGTACAGATAGTTCTGCTCGGTGACAGGAGCCAAGATTGTAGCCGAGTTTGGTTTGACAGCCTTTGCCTTGCCGCCGACCAGTGTCTCCCATAGCTCTTCTAGCGGCGGCGTCTCATCGTCGTACGGTACAGTGAAGAGGGGTGAATCCCAACGAGTCATGCCGTTGGGCTCTTCATAGCGAAACACCAGATTCTCAAACAGTTCAGTTTGGTAACCACCAGTACCGGCTTCCAGAGCTTTTGCGTTCATCTCACGACATTTCTCAACGGGCGTTCCAATGTGTACCTTTATGCTGTCAGCGCATGATGTCGCGTTCGGGGGAAAGGGGGGAGAGGGGTGGGGGTCCGACGTACCACACAGCTTGGGGTGCGCTGGGCCTTTGCTTCGCAGAACATCTGGTAGCGGAAGCCCTTGATGTAGTTCATGTGGTCGGCAATGACAATCGAGTTGGCCGTCAAGTCGCGCTTGATGGCTGATGACAGTGTCGCGCGCGCATCCTTTTCTGAGCGCGCAGCAGCATACACATCGCGATCAAGGCCGAGCTTCTGGTCGTTCAAATGGTGGATCTTGAGCTTGGAGATGCGCGCATCCTCTGACTCGGCGATCTTTTGCGCAAAGTACTCCTTCAGCTGCTCACTGCGGTGCGTCTTACCGCTTGATGGGAAACCAGATATGAGAATGAGCTGACCGACGGTAAGCGCATGTTTCTACGTGCCTCGTGTCTGCGCCATGGGTGACTTACTGGCATGACGGCGCTTGTTTTGTCTTGCTCTCAGAAATTATTCGAAATCGCGCCCGCGTCATCGAGAGTCCCCTCCGCAATCCGACTGTCACGTGATACTCCTAGGTCCATTGAATCACCCAAGGTTTTCCTCTGTAAAGGACGGGACAGCAGAGGATACACAAACATGCAAACTTTCGCACACGTTTATCACATTCAATCTAAGGAAAAAAGGTCTGATGCAAATAAATTCATATTCGTATCCGGCTTTGGTCTCATCCGTACCAGCAGATTTTACCATTGTTCTGGGATCCACTCCATCCACTTAGACACTTCATATCATTCATCTAATCGAGGATCAAAGTCTTGTGATCTCCCCTGACGTACGCCATCTTCTCTCCATGGGTCCTGCAAAACTCGACAACAGTGTCTTTTGGGAACTTACCATACAGACCAAGCTCGAACTTTTGCTTGATCTCATCTCTAACATTCTCAGCCTTCGTCTGCTCAACACGTCTAGCGAGAATTGCTTTGACAACTTTTGTCTCTTTCAATGAATCGCTATGAGCATTTTCCCTGTCGTAGTCGGCTATGATATCAGCGAGATGAGGCTGCACAAGCCTCGAGTCCAGATCAGCGACTTTGGAGGACACGGTACGGTAGTACTCAAAGGTCGTTCTGTGAATACCACCGATATGTCTCATGATTTCCATGATGGTGTAATCAGTGTGAGGGATGTGCCAGCGAACAGACAACCATCTAAAGACATGATCGGTGGATTTCTGGTAGCAGAACTCTGTTAGAGAAGAGCAGAGATCAATCCAAGCGATTTGCTCTTCGCTGTTGAGGGTACCGGCGTGAGAACGGAAACCAATGGTTGGCTTCTTCATGCAGTACTTGACGTATTCGGGGATCTTGTTGAGAAGTTCGCTGTCCCAGACACGAGAGACATCGAGGGCAGTGTGCAAGCTTGAGATCCGGTTGTTGTCGGTAAAGCCTGGAAGCTGTGACCTGGTGAGTTTGCTTTTGAGGAACATACGCAAGAAGTCTGGGATGTTGTAGTTTGGAGATTCTCCTATTACTTTCAGATGGGCCATGTTCACGCTGGACATCGGTTTACAAGACTCACCTGCTTCTTGCTGGATACTAGTCTGAGCGACGTCACCACGAACACCACCGCCAATTCTAGTGGTGATGTTGATGGCATCGAATTGTCTCTCAAAGGCTGTGAAGATGGCAAGAAGGCTTTTGGCGACATCCATATGAACTCCAGCTACATCGTTTCCATTGTAGACCTGGAAGTTAGTGAATTCGTTAGTGATAACACGGTAGTTTGGTCGTTGCCCAAGGAGAATCAGTGCTTCGTCAACAGCCTTCAGCTCTTTTGTCCAGTGGTGAGCTGCACGCTTGCCATGATGATCGTGGAAGACGAAGTTCGAGTGAGCAGAAGGGTCCTTAGGGCATTTAGTATCACCGTGAAATCTGAAGGCGCGAGAGATGACCTGTACCCCAACGACGAAGTACCTATCAGTAAGCTTGTCGAAATCTCCGTCGTGGAGATGAGCATCATCGTCAATGTCGACCTGCCAGTACTTGCGCACTGGATGGTTTAGGCTTCGGTCCAGAGAAGAAACAGGTAGACTGTACTGATGAGGCGTCTTACAAGTCTTGCAGTCCTGCCAGAAACGTACACCTTGCAAGGTATGTCTAACAATGTCCTTGGCTGTTCGCTCGATGTCGTTGTTGGTAACGTGGAACTGAGGGAAGACCAGCACAAAACTGATCTTGTATCCAAGACTTAGAGAATCCAGTTCTCTAGGTGGTAGGACGATAGTACCAGGCATGGCTACTTTCTTGATTTAGTAGATGTTTTCCAGATATGATGTGTCGTTTTCGCAATCTTACTTCTGGAAAGTCGGACGAAAGCTCCCGCTCTCTGCAGGCGACTTTATTCTTTTCGAGGTATGATCATTGCTGGGCATCAGTCAACAAAGGAAGCAAGACATGAACAATGTACACAAAGGACCAAGTGGCAGCGTGTATGGAGTCTTTGAGACGTACGGCTAAGACAACATACTGCAATTCAAAGAAACCCTCGCTGTAAAGGAACGAATGGTTCGTTGCTCAGACTTCCGGCCCTGGTAGATATACCTAGATAAATCTATCATCGCTCTCACGACGACTGCAACAATGCTCGAGACCAAAGACGATCTCAATCCAGCAGTGTAGATGCTGACACAACTCATCATTATCGCATCCGATTCATGCTCCAAGAATGTTAACTTGGTCGTCTTTAGGCCAGGCTACAGGCACTTTGCATTGCGACAAGTCCATTTCTCCCCTAGAGCTGTGAAGCTAATACTTCTGCCGAGAAGCTTTTCTGTCTCTATATCTGCTTCTGGCATCCCGTAGTTGGAAAGTGAGCGGTATAAAGAGTGGAAGGTGAGGGAATGGGATTTGTGACACACTGAAACCATCTGCCGAGGCGGTTTGTCTAAAATTCTACCATATGTACCTGGGACTCTTATGGAAGACTCGTGTCGAGACAAAGAGACAAAGGGTCGTGATAAAGATCAGATCGGTCACACAGAACAGCAACAAAGAAACGCTTCGCGAGGAATTCTTGGTCGATTCACAAATCGAGACTTCTTTGCCCCCCACGCTCAAGACTTGTTTCATGTGATAAGTGCCGGTGGAAAGTGTTGCGAAACCGTGCGCCCACTGCAGCCTATGCTTCCAATGATTCAACACTTAGGCGAATGTTGAAAGCAAGGTCAAACAACTAAGGATCGAGTAACGTGATAGATTACGTGTGATATACGGAAGAGCGAGAGAGATGTTGAGAGGACAAAAGATTGTATTATTAATCATTACAGGAGAACAAAAAACTTACCGGTCGTCATATCATAGTTGTACAGCTTACCGTTACATTTGTTATGGCCAAGGTCCAGCCTAGCATACTTTCTTACCTATTTATCAACGAGCCTACTCAAGAACACTAACCAGTAGTGTTAGGTGGGGCCCAGGCAGTAGGAGGTTCAACCATGGAGAAAGTGAGGATAGGGCGTTGACTACCTTCGATCTTGCAATGACGGAACCAAGCCTTGTAGAATTGAATCTGCTTGTCAGCATCATCAGGAAGAGTTGAGTTCAGTCTAGGAATGGTGATTCTAGTGTGGTGGTTGAGGTCAAGAGTGCGCATCATGTAGTACTCAATCAGAGCAGAGTAGCCACGACGAGGCAGACGGTTAGGAGAGTTGAAAGTCATCTCTTGAGCTTCACCAAGAGTAAGAGCACTTACATCGAAGTCGAGATGATCATTTTCGACGAGACGACGAATGTAAGGACGAGCGTTGCGGTAATAATCAGTAATTTCATGCTGGGGCATGGATGGAGGACGATCAGCTTTCGTTGCGAAACCGGTAGCGAGGAAGTGGATGACGGCACCTATAGCCCAAACGTCAGCTTTTGTGCCAGCGACAGGGGCCTCTGGGGGCTGCCATTTAGGAGTGCCGTCCATCGACTCATGGTCTTCAGTGGTTTCGGCTGCAATACCGAAGTCGATGATTTTGAGGGTGGGGAAGAGAGCCGGGTCTCCAGAATGAACGGGATCAACCATGATGTTCTCGGGCTTAATGTCGCGATGAGTTATACCATGTTCATGAAGATAACCGAAACCAGTCAGCATAGACGTGTAAGCGTGCCAGAGGAAGGCTTCAGGAACTTTGACGTTCATCTTGGTGAAAGAGATCTTGAGAGTGTTGAGATCACCGCCGGAGACGTAGGGGAGGATGATTCTGCTTGTAGGGCACTCACCAGGAGCGGAAGCAAAAGTGTTCCAAATCTGCAGAAAAGGGAGGATGTTATCATGAGAACCGAGCTTTTGGACACGGTCGAGAAGAACAAGTTCAGGGACAGTGTTGAGATCAGCGTTGGGAGGGAGTTTCAGCTTCTTGACGACAACAATCTTACCAGTAGCCTTGACTTTGGCGAGCTCAACAATACCTTGGCCACCACCACTGAGACTCTTATCATGCTGGTAGTAGCTGTTGAAGGTTTCATCGTAACATTGGCAGATGACGCCGTTGTGCTTGGGGCTAGACATGTCCTGCATGTCGTCCATCTTGTGGCTTGTGGGTTGATCGGATGAGGTGATGCTAACCTTGAGTTTGGGGCAGTTCAAACAGATTGGTTGGGTTCTGAGAAGAGACGAAGAAAATGAGGGTGCACGATGAGGGATAAGTAGCTTTGCAGGGAGGCAACTTAGCGCCATTCAGCAAGACAAGAGAACAATGCATTGCTTGTCCGGATGTTGGTGAGCCTTTGTTGCTTGAGCAGATTTGGCAGGCCGACAAAGCAGCCGCTTTGGTGTTCAAAGCAGAGAATTGGGCGTGACCAATGGCTACGGGTTGAGGGGCTACAGCGCGAGCACGCCAGTCAAAGCATGATCAATAGCATTGTGTCGACTCAATGAAATGCAACTCAAGCACAAAGGACTTCTGCATGGAGCAAGTTCCTCATGGCACAACAAAGCATGGTGAAGACGTGATGCTCGGTAAACCAGTCGAGAGAAAGCATGTGTCAATCGCACGCAAGTTTTGGGGCATAATCATGGTTCTTGAATTTTGTGATAGTAAGTTATCCGAACACAGATGGATTAGTGAGGACAGACAGAAGAAAAAAAGAAAAGGAAGAGTTAAGAAAAAGAACTTGGAAAAAATGGAAAGAAAGTAGAACGCCCTGACACATGTTGTCGGCGTATCGCCATGCAAAGCGTGACTTTCCACCTCATATTAGCACTAACAACTGCGACTCTCTCCTTAGAGCAGTACGACAAACCCGGCAGCAAAGACTGCTATGAGTGATGCAAAGACACCACCAACGCTGAAGCTTGAGGCAGCGCCGGTGAATGAGACCGGGCTAGTTGAAGCAGGTACAGTGCCGCTAGGCGATGCAGAAGTTGAGAGCTTGCATTGAGGTCCAGGGCAAGACATGGTGACAGTAGATGAACCGTTACCAGCAGCAGGAGTCGTAGCAGGGCCCTCAGGTCGATCAGCACCGCCAGTGGGGGCTTGGATCTGACCATCTGAGATCTGAGTGACGGGCTTGCCAGTTGGTGCTTGGATCTGGCCGTCGCTGATTTGGGTGACAACATTACCGGCAGATGGGCTGCCACTGCCTGGCTTGGGTGCATCTCCAGGAGTTCCAGATGTGCCAGGGCTGCCGGGGCTACCAGATCCTCCATCGCCGCCATTGCCTCCGTTTCCTCCATTTCCTCCGTTGCCACCGGGAGAAGAGTCACCTCCGTTTCCACCATTGCCTCCGTTTCCGCCATTGCCGCCGTTGCCTCCGGGGCTTGAAGATCCTCCGTTACCTCCATTGCCTCCGTTTCCACCATTTCCGCCGTTGCCTCCTGGGCTCGAAGAACCACCATCGCCTCCGTTGCCGCCGTTACCACCATTACCGCCATTACCTCCGGGAGCAGAGCCGGTAGGGTTGGCAGGTGCAGGTGCAGGAGTCGCCTCGCATTCGCAAGGTTGAGTCACGGTGTAGGTCTGAGGAGTGTCGGCACATTGGTGGCAGACGACTTCGGTAGTGGTGAAGCCTGGAGGGATGTAGCTTGGGCCCGGTGTCCAAGTTGGGGTAGGCTCACTGCAGGATTCCGTCACGGTGTAGGTGACTGGTACCATACCGTGAGATGTACCCGTCGTGCAGAGAGAAAGATAAGTTGTTGTCCAGATTGTGGTGAAAGGAGTGACTTGAGCGGCAGAGGATTTTGATGCCTCCTCGCACTTTGGGCAGTAGGTGAGTGTGACTCCGTTGGTAACAGTGACCATTGCTGGAGGAGCAGTAGTATCGCAATCATCGATCGTCAATGTGACGTAAACTGGTGATGCAGTCGAAGTGCTAGCCGCCGAAGTAATTGGGGCAGACGAAGACTGAGCAACGACGCCGGAAGCTGCAAACGCAGCTGCTGCTGCAAACTCGATCTTCATCTTGAGATATGATCGAGATCGATATTAAGGCTAGAGGTTATTACAAGGATGTATGGTATGAAGTGAATGACTGTGTGAATTGGTGATAACGATATCAGAACGAAAAGGCTAGAGAATCAAGCGAATGAGATTCTGGAGCGACTTATTGAAGGAGAGTAAGAGCCCGAACGAGTGAACTTCCTGAAGCAGCAGAAGACTTATACAGACCCTGCTAACGGCCATGTTTTGCTGGGGTGTTGATGTTGGAATGTGGGTTAATTGCTGCACATTCCTTGGCCTGGGCAACAAACACACGAAAGCGGATAGACGTGCAAGTCAGAGCAACGAGATAAGATTAAGACAGTGTACTAGATTATGGAATACGAATAGGTTTCATTTGATCAGGCTTTTGTGCTTGTTCGGGTGAGGTGGTTCTCATGATAGGCCCACGCGACAGTCTCGAAGTTGGAGGAGGTGCCTTTGACAAGAAAGTCCAGACTACATAACGCGTATACAGTATTGATATGCCGTACACAAATGCAATGCTTGAGCAGGTACAACAACGGCACTACTGTGTTTCCAGCGTGTCAATCCGACAATCTGTCTTCGCTTCAAGGCTACTGTTTGTAGTGCATCAACTATCGGCGCGTCAATCGTCTCACTCTTTCCTACCCGGGTAGTCCTTAGTATCCATACACAACGCTACCGTCTCCATCATATACCAGTTCTCACGACGTCGTTCTCTTCGGGCGCTACTCTCACTGTATGAGCATTATCTAAGATCACGTGCCAGCATTAATCATTGACGCTATATGACCTGAGGAATGCCTGACTCGAGGAATGCACCAGACCTTCCAGCCACTTTCTATATTTTGATGGAATGCTAGCCACACTCTGGTATTTCTCAGCCATCAGCCTTTTGACTCAGCGGACCGGCGTAGCAAACCCATCAAACACATGTGACCACTGGATCAGAAGAGGAAAACCAGACTATTGTAAATCTCTCATTCCATACAAACGACCAACCCCCCGGAATGCCTCTTACAATCAAGATGGCTGGTTTTCTCTACCAACAATAGCCTTCTTTGCATATATTACCTTGCCTTTTGTGTAGATGTCTGTTTTGTTCCTGCATAATCGTGCATTACAATCGTCCTGTTCAGTCACAATCTCCCTGTTCAGACCCAACCATTCTTGCAACCAACCTATCAATCCGAACATCTCAGCCACACTTTGCACAACTCTTGCACAGAGTTCGAAGTCCAGCCTATCAAGAACCATACTCAACTTTCATTGCACAACTCCAATCTCGCACTACAACATGGCGTTCCTTAGTCAGCACCACACTTACCCAATGCGTCGAACAAACAAAGAGCCCCAATGGACAACCGTCTATGACGATTTGTTCAATCAACACATCGATACTGATGGTTTCGAGTTCGGCACCTGCAACGCAGTCGCAGCAACAAGCAGTTCAGACGAAGCCAGCAACAGCGAAATCATCAACTCCATCGAAGCAAACTTCACCGACAGCGGGGACAGCAGCTCATCGGAAGCAGCGGCAAGACGTCTCTCCCATGACTTCTGGGCCAGAACATTGGCAGTGCTTGGAGAAAGCGCCTCAACTCTAGAAGACGAGCAAGACGGCTCGCGACAAAGAGAAAGCCAACAACAACAAATCCACGCTCTTTCGCCCGCTATTTCCTTCTACAACACAAAGAATCACCCTCATGCGGACTTTCTCAGTCTCGGTGGTTTCCCCAGTCCTCACATCTCGAATGTTCCATCATCACCATCAGCAGAAGCAGCGGCCAGGCGCCGTAAAGCAACAAGATATCAACAAGATCGTCGCATCACGAAAACTCCTGAGAGACCCGTCGGTATCAAGAAAGTGTACCGTTCGTCTAGCAAGTCGCCAAAAATGATGTCGCCATCGCGCTACAGTGCAGGTGCCCAAGACGCTTGGATCGGAAGTGTCTATCAAACACCAAACAGAATGACGAGTATGAATTTGCCTGTCAGGAGTATGCCTTTGACTCCTCCATCGAGTGGAAGAAGTAAGCCATCGACACTTGGACTCGGCTTCCAAGGACTTGGGGATCTCGACGCTTCTTCTTTCCAACCATTCACAAATTATGATGAGCAAACATCTCCCTTCTCCCAAACCTTCAACCAAGAAAGCCTTCCCAGACAACTCTACAGTCCTGAAGCTTCACCTCTTACAAGCCCCAGCGTTGAACGCGGGGCCATGTTTGCTGAAGAGCCAACAATCTTCCGCGATGTCTACTACAAGCAGCCAATTGCCACAGCTGCCACAGTAGGCTCGTACAATGAATCCGCCTGGAGCGCAAACTCCTTTGGTGTAGAGGACATTTACGAGCCCTCACCAACATTCAGCCCTTGGATGCCGAGTGAAAAGAAAGAAGCAGAATACCAAGCTTCTCTCACCCACGACTATCAAGTCCACAACAGCCTGCTCCAGGCGACTTATAATGATCCCACTCTGGCTCCTGCATTCGGCGAGGAAATCATTGGAGGGCTTGATATGCAAGAACAAACACCCTACGATACCACAACTTCTTATCCTATCCCGCTGCACAGAGAGTCCCGCACACCATCACCACCTCGGGTCACAAAGCGCAAGCCTTCCTCAAAGCTTCACACCCATAGTCGCAGATCTAGCAATGGCGAGCGCAAACCCTCTCGTGGCAACAAAGTGGGTGGCTTTGTCAATTACACACCTTCAGACAGCGAGAAACTACTCACAGGTGTTGCACCTTCAGGAAGCAGTAAGACGAAAGCGAGAAGGGGGAGAGAGCAAGCAGACAGATGGAGAAGGTTCAGTCAAGCTGCTGCTAAAGCTGTTGCTGAAGCTGGAGGAGTGGTCGGAGAAGCCGCTCCTGTAGCTGATATGTTGCCTTTATCGCAAGAAGTATTGGACGCAAGAGCTGCAGATAATTGGTCTTGAACAAAGACAGGAGCAGTAATGGCAATTCTGAATCCTCGTATACAATCTCTGTTTTCTATACCCCAATTATACCAAATCTCTCTTCAAAAACAACACCTACTCTCCCATCCTATCGAGTGACAGTTCCATTAGTCAACGTACTAGCCCTGGCCGAAAACCTCACCTGCCCAGCTCCAACATCAAAAACACTAAGCACATTTCTCATGAACACATCCCCAATAATCGTCAGCCCACCATTATCATCCTGCACCCCGACAACACAAAAGCCCAACCCTGTATCAATGATCATATCCAACCTATTGATGTAGAACACTTTACTCGAAATGACGACTCCAAACAGAGGAACATTGGCAGTACATGCAACATGATAAAGCCCTGTATCAGGACTCACGGTAGCAGGAGGATTAAACGCCGCCGCTAATGCTGCAACAACAGCAGATGGTGCATAGATCAAACTGGTTCCAGAATCCACAATCACTTTTCTAGTCGGCGCCCCCAATAATGCCGTTTTCCTCCTGTTGCCGGTTTTTTTGACGTCGAAATCTGCATATGGGTTTGCGGAGACTGCCCAGCCGTCTACGGTGATGGCGTAGAACTGATATTCCGGTACTCCGGTTGTGGCGTCTATGCCCACTACTGTGATGTTTTGCGTGGCCCAGAAGGAGCCGTGGGGGATTTTGGGGATCCCGCCGATGGCTAGGACGCCACCGGCTGCTTGAGCGGATCTTGAGAGATCGCGGTCGAGGGCGATGCTGAAGAGTGGTAGAGTTAGATTCTGACGGTACATGCTTGTGAAGAGGGGGTCGTAGGGGATCGTTAGGCCTGCGATGTCGACGTTTGGGTTGTTGCCGCTGTACTGGTTTGTCAAGGTTGCGTAGGCGAGTCCGAGTAAGCCTGATGAAACACCATCGCCGAACCAACCTGCTGTGGTTACCAAGCCCATCGTTTGATTTTCGACTGTGATGCCAGCGAATGTGAGGTCCTCTGTGATCATTCGGCCATTGAGACGTTCTCCATCGGCGTAGGAGATGTTAAAGTTGCGACTAGGGATTCTCTCGGCTGTGGATGTCAAGTTATAGGTCGGTCCGAAGGCGCATTCTGATTCAGCAATGACTACTGAGTTTGCTGGGTTGACGCAGGTGAATTGGCTGTTGACGAGCCAGGTATCGCTGCTTCCTGTGTCGATGACAACGTAAAAGGTTTCTCCTCCTGCATCCAGAGGTGCAAGGAAAACACTGCCTGCTCCGACAGAGAGAAGATCTGCTGTGCCATTCTGACTCTTCATTAATGCCCGCTATGATCACACTGAGTGTATGCGCACTTACTCGGAGTCGTGAGTAGATACCATTCACATGGCCGCCCTTCCTGATAGCTTGAAGATACCGAGCACTGAGCGAGTTCGTCTTTGAGTTTGCTCTTTCCAACGATATTGTGTTTCCGGTGACTTGATTTGGACTCGGCTTCTGAATTGCAACAAGGCGACGTGGCTGGTTGACTTTGAAGTCGAAAGTCTCTCTAGCAGCGATGGGGACAGATAATGCTGCAAGAGCAGCAATCTCGAGAAGACGCATGTTGTGCGTTCAACGAATGGACAGACTGTGCACTAAAGCGACAGTCAACAACGAACGAGCGAGAAGAAGTAAAAGGAAAGGCGAGAACGAATGACTGATCCTCAACCGAGACGAACCAAACAGGCTTCGCAAGGAGCAAAGGAAAGCCACTCCTGTGCTTTTGTCCAATGTAACACTCAACCCCCAACACAATCAAATGCAAGTGCATGTTATTCGGTGTAACCCCTTGCCTGAGAGCAAATTGACCAGACCCACCGAGCATTCCTCATGTATTCCCGCAACTCCCTTGGCCGCGTATCTTGGCCACTGGGCCTAGTAGCCCAATGCTCGCAGAACAGATCATTCCTTCTCATGGGAAATAAATAACGGAAAGCAGAAACCCACATTCTGGCTTCATCTAGAAGCGCGGTCGAGTTCGGGAGAGATCTTCAAAGCACACATTATTTCCTGGGTAGTCTATATAAAGCTTTTGTTAACGTACACGGAGCTCGCTCACTCTTCATTATCGGACGGGACAGTCCAAAGCTCCAAACATATCTTTGCTTTCCCACTTTCTTGCAGTATTGGAGGTCTTCAAGTTCAACATGGCCGCATTGTTTGATCATCTCAAGCTGGTGTGATGGCGGGAGCGGCTGCTCGCTTGACCGTCACCATGGTGGGACAAGTCGGGATGGGATAAGGGCTTGTGTTGCCGTCGCAGAAGTTCTCATCATAGCATCTGATGGCTGTGTTAGCCGCTGATTGAACAGGCATGGGAGGTAGGTCCTGTCACTCACCCTCCGTAACGCTTGCCGCAAGGGCTGATCTTGTCGACACAGATGGAGTGTGGGACACAAGCTTCCACTTCCTCAATTTTGGTGGTGACTGCGCGTGTCGCTAGAGGTGTGGTGGCAGCAGCAGATGTCTTGGTCGATGGAGTCTTGATTTTCTTGGTGTATTTTGATATCACGGAGGCGCTCGTGACAGTAGCAGTAGCAGCGGGAGCAGCATCAAGATTGTGCGTATCAACAGATGATGCATCGATGCTGAGAATCCGGCATTAGAAAAGCAGCCACAATGTGTTTTTCGAGCCTTGCATACCCTACATCGCATCTTGGGATGAGAAGCGCGAGAGAAGTCGAGACGAAGATGAGAACAGCGAAGCGCATGTCGTAATGTGTGATGTCGGGTTACACAAAAGGTGGGGTGGAGATGAATGACGAAGTCTGGTCTGAGTTTGATTTGGATTCAACCACGAGGGACTCAAAGCTGAATATGTATTCCGACCACTGACTGACAACGTCGTTGACGGTTGGTCAAGCGAAATCGTCCAAGGAATGCACAAGCATCGAAGTTTCCGTGCAAATGTATGGAAATCTCGAGATCTGTAATCCTGGTGGTGTGAAGTGCGAAGTAAAGATGTACGACGATCGCGGTCGCATTGGGGTACAAAGTCGTGGCAAACAATCCTGAGTTGGACATGCGTCCATTCCTTCGGCCACAGATCGAGGTTAGCTGACGAGGACCAGTCCCTGGTTGATGGAAAGATGCAAACGGTGCATTGGGATCGCCATGCCTCAGCCACAGTCAGAGAAGCCCTTGCTTCCATGCTGTACCATTCTGCCCTACTCGCATGCGGACTGTCACCTGCAACGCTGCGTATGCCAGTATCTTTCATACTCTGTTATAGCCGTGACTTCCTGAATTGGACTCGACTTGAGGCTGATGACAAGGAATGCGTATATGGCACGATATTGTGATTGAATTCTTAGGCTGAAGGTTGCAAGCGTGCGATTGATCGTAGATTCGGCTCAGTGTTACGATGAGATTGGACAGATGCTTGTTCTCGTAGAATAAACAGGAGTTGCCTCCGAGAATGTGTTGTCCCAAAGTGGACCAGTTGCTGTGTAGTTGATGCGACTACGACTTCACGTAGTAGCCTGTGTTTTGATAAACTTGTGTCCGGCATGACGAACGCATCGACTCGAAACCTTTCAACAGACTGGTGCTGAGAAGCTCCCCAGCCCCAAACTCATATCACAAATCTAAATGGTGTGCCCACTGCATCGTCATAATAGTGAGTGTCAACATACCTTTGGCCCTAGTAGCGACAGCATGTCACCACAGGTCACAACTATCTTGCCACTGCCATGTTCCCGCTTTCCCGTCGTGTATCGGTTCGAAGCCCGAATGGCCTGTTGCAAGTCTCTGATGATATGGAGCAAGAGATCTGCAAGCCAGGGATGATGCCTTTTCCAAACGGCTCTGCGGTGAGATGTCCGAGAATCTCGATGCCGATTCGACAATCCTGGTTATGCCATAGATGATGACAGTCCCAAAGTGTACTCGGTAGCGGCTGGTAGGGGCACCCCATCACGTTGGAGATCGACCGAAGGCAACAAATGTCAAAAGGACAGGCGTCCAACACATGGCATGTAGGTTAAGTGAGATGCTCAAATATGCCTCGCAGTAACCATCGTCAAATCTACAGGCGCCACATACTTCTGGCAGAGAAGTTCTTGCTTTCCTCTACGCCACCGTCTCTGAGTCCAAGCTGGAGGCTCTGACTTGCCGTGTCGCGAACGAGGCGCCGAAGACCTTTTGTGGAACCTAGGCCAGGTCTCGGCCGCGGAAGGCTCTTGGTGATGCAGGGCAGGCGGCTTTTCCAACTCCTGGGTCGCACCATAGCCAACGAAGTCAATACCGAAGAGAAAATATCTCCAACTCTGTCTGGGTGGCTTGGTCCTGGATGCGATGCGGGTTCTAGAGTGGGCCATTGCGGCGACGAACCACGCTTTTGGGTCCGGCAATAGTATGACCACGAGCTCTGGAACGTCGCGTTGTCCGGCAGATGCACGCCGCAAGTCGTCAAGCTGCGTCAGCTGTCGTGGTATCGGAAGCTAGAAGGTCTTGATCATTAAACATCGGCATCTGGAAGGGCCTAGAGCCGGTCGTGATGGAGAGAAGAGTATGGCGATGGGTGTGTTGCGTACGGGTGACGGTCGATAATGCCTTTCATCATCTAGTTGTTTATTGGCAGAGTCCTGAGGCTCTTCATTTGTCCTCATGTGTACAGGTCACCTGAATCATGTCAAAAGCTGGTTAATGTCAAAGGAAACACTTGTGTTCTTGGACCACAGGTTGAGGTGTCGAGAGGTCAAGTTGTCTTTCATCATACGGCAGGTCTAAGCCTGTGTCATCATCTCTTTTCGTGCTGTCGCTGTCTTGCGAGATGTGGTAAGCTTTCCTTTGCGGTCGGTGGTAAGTAAGGCGCTTCTGTTATGTGGGCGTAATCGTCTTTCCACCTGCTGCCGCATTCTTTGATGCTCTGTCAACGGCTCACGTGGGTTGTCGGCTTGTCAATGATAAAGTGTTTGTTGTCGACGTTTGTTGGGATGTTGAGCGATATGGAGATTGCTCTTTCGTAGGCAGTCACTGTGAGAGACTTGCGCAGTCGTTTCAATGAATAGAGTAGCCTCGGCGGTACATTTCAATGGTTGGCGTAGCGGACGTCCGACTTTGTGGGTATGTGAAGGCAGCGATGGTAACTTATCTTGGCCACGAGGGCGTGATGTTCTCTTCAATCTTTTGTGGTCTGAAATCTAAAGTATAGAGGGGCGTGGCATTGACAGTGGTCATGGCGTGTTCAAGTTGGCCAGGCAGGGATCGAGTTTCATTGTTCAATAGGTGTGTCTCCCTGGTTGTCCATGTCGGGTCGCATCAAGTCGCAGGCTCGAAAGAAGGCCAAGGTAGATCGACAATATGTTGTCCGAGAAATCAGTCAAGCGTTTCACGAACAGCGGCCGGGTGCACATCAAGATGCTTCCTACTCCTTTGCTGTCGCGATCAAGTGAGAGATCAAATGCGGGCGCTCCGTGGTGTCAGTACATTCAAGGCGGCGGGGGGTCTCTCATCCACAGAGGCGTCAGTTGCTCGTCCACGCTTTCAGAGTCTCGTACGAGGTAGTCACTTTCACATTTCGAACTCAAGCCTCAGACTCGACGCGAGATACATAGCGATGCTGTAGTCGACGTGTCTGTCGTCGCGCCTTCTCACGTTTCGTTCAGCTGGAACGATGTCGGTATTACAGCCCACGTGTCGGGCAGAAGGCTCGATGCCTTGTCACTGATGCTCATGCTCCATCTCATGCTCCAACTTGAACTCGGACTCGGTTTCTTCGCGCCATGATGTCGTACTCGACGAGGTGTCTTGCAGTGGCCCTCGGTGTGCATCTACTTGGGATCCCACATTGCTTTGTAGTTCTGGACAGATTGCCGCGGAAGGTCACATCGTGACAGACGCAACTCGCGTCGGGCGCGCAGAGCATGTAGGGAGGAAACGAAGGAGGAGAAGAAGAAGAGGAAGAGCAAAGGACAAGAGCACAAGAAGAGGATGACTCATCTCCCCCTGAACCAAGGCAGCAGAGAGCAACAAAAGCAAACATGACCCCAACGTCATGGGATCCCCGCGCTCGGTAGACACATAGCCGAGGTCCGAGTTCGCCAAGCCAGATGCAAGCCTGACAGGGTGGTGCCCTCAACCAGAGCTGCGAGGATAAAAGTGCTTCGGGAACGGCGACGACGATGGTCTTTCGATCTTTTTTACCGGGTAGGATCTAATTTTGGAGATATCTTGCAGGGGTTTTGGGAAGTCCGATGGAGATTAGTGGTTGTGGTGGAGTGGTATACTTCATTTTGTATCTCAAGGTCTCGAGTACTGGCAAATAGTCAGAGATCATGGTCGTATCCCCACTATCATTCTGGATTCGTTACAAAAAGTACACTATGAGTCAAAGTGACATTGGATGATACGCAACTACTGATTCTAATCTCAAAGATCACACTCTCTCAAGTATCGCGTCGAGAAAAGATATCGTTGCCATTGCCGACCTGTTACTGATGATCCTGCATAAGACTTACGGCCTTTCGGGACATACCTTCTGGCCCCGCAATTCGCGACAGCCCTGAGATGTCCAATTCTGTACGAATACATTCCATACAGGCGCAAGCGCATTGCACACTTTGAGCGCGTTGGACCCAGCAAGCATGAAGTCACATCCCCCTAATGCGCGCTCACGCTACCTCTCTACAATATCCACAATGGAGAAGACGCCTGTCCCTGCGCTAGAAGCCGCGCCGTCAAAAACAAGATGGCTGTGGCTGCTGAATGCAGGAGACATGGCAGCAAGAGCGCGCACAGGTATCACATTGGCGGAAAACCTTCCTGGGTACCCCGTGCAGATTGTAGAATTATTGGCAAAGGTAAGTCGAAGTTCTGAAAAAGAGATGGAAGGCTGACGACTAAGGTGACTTTAAGCCGTATGCTCTGATTGAGTACTCGACCGAGGGAGATGCGGTTGCTGCTTATGAGATGGAGTCGAAGGCGCTATTCGCCTACGCTGCGCCAGCAATGGTAGAGCAGATGCTTGCGAGGATCCGACCGAATCATCCAACACCTACCCTCCTTCAGAACGACCCACCGATACACGAGTTCGACAATGGCTTGATCTTGATCCACGACTTCATCAGCCGGGAAGAAGAGGAGGAAATGATACGAGAATACCACACCGCGACAGCCGCAAGAGATGGCCGCGCCCTGAAACGCGGCGCCGTTCACTACGGCCCACACTTCGACTACACAACCTTTGCCGTTTCAAAGTCTGCCAGCACACCACCGCCTGAATATCTCACGAGGTTGCTGGCGCGCTTGCCGGCTAGAGATGGCAGGGATATACCTGATCAGTACACGCTGCAGCATTACCCGCCTGGTACGGGCATTCCTCCACACGTGGACACGCACTCGGCTTTTGAAGAGACCATCTATAGTCTGAGTTTTGGCGCTTCCACGCGGATGGAGTTTAAGCTGTGCGGAGAAAAGGAGTCGAGAAGGTTGCGTCTCCCGAAGCGCTCGTTGGGTGATGAGGTTGAAGCAGCACCAACTCCTGCACCTTCACAGCCTGTGGAGGAGGTGATTGAGGAAGAGACTGAAGAGTGGGAGCTGGAGTTGCCGGCTAGGTCGTTGTTGCTCATGAGAGGGCCGTCCAGGTATGGGTACACTCACGGCATCAAGGGGAGGAAGCACGATCAGCAAGGTCTGAGACTGGTGGCCAGACAGGATCGGTATTCGTTGACCATGAGGAGGGTCAAGCCGCCGGAGGAGATTGGATGTGATTGTGAGTATCCGCATGTCTGTAGTTGAGTAATCGCTTCCATACAAGTGGCCGGAGGAAGCGCGATGTGAGGGAGAATATCGAGTGCATTGCGGAAAAGCGTCATACACAGTCTAGGAAACAGCACGGCTAAATGGCTCGAGAGAAGGAAGGAGCGACACAGGATACTTGGCGCCAAGGCCAGCATCATGATCTTGATCAAGAAGGAACAAGCAACAAATCGATCGTGAAATCAAGGGACCAGAACTGTCAAGTCAACGGGCCGACACTCTAACCTGGATTTGTCGTTTGATTCTTGCAAAGCTTGCTGTGATTGTTTGCTGCTTCTGTTGTGCTTGCGTTGCTGCTTCTGAACCACTCACCATGTTGTCGCTGTCGCCTTGCAGGTTGGTTTGTGCAATCATCCTCGGCGCAGACGAAAGCGGCAGCGACTAGGCTCGGATCGGCAATGCTGGGGGACGAGGCTGGTCCTGGCCCCTCCCGGAAGTACTTGTATACACGCCTGAAGGATGCTCCGACTCGGCTGAACTTTGATCTATAGTTGAGCACATTCACGCTGTTGCTTCTGCTTGAGCACAAGAGACATCTCGAGACTCGCAGGTTTGTGAAATTGACAGCGAGCGATATCCTCGGCTGAAACGTTTCAAGGCGCATTCCTCAGCCCCTCGTCTTATCGGTGGGAAATATCGCGACTGCCTTGACAGGGCTGACAAAGGCACCTTCCCTCGCCGATCAGCGTAGGTATCATCTGCAGGAAGGAAGTCTCTCCACCACCATCAGCGTTTGTGTGTGAGTCGTGACTGCCGTGTTCGTATTCCTCTCTTCTCTTCTACACTCTTCTCTCCGCTGACAGGCGTCCATGACTGCAGACTGCCATCCACACACCATCCATCATTCGCCATGCGCCTGTTTACCATCGTCGTATCACTAGCCGCGTATGCGTCTGCGCAACAACTGCTCGTCTACAGCGACACGGCTCTCCCGTCATGCGCGCAACAATGCACCATCCTCCAGAGTGCCCAAACAGGCTGCATCCCTCCGGCCGCTCCTGTGACAGACGCCGTCATCTACGAATCATGTTTCTGCCAGTCTGGCTATCTCACTCCTCTCAAAGCAGCCGGCTCGACTCTCTGCTCGGACGTGTGTGAAGCGGCCGATGTGGCCAAGATTGCCTCGTGGTATCAGTCCAACTGTGCCGACAATGGAGTCGCCGCCGCCGCGAGAGTGAGCGCAGCTGGCACGACAACAGACCCAACAGCAACAAGGACGGCCTCGACGATTGCTTCGTCCGTGGCCACGTCTACTACAGGAAGCTCCAGTGGCTCGCAGAGCACAAAGAATCAGAACACCGAGCCTCAACACAGCTGGTAAGTGTGGCAAGCTCTCGAGCTCAAAGCAGCACTGACAGATTCCTCAGGTGGAGCGAGCATTGGAAGTGGATTGTCATGCTCATCGTCGTCTTTGTCGGCTTGGGCATCTTCACCGTCACCCTCGTACTGCTACGTCGTCGTCATCACCGCCGTCAAGACGCTGCAAATGCCCCCTTCAACTCAGGCATCACCCGCCATTCGTTACCGGCCCCGTCCGTCACACCTCCCGCTCTCGGCAAGGCTCCCAGCAACCAGGCCAGCAGAACGAGTCTACCGAGGGTCCGAGAAAAAGATAGAATGACCGTCACCGACGTGCCAGTGCCTCCATTGCCTACATCTCATGACTTTGCTACAAAGGAAAGAGGAAGCACTCCCGACATTGAATATGGTCGTGCCAGATAAGCAAAGAGAGAAAGAGAAAGCGGAAGATGCGCAAGATTGACATCTCATTGATACCCACCACATAATCATAATCAAGTCTGGACTTTTGTATCCTCTCAAGACATGCACATCCGTTTGCAACAAGTCTATCCACTATGTATGCTTTATGCACGTTGCAAACACTGACTGCCGACTTGTTCACCATCAGCCCCACTCTGGAGAAGCTGGAGAAAGCTCCATCCTTGGTGAAAGTCGCAACTTTTCCTTTTTCCCAAGAGCTCAGAGCTCAAGATTGACACCGACAGGAACACTTCTTGGACAGACGACTGGACAACTTGCTGGACCCATCTGGACCTGAAGACTTGCACCGCCCATGTCTGGAGACAACATTGTGCCAGGCTTCAGGAATCCAGAGGGCATGGCTGGTCCCCCGCAACTCAACGTTGGTGCAGCCGAAACGGTCGACTTGACAGAGGACTCGGACGACCCTGGCGACGCCTATCCGGAGTACTCTTGGCCGGTTCTGCATTCATATCGTCAGCTTATGCGCCCGGATTTGACGCACACTCGCTCTCCTTCCTCCTCCGCTGGCTCTTCAGCTTCACCATCAACTTCGTCTGGCACTGCTTCAGCTCCTAAACCAATTCTCAATCATGCTATACTGGACGCTGACTTGTCCGAGTCGCCACCACCGCCGCTCTCAGGGTCAGATGTCATGAGGATTGCCAACAGGGCAGCCATTAACCGCTTAGATCTCATGCTGAGCGATCTGCTCCACGATCCATTCAGGATGTTCAGATTCGAGCCGCTGGCAAACCATAACCAGCGCGCTGATAGCTGCCAGCCAGAGCAAAGTGACCTATGGAACACTGTGACATGTGCAAGCTGTGGTATTAGAGGCCACTATGCTTCTGATCATTGCAACACTTGTGGTTCTCTTGCCCATCGTACATGGGACTATTGCGAACACTGCGGACAAATCGGCCATGTCAGCCTCGACCATTGTGAGATCTGTGATGTGCTGAGTTGTGGGGACTGGAGACACTGCGATCAATGCGGGCGCCTCGGTCACAGTAGCTCTGATCATTGTTTCACGTGTGTGATGACCTTGGTCACGGGTCATTCGCGCATTGCTCCCGCTGTGACCAACTTGGCCATGCCTACTCGGATTGTAGCAACGCGAGAGGGGAAGAATTCTGTTGGACCTGCCGCACTCCTGGACACGGTAAGAAGCAATGTTTACACCACCGGGACAGTGAGATTCGTCGTCGGTATGCCGTCAAACTCCACAACAGAGAGACCAGGAACAGAAGGTATTGTCTTCACTGCACCGTCGAAATCGTTCCCGGCTCCAATGAGCACAAGATTCAGGATTGTCCCTTCATGACCCATAAAGTCGGGTGCTTGAACAAGACTCACTATAATTTAACATGTCAAGCATGGATCCGACGATCATATACGAACACATCTACTCAAACAAACCTCGCCGAGTACCTGTCACAGACTGACCCGACTGTTATTGAAGCTGGAAATGGCAAGGGCAAGCAGAAAGCTTCCAATACAGAACTGGTCAGCGTTCCGCCAAACATCTTTACGGCTGTATCATCGGCCACGCAGACTGCTTTTATTGAGGAGCCAGTCAGTCTCGAATGGTCCATGTCTGAATATCGTACATGGAAGGCTGAACAGCAGTCTAATGTCCCGGATTTGGGGCGGTCAGAGGATGATATCTCCCATGACAGAGTTGAGATGGAACCAGAAACCGTCTTTAGTCGCGCACGTCTCGATTTCCTTCCAGAGGGAGATGATGAAGAGCTATCCGGCAAGCTGATTACGCCTCAGAGGTCAAAGAAGCGCTCGTCACTTGCAATGTCGAGTCACAGCGTGAGCCCAAAACTCTCATCTTTCAGCTGGCTAAGTCTCTCTACTGCAGGACCTCTCGGAATGTCGAGCGTCTCATCACGCGCGTGATCTCTTCCAGGGAGTGCACCTTCCTCGACTTCGGGACCTTCGACTTCATCTTCACCGTTGGTAGCCTCTAATCTCAGACGGAGCCTCTCTTCTGCTGACACCTCGGAATTCCCCGATCCCTCTGACTAATCTGAGTTATCCAGTTCTCCTATCCCTTCTGATGTACCTGATTCTGGCTACTCTTCTAATTCTACTCATCTTTCCATCAGCTCAAGCCTATGGGACTCTTCTGACTCTTCAGAGCCTTCTGATGCTTCTGGCTCTCCTGAATCTTTCATCGTTCCAAACCTCTCTCCCTCGGTTTCATCCTCAGCTTCGTCTTCAGCCGGCCAAGCGTCCGATGCAACGTCATTGATGTCGAGCAGCTCATTCTCAGTCCCTTCGTCTCCAGGGTCTTCCCACTCATCAACTCCTATCCCAGAGATGACGACTACTAAAACCGCTCTTCAACCATTGCCTAGTCCTCCGAGTACACCAAGCACCATCAATACCACTTTGGACGAAGAGTCCTCGCCTGAAGATGCATCCAGCCCAACCCAATCCGAAACCGACCGCGAAATTCTCTCCAACTCCAGAACCTGGAAACCACACCTCCCACGCATAGAAAAGCTCTACGACAACCCCGATTCCACCACGTCCCCACAAGCTTCCAAAAAGCGCAAACTCCTCCCACAAAACGTGATCACGAGTTCTGAACGCGGCATCCCCCTACCCAATGGCACACATATACCTTGGACAACACTGTGTCTCTTTGTTGTTCTCAATATTCCAAATCATACTGGTGAGTTGGTAAGGGTTCGTGGTGAGATGAGGGGGTCTCTGAGGAGCACTTTTCCGGGGTGTACGTGGCAGGGAGGTCAAGCGAATGTCTTGGTCTTCTTGGCAGGTGCTATGTTGGGGTGTCGTTTTGTTAGGTATGGAAAGGCGGATGAGGTGAAGAAAAATGACAAGGGCAAAGGGAAGGGAAAGCGAAGGGTGGAGCCATGGTTTATAGAATTAAAGAGGATAGGGTGGAGGAAGCGCGGAGGCTGGTGGAGAGGTTTGAGACGAGCATTCGTGAGCTCGAATAGCTTCCTTCGAGAAATCAGGAGAAGTGCTGTGGTGAGGCGGTTTGGAAAGGGCTGACCTGTCTTGGAAGTCTTATGCTCGGCACACTCTGGATACGACTGAGAGGTGAAGTCAAGGTCGCATACAACTGGACTTGCTACTCGACGGGTAATTTCTTGCTACATGGCTTCTCGGTTGTATCGCAATGAAGTACGGAGACAGGGCGGGTAAAGGTCTGGATGAAAGGAATTATTTAGGTCATCTTGCAGATTACTCCACTCTAAAGAGGGAGTTGCGGTCTGATCGTGTGAAAGGCATAGGCTGTAGACCTCAAAGACGAATTCGCATACCACCAATGTTCTTTGTTCAGTTGGTCTGTAATATGGATATCGGCGTTGACCTGATGCTGTACAAGTCTGGCTGGCATCGGTCCAACGCAGAGCTGGAATTGCCTTGTGTCGAGTGTCGCGGAGGAAGGCGCGTTGCAACAGCCGCGACTCGACTAGCGACTGACGCTCCTTCCAACATCGACATGGAGCCTCGCATCTGTTTGACCTATAGTCCCATCTATCTCCATCGTGTATTTTGGATTGGGACCAGCTTACGACATAAATGCCGCCATGACGACGATGCCTCTCTTCCCTCCGGGCCTCCATCCCGCAATGACAAACTGCCTACGCAGCTGAGATGATTTGCGCAGATTGTCCACGCTCTACACCATGCAATCTCCCTCTGCACCTGCCTCGGTGTCGCTTCTGTCTTCCTTCACGCATACGCGCTTCTTTCTTTCTCTTGTCCACCTACTACACCGCTCCATTGAAGAATCTCCAACCACCATGACAGCCTGCTCGAGGGTCTTCGACCTGCCTGAACTGTTACACCTCATCATCTCGGACCTCACACATGAAGCACACTCGCTTTGTCAAATCTTGCGGATCAACGGTGCCTTCTTCCTCTGCGGCATCGAATATCTCTGGCGTGAGGTTCCGGTGCACAACTTCCAACGCATCTCCTCGTCTCGCAGACAGCTCTATGCCAATGCTATACGTGACATTCATACAACAATCAAAGTTGGAGACCACCACGAAATGTTCACAGGCCTGTCGTTTCCTCGACTCAGAGGGGTGGATGTCGTATACGCCTACTCATCAAATGATAAATCTCGCCGGCCAGCCGAAGCAGATGCCAACATTGAGGAGCATATCCTGGTGTTCTTGCAGCCGTCTATCGAGAGATTTAGTTTTCTAGGGCCACCGCAGTCTCCCATCATAAATCTGCTTCGCAGAATCGAGATGTCTTATTGTTGCTTGATATCCCTTATGTAAAAGACTTCCGGCTTCATATGGACAATAATACTGATGATGCCTCGTTGGACAAACTGAACTTGCCGTGGCGACTCTCGCAAGTCGTACAAAAGCTAGCGCGTCTACAAACTGTCTCCCTGAGCTTGCAGAACTCACTCTTGGACGCAAAATTGATTGAGAATCTGGCTGGCTGCGCAAGACTGGAAAATTTGCGCCTCGACCAGGACGCTATCAACTCTGATGTTCTCCAGGCTGCGATGGACCAAAGTACCTTCTCACAGCCGTTTCCTAAACTTCGCACTCTGGATATTGTACATGATGCAATTTCTACTCCGCTTCTGTTTAGCAAGCTCAAGAACCTGAAGGCCCTGGGAATGAGCATCACGCAACCCGAAGGCCTTGCTGCGGTCAGAACTCTTGGAAGCTTGACGTCCTTAACAATCAGGCTTACTGGAGGTGTTGACGTCGGAAGATACAAGGTCCGAGCTATCAGGAATTTCTCGAATTTGCGTTCTCTAACCATCACAAAGCAAGGACCAGATTGGGAGAAGCTTGGGAGCTGTGAGGGGATGCATGACTTGTTTCCGCAGCTACCGATTGGAGTATCTGGACATTGAACACCAGATCTTGTCAGGAAAAGAACTTACCATACTCGCTCGTAGCTGCCCTTCCCTACAGCTTCTGAAGCTCTATGGCATACAATGGCATGAAGATATGGCGCTCGAGGATAAACTTGGGCGTTTTCCAAAACTGGAGACGTTGTCAGTGCTCGCCTTCTGTCCCTATGATATAGGCCATATTGAACATCTTCCGCTGGATGACCAAGTCCGCCGAACTGTCAACAGTTCTCTCGAAATGTTCACGGTGATCTTTCCGCAGCTCACCAGATTGTACACAGACGACTTTGTGGACCAGGAGCATTTTGAGGTCTACATGGTTGAAGCGTGGAAGAAGAGGAAAGGGCTTGACTATCTCACCTTTGAGGATGGACATGTGCCCGAGGCAGAACTGCAGCGTAAACGCTGGGGGTTGAATGATGGGTGGTAGATGTGAACGAGGAGTGCTGGTCAAGTGTTGGAGGTGATGAGGAAGCATGACTGGAATGTTTTCACCCGGTGAGTGGCAGGGGGTCGATCAAATGACGGTATACATGCACCACGAGAGTGCAGGTATGCAAGTGCCAGAGAGGCTGATAACAGAAGGACTCTTGACATGAAATGCTTTCACTAGCTACACAATAAGAAAGTACAAAATGAACCAGCAAATTGTCTTCCTTTCCCACGGGGGTATATTGTATTACCCAAAACCCAAGATATAACGCCATCGCTATGCAACCGGGTACAAAAAAGAAACAAGGAACCAAAAAAATAAAATCACAAATCCCTCCAAGAACCACCAACGGGCTTCCTCGCAGGAGCAGAAGTATGATAACTCGGCGGCGCGGCATGAGAGAATTGACTCTCATAGCCAGGACTCTGAGCTCTGGGACTATATTGCTGCATCTGTTGCTGTTGTCCATATCCATATTGCTGCTGCTGCCCTTGCTCACCCGCATACCCCAAGTCGCCAGAATACGCACCGGCGTTAGCTTGATAAGGGTATTCTGCCACCTGGGCATATGGGGATTTGGGCAGCATGGGTTCAGCTGCTTGATTGTTGTTGTTGTTGTATTGGTGTTGGTGTTGATGCAACCTTCCCATGTCCATCTCATCAACCTCCTCTTGCTGTCTCACCGTACGACTCTGGCCCCAACTCGGCATCGCAGGCAATGCATCTTCATTAAACGCCTTTGCACCAGCTCCAGGGGCGTCAAAGCGTGCATATTGCGCCTGTTGCTGGGCACGATATACCGGTGCGGCGGTAGGTTGATATTGTGCATATTGCGAGACTTGAGGAGCAGCGGTCATGGGTTGAGTGTATCCTTTATTGCTGTGATGGGAGGAGGAATTGCAGCAAGAGGTGCAGCAGGAGAAGCAGGAGAGGCAGCCGCAGCAGCATTCGGCGCCGCAGCAGATGCAGCGGATGAGGCACCAGATCATGGAGGCGGCGATTACGACGCCGAGGATTATGCCGATTATTACTGGCCATCTTGAGGGGAAGGAGAGGGTTAGCCGGTGGTGGGAAGAAGGGGAGAAGGAGGAGGAGAAGGGGAAGACACGCACTTGCAGTATGCTTTTGCCATGCATTGATCCCAGCCTGAAAAGGTGTTTTTGACATCCGACACTTCGGACGACATGTCGCGGATGTAGCGTGAGTACATCTTGGATCGTGGTGTGCTTGGTGCTGCTAGCTGTCGTGGTGGTTTAGAAACGAATGTCGAGTGTGGCCGAGAGTTGGAACGAGAGGATCCTCAGTCGCGATAATGGTGATTCAGCCTGTGTATTAGAGAATCGAGACAGAAGACAGCAAATACGCTATTCTTCGGAGTCCGAATGTGAAAGGTTAAAGCCATTCAGCTGAGACGGGCAGCAGGGTTTGTAATAATAAACCCTCTTCCTTTCCTTCAAGGTACACCCCCGCAACATGAAACGCATCAACCCTCTACCCGCAGATGCAGGAGGCTGGTGTTGGCTGATGGAAACGTTACATATTTCGACAATCCGTTTCGTTGCTTTCTTGGCGATCTTCTCCGTACTTGCTTGAGCCCTCTGCTTTTCCCTGCTTCAGGCATCCATTCTTGCGACAAACCACCAACCTGGTCACATAGTCAGCTCGGAAAGCTAGGCTGGAGTCGCTGTCGCTCTGCTTTGCGAAAGAAGATAGACAAGCAAACAGACTTTACAACAAGACTGCGCGGCCTTCGGATATGTACTTTCTTGGCACTCCCCCTCCAGCTCGTTCTGGTATGTACACCACCCGTTTCGTCCAGGGGGCTGGGGGTTATCGTATCTTTTCTTATCGATCGTTTGCACAACGCTCTTATCAGGGTGCACGGAAGGTTATGCTGTCATGTTACACCCGTTCTTGGACCCTGCCGGGGATCATGTCGTCATTTGAACACCGTTTGAGATGGGGGATTGTGCAGTTATGCTGTCATTATCTCGATGCGCAGGAGAGTCGCAACGGCTGTCGTTCTTGTTTCGGGTTTGACTGCCGAAGATGGCATTTGCAAAATTGGTTCTCTATTGACAGCCGCAGACTATTGTGAGTATGACATGGGATCATGATCTGCGGATTTTCCTCTCATCAAAGCGCTCGCCGAGCACAAAGAACAGATTCTTTGTTCACGAGCTTCAATGCTTATTGCTTATTTTCGAAGGCCTTCGATGCTTGGCCAAGTTTACTACCGGTCAGTTGCAGTTCTGTCAAGGCACAAGTCGTCGTGTAGTATCAATCATGTTTGGGCATAGTCAATTTCAACTCACAGAATTGTCAATTCGATCGATCTTGAGTCAAGTCTTTCATTGTGGATCAACGGTTTGTGCTCATGCCTCGCATTCGAGGTGCTTGATATCCAAGATCATGCATCGAGCATGTTTGTGTGGTCAGTGGGTACATTGATCCACTCACCATCTACCACCCACCATCTTCCGTCCGTTCTCAATATTCTGGTTCTTCGTCTTCGCACTCACGAAAAGCGCCGGAGCTGATATCGTACACTGGACGCACCAGAGGCAGAGGCAGAGGCTCGCTGAAGCTTCGACGAGGCATAGTTGTCAAGAGAGTTCTGTCGCCTACTTCTCGCACTTCTCCCTCGATTTCTTCTTGAGGCTCTTCGAGATCGTATGTGTTGTCTTCGACGTCTGTATCATAGCCGTCGTCATCATCATCGTCTTCGTCGTCACGAGAAGAGTCAGAAGAGTCGTCGGTCAGGACCGGAGAAGAATCGTCAGAGGTCATGTCTGAGTCTTCGGGAGTGGCGACAACAGTCTCGGTGCCCGAGGATTCTGCCACGTCCTGGACTTCTTCTGTCTGCCCATCAGTCTTGTTCACAGCATCTGTCGCCATGTCATCAGTCTCTCCTGTCTCTTTGGTCATGAACCGCATCGTCCAGTTCTGGGTTTCCCTCTCCCACTGCATCTCTAGTGCGAATTCATAGACCCTGGGTGCGAGATACCTCAAGCATGACCACACCACCTCAACCTCAATGACCGAGAGCACTCTCTCTTTGATCATCTGTCTGATATGGCCATGCAAAGGTCCAATGCACTCTTCAACCTGCAACACAAGCAACACCTGATGCACCTGCACCGCCAGCGAAAAGTCCTCCGGTAACTGCAAAAACATCTTCTTGCCTCTTCTGGCCTTGTTGGTGGCGCAAAACACGTAGCGTAAAGCGTTTGGCTGCATCCAAGGATGTGCACCGCCGGGCTTAAAGTTGAGCTCGACGTAGCATTTTGCGGGACTGCGTTGTACCCATGGCACGGCGAGTTCTTGCAGCAGTGTAAAGTGGCCGAGGCCGGAGTGTTGGATGAAAGCTTCTGGGTCGAGGTCGCGGAAGATTTCTGTGCGGCAGCAGCCGGCGAGATCCCACTGGAAGATGTCGAGGCTGTATCTCATGTTGTAGATTTGTCTTTGTTGTCTATGTTGCGCTGATTGTTCTTGGAGCAAAGTACCCCTGAAAGAGCCAGGAGGAAAGTTTGTTGGGTAGTTGTGGAGAGGGAAAGGAACGGTGCGCCTCCGGGGACCTCTTATATAACGTTGTTGCCAGAGGCGCCAGCTTATGCTCATCATGCGCGTAGATCGTGCGTTCAGATGTTATTGTCAAGGTCTCGTGGTGAAGAAGGCGCATGTTAGTAGATATTTTGCTGACTTGGAGGAGGTAGCTCCGTACTTACACGTGCTATCAGCACCTGAAGATCTCGTGCTTGACGGTGAACGTACCTGACTATGTTATGTCACAGACAAACAACAATCAACGATCGAGCGCTGGACAGATATCAGTCTCCAAGGTGAGAGTATCAGGTCTGGTCTGATACTGTTTGTGATCTGAGGTCCGCTCTTGACAGTAAACTTAGCCTGCTGATCGCAGTTATCGTCGTCGTTGCTTTGATCACTATCCATGAAATCCCCTGAATGTATAGAGTGATACACTTTGTGTGTGTGAATATCGAGAGGGAGAGGCAGGATCGCGACCTGCACGTGCTATCAGCTCCTGAGAGCTCTCTTCTCAATGACCTGGACGTACTCCAAAATGCGTTTTGAAGAGCAAATATAAGGCAATGATTGGTGGTCACTATCTTGAGATGCCTCCAGATGGGAGTGTCAAGTCGGTGTGATGCCGTCGTTGATCCGCAGTTTCCCCTGGACAATGTGATCATTCTACTTCTCGAAGCTATTGTCAACAGTATGCCTTTTGCTATTGTCAGCTCTGCTAAGGCTGCTGTTCACAAGATGTTCTCAACGTGTGTAGAGACTCACGTGGCGTGAGGTAGGTCTTGGAGATTTATAGCAGAAGGTGGTAGCCGACTTGAGACTTGAATATGCTCTCCACCCTTGGAAGCTTCGCACCCGACAAGATGTTGTCAACAGAGGACAACGAAGGAGATTCAAGGAACATAGCTGTGCGAGTCACCAGGGAAGAGCATAGAGTCAGGTGTGACGGCGAAGACCAGCCGAGATCTCTCTTCTGTACCATTCTCAGTCTTCTGGGTGAGTGTTTTGGTGTAGTGAGCGTCTCAAGGACTGTCAGCATGGAGGGCAATAGATAGAGATCTGTACTCACATGCGCTATTGGTACCTGAAAGAATCACTGCGAAAGATTGATACCGTAGCGGAATGATAGACCTGTGGAAGTTGTGACAGTTGCGGGAGTTGCGGAAGAGATGGTCGATTCGTGTTTGACATTGTCTGAGCCACGAGGATGGTTTATGCACTCTCATTGACGCTTACTCGACTTCTCGTTCTATGTTTGGTTTGAAACTGCTCTTTGACATCTCTCGATAACACCAAAAATCTGCCCCGGGGAAGTGGACGAAGGCTCAGGCAACAACATCAAACAGTCATGGAAGGCTTGGGCTCATGTCAGCGGGAGAGCCTCCAAGAGCGTCCGAATATCGAGTAGTCGGGGTGTTTTTGATATATATCATAATCGGCAATCCGTTAGGCGTGATGGGAGTTGCTTACTGTTATTACCTTGTCAAGCCGAAAATGGCGGATGTGTGATCACAAATCTTGATGGCTCCTGAGAAATTCGTTCCAAAGGACCCGTTTTCATGAGTAAAGAAGGACACGAAAACGTCAGATTGAATCGAGAACTTCATCACTGACTTCAGAGTGGCAAAGAGCGATCTCGACATCCATAGAGACGCTTCCCACCACCTTCTTCAGCGTTTCTGATATGGGCGAAATGTTGCTGACGATGGAGATTGGTGCACTGGGGAGGCAGCACAAAATTCCTGCACATGTCGACCAGTGGCGGCAAATACCATTGATGTAGACAGAGTGTAGTAGAAAAGGCAGTTATGATCGAAAAGTTGCAAAGAGCAGGTAAGTATCAGCTTTGTTTATGACATGTTTGGTCAACATTGGGCGGATGAGCAAAGATTGTAAGAAAACATGCTGGAGCGGTCGACCTCTCCAGCTGATCTTTCTCAACATTATTTTCGACAGCCGTCTCGATGTAGATATTCGAGAATTACGTCGGGCATTTGGAAGACACAGGTATGATATCCATGGTCAAATAGTGATGATGTAAAAATGCAAAGCGTGCCATTGACCAAGAGTTCGCGCCGCCACGGCAGTAATGCTGCCTCTGAGGACTTCGCAGAGCGTCTGTCCAGAGCTTTCTCGATATTCTGTTGTAACAATCTATTAGAGCCATCCTCGGGCTACATCACTGATGTACTCGGCCCCTGTAATGTCATGTAAGACGGTTGGAACTTGTATAGAGCATATTCAGCGTGCATGCTCGGCTCGATGATCTAATCGTCGCAAAGACAACGACGTTGCTTCATCGCGGCGGTTGACTACTTCCAACATATTATCCACAGATGGAATAAGGTCAACGGGATGTGCCTTTGGACACGAGCAGCGGCCGATAACGTACAGGTCGAGGAGCTGAGGGGAAGACATTTCATCGATTCGTAGAAATGGATGTCGAAAAAAACAATATGTATAGAATTTTCACCAATGATGTGATCCAACTTATGTCGTTTGCCAAATCGTAATAGGATGATGAAAGCACCCAGGAGAATCTTTGTAACGCGACCATGTCGTAAAAGACGTTGGTCTATGAATCAAGCTAACGACCTGATCAGCATCGGCAGAGATGCGAACGTACTTCGTGTCAAGTTTAAGGATGATGCCATGACGGGAAAGACGTCTTAAGATGGCTAAGATCAGTGATCATTATTTGGAGAGAGCAAGCAATCCCGTTCGGAACATAGACTAGCTTGTGTTTCCGACGAATTCATATTCGATACCGTCAGCATTCGAGCGAGTGCTGACAGATCCAGCTCATCGTGGTGGGCAAGAACTGGGCATGATTCGCGTTACCTATACATCTGAGGGCACCAGAAGCTGTGATTAGGACAAAGACACAACTTCATGGCCCGAGACACATCTGGAGAGGGGACCATCGTCCAAAGCTTGATGCTTGGATCTCACGGTTATGAGCCAGAGGTTTTCACGAGGAAGTCGGCAATTGCCAGCTCGGAGGCGTCCAGGAAGGTCATATCCAAGGTCTGTCTAGCTCAGTGCAGATGTAGGGAATTCAAAGTTGGGAATTCTTCCATCATGTTGATTGCACAAAAGTGCAAGCACATGTCAATTGCCATCGCCGCGTCCGAGGCGTAGCTAAATTACATACGACATGTCGATTAGGCAGGTCAGAAGGGAGAAAGTAGGAGAGAAGATGGTGCTATGGAAAGCGATATCTTGAGCATTCGCGGAACGACGGGTAGCGAGATCATCGCAGAGGGAAGATGATGCTGCAGAGACCACTACAGATGATCGGTACTTGGATCGAGAGTCATCTCATAGTAAGATGAGAATGGCGAGAATGCATAGAGTAAACAAACAAGCCAATATCCGTAGTCCAGCATATGTCAATGCCCATCCGCTCTACCTTCAAATACAGCCGGATCAGACCTCTTTCTCGTTGAAATGGCCCAATAGGTGGGAGTAAAGTGGTGACACACCGGTCAGACCTTTCAAATCATGTGGGTCCCTGATCAAAGGTTCTTGGTTTGAATCCAAGTCTTATCTTTTACTTTTTGCACTTTCTTCTTAATCTCTGTTTTCTTGATACGATCAATTCATCTTTTCTCGTATTCCTTGGATGTGACTTTTGATGCGGACAGAATGAGAGAATCAGGTACCTTCTTCGAGCACTAGCCCAATCTGTCCATCGACCTGGTAGCGCGTTTTCGTGGTGCTCAAAATCCCGTAGCCAACACACGTGAAATGCTTTGTGAATATCGTTTACCCTACAACAACATGACAAGAATTCTGCGCCATCAACCACCATCTCACGCGCGCGAAAACCCTGCGTATCTCATTATGGCGGACCCAAACAAGAATCCTGAGCCCAAGAGCTCGCCGGAAATGGCTCCCACCACCCCCAAGACCCCCAGACGCATTGACGATCTGCGTCTTCGTGAAAGCCCTCTCGCCGCCGCGCTGACTCAAAACGGTGTGGCTACTACAACAACTTCCCGCAACTCCGGCGAGAGACCCTCTCTGGACTCGCCTTTCTCCCCCACTGCCCTGTTCGATCATGGCCACGTAGACCCTGACACTCCTCTGGCCCCAGCTCATCGTCGCCATGGCTTCAATGTCAATATGGTTAGAGCCCAGATGTCTACCAGTGTCCTCGGGAACGCTTTCAGAGACGGCCCTCCGGTCGCAGCCCGGGTCGATAGCGGGCAGGAGGCACATGTCGAAGAGGAGGCCGCCATTTCTGCCGCCAACGATCGTCAGATCGTTGAGTCTCCCATGCCTGACAAAGATGATGATGAGTACGATGGTGATGTCGAGGATGTTGACGAAGAGTTCGTGGATATGGAGAAAGTGGCTGAGCGCGTAAGTTACCTTTTCTCTTTACCCTTTACATCACGTCCTCCCCTGCCCATCTTTCATCCTTCAATCTCTTCCTTGCAAAGATGTTTCTGACATCACTCCAGTACATGAGAACCAGAGCCCTGGAGCGTGGCCCCGAGACTCGTGAGCGTGAGTACTCTCCAGGCCGTCCTGAGAAGGTCGATAAGTGGATGGCTAGATCGTCAGCTCCCGGCGGTGACAGCGACGATGTTTCTGCACCAGCCCCCCAGTCTGACCCTGAGTCCGCCGCTAAAGCTGGCGCTGACAATGACACTGTTTGGGGCCCTGCTCTTCTTACCGTCGAGCGTGCCAGCGAAGTCACTCCTGCGCCTCTTCCTCGCGGAAACGACTCTGGACCTGTCGACATCCCCTTGATCGTCGTCGAGGACGCCACCCCTGAGCCCAAGAAGTACGAACAGCGTACCGAATCCGACGAAGCTGCTCCCGAAGTTTCGCCTCCTGGCGCCACTCCTCAATGGGTTCATCGTGTCTTCGACCCTCCCGCCCGCGACGAGGCTGCTGGTCGTCAGATCGGTGGACTCGCTGGCTCTACTCGCAATGATCCCATCACGCCTCCCGCCCACACCTTTCACGCTGTTACTGGCACTGTGCGTCATCGCATCGATGCTCACGGCCCTCACGACGATCTCGGCGAAAATGGCGATGTTGAGCTGAACGGAGGTGAGGGTAAGGAGGCTACCCAGGTCGAACAGGACAAGAAGGTCGACGAGTATGGCTATGGCGAGGAGGGAGAAGGCGACAGTGACTCTGATTCTGACTCCGACTCCAGCTCTGAAGATGATGAGGAAGGGGAGGGAGAGTACGATGTTACTTTGGTCAAGCAGGCTATGGCTGATCTCAAGCGCTAAAAGAGATAGAAATGAGACAAAAAGAAAGATAGAGTTCAAAGCAGAGCGATCTAAAACCCCAGCATCCCAAGACTCTAGTAAAGAGGCTCTCGTGATCGATGATTGGATAAAGACAAGCGCATCGAAATGCAGAATGATTGTCACATGAACTCACCTCGAACCTGAAACTCCGAAAACCACCCACAGACGTTTTGCTGAAGATGTGCTCTCAGTTGGCGTGATGAGATCAAACGGATGCATCCGAATGCAAGAACATTTTCCTATACCTCAGCCTACTTTGACAAGATCGACTCCAGCTATCGATGGCCCCACCAAGCAGACCTGTTAGAGAACAAGGACATTTCTACAAGAAGTGACTTCCTTGCTAGGACTACGCCATGCACTTCCCTCCAAATCTTCTCGGTCAACGCACAGAGATGACCCCATCAAGATGTAATTTCCATGCCGAGTCACTTCCTCACCTGAGCTCTCGCAATCCACCATCTTGATTCTGCAGGAATTTCGACTTGCTTACTTGATAAGACGGAGAAAGAACTCGTGAATCACAGACACGTGATACGAGACATTTCATGAGAAACCGATGTCAAACCTGTGTGACGGCTGCGAAGGCTTCCATTCCGAGTCCCTATGCCTAAGCCATAGACGCAGGCATGACATAGCATTCGGAGTCTGATTCGATATCTCACTGACAGCGTGAGAGTGTGCTTTTAGTGATCATACACTCTACCCGATCTATTGAGAGTGTATGGCGACGCCTTTCGAAGCTGTCACGAGCCACACTGATATCCGTATGTTCAGATTGCTCTATGCACATTCTAGTCAGACATTAGGGGAAAGCTGTACCAACCCTCACGCCACTCAGTCTCTTCTTCATAGGGCCAAATGCGTGGGAAAACTTCTTTCTCTGGATTCTGCGGGACTCTAGACCGGAAAGGATTTGTGTCCGAAGTCGAAGTTCCTGCTTGAATTTGACTTGCTTCGTGGGCGATTATTCCATCTCTATGATCGTCTCTTTTTAATCGCTCTAGGACCCAAGAACGGCTTAGCTCTTTCACAACCACGGCTGTGAATCCATGAAGTGAGGTCTGTGTAGTAAAAACGCCACCGCCTGAGGTGTGAACGTTCATTCGCTCGAGTTTGGATCTTGAAAGAGATGGTGTGGACGAGATCATGTTGAAGATTGTACGAGCAAGAGGCTCATCAAGCGCCGAATTGATTAAAGCGTCGCGCACATGCCACCGGGACTGTGATTGATGAACAATCTCGCGTATTCATCCCCGCAGTTTCACACACCGATATAATGGACATGTCAGATGCATCCAGATTGAGAGATAGGAAGCGCAAGTTCGACAATGATCCCAATAGTCGATATGCATCAATTCCAGTCTTGCTGCCCCGTGAACGTCGGACACTGATTGCTAGATCTTCAAGACCGGAACAAGGTATCGTCGTCATCCGATTTGAGATAGCGAGAAGCTGTAGGCTAGACTCTAGAGATGGTGTAAGAGCATACAGAGGGGGTCTGACAGGCTTAATCGACCGCGAAGAAGTAGCGATCGGCCCTAAGATTGATATGCCAGAATAAGGGCCTTTGACTCCATCACAATCAGAAGGCGGGACCTCAGTCTCGGTGCTTCTTAATCAGCGATGGGAACTAATTGGAACGTACTCATCCGCTAGGTGACTTGATCAGTCAAGAGATCGTTGATTACGAGGTGATCCGACCGTCCATAATTAACCTCCTAGTACTCTCGATCCTCGTAATCCAATTCTCAAGCGCAAGCCCACGAGTTGGAAAAATAGGCAAGCCTTTTCCGAGCCCTGCAGTGCAGACGAGGTCTGGAGCATGCGCAAGAGCTGTGAGATCGTGTTGAAACGACTCTTTGCTCCTCAAGGTCTGCTCGTCTTTCCAGGTCACCCCCAACATCTTGCTACTCAGCAGTCGTGGCCTTTTGTTCCGACGCTGCTCCATGCGGACGTCAAAGCTGTGCTCCTTCCAGTAGACGACTGTCGTCTCTTCGGCGTGGCTTAGAAACGGTGCAAGGTGAGAAGTGCAAAATGACGCCCAAGATGATTCTAGAATTTCATGAGGGTGCCAAAGAGAAAGGAGTAGAATGAACGCGAAAGACGACGACCCAGGCGACGGCGGCCATATACTGATGTGTGATGCCACATCTCGAGAGAGCCATAAATTGACATGCTTCCTACCAAAGAGCTCCAATGTAGCTTCATCGTGTAGAGACTTGCAAACTTTTCTGATAGGATGTTCGAAGGAACAATGACTTGGATCGTCAAAAAGATATCCAAGAACTAAGACGCGAAGCTCTGGCGATAGCTGGAGGAGAAAAGGCTCAGACAGCTTCATGTTCGATAGGATGATTTCAAAATGCTGCACGGAGAATATGGAGATGAAACCGAAGAAAAAGGTCATCGAGTGAAGGCAAGTCTGCACACGCTAATGTCTCATGCTAGACGCGTCTTGCCCCGGGCTTGGACTTCTGTCAGTAGTTACGCCGCGCAAATTACAGCGCTCGTTCACGTGATGGAGTGCATATGCATATTCCCAGGATAGGTGGACGCTTTGGCCACGAGGTCGGGGGTCAGGAGTGAGGTGACGAAGCATACCACAGTTCAAGTAGGCTAGGCAGCATGCATTGCTTCTTTACCACAAGTCTCTGCATGTGCCATGATATTGTCAATATCAGACAGAGAACGAATTTTGAGTACTCGAGGATCGTATCCGGCCTCGAAGAGGATTTTTGCTTCATTCAAGACTTCCCACGGCAGCTCACGTCCGTTTCGCAGAAAATATACGTCTGCTGGGTCTCCCGGTCTCTTACGGAGCGTGAAACAGAGCTTGGTGCAATTGCTGCGCAAAAGGTTGATCTCGCCAAAATGTTCGACCCATGAGGCCAGACGGTTTGTGCAGAATCGTTGACGCGAATGGTCAATCTGACATGTCCATGATGGCACGCCGACAGAATAGATGGTCTTATGACGCCGCCCCGCTTGTTTGACTGTGAGACGCAGTCTATGCAACATCAGAGGGGTAACTTCATCGTGGACTTTGCGCGAAGCACAGCGAAGTGGATGACAGACTTGTAGTTGATTCTTGTCGTCAAAGAGTCGCTCGTACACCAATACTCGAAGCTCAGTCGGCAGGTCGAGGAAAGTCAGTGATCGAGAAGACATGGTTGTGATGATTCTTCTCGACGGACTAGCAGATCTCGAAAGGTGATGAGGCAAAGGTGAACGTCACAAAACCCAATAGCAGACGCTGCTCAGACGTTTTTTGAATTGGCAAATTGTTAGGCCTCGTTTGCTCTCAACACCACAAGGACGCATAGAGTGACTTGTGAAGTCGGAGTAGACCGTGGCTATGGTGACCACAGATGGAATGATCAGAGGTTGATCGAACGGAACAGAGAATAGAGCGGCTGAAGTCTGACTCTGTGGAACGGTGTCTGAGACGGAGGTGCCGAGACAAGTTCGACGAAGCTTTGGAGACGTCTCAGCAAGAAGGCGTGGATGATCGAGGATCGAAGCTCTCGGCACACGTCTTGGTCACACGTGAGACCAGTGAGACTCTGGTGTGCAGGGTCAAGATGAGATGTTGTTGCAGGAATCGAGGATGAAGCTCAGCTTGGAGACTGGGAAAGGTTGTTGATCCCAGCGAGTTGATTACAGAGACGCGAGATGATAAGCAAAGCAGAGGAAGAGACGGCGAGTGTTGAGAGAGGAGGTGCATGGCGGGTAAGGCTGATTGGGCAGCTGCAGGGCGGAGTGATGGGAGTAATGGCTACGTCAAGGAAGGCCCGTGCATAGACAATTGGCTTTGATTGTGGCAGTTGCAGCTTCCTTGGAGCCAGAAAGACAAGACACACAACAACAAGGGAAGGTGCGACCCAAGCAATTGCGGACAGTATAAGCACATCAGGCTCCTTCTTGTCAAACTGGATCTCCGGAGCGAATTCATCGAACTTGGCAGCAACAAACGATGGTGTCCACTCGACGAGCGCAAAGCAGCGCAACACCACCGACTACACCGTCAGCAGCCCGGCATGTCGAAGCACCTCAGTCTGCGCCGGGGAGTGGCAAGAAGATGAGCAAGGAGTTGCGTCGCTTGACGATCGATGCAAATCCGAGTCTCGGCGGAGTCGCTACGACGTCGCCGGCAAAGAGGAAGAGGCGGCGCAGCGGAGTGCGACAGGAAGTCGTCCACGACCAAACAGAGCGACAAGCACAGGCCGATGGCTCGCAAGACCAAGCGCCAAGCCAGCTACTCCCCGATGGAGGGGTCCTGTTGACACCTTCGCCGTCGGACTCGCCCGACTCGCCGCATGTCCCATCGACAAACGACGCCGCTCCCTCTCAGCCTTGCCTCGAACGACAAATCACTCCGCTTGCCGTCAAGGACTCGCAACCGATCGCTCAGAGCAGCAGTTTGCAGCCTGCTTCGCCCTCTGATCAGTCACCTGCCCTCGCGACCCGAGCTGCTGGCAAGCGCAAGATTACGCAATACTTCACCGCCGTATCCGCCCAAGACAAGGCCAACAAACGCCGCAAGATCAATGGCCCGCCGTCGCTACACAAGACGACGAGTGTGCCAGAGTCATCTCTTGCTCCACCAACCACACTGTCCACTGCTGCCAGCGCGCCCGAGCTGAAGTCGGAAGAGACAAAAGAGTTGGAAACAACAAGTCAAACCCCTGTCGACCAAGTGGTACTAGAGAGCGTGGTGAAAGCAGTGCAAACACGGCCGGAAGAGAAGGAGCCAGACAAGCCTCAGGACACGGATCGAGAGCACGAACAGCAATACCACACGGCAGAAGAAGGCCACAGCAACAAGGAGGACCTGGCGAAACGAGAGGAAGACGAGAAGAAGGCGCTCAAGAGGGAGCGCGAGTTGAAGAAGCTGCAGATCGACGCAAAACCTGCCCTGATCGACAAACGCTCAAGAAGGCAGACGACTCTTCCACCCGCTCGCATCGACGACGACGAAGACGCCAGGTCTGCCAAACGTCAACGCATGAGTCTTCCCGCCTCTGGTATTGCTGATCCATTGTCGTCGACTCCGGCAAGAGCTAAAGAAGAAGTGCCAGCCAAGGAGATACCCACCATTGCAGAAGCACTCGCTACTCCACCAGAACCAAATCCGCCCGTCTTTCCCGCTGGAACTGATCCAAAGTTGCTCGCATCCGGGGAGGTCAATGACAAGTGGCTCACAAAATGGCTCGGTTACGTTGCTCATATTACTGGCGACGAGGACACTTCGAAGATCCTAACAGAAGAAGACGCCACGCATCTTGTCAAGCCTGATCGCAGTCAAGAAACAAGCCAAGACCGCCAGAAGCGAATCAGTGGCGAACTGGACACGATAGCTACATGGGATGTCATGGCACCTCAACAAGAAGCCACTCAGTCAAGTCCTGAACAAGCACCGATCAAACCCTTGATCAAGAAGAAGAAGCAGAGATTCAACCCAAAGCCGAAAGGTCAACCGTATATACCAAAAGCAAAGAAGCGAGCCCAGGAATTGGCAGCGCTCAAGGCGAAGAAGAAGGCCGAAGTCGAGGCAGGTGCAGGGTCAGTGGTAGCTGCAGAAGCAACATCTGTGCAACGTGTGGCCCCGGAGCCGATGCAACCAGCGGTAATGCCACGGCCGGAGCAGAAGACCGAGGCCGAGAAGGAGGTCGAGCCTGTCCAACGATCGACACCACATGTACCGCCTCCTGTGCAAGAGGACGAGGTGGCGACAGATTGGCTTACAGATTTGATGAACACTACAGAGACAATCTTCCAGGCAGACGAGCAGACCAAGAAGACGAAACGAGGCAGCAAAGGAAAAGGGAAAGCCAAGGCTGCTTGAGACGCTTGATTTGTTTGAGCAGGCGATATATGAGGAGTCGGATTAGCTGACAATGGGAGTTTATGGCTTATGTTGTGCTTCTCTTGGCAGCATGGGCAAGGTGTTTTCAGCAAGGGCGTTTATGGCGAATTGGGATGTCTTTCTCATCATTTTCTCGAGCATTGCACATCTATCCATCATTCAAGTTTTCTCATTGTTCTTTTGGCCAACAGTATCCGAGTAGTGTCTTGTATGATATTGCTGAATAAAGTTTTCGATTACTTTAGTCCTGTGCATGTGTTGATTATAGTACTAGATGACCTGCTAAGAGCGGGTACCCCCTTTGGTGCAGCAGCTAGCATCTGACAGCATGGGTGTAGTGAATGCGGCAGGTGGTTGATATGGGAGAGAGCGAGTCGAGGCAGAAGCGGCCAAAAGATGTTTCCCGAGTGACACAAGTCTTGGTTTATTGCAGCAATCCCCACATTGTCGCAGCTGCTGGACTAACGGCGCATCGCGACTTCCTCTTTGTCCACCCGCCATGATTTCCACACACTTCTGACCAACAGACTAGGAAGGAGCAAGCATGGACTTTGACGACCAACTCATCGAGAAGCTCAACGCGCCCGGAAGGCACATACCCACACTCACACCACCACCACCACCACCTTCCACCGACCCAACAACAGCAACCCCCACAACAAGCACACCCGACCCTTCGACGCTGCCCTCCTACCCACGCCCCTCACACACGGCAAAAGACAATGAAAGCTACTACATCAAACCCATTCCCTCTGGTCTCCGCGGCCACAACCTCGCCGCCCTCATGTCAGCCTGCCACAACCACACCCTCCACAACGGCTTCGACATAGTCAAAAAAGCAGGCGTAAAACCCACAACGACGAAGAATGGCAGAAAGAGCATTGTCAGCGGTGCAAGCTACTACAAATGGCACATCACCTGTGTTCTCGGGGGAAAGCCGAAGAATACACGCCATCTCACGCAGGAGCAACGACGACGTGATAAAGGGAGTTTGAAAGTGGGCTGTCCCTCTCGTGTGTGGGCATGGGCTGTAGACCGTGATAATCCAGATGGAGAGTGGGAGATTAGATGGGGAGATACTGATCCGGCGCTTCACAATCATCCACCTGTTGATGTCAAGACGTTGCCGAATCATCGTCGCAGAGCTAGGGAGCAGGATGGTGTCAAGGAAGCTATTGAGAGGATTGCGGCGAGTGGGGTGGGGAGGAAGGAGGGATTGAGGGAACTGAGGGATTTGTTCCCGGGAGGATTGTTTAGTGAGAAGGATATGGCTAATGAGTTGCAGAAGTATAAGATGTTGGCTAAGCAGCAGCAGCAGAGGAGTGCTGGAGAGCAAGAGCAGGTGCAGCTGCAGGAACAGGTGCAGCAGGATCAGAACGCACATGCAGATGACGATGAAGAGGAATTGGAGGATCTCGAGGAGGACGACGAGGAAGAGGGTGAGGCTGAGAGGAACTTGCATGTCCAACTTCAGACTCAGACAGGCCAGGCGTATCACCTGACGCAGCAACTCCAACAGCCGCAGCAACATCAACACCTTCAACAATCAGGACCATCACATCAGCAACTCCAACAGCATCAACACATGTACTCATCTGGAGTTTCTGGAGTCCCTGGTTACTGGTAAAGGCAACTATCCCTCGCCTTACTCTTCTCTTCTTCTCCCTGTTTCGCATGAGTTTATGTATTTACTGGTGCATGGATGGCTATGCATGTCTCCACGTGTTTCTTTTCCTTGTCAGCACTGCGTATCGATACCCTTGCTTTTTTGCTTCTACTTTCTCCGCCTCTCTTGCTCAGGCGGTGGTTGGTACGTAGCTACATACACACGGCTTCTCTTTCCCAACTCCACGGCAATGCCATTAGTACGTCATGTCTCCTCGCTGATCATTCAACTTCGACTTTGTACAAAAAGCTTGGAGAACTACCTCGTCCTGTTTGTAAAGACTATCTTCAGAACATCGCAATCGTCTCTGCTTGTAAGATTAAAACCCTCCTTGACAAAACACCATATTAACGTACAGATCCATCATTCTGTGCAGACCATGACCCAACATTCAACCACAGCCTGGAAACCTGGGACTCGCTCTTCCCAGTCGCCATGCCCCATGTACTACTGGTGTCCTGCTCCCAGAATAATGCACAGGTGAGAATGTGCCCCCCCCCCCCCCCCCGACTCATTACTAGCATCACACAACCCTATCAATCCAATTCCTCATTGAAGAACATCAGAAAGACGACAAAAGCTTTGATATTTAATGCCATAGCTTGTCAAAACAAGAATCATAGCATGTTCAACTAGGACGTCGTTCAGATTGGAAAGCGTTGGTCTTTGGGTTCTGTACGCATCCATACCTAAAACTGTCCATACGACTACCGAGGCTTTACTAGAAGCTATTGACTTGGAAAAAGAGTGCGCGCCGTTCCTCTGCCTGAACTAGCAGTATCAGCCATCGTATAGGATAAGCAAGGACTCTGTCTATTTAAGCATCAACAGAAGCATCATTACCTATCATCATAAAGATATCTTCGTCATCATGTCTGTCAGCAGATTAGCCCTAACGAATAGTGATATAAACACGAAACTATCAACGATAATCGAACCCACAGCCGCCAATTCCCAGCAGGATAAGCAAAGACGGTGGCCATCTCAACGACACCTTGGCAGCCGGACTAGAAGCAGCAACTCCGAGTCACTTCTCGAGCTATAAGTCGCTTCTCGAGCAATCGTTTGACTCTCGCCTCTCCGATATACTGTCCTCTTTCTCTCTCTTTTATTTAGATTCCAATCTTACATACCTGCTCTGATACTCTTGCTTACGTTCGACTTACCGCACGCCCTGTTTTTCGGTCTTCGACATGGCGTCTAGTCTCCCCATAATACGTTTCCATACACGATCAATTAACTCGATCATCATGAGCTAGGTCAAGTCGTCTCAAGAGAACACGAGTCGTGGTGCAAGGAGTGAAACATCGCAAAGCAGGAAAAGCTGTGTGGCTTACGGATTTTGGGAAAAACAGCGAACCGAAAGAAGTTGTCTGTGGATGGACCAGAGAGCTTTTTACTGTCATGTGCACTCTTTGTATGATTTGAAAGTCAGCGAAAGCAGTACAAAAGCTTGAAGAGTTTCTGAGAGAACAAATGGGCTACTCGCGTTTAGAAAAAGAGATGGTGTGGGAACAAGAAGGCAAGTAGTGTGATGATGCATCGATCACCACTACTTTGATATCAAGAAACCGGGAACCAAGGAGTGGAATATCACGGTAGGATGAGATGACGGGAGTATGAATCACAGAGCTTCGGGTGTTAACACGTAACTTTCTACAATGGGTGTCTGGGTTCACTAACGTGACTAATAAAAACCAAATATACTTATCCAGAGCACGAGATGGGCGAGAGAAAGGGTCGATGCCGTCGTCTCAAAAGTTGTCTCGATTGAGGAAAAAGTGAGAAAGACAGGAGATTCTGGAATCGGGGCGGACTCACGTTCGAAGAACGGAAGCGAGTCATTTGTAAGGGCAGGTGAACAAACTCTCATAACCCCAGCACCGACAAAACGAGGATCACCTCTCTTGACCCTAGCCATAACCTCTCCAATTTTCATTGCGTTTGTGATGAAAAGAAGTCTGATCGAGTGATTCCGCAAAGAAGGTTCGAATACCATTACCCTTACGTTCGAGATAGTATGCCTGATGGAAGGCGTTCTGATCCATGCAAAACTCATCTTCAATCCATCTAGTGGCTGATGCTATACGACCACTGATTGTATATTGGCTACATGAACCATCTGTTGCATCGCTGATCTCCTTGTTACTGTAAGTCAAAGCGACTTTCAGGAAAAATTGTTGTAGTGTAAACTGTCTTGATGGAGTGTCAGAATCTCAAGGGTAGAGAGATGTGTAGGTGGAGGTCCGCGGAGATAGAGGATCTGGCGAGTGGTCGTTTGACGTCTACGAGCAACCTGGCTTGGTGTATACGGTTTTTGTCTAACGGGGCGAATTCTACTGGATGTGCGTGTTTATGCGTGTTGTCCCAGCTGTCGGAGCAACGACGACAGGTGATCTGGAAGCGTTTACAACACATCTCGAAGACGAGGGCTCCTGGTTCTGTCGTTGGACGATTGGTTGTTGATAGAAATTGATGAGCCCAGTCACTGGTGGTCTGTTACGTTGAGGCGTAACCAGTTGCATGCCTAAGAAGTTAGTCTTGAAATTCGGGTTAACGCCAGATCCTCAGGATCAGTGACATGCACGAAAGGCGGAGAAGCCTTTGGTTAAAGCTGTAGCAAGTTTGGTTGCACATTAGGATTGTCAAACAGTTCACGAGCAAGATCGTATTCGTATCCCTGAGCATTCCCCGGGTGCACAAGTCTCCACTGTGGAATCAGATCCTTTGTTCTCCAGAACCTCTCACCACACTCATTGCAGTGATGGACCTCCCTGCTTTGCTGATGGAGTCTGTTGGCGAAGCTGATCCTCAGATCTCTGGCCTTGGCAGAATGAATCTCGTTGACGTGCCAGATGAGGTCGTCGTTGGAAGGTGGGAGCCAGCCACACAATTCACAATATTCGATCTGCTTACCTTCGACGGTCTAAAAACACGACTCAGTAATAGATGGAATCATATTGAACGTGCCTTTGTTGCATCGAACTTTCGATTTTTTTCTGATGCAAAATGGTATGTTCTGTTCGAGACTCGCCAGAAGTGACCACCAATGCCCTTTTGGACGTCCCAAACAAGTCGGCATGAACGAAGCCGAGATCACACCCGAAAAGCCGTAGACAAAATCCTGGAAGAATGTCTAGAGGAAACTACAGCCGGTGCCATGATGTCCTGGAGATCAAGTGTAAGAAGCAGTGCAAGACCGAAGTCATTTCCGCCGTCAAACTTTAGCGATCTGGTTGGCCTTCAAAGCGTGAAATCCATATCGATGATTTGGACGGAATAGATCCCATCAAGTTGGTTCTGTGGTGTAGTTGGTTATCACTTCTGTCTAACACACAGGCGGTCCTGAGTTCGAGCCTCAGCGGAATCATTGCTTTTGCCATCGCTTCTCTTTCTCGCATCCATGGGGCGCGCTGGTGTTGGAGTTTTGGTGCCGCACAACTTTTAGAAGAGATATTTTCAGGGGTGCTGGCTTGGCTTCTTGATTTTGCGACGCCCGAACAACGACACATCCGCGAAGCCGCTTCTGGAGGGAGAATATTCACAATCAGAATTGCACAATGGAGACTATGATGGATCGAGTGAAGGTTGTTTTCGTTATTCCTGGAGCATCAGTTCTACTTACCATGACAAAACAGACCAGCTGAATTTGTCGTTGTCTTAACTTTCACATCGTCATTTCCTCGTCCTCATCTGCATCCCAAGTCTTACTACCACTAGTCAATTGCTCAGTCATATCGGGCATAGTAATATCACGCTGCATCTGAACAGCAGAGACATTAGCAAACGTAGCCATCTCCCCCACCGACTTACCAAACTTGTGAAGACAGTAACCAGTCTCGGGGTGTTCCCAGCTTCTGCGCATACGAGCATCTTCATCAATAGCCAGGCTACCGCATGTCTTGCAGGACATGGTGTCGATTTGTTGTTTTTCGAGGTCCCTGCGGCGTTGACTTGTGAGTCCCGCGCAAATGCAAGGGCGAGGATCCCAATGACCCGCATCGTGTCTGAGAAGATCTTGGAGAATTTTTGTGCAGAAGCTGCAATTAGGGACACCGACGCAATTGTGATCGGGCTTGACTGGCTTCTTGTAGACTAACGCTTTGGGAATGTATAAATCAGGTTCGTTGATAGTGTGGAACTCACCTGCGTAGTTGTTGATTGTCCAGGGCATGAAAGAGCGGTATGTGCATCCATTGGTAATGCGTGTGCCGTCGAAGATGGCGTCGAACACGTTTTCGAAATCTTCCATGGTCACATCAGTGCCAGCAGTGGCAACGACATCGAAAGCCTGCTCTCTTGCCTGCCACTGCACAACACGGAAGCGATAACCGAAGGTGGCGAATACATCGGCTGTTTCAGAGATGAACTGGTCAGGCGATGGGTCACCTCTAATTGTCCAGTTGTCGATAACGTTCTGTACTTGACCGGCAAGACCGTAGTAGTTCTGCAACTGCGCAATGAGAAAGAGGTGGTTAGTAAGCTTTACCATGTCAGTGAACTGCCTACGTTCGATTAAAGTGTAAGAGAAAGCTTCATACGTCTCAAGTACTGGCGGATTCGACGATGTAATCTCTTGCATAGACATTGCCATCTCCAGGATGTTTGCATGTGAAGCTGGAGCGTAAGTAGACGTCAACATAGTGGTGATGGAAGTCGTTACAGTCTTTTCTTGCTGATCTCCAGGATACAGGTATAAGTCGAGTCTGAGGGTTACTGTGCTTATATATCTCGTGGCAAAGCGAGTTGTGCTCCAAAGGCATTGTCAGGAAAACACGAAGAGACAAAGATCGGATTCTTTCACAGCGTTGTATGGCTTTGTGGAAGAGATGCTTTCAGCGTTGTTAGGGCTTTTGTTGCTTTGTGTCTCCAGTGCAGCGATCCCCATCCAGCACACGACAAAGGGAAGTACATTGTGTTGTCCCAATTTCTCCTGTTGTAGATTGGCAAAAGGTTGCGTTCGACTTCTTCGCGGAGCTCGACTTGTACCGACATAGAAGGGACGCGTTCGATGCAGATTGACGACAAGAGCCTACACAGTAGAGGAATATCGGGAAGTCAACAGAAAGTTGAGATGGGACATACAAGAGTAGTAGAAACTTCCAAGCCCGTGATCGCTCGATGTATCTTGAAGGCATCTTTGTTTCGCATGATTTGTTTCTTGCACAGTGTGCGATCAACGAAATTGCGCAGGCCTAGCTCAGAACGTCCTGAGTGTTGGGACTTGCAATCACCCAGTACGTTATCCAGATTCGAGGCGGGTCGATCATACTTCGCAGTCTGCCTGGATGTACACGCATCGTTGCTCACATAAAGCGTACGGAGACGAAAGACGCCGCCGAAATTTTGAGAAACAAAAGAGCCGTAATAGTCGGTTGGGCTATGCACCTGTCAAAACCGGTCCAGGGAGCGAGTACAAGCATCTGCGCACCTCCGAAACTATACGAACGTTCCAGATGAGAGGCAACGCGAGGGCGGTAGCTAGTAATCGGGGCTTGGAGGGATGATCAAGTGCTGGCTGGCACGCTTCGCCTTAGACGCGGGGAGGCTGATCGGCAGAGCTGTATGTGCGCATGGCCGCTTATGACCTCAAGATACATGCAGAGTGAGGCCGCATAATCGAGGGGTTCATGCCTGGTGTGAAGAAAGCATGATAGACATTATGCATTCTCATAGACAATAAACAGGTAGACAAGGAAGACGGAGATGCGGAAATTGAGATGGGTCGCTTGGCAAGTGCACGCGCCCCACGCTTCAACGCTGCCTGAAGCCTGAAGATTCTGCGACGTTTGGTTGGTTTGGCTCACAATATGAAACAAAGACACCTCAATTTTAATTGCATGATCTTGCAACAGGATGGCGCGCCTTCGGAAGAAGCCTGCGATAAGCAAGGCGACTTTGTTAAACGACTTTCGCGCTCTGCGCTCTTTCTTGGGCAGCACAGCAAACAGCACACTTGCGACAAACCCTATGGAGCATGATTCGGCATCTGCAAGGCACGCGAAGTCAAGCGCCGATGCCTCTTTGTACCATGGTCGTGCACTGAGCTATCAACGACGCTACTCGATCTCGACTACTAACAAATCCGTTGCTCTGGAGAAGATTATTGAGGAGCGATTAAGCCTGTATCTAGATCCTGTCACATTGATTCACGTCGCAAACTTATATCATGATCGACTCGACAAGTATTGGAACATCACTCAAGCGTTATCTGACTACTTCCAACGACCGACTTTACTGCGCGATGTCTTGAGGAAATCTGGGAGCTTCATTTTTGGTGCGTTTGCGCATTGTTTCTTCAAGCGAGAATGTCGACCAGTCCACATGCACATCGCAGTGCCTCACACCGAGGATCTGGCACAACATCTGACGGCTGTGGAGGGATACATTAAATCAGAGTCCGAAGGCCCTCTCGAATATGTTGTCGGCATTACGAAAGTCAGACATTTCGAGAAGCAAAAGACACTCCGCGATGGCTTGATCACCACAATCCGCATCACACTCGTGCAAGGAGAACCTGGCGCAAACCCTTTCTGGACCGTGCTGGACAAGATATCAACAACTGCTCAACTCAACATGATTACCGCTGACCATGCGTACTCAATGTTTCCGCACTCGACCTTCCAACACGAGCGAACTTATAGGCTCAAGGATCTCCCAAGGCATGCACTTGTACAAGACGATATAAAAATGGCTGGCGCTGCTCAAGCAACAAGTTCGACTCATAGTGCAGGCCTTTTATCGTTTCAAGATTACAGGATCGATCTGAAAAGGCATTCTACGCCAGCCAGCGACTCAACAGAACATCTTGAACTTTCTTCACGAAGGGCCCCAGGCGACAAGCTGACTTGGACCATTGACTTCGAGGCCAAAAGCTCTTCAGGGATAAATGACATTATGGCATGTGGATTCTCTCTTGATATCTCGGGAGGCGGCGCATTCTTCCCACTGTCATTTCATACGTCTGACTTGACACGGCAGGATACGAGCAAGGTCTTCAACCAGCCTCGTTCAGGTGGGTTTCCTCTGCTTTCGAGACAGCTCCAAAATCCACGTGCTTCGTCGTCGAGAGCCCCTCATGTGAATCGCTCAGGACAACTTGAAAGCGGAAAGGCTACAGAAACTACCAGCGATATTGACATGAGTGATGATCGTGATTCTTTCACAGACCATGCTGAAAGACTGCTGTCAATGACCCCAGAGCGTGCTGTCAACGACAAGTGCGAAGCTCGCCGTAGAAGAATCGAGGAGATCAAGATTGAACTCGAAAAAATGGCAAGTGAGCTTCCTTCCCTGTCTCCTGGTGAGGCCGAAGAGGTGCAATCAGGAATGTTCTTAGCAGAGCTTTGGCTAGCTCTCATACAAACCGAATTAGACATCACACTCGCAAGCTTCGAAGCCGTTCGATCTGGCAATGAGGTAGCTCTTCAACAGCCTCGGCGAAGAGTGGCTCTAGGCTGGCTATCAGAATCCATCAAACGATTTGAGAATCCTTCACGAGGCGTGGACCCAATGTCTAGAAACCTATTCAAGGAGATCTCGAACGTCTTTATGGCTGGCATCATAAGCTCCGAAGCAGACATATTCTTCGCCGGACGGGCTCTACCTTCTTTCCTTGACATTGTACGCATGTTTGACGCGAAGAACCCGCTAGATGAAAATATACGGAACAGTCACCTTGGACCGACTTTGACAAGATTGACTCGTCTCAAGTTTGTGAATGATCAGAGTATTGAAGAAGTCCTCTTGCGTATCGAGAAGAGTATGGCATCGACCGACTTGGCACCCTTTATCAGTCCAAAGCTCTTCGGTCCAACTGATTCACGCTCAAACTCGCCGCTCTATTCACAATTAGGCCGACCAAGACTCAACTACGACACAATAGATCCAGCTTTACTGGAAGGTGATCCCGATTACGAAACTTGGCTTTCACAAAAAACACAAGAGAACGAAGTTGGAAGGGCGAGGGGATTTTCATCTGACGTCTCTGAGGCAAATGGTGCAGAAGCGCAGAATAACCCAAAGGGACTGTCTGAGGACATAGATCGGGGACTCTTTTCGACACAGCAACGGGATTTGCGTCAACGATATGAACAGATGGAAGGACCCAACATTTCTCAAGCGAATCCATTGCAGACTATGAAGCCAGTGGACGATGGAGCGGGGACTCCGCGACATCTACTGAGCTCTTTTCGACAGAGTCAAGCCGAGCGAGATGCTGCCTTCCAAGAAGAGATGAGACGTAGCAACGGTCGGATCCCTGACTACCTGTTCGTGACGCCATCGCCAACTCCGCCTCCTGAGCCTATTTCAGCGCCACTGATCGACACAATTCGGCCCATACAACCCCTGGAGGTAATGACTGGCTCAGAGGAAGAGGCCCGTCAACAATCTTACACCAAAATCGAGGAGATCTCTTCTGACTCGACGAGCATGCATTTCGAGATGACCATTGATCCATACGAGGATGAAGACCTTGACATGCAAGATGTGTCAAACGTGCAATATGCAGACGACATGAGAGACGTACAAGAAACCCTTGAGGTACCGACTACGACGCCTCCGACATCTCAGACTTTGCCACGGACAAGATCACGCAGAAGCGAGCCGATCGTCCTTATCTCGACACCTGCTAGACCTATTATCCTCGACTCTGATTTCGTCTCTGAAGATGAGGACAACGGTCCTCCAGCTTCGAGTCATCCACAACTCGCCGCCGTGTTGCAAGAGTCATCCGCCAGGGCGTTGAACATAAACACACCTGGATCTAGTGCATCGGCTATCAGGACGCCGAAGCCCAAATTACCACCCCATCTTGCACCGACACGGGTTGCAGCCCATCGAAGGTCACTTGACCCATCCTCTCAGATACCAACACCAGAAGAAAAGGAAAAGTTAAGTCAAGAAGAGTATCCTCTTGTAGATATTATTGATGAGAAGTTAATTGATGGGGTCAAGAAGTATCTTATCAAGTGGAAACCAATCAGTGGGAGGCAATTTGCCAATACCTGGGAGCCAGCGGAGAACGCAAACGCCGCCGCCGTGGAAGATTGGCATCGAAGGCTTGCAAACAGGACAGAGAATGCACGAGAGCAGAGAAACAAGCAGGCTAGGAAAATTGCAAAGGAGACTGATACCGCACCAGTGCTCGAACCATCCATGCAGCCAGACCCTACTGATCTTTGGGCTGTGAGGACATATGACATGAAGAAATGGAGAGAGAAAGGGTCGAAAGGGAAAAAGCCTGCGTTTCCTGATGGCCTCAGAGAGCAAGTGCATCGGGAGAAAGAGGAAGCAAGGCTGGAAAGAATCGCCAAGAAGGCTGCCAGTAAAAGGGCTGGAGTCCGCCATGGACCAAAGAAGGGTTCCGCGGAGTGGCTTAAATCGAGAGAAGAGTCCATGGCCCTTCAAGCTATTAGAGAGAGTGAGAAAAAGAGGGAGAAGACCGCTAGGAAGAAGGAAAACAAGGCAAAGAAGATGGCTTTACGAAAAACTCAAAAGCAAGCTGCCAAAGCGGCAGCCAATCAGGCTGGTCCGTCTAACACATGAAGCAAGGGACGATTTTCCAAATCATGTAAAGGAGAATTCTATGGCCGTATATGTCATATATGCCCCATCACGTGTATCTTATCAACTTGAACATCTTCTTTTCACAGCAGCACCCCTTGTGTCTGCTTCGATCGGCCCGGCAAACTCACTCGATCCTCCGCCATGTCTCAACATTGCCGACCACGCGCATAAGGCAAAAATCGACAAGCATACCTAGGCAGCACTCCCGTATTCGTGAGAAAGAAGATGCATGGATCATTGCACTCGATCGAAGACAAGTATCGAGGAGTTACACTCTTTCTGGGGATTGGTACATCTGTGGAAATGCCTGGTGATTTCTGACATCCTCGATCACGCTCCCCAAGGAGATGTCTGAGTGTCCTCCAAGACGTATTACTGTTTAGCTGATATCATCATGCATTTTCACGGCTGCGATCTTGCAGACACCCCAGGGCGGAGTCAAATTAGTACAAGATCGAATCTCACGTTTCCTTGACACACAACTACTTTTCGAATACAATTGTGCATCTTGACGTCCTCCTCTTGAGAGATGCATGACCCAAGGAGTTGAGCAAGACTTGGACCCTGATGGCCGCAATGACGCAATCTGCATGAGCTTGATCAAAAGGAAGTCGCCGCCCAACCTTGTTCGTTCCTTCCTCCATTTTGCATTCCACTCATATGCGACCCATATTATAGCCGCCGCCTGTTTAGCGCCGTCTATCGTCTTACATCGCCTATGCCGCCGCTCGCTGTGCCGCCCTCGCTTTCCTCTCTCCCGACGCCCCAGCTTTCGGCCCTCGCCAACCCAACCGACCCGATCAATTTTCGCACACACCGAAGCTCCACCGTCCACCACACAACAAAAACAGAGAGCTTGCTACCTGCTATAACACAACGACACAACAAGCAAAAGAAGGGGTCTCGCCGGGAATCGAACCCGGGACCACTCGCAATTGGCTTAGAGTTTTCAAGAATTGCATGAGCAAATCTCCCTAAGCGAGTATCATACCGCTAGACCACGAGACCTGATCGGTTTCTGTGTGAGATCGATGGGTGACCGCCCGGTGGGAAAGTTTATGACCAGGTGAGACAGGAGGAAGAGCGTTTATGGGGGCTTGAGCACACAGGTAGGTTTATTTTGTGAGTCGCTAAGGGTGGTATACAGCAGGTTGGTGTAAGTACTTATTGGCATGAAAAAGGCCTTGGAGTCTGCCGTCGATATCTTTGACAGCTGACTGCAGCTACGAGGCTGTCCATCCGGGCAAAATCGTATCAAGGTAAGGTGTCCAGCTCATGTCTGTTTCCACTGGAATCCAGGTAAGCCGTTGCTCCGACATTGAAGTACAGGACTGAGCTGCTCGAATCTCTCGGTGTGCTCCAAGCCGTAGGTCAGTCCCTGCCTGCCCGAAGCCCGAAGCTTCCTCCAATTACACCCATTGTCAGCGTTCCCATGGCCCCCTCTGCGCTCCATCGTGCACATCATGCCTCATATCCATTCGCTTTCAACATCTTCTCACTACAACCTCCCCCTCAACCATGTCCATCCATCTGTGCTCTTCGGCAAATCCTCGGAAATCACAGCCCAGCAAGCTTTTCTTCTTGACCTCTACCTCCAGCCCCGGACTCCATCCAAAGGGGTTGTGGTCTAGTGGTATGACATCTTCTTAGCATTGCTCTTTCGAGCAGTACTGAGTTGGAGAAGGTTCTGGGTTCGATTCCCAGCTACTCCACTTTTTGGCCGCGAGGGGGGGCCTATACAATGAGGAATGGGTAAGCTAGCTTTTGTGCTGAGGATATCTGGGCGTGTGGGCTGGAGATATGAGGCAGAGAGAAATGCTGTATGTAGGGCCTTACCACAGCACGATACGGAGAAGCAGCCTTGGTTTTGTATCACAGGGATTCCCGGATTGCTTGAAAGTAAAGTATTGGAGATCACATTCGACTGACACAAACGTAAGTCGAGTATATCATGGAGCACCATGTCTCCGACATATGAGGTAGCTGTGCTATAAGAAGAGAAAAAAGATGGTCATATACGAATTGAAGGACTGCATCTCATCAAATCACCAAACATATTCCCGCAACTCAGCCACGCCTCCTATCCGACATCTGCTCAAGCCTAAATACACTGAAAGTAAAAGTCGTTCTGCTTTGTGCAAGTCGAGCCTGAAACGCAGGTAGTAGCACCAGTCCATCCATTTCCACCGCACTGAGCATACTTGGCAGCAGCAGCACCACCAGATCCAGAGGCCGCGGTCGTAGTAGCAGGGGGAGCAGCGGCAGAAGTCGAAGTCTTGAAAACAGTAGACAAAGTAGTAGGCTTAGCCGTAGTAACCGGAGCAGCAGAAGTAGAAGTAACCTTTGACGTAGCAGGAGCAGCAGAAGTAGAAGTAACCTTTGACGTAGCAGGAGCAGCAGACGTAGCCGAGGTAGCAGGAGCAGCACCACCAGCGCCACAAGCAATCACAGCAGGACCAGGAGCCTTGTAGGAAGTGTAAATACTAGGCTGATAGATATCCACCGAGATACCAGGATCAGAAGCCGAGTAACCACCAGGCAGCGAGATCAAGGCGTTGCTAGCAGGAGAGAAGGAACCAGAGCCTGTGACCTTGATCTGAGCGCAGGATTGGTAGAACTGAGCGCCGTTGGGCGAGTTTGCGGAGTGCAGGGCCAAAAGTTCGACACGCATGAGGTATTGGCCAGGGGCGATGCAGCTGGGCATTGTGAATTTCTGCCAGCCGAAGCCATTGGCGTCGGTGTTTTTGATCATGTTGTCGACACCCCAGACGCCGGCTGAGGTGACTGCGTCGCTGGCAATCTTGAACCACTTCAGGCCAGTAGCAGATGCGGAGACGGCGTCGTCGACTTTGGCAAGGTAGACCTGGGTGGGGCCTTTGTGGGAGGAGGCGATCGGGTTGTCGGAGTCGCCGGAGCCTTGAGGACCACCAAGACCGTGAGCCCAGGCACCGGCAACGGCGGCACCAGCGGGAATGGTGATGAGCTTGGATGAGGTGCCGGCCATGTTGCCGCAAAGCAGGTCGGTGGAGGTGACATCTTGGACGGGATTGTTGGTGGGAGGAGCACGGATGCCGGTCAAGGAGCCTTGGTCAACACCATCGACCATGATACGTTGCATAATGGCGTGGGCATTGACGGAGGCGGCGAGTGCCAGAGCAGAGACGAAAGAGTACTTCATGATGTATATGAGAATCGAATGTGGATACCTGCCAGAGGATCGGAAGAAGATATGTGTGAATTGAACGAAAGAGGTTGTTGGGAGAAAAGAGCGGTGGTCGAAAGGAATGTAGACTGCAGAGGCGATGCTGAGAGGAAGAAAGAGTCAACCCTCGAGGTAAAACCTTGCCCTTATATGTATACATGTTTTCCACATCCAGGGCAGAGCCTCGATGGGCATCCCTACACTCACCACTTGGAGACTGCAAGCAGCGCCACAAACGATAGGCTGATAACCAGCCAAGGCGGTTAGTAGTCGTTGTTCGTTGAACAGTAACATGCCAAGTGGGCGAGTCTGGATCAATCGGCATAGGGCAAAGTCAAATGCACTGGAAGCGATCTGGTGAGGATGTGCCAGCACAGCTCGCGTAGCATCAATCCTAGAAACGTTGATGCATAGATGAAGCACGAAGAAGGAGGTCCACCTATACTCGAAACAAAATAGTTGTTGCCAAGTACGGTCTGGGGCGCTTCTGTCCCGCGTGTGAAAATGCACCTTGCCGATGCTGAAAGCTGATTTTCAACCTTGGTATGGTAGCAAGGCCCGAATATCCGCAGCTAAAGGTGTCAGGTCCACGATTGACCGCTGGTTGTCAGTATGGACCTGCATTCTTCCATATTTCCAGACCAATAGAGGAGCTTTGCCAAGGATAAGCATTTTATAGAACAAGTGTTTGTACAACATGCAAGTCGAGAGCATCCAAGCAAACGCCCGAATGTGGGGATGCGGAAAAGTTTACCTTAATCTCGCTTCAGCACGAGGGCTTCATGACTCTCTGAAGCACGCTACTCAAGTGCGTCTGTCTGCGTTTCATCGCTTTGGAGCATGGGAAGAAAACGTAAGCGACATCTCTGTCGCAGCGAGAATGACAGTGTCTTGTCCAGCACTCAGCCGCAGCGCTTTGCAACGCCAAATGCGACGCAAAGCAGGATGACTGAAAGGATCCTTGTCTTTATCTAGGTCAAGATTGTGATAGAAAGTAGTAGAGCTCATCAGTCTCAATCTCGGACGGCTGTACAGCACTTCCTTGATCGGCTCGCTCGTGCGGTCCGTGTCTCAGATCTGTTGCTCGCTTTTGGATGTCTTTGCTGACGGCGTTCGATGGCGCAAGGTCGCTTCGGTCAAGATTGAATACAGTCATGAGACAGAGAGCTCTAGCTGGTGTGAGAAAGCCTCGTGACTCAAGTGAGTATAAGCAGGCAGCCAGCCAGTTAGCCAGTCAGCCATACGGCCGCTGCATTTCTGGGTTGGCTGTCAGTCCGTATAGTAGGTGACGGACTTGTAGCTATATCGCGCTGTTATAGTGCTACATTAACGGTCGTTCATCATTAGGCTGTTGACAAAAGATGAGTCTGGAAGGGCGCCGGCTCCTCGCACGAAGCTGTCAGCTTCGCGACCCCGCAGCGTGTTTTACGGCCGACGACACTGGACATGGCACAGAGCCACGAGGACGAGGCTGTTGTTGGAAATCAGCCTGTCTGCTTCGGCTGTATCGTCACATCCGCTATGCTAGTTCCCAAAGGTCGGTTGCATCGGGAGATGTATGAGCGTCCTCGAGCAGCGCGTCGATATTCGTTAGTGGGCAGACCGGCGGATCCCGAGTCAAGAACTCTGACAGGGTGGTACTCCCGACTAACATTAGCAGCATTGAGAACGATATCGAAGTAGCAACAGATGGTCAGCGTGACTAAAGACATGATGGATATGGCGAAGGGTAATCTAAAAGGTGCGTTGTCAAAGTGTGCAGAGCTTTTTGTTCAATTTGTGATCGTCACCGTGGATGCAAGTGGTTAGATACCAAGCTTGGATGTGACGCACCCAAAGTTCCATCTGGGAAGAGGTGAATGAATGTTTTAACGACATACAAAAGCTTGATGCCTTAATCCTCGAAGGGCATGCTCGTCGCTAGCTCTTACAGGTTTCTAGATGTAAGCCAAGTACATCGCTCAAGAACATAGAAGTTTGGACGATGTCGTCGCTTGTTGTCTGCAACTAGTCTCGCTTCGGGCTCCAAAAATTAGGAATTGATAGACTAAGTGGCTCAAGTACAACCTCATCAAATGGTGAGATGGCCGAGCGGTCTAAGGCGCCAGCTTAAGGTTAATTCAATACGCTGGTCCGAAAGGGCGTGGGTTCAAATCCCACTCTCATCAATATTCTTTTGCACATAGTATACACGCTAGTGGTAGGCGAGAAGGAGGAGGAATGGGTGCCGGAAGGGATTTTTGAAATTCTGGACGCGGGATTTGTGGATAGCTTTTTTTTGTGCGCGAAGTCTAAATGCATGAATTGGCTTGGCGAAATTGTGTAGAGGATAGAGCAGAGTGTGGGGTACGGATGTATGGGTTGTGTAGGGTTTATGCATGATGATATCTGGTTGGTGGTGAACGAATTATGGCCGCTTCGTGTTTTGCAGACTGCGAAAGTCAGAAAGCAAGTCGAAGGCAAAGGATGGATACCACCGCGATGTCCGGATAATCGACGAGCTTTCGCAAGTAGATCAGATCCAGGCTATGCGTTCCGTAATGCCCAAGATGCCATCGCAACAGGGTCGGCGAATAGGGACGAAGAATCTCCAGTCAGAAACATGACAGTGAGCTTACACCGCAGCACCAAGACATCATGCCCACGAGGCCTTGAGTTACGCGTCATGGGGATGTTCATACAATCTATGCTTATGGGGTAGGCGCAGAACACAAGGTAGAGCCCGAGACATTCAATCTGCTTGGCTGACAATGTTCCGGGCTGGGGGTTGTACACAGCCGCGTGGCTAGAAGAGATTGACATGCTTCTCACACAAGAAGATCTGACATAATGGTGGAGTGGAGTGCAACCAAGAAGGTGATCTTGTTGTAAGGCCGCGGACAAGTCGGAGGCAGAAGAGGTCTTGACACCGAAGTGAGGCTGTGGATATGAGGCTGCCGGAGGTTGGTATGGTAGATCGGCAAGAGATGCGCAAGAAAAGGCGGATGCAGAATCACCGACACCGCCGAATGTGGATAATCATCACACGTCAGTAAATCCTCCGAAGTATCACTGCAGACTCAGCTTGAAAAAGCAGCATCATGACTGTATCAAACAAGAAGGCGAAGTTCTCCAGGTGCAAGAGGTTGACGGTGACGTTCAGGGTCCTTCGGGTAACCCCACGGACTTGCTAGTCCAAAACAGGCAAAGCCTTCGGACTTTCTCGAGGCAGCTTATCCTTATTCTTGATTCATCCTTTGCCTTGCCTCTGCGCGTTTGTATGAAGCAGCCCGAGGAGAGCGCGTGAGCAGCGAAATAGATGCTGGAGCTTCGGAGAATACGCGTCACTGCAAGTCAGAAGGCGATGCAGAAGGGTCCAGTGGCCTGCAACAAGGCTGCATGACGCGGCTGTGTGACGGGATGCTGCTATATAGGCAGAGGAGGAAGGTAGGTTGTTTGCATTTGCATTTTCGAAGCAGAGAAGCATTTTGTCCCATCCCCACCACCAAACACAAACAGAAAAAGACAAAGATCCTCAAGATGAAGTTCGACTTTTCCATCCTCGCTGCTGCTACTGCTCTTGTCGGCTCAGTCAATGCCGCTCCTCAGAATAACAACAATGGTAACAACTGGCAGAGCTACGCTTCGCAAGCAAGTTCTTACTGGGCATCAGCTGCACCTACCGCAAGTGGCGAGTGGTCTTCCTGGGCCAATGCCGCCTCCTCGTACTGGAACAGCGTGAGCCCCAGCGCTGCACCCTCGCAATGGTCATCCTACGCCTCGGCTGCATCTTCATACTGGGCTTCCAACAGCGGCAGCCAGATTACTGCTGCTCCCAGTGCCTTCCCTTGGGCTGGTGGCTTCGGCCCTGGAGGTCATGGCGGCCCTGGTGGCTGGAGAGGTGGTAACGGGTACGGCCCTTTCGGCTCCAATGCCAACAATAGCGCCGCTGCTTCCAACTCTGGCTGGGGTCCTTGGGGTCAAAGCGGTGCTTGGACTTCCGGTCCCTGGACATCTTGGTGGGGCGGAAGTAACTGCCCTGACAGCACTTGGTCTGGTTGGACTTCCGGACCTTGGGGCACTAATGCACCTTGGACTTCTTGGTCTGGCTGCCAGGCTTCCACCACTGCGACTTCTACAGTCACCACGACCGTGTCAGGTGTCCCCACTACTTCCCTTTCCTATGGTGTCCAGGTGAATGCTGCCACAGTCGCTTCTGGGTCAGCCTCGGCAGCTACGGCTTCTGCTACTGGTGCTGCTGCCAATCTTGGTGTTTCTGGCGCTGGTGTTGGAATTGGAGCTGCTATCGCCGCTTTGTTGATGCTGTAAAGAACGCATGGGATTACATCGGTATGAATGGCATGATCTTGACGAGGAAAGCAGAAGTCGGGTTTTGCTTGTATGCTAGGTTGCGATGGGGACAACTGAAACACGCTTGTCAAACACAACTGTACCTTCTCTTGCCTCGTGATGTTGTGTCAGTCGGCTCCGCTTGTGTATTGCAGAACGGTTGGGTTGAAGGACCCTTCAGTGCCGTGTACGTGGCCATCCAGCAATATATTCGTGATATGAGACAAGTCTGCGTACCACTGTGTCTAAACTGTCGCTTTTGCTCGTCTTCATGAGTTGTTTCGCATGGTCGAATGTGCGCGAAATGAAGCCTTGTCAATGACGCCAGAAATGCTCGGCGTCGGGCGCAATCTGCGGACAGGAATGGGTGACTTGTGTTGTGCCACGGCCAACAACCGTCTCGCAAACTCGTAGTCGACTCGCTATACTGTCATTGTCACTGCTGGCTGTCGGCGGAAGCTCGTGACGCCCCTCTGAGCATAGCGAGTGATGGCTCGACGGGTGCTTGCCACTTTATTGTGTCATCTGCCTGTACAGGCCATCTTGCTTCCAGACGCTCAACAGCTATCTCTTCCAGCCTCCGAGAGCTTCGAAGAGCACCGCCCGGGGTCCTTTCAGCTCTCTCGTAGCAGTAGAAGCAGACGCGAGTCATCATCAGGTGAAGGAAATGCTTGTTGGCGCGAGCACAGGCCGGCCGCGAGGTGCGGTCTTGCTCACAGCGCCGGCGTTATTGCCTTCCATTCCTCACAGCTCCCTCTGCGCCAACCACAACATCGACGACAAAATTATCATCAACAACTTCTCCTTCTCTTCAATCGCACGCGGTCCTCTTGTACACAGAGCTCTATCACGCTTGTGGCTGTTCAAGGCAGTTTGTGATGGCCTGACACCTAACGCCTACACTCTTCAGGTAGATTCGCATCGCTCAAGCTCAAGAAGGTGCGACCATCAGTGCTTTCCCTTCAGCCGTACGCTGACCATGATGGCGATAGATCTGCGCACCTTCCGCGAAACTCGCCGTTGCTTCCGCTGTACTCAAGTAAGTCTGGTGACGCGCACTTTCCTAAGGTAAGCGCGCATCATCAAGCAGCGCCACCCGTTCTCATCAACATCGCCTTGCACCATCAGTCAACGAACCCATTTTGCTTTGGCATACCAAAAGAGAAGGAAGTAAGAGATCTTGGTCGAGGTATTCTGAAAACAGCTGAAGTGCGCCAAACAAGCAGCGAGAGACACCGTCTCGGAGTTGACAGCTGGCTTCTCATTGTCTCGTCGCTTCGGCGAAGCAACCTGGCAGTCGACTCGCAAGCAAACTTGTCGTGCGCCGAGAATGGTCTGTTGCTCTTCCGGGCTCTCCTTAGGGCAATTGGCCAGGTGTTGCTGTATGACGGCCGCGCTTTCCAGGTCGAGTTGGTGTCCTTGCCCTCCACACATCTTGCCTCCCCGGTAAGCCCGGCAGACTTGTGCTGGTCCGATGAAAGTCTTGTGCCTGCCCTCTCGTACCTCTTCATCTTTTTTCTGTCTTTTCTTTCTGTCTTCTCCTTTTGTCCTTTGTCTCTTGCTTCTGCTTTTGCTTTTGCTTCCTTCATTGCTGGTCAACAACAGTAAGTCTCCAGACCAAGCAATACACCCGGGCAAGAAGTGTAAGGCGCCCACCACCTGTCATGCGGCTGATCACCCTCGGCTTCCGCGCATCACCCCCATCTTCTGGCAAGACGCCACACGACTCCCACACCCGCGCTCAGATGAACGGTAAGTCTATACAACGGTAGGTCAAAGGGCATCGGCCATGGTAACCGACCCTCCTTCTCTCATGTCTCCCAGCCGCCTCCGGGACGTTGGTCAACCCTACCCACCCGAAAGCTCCGGCTTGCTCGCGTTTTACACACCCCACCGGCAGCCTTCCTTCGGGATACTGGTCCGCGCTAAAAAACCTCCCCCTCACGCAAAGCTCTCGGAACGCCGAAATGGAATCACCCATCGGTGCAGCATGAAGGTCTTCTTTGGCCCCTCTTGATTCCATTCAACCCTCTCGGGGGCAAAATGTCGAAAAAGGGGGATGAAAAGTCGGCCTTGCGTAGCTCCCTTTGTGTGTCCTTCTTCGCTTCCTTGTTTCGCTGTTTGCAGGTCTTCCTCGTTGGCTCTTTTCTTCCCGCCTATTTGAATGTGCCGTTTTATCAGTACTGCTTCGCGCTGCTGCGACACAATGTTTCTTGGTGCTTTTCTGGAATACAAAATTGCTGACGCTAACGCAAATGATGGCTGCGTGTTCGTTTATGGACATAGGCTGGGCGTGTGCGCAATAAGATTGAATGTCTTCCCCTTTGGGGAGCCATAGCTATGGGAAACGCATAGATGCCGCCTTTCTTTGGAGGTTATTTTGCTAGTAGTTCCTTGCTACATTTGTGGGTCAGGGGCTTTCTTGTGGGCGAACCATGTCTCTTGGCTGTTGAGACTTCTTGTCGGCTCTGTTTGATATCGATAAAGGTTTTCGTTTTGTGTGATTGTGACCATCATCCTATTTCGGGAGTGAGCCATTCCGAGTTTTTGTTGCGTCGACCATTCGCTGCGTGGCTGTTTGGCGGAGTGCGGAGCTCACATAAATGCCTGCTTCTGCGCTTCACTCGGGAGTTTGTGCATGACTTTCGATCAAGTCGATCCAGGCCGTTGCAATCGTTCTGCCGAAATTGTTGACATCCCTGAAACCAATGCTAGCAAGCACCCTGAGGCCTCCAAATACGACTATGCGAAAACGCGTGTGCAAAGGAAAGAGGTGTGTCTGTGTTGACATACTTTAGTAGACAGACGCGTAAGTCGTGCCCTGTCCCTTGTCATCATCTTCTCCTTACCACTACTGGCTGAGATAATGCCGCACAAGTCTGTCGTTACGTCTCGAGGTAGTAGCCGATTAGGGACCTTCGCATGAGTCTCAAACTTTGCAAATTTTCTTTCCACATCACCTCATGAGACCCTTGAGATCGAACGGTGAGTGGATCCCATGTTGTGAGTAGAGATGTGTAATTGTAGCGGCCGAGAAGCTGTACCGAGCTGAGATGAGCTGAGCTGAGCTGAGATGCTATTACTCACAAACCGAACCGACGACGGGAGGTGAGTGTTCTGTCATAAATCATACTCTTCCCTGCGCAGTTATGATGGCGGCGAATGATCGGACGAATGTATGGAGTCTAGGATACGGTCCTCAAGTCGATCTCAAAGAACGAGTCGTACGATCAAAGCGGATATCCCTCACGACAGATCCGTGGCTAAACACTCGAGTGCAGTCGCCTGACAATACCATTCTAGGAAGTCTTGCGATGTTGAGATGATAGGTAATATAACGCGGTAGATGAGCCATGGCGGACACGAGAGCTCGACTGCGTCCGAGAAGGTCCTACCATAGTTTATGAAACAGATTCTATACACCCAAAGAGTTATTTCAGATTGAGATGCCCTCAAGACGTGGCTGGCTTATTTTGTTGGCAGAGTGGATCTGACTGACAAACAGTAATTGGTGAGGCACTGCAGCAATAGATTGTAGTGAGAAATCTTGCAAGCAGAGATGCTTGGTGCATAACAAAAGAGCTTGGTGACAAGACAGAGACAAGTATAGGTGTCTGCGATGCATTGGTATTTTGGGGGGGTGGGGGGAACTGCGAACAGATGACCATGTAGACTAGACTCTGTGAGAAAGAATGCAGCGTTCGTGGAAGAGGCTTGAATCCTCGCAGGCGCATGAATTTGGATTAGCTTGCGAAGATCTGTCTTTGCTCGGCAAATTCACGATTGATATTGAATTGATTCACATCGAACCACTAATCCACAACAACCACAAACATCAATTCTCTCTGTGTCATCCTAAGACGCCTGACAGCCACATCAGTCTACTCTTCCATACCATCATCACACAATCCAGCATCATGGTGTCCACCAGAAAGGGCGTCTACGAGTCGGATCCTCGCGCCGCAATCAAGACCAGGAACAAGCGCAAGCAGGTCGATGAACTTACGCGATCCCTTCAAGATACTCCTGCGCACGTCGACGCTACCACTGAGCGTCACAATGCCCCTGACGGGTACGATTGGGCTACCGATCTGATGAACACGAGAGAAGCTCCTGAACAAGATCACTCGGGCTCCAAGCATACGATCAAATCCTCTGGCCCCTCGAGTATGTCCAGCATCAAAACTACCCAAGAAGAGCAGCAAATGACAAACCGCGCTGCCCCTGCTGATCCTAAGGCCTTCAATGTTGACCTGCATCACACCGACCGTGGCTTTGCTCACGTCGAGAATGGCATCGTCGTCGTACCCAACCACGTCTACGTTGCATCGGAGACTGCCTCAGGTCGACTTCTCGAGTGGGCCGAGGTCTCCCTTGACCAAGAACGCATTTACACGCGCTTCAAATTCGCACTGGAGGCCGGCACAGTCACCAACCTCCGCGAGTTCTACGCTCTGCCTGAAGACCATGTCGCCAAGGTGGGCCCGACCAGCTTTAATAAGCAGGTAAGTACAGTTGTGGCGTGATGCTGAAGGGACTCTCTGACTGACTCTCCTTAGCTCTTCTACAGCGCTGGCTTGCTCTACCAGGCCAGAAGCATTCTCATTGACGAAGGTTTCCGTGCCTCCACTTGAGTCTGGAAACTGCGGTAGAAGATTCATTGGTGCCCCCTAGAGAACCATGATTGAATCCCTGATATAGACAACTTGGAGGCCGAGAGTTCACTTGCATTGAGGCAGCGCTCGATTGTGCTGGACGACGATGGACGAGAGAAGGTTACTGATTGCATACAATAGTCGCCGAAAAGTACGGTAGATATGCAGATGTGTCTTATATCACCAGATTGTATAACTGCAAGGTTACGCTTATGTCGCATTCAATCGTTGTGAGCTTCCCTGTGCATTCGGAAGGCTTGCACCTAGTACCTAAGTGGGCTTACAGTGTCCAGGAAGTCTCGTCGATAAATGGGACCATCACGTCCTGGCGACGGAAGGGGCATCAATCGGATGGAGCCACTAACTCATGGCTGCTCTCAGCCCATATTGCAACCTCATCAGCTTGTGCTGGTGAGCACGATGGTAAAACCGTGCTGAATATACTATGATTGTGGAGACAAGTATTGAGATACGTGAGAGATGTAAAGCAGCCCCACAACCTGTCGCCAAACGTTCGAGCAAGTAGATCGTGTTATAGACCTGAATAAGTAGAGAAAGGAACATCCTAGACAATGCCCGAGTTTCACAAACAACCAGTCACATCAACCAGGACTAACACATTGCTAACAGGACGAAGAATTATTGGACGTATATTATACATGGTAGAGCATGATTGGAACGCTGATACCCTGTATCACTTCTGGTCACAGGTATTTGGTAGGAGCGAAAAGTGTATGCAAGTCACTGAAGCAGATACTACGAGGGAAATCTCAGTGCAGCGAGAAAGCGGTGCAGGAAACAGATGCGGAGGGAGACAGGAAGTGCAGCAAGAAATGTGCCAAACTGAGCATACCGCTGATGACATTTGATCACGACAGAGTGAGTGTCTCGCAGGTGGCCAGATTAGGACTAGCCCACGACCATGGTCGCGTTCTTGTTTGTATCTTCAGCAAATCCACGAATACCGTGTACACAAATTATTTCTCTCTTCTGCAGCATTGTAAACACCACGTCCAGATTGTCGCGCGCTTATCGCGAAAATTCGGCAAGATGATTTCGACAAGAGCAGAACACCACGCAACACCGTCCGTGGACACTACCAGTCAAAAACGTAAGTTTAGACGTGTAAACAAGCAAGTCGCTTGCTCTGACCTCATTGGAGCTTCTATCTCCACCAGCAGAGAGATTGGCGTGGACACTCGGAATCCGGCAGCGCCCAGTGGCGTCGTGGTGTGCAGAGGCAACCGTGCCGCTGGAGCCAGACGCAGCAGAAACAAGAAACGCAGAACAGTCAACCCATCTCATTCACCCCACGAGGGATTTGAACCTGAACAGCACATCTCGCCCCAACCTATCTCACTGGCCCTCTCGGACGGACCTGGACATCAAGAGTCCCTCGATCTCAACACAACAACTCCTCAGGACGAGGTCCTCAAGCTCCTTCACGACGAGGATGTCCAGGATCTCCTCCACAAAGCTGCGATTAGCAAGAATGCCAGTGAGAGAAAGGCCGGAGAAGTGTTGAAGACTCGGCTGCATCGTATCCCAGAGCTAGTGGCTAGAGCAAAGCGGACTGAAGAGCAGCTTCGTATCTTGAGAGACATGAAGGCGGAACTACTCGGCAAGAAGGGGCGGGAGACACATCGATGCGCCAAAAGCGACGTCGAGACGAGCGCTTCTACTCCTACACCCGAGGTCAAAGAAGACAACAAACCATCGAGTAATACCATCGACAACTCCCTAAAGTCTACCAAGAACATCACTGTGCCAAAGCACTATATGCAGCCTGAACTTCCCACCATCGTCCCCTCAAACGGCGACATCCGGGTCCCTGTGTCTATCGAAATCCGTGAGCTGCGCAAGACCGCCACCGATGACTACGTGCAGAAGTTCAATGACTACGGACAGGAGCTCCACAACCGCGAGTAGAAGCTCAATGACCGCGAGCAGAAGCTCAAAGACGAGCACGTGCGTTTGCGCCTTGAGCGCGGGGAGATCGAGAGTAAAGCACTGGTAGCCGTCCCTTGGGACAAGCTCTCCCCCGAACAACGTGCTACATACATGGAGTCGCGCGGTCTTGCAGCCTTCCACGGTGCCGCACATGGAAGCAGTTGCTTTGTCTTGATGGCTACCAATATCTCTGCATTCAACTCGATCAGTGAAGACGAGAAGGAGCCCTCAGCCAACATTGATGGACCGCAGAGTGCTTTCGGCTACGTTGGCTCGGGAAAGACTCAGAAGGCGGATTCGGTGGTGATTGATTGCGACGAGCAGGGCTGTCATTGAGCCTTAAATTTGACTCGTCCCAGGTAGCTAATTCATGCGCAGAGGGGATCAGCTCGCGAGAAAGATGACTAGTGGCAACAATAAGCTGTGAGAGAGCAGTGTGGAGTTCAATGTTGATGTATCATTGAAAGCCATGGCACGGGAGTAAGACCTATCGGTCGGGGCCTGGCGAGAGGTTTAATACCGAGAAGATCGTGACATAGGGGTGCATTAATGGCAGGAGTATTCGGTTACGCGGAGACCGAAGATAAGGTTGAGGGATGGTTCAGGAGTCCACCAAGAGTAGCCGTAGCGCAAGCGCTCCTCGAAAAATGCTATAGATCGGCATGAAGATTACAGTAGGATTGAGCAAGGGATGGAATCGTGCTTCTTGTTTTCAAATAAAGCTCTTAGAAACATTCTTGACTCATCTTAGCACATCCGTGGTACCAAAGTGAAGCGGAATCATTTTCTTAAAGTCCAGTAAGCCTCTCGACGACGCATGGTGGCGGCCGCGCTCTCCGTATCGACAACATCAATGAGATTTTCTATCGAGTTCGGTGGTTGTGAGAACTACACTGCGAATGGTGTGCAGTTGTGCGTGGCTCTGGGGAAGCTGATGCGAGCGAAGATATGACGAGATAGGGCCGAGTATAGCTCTGAGTTTGCTAGCGTCTTCTTGGGCAGATCGAACTTGCTCGCGAAGGCGTGCATTTTCTTGCTCGTTTGCTGGTTCGAAGTCGACTGCCATCTGATCATGAGCCTCGTAGAGTCTCTCAAGCGCCGACAGCGTCTCTTGGTTTGCGATCTCAAGATTAGCGACCAGGAAGACCTCTCGAGCTCTGAGATCTGCGGACTCGACCTCTACCGCGCTGATAGATTCTTGCGTTGAATCAATTGGCACCAAAGTTCCACTGCGCAGCGCAATGCGCCCTTGCAATTCATCCACTGTGACGAGTGCTGCATTTCTCTCCTCCTTCAGCTTTGTAGCGCGAGCTACCCACATGTTAAACTTTGTTCTGATGCAGGATTTACAATCAGGATCGGTGGGTGGTGCAGGGGGTTTACCGCAGGTCGAACACGGTGTGATTCCGGATGTCGTCTGTCCCGGAGGAGACGACACTGCGGTTGCGTATCGGGAAGTAGGACTGGTCGAAAAGTTGGACGCTTACTGCTGCCCTTCGACGTCGTTCACACGAGCCTGGAGTCTGGCACACTCTTCGCATGATAGTACGATGCTGTTTGGTACAAGTCCACCGCAAACATGACAAGGTCGCGAGTCCAGGGTTGCCTTTGCTTGCTTGTCGTCTTCGGATGCAGAGGTACGCGCGGCCACGGCGGCGTCGGGGGTGTCCGCCGGGATGTGTCTCTTAGCCTCTTCGAGCTCGCGACGTACGGCCGCCATCTGATCACGGAAGCTTTGACTTTGCTCGTCCAATCTGATTCTGGCTTGCTCTACAAGAGCTTGTTTCTCATCCTGCAGAGCAGCTGTGGCTTCGATCACGGCAACTTTACTGACGTCCGTGGAGACTAGGTCGTTGATTCCTGCGATCTGACTGCGTAGCCTCATGTTCTCATCCTCCATTGCTCTTGCTCGGGCAGTCAAATCATTGAACTCGATTCTCGCGGCTCTGGACCATTCATCGGCAGCATTGTCTTTATCGATGAGCGCCCAGATTCCAAGCCTGAGATTCGGGCAGCTTCAGACTGGATCTTCTTGTTGGCTTGATCGAGTTGGATTTTGAAGTCATCTCTTTCTCTGTTCGCGGCTTCGATCTGAGAGGTAGCCTTCTGAACCTTCTCGGGAGCATCGGGCTTCTTCGCTATGTTGGCCTCATCAAGTTGGGTGCGCAAGTTGTCGGTCTCTTTGTTCGCGGCTTGGAGTTCGACGCTTGACTCGTTGATTTGTCCTTTGAGCTTGGCGACTTCGAGGTCAGATTCGTTCTTCTTCTTCTGTAGGTCTTGTAATTGCTGTTCGCTGTAGGCCAAGTCGCTTTCAACTCTCCTGAGATCTTTCTTCAGGTCACTCTGGGTGGTGGGCTTTTGCGCGATGGATTCAATGACGCGAGGTTGAGTTTCTTTCTCCACCGTGGCTTCGTAACCGCTCTTCTCATCCGCTGGTCGGTCTTCGACGAGCAATACTTGCTTCATAGGCTGAGTGTTTTCACCGAGCGTGTTCTGCTGAGCAACTTGCTGAGCCTCAAGCGCTTCCAACTCCTCTGTGACGTCCTCAATCCCAATCACCTTCGCGATAACTCGACCCGTAGACCTGGGGACTCGGCTTGGTCTTTCGTCTTCGAGGACGACGGCCTGGCGGATCTCATCGAACGGTTGAGCGAAGCTGCTGTCAGAAGAGGGTTCATTCTGCTTCAAGAGGTGTCTTTGGGTGAATTGACTGTAACTGTTGGCTTGAGTGATACCAGACTGGGTCGTTCTGGAGTGCGCAGAACCAAGTCCAGAGCCTATGCTCACACCAGAGGACCCACCAGATGACTGAGTAGCTGATTCTGCTTGAGGAAGAAAGCTTGCGGCCATCGCTCTCATTGCACCTACCGCTGTCTGTCTGGCGGCGGGTGTTGTACCGGCATCGAGAGTAATACTCGCACTACCATGAGAAGACTCGACGAAGTGTTGGGTAGCTCGTTGAGTAGGCTGAGTTTGCGTGAGGCCGCCTCGAGGAGCAGCACCTCCCCTGCCGCGCCTGCGACCACCTTTACCGCCTCCATGCGGTGGGGAGACGTAGTCATGTTGAGATTGATGTTTTGAGTAGTTATTGCGTGGTGTTGTATGCTTTGTGCTACTGCCTCCATTGCTGCTAGTGTCAGGAGCGTCCCACTGAGACAGGTTTTTCTTGGACCAGATCGTCTTTGTATCTGGGTTCTTCAGGGATGCATCTGCGGAGGGGGCAGGGGCAGAATCGGTCTCACCATTTATCTTTTGAGGGTTGCTGAACTTTGGTGTCACTGATTTGTCGTTCTCCTTCGTGTTTTTGTGTGCCTTGTCGGGTGTGGCGGTGTCGTGGTCTGTCTTCTTGGGCTTTGATTTGAACTGAGCCATGATGGCAGAGTGTGCGCGATGATAGTACTTGATTGATATTGGGATTTTACGGTGCAAAAGGTGTGTGATTCGACGAAGAGTGACAAGGAAAAGCCCAAAGCTGTTTTTGTGAATTTGCGCTGGTGAAAACAAAGCGAGTCCTTGATCGAGACCGTGGAAAATTCACACATGCACAAAGAAATATCCCATGATATGGACGAGAACTTGTTTTCCTGGGCTCCCTCTAAGAACGATGGCATGTATGATCAACAGCTGTAAAGAGGCACAGTGCTTTTGATATTAAGCATACATGTCGATGGGAGAGGCAAGACAGGCCTTTCCCTTCTGCAATGATTCTATATGCCAAATACACTCTGCTTCTCTATATACTGGACAGCAAGTGTATACGATGATGGAGAGGCGACTCGATATCGTCCCTTGCGCAGCTATCTCGGAGACCCATGCTATGCACCATTGGCAGCTGTAGAAAGGCACAATAATTTTCAAGTTCGGTAGATATGTCACTGGAGACAGCCATATATCGCTATCCATTTTTCACGCTTCAGTATCATGAAGAAGATTCTGCATTTGGACAGGATGTACAGTTGTTATGACTGGCCAAGGAAAGACGCTGTATCATAACTCCTGATGTTTCAACTATGTACTCCTGAACAAAGCCACTACCTCCTGTCTATTCTCTAATTTCCAGCTCCTCGACCTTCTCCTCCAGTTCCTTGTTCTCCTACATGATCTTTGCCCAGCCATTGATGGTCGCAAGTCTGTTCTCGCGGTCCATCTGAGCCTTCATGCGACCGAAAGCTGCCAGGGTCTCCTCCAACTCCCCGATCTTCTCGTTCTTCGCTGCCATTGCAGCCGCAGCATTTGCCCCTTATGCCATGTCAGGGTACTGATTCTGCCAATTCATCCACTCCTGAAGTAGCTTGTTGTAGACACTGGGATGGTGCCAGAACTTGAAGTTGCAGGTGACCTTCATCTCGTATAAGGCTATGGCAGGGCCCGGGAGAAAGTGCTTGATGCTCGAGAACTCGCGCATACGCCTGCAACAGGCAGGATCACGGGTCGCAGAAACATGTAACTGCAACAGGCATCTCTGACACCAGATGTGGTCGCGACAGACATTCAGGAGACTTTCACTGGAGCCGCACCACTGGCAGGCAAGAAGTCTCAAGCGCTCGCAGTCAGCGCGGATGTCCGGGCGTAACATATGCTTGACTTCATTGAAGGAGACGTCGATGTCGTAGGGGCGGTAAGCTGAGCGCTCGGTCACTGCGATGCGGCGAGGTCGGGCTGTGTGATGGTCGGCCTCGAAGGTCTTGTTCACGCACTCGGAACACCAGTAGCAGCTCTTGCATGACATGTGCAGATGAGATGGCGCAGGGCGAGCAGACTCATAGGCACCGTACTGCCAGCAACAAGGGGTAGGAGCGCACTCTCCCTGGTGTGTCTTCCCGCAGATGAGACACGGTAAAGGCTTTTCTGCCCTGCGATTGCTCTGTGATGGTCGAGGGGCAGGTTGTGCAGGCCGAGACCTGGGTGGAGGATGCGTCTTGGAGCTCCAGATGGTTGCATTTCCGGGTGCTTACGATCGTAGTCGTCCTTCTTCTTGGGGTCGCCGAGGACCTCGTAGGCGGCGTTGATTGCTTGCATAGTCGAATTGGCGCTCTCGCGCTTGTTCTTGTCGGGGTGATTTTTGAGGCAGGCGGCATGGAAGGCTTTTTTGATTTGTGCTTGGTCGGCATTGCGAGAGAGACCCAGAAGCTTATAGATGTCTTGATCTGATGCCATTTCAGTGGTTGCTGGCGTATGTTGAATAGGCTGTATGTGATAGACAAGTAGGTGATGAGTCGCGAAAGCGCACGACGAATTCAGCTCCAAAAAGAGGTTTTAGAGCGACCGTTGCGAGAAACAGAGCGTTAGTGGAAGCAGTACGTGATCTTACGTGCAAAGCGAACGAATGAAGAGGCCGTGAAAACCAACAAGGTGGTCAGCGAGCTTGACCGAAGTATCGGTATCTTGGCTGAATAAACAAACTGAATCTCACTTGCATGCAGGAAACTATAGCTAACCGCAGAATTGCCAAGATACGCAAGTATAAGCAGCTGCTTTGTCGACAGACAAAAACGGGATTGATGATGCAAATTGGAACAGGGATATACTATAGAGCATTTCACAAATGATTGTCACGCGAGAAGCAATATTGGATTATGAGATGTTCAGGTTTTGTCAGAGTTTGGTATGCTCATTTTGTTTCGTAGTCATGAGAGCGACGACGAAGTACATATTCATGAGAGCCATGAGCTATGTATTTGGAGAGCTAAGTAGCCGTATGGGGATTCTAGCATTAGTCCCGCCATTGTATCGGTGCCCCATTGGACAATGAGTCAGCGTCAGTTTTCTTAAACTTAAGGAAGCCTTTGGTCAAGTCTGAAAATGATTTGTTTCAGTTGGATCTGCTGAGCATGGATCATTACAAGGATGTGTCGGGAGTCAGCGTTAGCAGGTTCGTCGTCGTTAGCAGGTTCGTCGTCGTTAGCAGGTTCGTCGTCGTCAAGATCAAAGTCTCCGCTCTCTGAGCCTTCTGAATCGTCGTCTATATCATCCAGAATGCCAGCACCGTGTCTTCTCTGTGCATCTTCCATAGCATCAGGACAAAGACCGCTGCAGGCTTCCCAGTCTGCGCCGCAGAAGAAGCAGAACTCGTGATGGCAGCCGTAATGACCGCCGTTGAGGCCCATGTGAGCACAGGCATTGTCCTTGAAGAGCAGGAGGTTACACTTTGGGCAGCGTCTGGCACCAGATGCTTCAGCTCCACGTATGTTCTCTGCGAGCGTTGTATCTTGTGCACAAGGACCAGGGTGAGCGAGATCTCTGCAGCACAGGCAGGCGATCGAGTTGCAGTAACGGCACTGGGTGTTCTCTGCGGTAGTGGTTGTCGAATCCGTGATAGATTCGGGCAGGGCTGCGAATCTACGGCAATTAGCATTTGGACAGTAGAAACGAAGGGGAACAGGGCAATCCCACTCAGGATAAGAGCGTTCGAGGAACTCGTAAGTTTCGGCTGGCAGAATAGACTGGAAGAAGCTTGGAGAGATTGGGCGCATGCACTCGACGCATTCAAGTCTTCTGCTACTTTCGTTGATGCCGTGCAACTGGAGAAGGGTGCAAGGCCGGCAGAAACCTGGATGTCCGCACGGCAACATGTAGACATTGTGAACTTCGCCGTCGCATGTATAGCATTCTCTTCTTACGGTGGATATCTCTGACATGGTCAGGTCGTGATGAATTGTAATCTTGTTGGTAGGAAGTGGAGGGATTGAAGTGAGGTGTTTGTGGTCTGGTATTCAAGAAAGTGTCGCTTGCTTGGATTATGTAGCAGCCGACGACGTTGACTCCCAACAACACGCGCTCTTTGTTAGCCAACAATGTCTTAGTCAACGTGAGAGGAGTTCAGTATCCATCACAAAGGCAGGCAAGAATCGACTCGTACAAACAAAGAAATGGCTCATTGATTGTAAGCCAGTCTGAGAGCAGCTCTCAACCGGAGACCACCGCTGACGGCTCTGTCTCTCCGGTTCACCCATCTTCGTTCAAGCCATTATGGCCTGCTTTGCTCAAGGCTGCGCTCCAAGTGATCTCCTTGTTCGCTATACAAAGATCATTGTCATTTTTAGGCTGGCTCGCGCAGATATAGATGGTCTTCAAACGAGGAGTATGTTGAGGTCACCCTGCGGCACCCTCACGACCTCGGTTTCCAGTCCAAAGCTGCCCTATACCCAAGTTCGGACAACGAGACGACTTCTCATAGTCTTTCGCGATACAGAGATACAGCTTTGAGTACGATCTCGAGGACTCGCACACCTGCAAACCTTCTCCGTCGCCAAGTCCCCGTAGCAAATGAGTAATCAGAAAAGCCAGATTCGACTACTGGTACATCCTGTCTGAGCTAAACGAGCGCAGAACGAACATCTCTCTCAATGGCGGCGGAGCTCGTTTAAACGAGGTATCCACGCATCCAAGCAATCAGATCATCGATTGCCTTCTTCTGAAAGTCAGGCAGACCATCAACCATACGAGCCATTCCCATATGAGCCACAGCCTGTTCGGTGTCCTCAACGTCTCCAGCCAATTCTAGGGCAGCGACAGCCTGCTGGATGGGCCGATCCTGTGTGATGCGGATCGCGGCGAAGTAGATCTGCTGGTCAACGGTAATGTTGATAGCTGCAGCCATAGCACCGCCGGGAACGCGAGGCAGGCCAACTCTGATGGCGGCATCGATGGGAGCCTTGCGGTGCCACTGCTGGCAGAGGTCGCAATTGCAGCCCTGCAGATCCTCCTTCATCAAGGCGGCGAGGTGGGCGCCGAATTTGAGGAAAGACTTGAAGTAGTAGCCAGATGGATGACCGTAGATTTCGATGTCTCTCTTGGTTGGCGTGTCATCATGTTCGGTAATTCTGTACTCGATGTGATAACCGGTGGGGAGACCACGTGTCTCGAACGCCTTGCCTTCTAGATGATTTTAGTAGAAGAACCCAACAATAAACTCTCTGAATACAAACCGAAGAGAGCTTAAACCTCGGCTTGTCTGCGCAGAGAAGCGCGGAAGTATCCGTAACCAGAGTCAGGATCGAGCACTTGGTAAGAAGGATTGCCATTGTGTAAGAAGATTCCGTTGCCATCTGAGGGCAGAAGCTCGAGGAAGATGGTGAATGGGGCTGTAGCTCCCACGGGCAGATACGACTGCTCAGGGGTGAGTTGACGCTTGAGAATGTCGCTGATCGTCGTCGATCTGGTATAATCGCATGAGTATTGAATGACAGGCTAGCTGATGTGGGTGATGACATACCCGTTGGCAGAGCCAGGAACAGCCTGCGAGGTGACATAAGGATGCGACATCGCGAGGAGTGATCTGTGCGAGACCGTGGTAAGTTGTTGTGACTTGAGAAATTGTTGGATTTGTTGTAAACAACAATCCGCGGGTGGGCAATGTGCTTAGGCGTCGCCGGATTTCCAAGCGCGTCAATTCTTTCTCGAACGGCAACCCCAACTCTTGAACGACACAAACGCCTTCTCCCCTCACACGGGCTTTGTGTCAAATCTCTTATCCGAGCCTCTTCTTTCTTGTTCACTACCGTCGTATCCATTACCCATCATCAATCACTACGACGGCAGCTCTGTGCTTCCTGCCGCACCTCTTCCATCGATCTTTTTGGCCACTGCTTTAACTATCCAGCGTCCTGACACTATTATGCTCATCACTCACCATTGAGAGAGCTTTTTCAATCAAGATCATTTCTTTGCCATTGGCAAGGAGCGCTGGGGTTAAGCGCAGCGTGCTGCCTGTCCCAGCTTTGTGTCCAGCTGCGCGTCCTTGCTGTGCGATGTCTTTGTGTGCTTCAGTACGTATTACGAGTGCAGGTTGTCCCATCGTTCTCTTCTCATTCATTCACTTAGAAATTTCCCTTTTCTGCTCGTCACTCCTGTATTAAAAGTCCGCACCGTTCCAATGCTCACTACCGCGAGCGTCAACATGACCGCGATTATTACTTCGCCATGGAAGTGGCTTTCTCAAGCTGTCACCTCCACCTTCCTATCTCCTGTCTATCAATATTTCTCTCTCACTCTCATGAACGTCGTGTACTTAGTCGTTCCTGCAATTCGAAGAGCAGCGCCAGATCCCCTGCAAAGGGCAGAATCGGGTCAGTGCAATATCGTACGATCTATCATAATCTCGAGCTTACCAGACTTATCAGCGCTAGTACTCTGCTGCCTGTCGACGCCGTGGCAAGGGCCCATACGGTCCTAACGCTCAGCATCGCAAGGGCCAGTAAGGTCGCGGTACATCCTTCGTCATTGAGGAGGAGCGCCAATTCGAAGAGCAGCGCCAGATCCCCTGCGAAGGGCAGAATCGGGTTGGTGCAATGTTGTAAGATCCATCGTTGTTACGAGCTGACTGGGTGTAATAGCACTAGCATCCTGCTGCTCGTCGAAGCCGTGGTAATGGCCCTTACAGTCCTCCCGCTCACCACCGCGAGGGCCAGTGCGACCGTGGTACCTCCCTCGTCAATAAGGAAAGGACCCATACGGTCCTGGGGCCCACATCGCGAAGGTCAGTGTGATCGCGGTACGTCCTTCGCTATTGACGAGGAGCGCCAGTTCGGAGACCAGCGCCAGGTTCGTTTCAACGAATGTCGTCAGCTCGGCTACCGTGGCCAAGATCCTCAGCCGTACTGCACTTGGCTGTTCCAGTTTTCCTCGCGATCAGTGGCATTGCTACTTGTAGTCGCGACGTTTTGGCATCTCTGGCATCTCTGGCATCTCTGCCCATTACTCGCGCGAGACCATGATCTTGAACAGTAGGATTGCTATTCGCTTCGAGTTCAGTAGACAGAGTCACTCAGACTCCCACCCTCGTGTTTAAATCAGTAAATTTGTGCAGCTGCCAGTAGAAAACTGTTTCTGATAACGCAAACAGTTGGCAAACATACAACTAGACTGCGCTGTAATACATGTTTCTGTGGCGTGGAGAAATTCCAGCCCGTCAAGGAGCGCCAGATTCGCTTGAGCGAACGTGGTCAGCTCGGCAACGCTGCTCATGGCTTCGAACTGCATTGTCCCCATCGGCAGCTGCCATCAGCACTTTGGCTCATCCTCATCGGTATTCAAGATCGTGAGCACTATGTTCACGCGCGCTCTTCAGTTTGAAGACCAGCGCCAGGTACGCTAGGCAGAGCACGATCAGGTCAGTATTCCCATGGATGTGCTATGTCATCTCGAGCTGACAGTTTGGCAAGTTCAAAATCGCTCTGCTACCTGTTAGTGCGCCGTCGCAGCGGCGGACTCTATCAGTAGCAACCCGTTCGTCGCATTGGCGATCCTCAGCAGCAGCAGTCCTACCACGCTGCTCCTCATGACGACGAGAACCATGATTACTTTGACGAAGATCACACCTTCTTCCACGAGAATCGTGGCGGCCGTTACCGTCATGATCACTACCGTCAGTAAACCATCCACGGGCTGACATGACTCTCAGTCGCTGAGCAAAGAGAATATTAGGACCAGCCCGATTTGCAACCTCATCACGACTGACGACAGTCATGACTTGATGGCTTGTGCCCAGACCGCTCCTGGAAAGACCAGTGGTTTCTTGTTCCCCATCCCCGCTCAGGCCTTCGTCAACGGCCGCTCCACCGCTCTCGTCCAGACCGGCATGGCTCACCAGCGCGAGGTTTACCCTACCTCGCTCATTCTTGCCCCCACTCGTGAGCTCCTTGGACAGATCTACGAAGAATCCCGCAAGCTCTCGTACCGCTCATAAGTCCGCCCCTGTGTTGTCTACGGTGTCACCGCCTTCTTCGAATGCCATTAGTTGATGCTATTTGAGGAAGAGCGGACTGGGAAACTTCAAGAACGTTGGCGAACTAGAAACCTCAGGCTAGGGTTCGGGCAGCGCCGAACATTTGTTCTTCTGGAGACTTCTTGTTTCGCTGCGGCGTTAGACATGCTGGTTTCTTCCATTCTGAGCTTGGAACGATTGAGAACAGACTTCCGTCAGTTTCTGTAATACTATGGGGTATATATCCAGTCTTCTGCTTTGACCACAAGCTACACATTCAGCCGCACGACCAGGTCATTATGTGTTCATCGATCATGTTGGAATTCCTCTTTGACCATGCTGAGTAGTAGTAGCGCTCTGCCAGCCATCGTAAGGAGTGTTGATGAGAACAACTCTGGTGAACTGAAAGTCTTCGGCTCAAGCAGCATCGAATATTTGTTCTCCCGGAGATTTTCTCGTCACTGGACAATGGTGTTGGGCGTGCTGTTTCCTTTCAGCGTGAGATTGAAAGGGTTAGAATAGGCGGTCGAGTACCGGATCACCTCGGACTCCATGCTCTGTCATGTCTTTTGAGTTCGAGCAGCAGCGTCAGTCGTCCGACGAGGTCAGTACAACTTTGTCCATTTTCATAACGTCTCGTTCTAATCTCTCGAAGTAGCAACATCAGTCTGATGCCCATCGTTGTTAGTGCCAATGGTGTTGGTGAATCGTAAGCCTCAAGTCTCGAACATCTCTGGAGATCATTGCCTGATGGCAAATGATATTTGGCATACTGTTCTATTCCTCGTGAGCTTGGAAATATTGAAGCAGTCGTATTCTAGATGGAAAAAGACCATGTTTCCCCGAAGTATCCGAGCACCAATACCTTCTTGTGCTCCGAGTCCGAGTTTCAACGCCAACTCCAGAAGAACGAGCAGGTCAATCCGCCAGTGTCAATGTTGCCAAAACGTGATGTCGATCATCCAGGGGATTAGCACCGCTTTGCTACCCATCAACGTGAGTGCTCATGACTGTGGTCTGCTGTCGAGAAGCATCAACGGATCATCAATCCGCAAGTTAGCGCCAGGCTTTCTTCCACCAAGCGTCGTCATTTCGAATACTGCGCCTGCCGCCGGGATTTGAGTCTCCTATCTCGCTACCGTTTTGGCCGCCCTCAGTATTTTTTTGGCCAATTCGACGATCAACAAGCGGACTTACGAAGAAGCGATGTCTAAGCTCTACCATGAGAGGAGACGGCAGACGAGCGACGTGTCCATGAGCTGCTACATGCTAGAGACTGCTGGACTGGCTGGAATCATGATCAAGCCAGACAAGAGCTAGAAGCGGTCTCACTGCTGTCAAGCAGACTTGTGATGTTCAGCAGCTGATCTTCAACCCAAAGCTTGAACACACTGTTATCGTTGCCTTCTTGCGCCCTCTCATCACCCAGCCCAAGCCGACTCCAAAACGTTGACCAGTATGGCCGCCAGCCTCTGAAGAGCACAAGGTCAACACAAATCTTATTACGAGAGATGGTCTCGATCAACATGCATCTGGGAGCAACCCCGCTGTCGCAGTGACTCGCGCGCTTGATGGGTGTCAACACGCACAGCTTTGAAGAGGTATCAACTTCGAGAAGGTAAGTCTCGACTTTCTACCTTTTCAACCTGGCTCTATTCTCTGACATGTCGCTCTCTGCAGTATTGTGTGACCTTCCGACCAGCGCGACTCCCTGCACAGCGGACGTCAGCTGCACAAGCTCAAAGGGTATACTGTTAGTCAAAGGTGCAGCAGAGGCAGTCGGAGCGTGTCAGCTATCGTCTGGTGCGTCACCTAGAGCATCAACTTCGAGAAGGTGAGACTGATTCTGTGTTTTCTGGCGAGATAACTGTTTGCAGACTTTTCTTCTCGTGCAGTATTGTGTCTCGGCTGCAAACACGTCTCGCATCGTGTACCTTACTCAGCAATACTCTAGGTCCAGCGCCAGTAAGCATATCTGTCTTGATCTCGAAGCACACAAAGAATAGGAATTCATGAGTCTCACTTGGTTTGGTCGTCGAAAGCAAGCTTCGAGCTCGTGGGTCCTCGGGCATTCGACCTTGTCGCTTCGTATGAACTCAATGCAGTACCTCAGTCTGGTGCAATAGACTAGACGCAATCCGCTCCATACGCCATCTCCTGGTTTACTCAATGCATCTGTCAATATCTGTGAGGTGCCTTCGCTTTAAGACTCATGGCTTCATGGTCATGTGAGCTTGTTGCAGCACATCTTCTCCAATCTCATTACCTCTCCTCTTGTTGAAGCTTATCACTTCGTACTTTGTTCGGAGTGTCGGGTATTGATGCAAACGGGTAGCGAGACCCTGACATGATCTATATAGCTATGCATAAGATACTATGGAACCCTCGCTTTCGCCCAATATAATCTTCGCCTCTTAACACTTTGTCAGTCGCGTGCTGTCATCCTAGTGCTGCGACACTACCATGATTCGTTGAAATCATCATGATACTTGTCTTTCCGTCGAAACAGTTTGATTGCTCCTCAAAAGCTTCTCCTGTTCGCTGGTTAACCATGAAAACCTTTGAAGCTGAAGAACAGTTGTTTGTAACTACACTTGGGACGATAGAGGTGCTATGGCCACGAAGAAGAAGTGAAATCGTCCCGACGGAATTAAAGTGAGCTTCCTTTTGGGCTCGGCTCCAAAGAACAAGGAAGAGATAGTCAGTGATGCCTGTGCCGGCATACTTGGAGTCCGTTGATTGTTGTCGAGGACGGACTTCTGTGAAGACGAGATGGAGAAGCCGGTAGATCGGAGCGTCAAGATACTCTCGTTTGTGACTGAGTACGCGACCGTCTCCGAAGGAGCCTCCGGTCATAGCAGTAGCACATACGTAGGTGGAGATGTCGTTGATCAAGACGCGCAAGTAGCATTGGAGACCTATTGGGTATACCCTATCAAGACGATTTGCTCCAAGCTACACTGACTCATGGGTTCGAGAGTGGAAGGTGAAGATTCAGATCCGCTAGCCAAAGTCATTCCACCAATCTACACCGAGGGACACGTCCCCTCCTTCGAAAGTGCCTACGCCCACCTGTCATCACCAGTTCTCCAACAGCCTTCAGATGCAGGCTGCAGATGAGCAGCCTAATCTTTACACTAAGGCAGATCAACAGCCCAATCATCACACTTAGGCAGGTGCAAAGCCCTCAATCCGAACCTTGGCACCTGATTCTTCCAAGTCTCCTCCACACCCATATCATGCACATACCTCTGCGGCACCGGATAAACCCTCTGGGTAGCTTTAGGATCCACCTTTTCCGACTTTACCCTGATTTCCCCATCCTCGGCATTATCCCACCACAAATCCCACTTCCTGTTAAAGTGCATTCCTAGCGGCGGACACGCAAGCTGCATTAAATGCTCATATCCTGGTAGTGACGTCGATAGAATTCTCGTAGGCTCTGGACAGCCTCCAAATATGTGATTTATGACTGCATAGCCTAGCTCGTTGCATGTGTTTCCTTGGAGCCAGGGCTCGGCGGGCTCGGATTCGAAGGCCAGGGTTTGGGAGTAGGCGCGGGAAAAGGCGTGGGCGAATTCGTGGATGAGGGTTTGGGCGAAGTAGAAATTTGTGCGGTCCATTACTGATGCGGAGTCAAGAGAGCGGAGACGGCGGGAGTTAGGGACGGAGGCGATGTCGAGGGGCATGATAAGGCGATCCTGGAGGACGTCTGTGTCATTCGACACGTCGGCATCAAAGGTGCAAAAGGCGTCCAGGAAGGCTTGACTGGGGTGGATTTCGGATTGTGATGTATTTCTGGAACTCGTCAGTTTTGATGAAACAGAATCGTTCGGTCCAACTTACTCTCTGGCTGCCTCCAAGGCTTCGCCGTCCACACCGTAGCGATACATTGTCAAGCCCATGGCTTCATACGTTTTAAATTCCTCTACACTTCTAAATTGCCAACTCATCCACTGCCGCATCTGCAGCATCCTCTCAAATGCTACGTCCATGTCTTCAGGGTCTGTCGGCGTAACGGGTATTACGAGCTTACACGATCCATGCTTCGGATCCTCGAAATGAGGCAATGTAGCCGTGTCGTTCGTGATACAACGCAGAAGTGCGATGGTCTCTGGCTCATCGAGGATAGCAGTCGCGAGAAGCAGCGCAGGTTTGAGTAATTCGAAGTCGTCGTCGCTAACGTTCCGCCACATGTCTTGCTGCAGCACTGGGTGTATACGCTCGGCTTCGGTGTCGCCCGGGTTTCTCTCCTCTGCGCCATGTCCGATCGGATCCATGTATTTCTCGGAACTGGGGGGCGTGTAGTTGATAAAGCCGGCTTTGTTCAACACCTGCATACCCCACTTGTCAAGCAGTGGGTTCCAGTCGTCTCTGAGACTCGGAGGGCCAAGTTTGTATTTGGCCGGGAAGACGTCTGGATCGGGGGCTTCTGTGTCGTCAAAGTTTGTGATGTACATCTGGCGAACGTTGAAGGTCTTACTGGTCGGCTCTTTTTGTGCGGTGTAGCGCCAGGAGTGCTCCTTCCAGTCTGTCAGTTCCCACTTGTTCCCCACAAGCGTCAGGGGTGGTAAGACTAGTGGATCGATTGGCGTGTATGTGCGCAGCGAGTCAAGATCAGGCGTGTCGACGCTGACAATACTCGAAGTGTCGGAATCGCCCACGTCGAAATTCGGCATACCGATATCGTCAAAGTCGGGCATTTCGACATCATCGTAGTCATCCATGTCGCCAGCCGCTGATGACTTCCGAGAGACGATGTAGTAAGCAGAAGCAGTGTGCGAGTGCTCGTTGATCAAAGTCGAAGTTTTGAGATTTCCGGAAGTGGTGGTCGGCCTACAAAGAGAATCTGCCCAGCGTCCACAAAGACAAAGCCCAGCGCTTCGCGGCATTCAACTTCGGAAGGACTCGAAATCATGGATGTGCTTCAGACTCGACAGAGAGCTCTTGCATTGAACTTTTTTCTGACAAATTCGTTGACACATTAGTGCGACATCCAACAATCGGATATCTTGAACCATATCGCTCGATCTTGGATGGCTTGACTCGGGGAATCCCACGACTCTTGTTCCTTTGTCTGGCCAGCTGAAATGGCCATATAGTCTGAAACACAAATTGATGTTTATACCGTGAGACCTTCGCACGCTGAGCTGTACTGTGCTGTCAAATTTGGCTGCTGGTCGTTGAGCCTGGGGCATTTTTTTAACCTTGAACAAGGCCATTTTGAGACCGTATGTTGTGATTTCTCGGGGACAATTAGACAAAACAAATGCACAGTATGTTCAAGTAATGGATGTGGGGCATAGGCGACATGGGAAAAGTGTTGAAGGTAAACAAAGAGATTATTTGAAAGTTTCGGAGAGCAGAAAACTATGGCCAGGGTGGTGCGAACGGCGGCTTCAGAGGAATGGCAACCCCTTCCGCAAACGGCAGATCAGAATCTTCCGGCCTCTCGGAGACACTTGCAACATCAATCAGGTCGCTAGATAGTTGTAGCCTACACTGCAGATACTAGTATCGCCAGACCAGGTGTAAAAGGTGTAGAAGAGGATGTAGTAACAAATGAACAGGAGGAGATGTCGTCAAAAGGCTGCCAAGGCGGCTGCGGGGATGGCAAGATCCTGAGCACAGACCACGTCCATCAATGTTGGAGATTTTTCGAGAAGTCGCGACTTTGACGGTCGCTCCTGCCATTTGTACATTGCAATATCAGAGTGACGCTCCTATACCAACTTCGACCCCTGAGGCACATTATCGCGTCCTAGAAACCATATCAATTTCATCAGAATGGTACGCGATGTCAAAATTACGGCTCTGAACAGCTTCTGACGTACAACAGGCTCCCACAAACGGCAAGAAACGCACCACAATGCGCGCAAAGGTCGCCGCTGCCTCGCGACCTGCAACCACATCCCCTGGCGTGATAACATCATCCTCCAACACAAAAGCCGGAAAGCGAGAACTCAAACACGACACACTTATCTCTCGCATCGAAAAGTCACAAAAGAAGCCTTTGAAACGCCGTCGTCCGGGCAAGAAACTGAACACCGCGTTGGACTCACTTGCAGATGCCTTACCCGAGCTTGAGGAAAACAGCGATGACGACTGGGAAGGCATTGATGAGGATGAGAAGACAGATGGCATGGATGGTGCTCTTGGTGAGCTCAGCAAAATGGTCAGAGTGAGAAAGGCAAAGCCGGCGGATGGAAAGATGAAGCTCAAGACCCTCAAGTCAAGGCCGGGAGCTTTGAAGAGGAAGCAGAAGATGGAGGAGAGTGAGAAGGAGAGGTTTGGAAAGAATCTGGCTAGTATGAGTGTGCCGACTCAGGCAGCTCCTGATGCTGCAGGCTCAGCAAACAGGTGGGCTGCTCTTCGTGGCTTCATCGGTCAGACTCTGGAGCAGAATCCTGGCTTCAAGAAGGCTTGAAGGACTTTTGCTCCGTTCGTGTCCGACAAAGTACCCGCCACGATGGCTTCTCCAAGTCATGGCACGACTTCGCTAATTACCTGTCAACTCACGACACGTTTCGAGGCAGGTACACAGCGCTACTCGGGAAATTCAGAAAGAGTCGAGTGCCTTTGACTCTAAATAGCAACCGACACAGTCAGCGACAGCTAACATCACAGCCGAAAAGACATGCATTCCGCCTGGGGCCAGGGCGCAACAACATCTCCAGCCCCGACATGAAGCTGACCTCTCGCTTGCACGAGCAATCTCACTGCAATGCTGTGCCGCAGAGAGCGTACAATAGCTGATCACTGATTGAGTGCCGCGTAGGCACCGAGTATATAGATGGTCTATCCGGTCCTCTGACGACTCTGATGTATCACTGCCTTTTATACTATTTTCATACCCTCACCTTCGTCATGCAAATACTTTCCTCGCCACATCCTGCCTCCGGTGAGCTTTGGTCGAGAAGCCATCTTACTCGCAGATCGGGACATGATCTGATTGCAAGCCAACAAGAAGCAGACTGTCGGGCAGCCCGAACGATGACAGAGATCAAATCGTCTCTCTGTACTATCATCTGTCAAGACGTCCCGTGTCGATCCAAGTCGGCTGCTCAGCTCTTTGTGTTTTTTCCGGGCCGCATTCGGAAGAAGATCCTCGCACACCAAAACACCTGTGCAGACGTCGACTGCTTGTATACCCAGATGTTTCGAAGAGTCTACAGACACGAAGTAATTAGCGCAAATGGCAGATCCCGATTCAATCATGGTAGATGCACAGCCTGCTCCTCAACTTCGACACTACACCATACCGGATGCTCTTGAACCTCCATGCAAGTGGGATGCCCGCACGAACCTGCCTGTCATCGAAAGATGGGCAGATGTGCGCAAGAATCTCACTGCGAGAATACACCCAGATTATACTGGCTTCGATGTGCGAGAGATCAATCACGCCGACCCGACAGGAATGGGCAGGCGCCACATCCATGACTGGCCTGCGTCATTTCCACTGGGACCTCCAAGCGAAGCGCCCGACTATCATCCCATCCTCGAGAAGTATGGACTGAAGATCTTGAACAGAGCTGGTTTCATCAACAATAATCTTTGGAAAGAGGACGCTATCGTAGGACCCAGCGGCGTACTTGCCTTTGCCCCGTTCAGGAACCCAGGTGTTGACGAAGACGAAATGTTACATCCTATACTCAGACGTGACAAGCCGATGGGCTTTGATGGAACCTTCATTACGTCTAGCTACAGCTATATTGGACGATCCAAAGACATTAGCCTACTTCTACGCGCTTGGCATGCCCTCCGACTAGATGAAGTCTTCGGTAGACCCCTACAATAACGGCAGGAATTGCAAGGAAATGGACCCGATAAGACCGTTGAACCCTCAAGAGCTGGAAGATACTTTTAAGAAACTCGTTGATCTTCGCCAATGGACTGGGTGGAATCTATCTGATGAAATACGAATCTCATCCTATGCTGTAACTCACGTCCAGTGTATAAGAGCCGATGGGACATGCATTCCCGCATCAGCACCGTAAGATTTCTTTCCCCTGTCCATGGAGTGATACTAATCATCCACTAGTAACATATCGACGAGCTGGATCGACATGCACGAAGGAATAGTCGAGGTCCTCGAAGCCCAAACCAAAGCAATGCGAGACAACCCCAACGGAAACTACTACCCCGAAGTTCAAAGTATGCCGTACACGGCACCTAACATGGAAATCGACATCGATGTCACCTCAGCCCATGCACGCACCGTCGTCTGGTTTGCCGTCGCCATGCTTCACGAGCTCGCTCACGCCTTCAGCTTCGCCTACTTCGCCTTCAACTGGGGACAGCCCGGCGAGCCATGGCTCAGAGGCGGTCGCTGTAACGAGCAAGGCCATATCTTCGAGCACTACCTCTTCGACGGCGTCCTCCAAGGCTACCAAGTCCACTACCCACCCATCTCTGACACCTTTGCCCGCGAGCAATGGATCGCGTCTCCTTTGGGCATGTACATTGACGAGCGCTGGGAACAATGGGCACTAGACGACCACAGCCCCTTTGAAGTACGCGATGATGTCGAAACAAACCTTTGAGGGGACCCAGAAGATCTTATCCAGTTGCTCAAGAGTGGTTTCAACGCTTGCTTGCTGATGAACTTTGGCATGAACAGATTCCGGCGTTTGGATTGGGAGCTGCTATGATTCCGAAACCGCTTACTTGGCAGGTCATGTATTGGGATTATGGTGGTTGGGGGAAATGGGGCACGGGGCAGGAGAGGTGGGATACAGGGGCTACGAGGTTACCGGGAAATGTTAATTGGGTCTGAGGATCTGGCCCTCGAGTTTCGTGTCTGATCCGCCCTCTTTTTTTCCCTGGGAGGTGGACGTCGGCCACAGGAGGTTCTGCATGGGCTAGTTCTGACAATATTGAATGGATCTCGCTTGTATTTTGCACCATCTGGAGGTCAGTCTTGATGATTGACTAGCCCGCTGAGTCTGGAATTAAATGTCGTCTGGCTTCCTCATGGTCCAGTTTCATCGTCGTTTGCTGAGACCTTGAACTCTCTGGGAGTCAGTAAAATCTGGCTTCTTTCTCTCACTTAATATCTGTTACAGACATCTGTCTGCTTTTTCGCGAGTCGTGCCTGGGCAATGAGATTCGTCGGGTGGCTGGCTCTGGTAGCACCTCTTGCCAGCCGCTAGTGACTTATATTTTGTCCATGTTTCGATGCTGTGGCGTTGATAATGTGGTGCTAATGCTGTAGCGCTGATGCTGTGGCGTTGATGCTGATTTCGGCTCGTGGCCGAGGTAGGCTAGCCATCACCAACAAGGAATCGACCACTCCATGCAAGGTCCCAAGACGGCCCGATCATTTTATACTAGACGTTGGAAGATCTTGGAACTATATGGCACGTGTTCTTCTTGGAGGATTCGATGCTGAAACTGGCACGAAGATTTGTTCTGGTTGTACATGACCGGCCATGACTGTAGTGTTTGTTCGACGAGAAGTTTACGACCCTCTCTTACGACTGTGGGCTATCGTGACTGATATTGCTATCTTGTATGTAGCCGGCCTAGGCTATGAGCAGGTAATCTTGAAGCTCTTAGCCTCTCCGAAGTAATATTGCATCATCTGAAAGTCGCACTGAGGTTTGTTGATGCCATGTGTAGTCAGCGTATCTCTCACTGCAATTGGGGTCATGTCCGGCGAGAGAGTGACACCCGCAGGGATCGGATAAACCTCCGGGTATTGGCCACCGATGAAATATCCGCACGTGTTGATAAATCTAGTCAGCGCTGCTGTGGGTACTGTGGGTACGGGAAATTTGCCCCAGCTGGACAGGAATGCCGGATCAGTCCAAGCTATGATACAAGATGTGAATTGTTGAGTATTCATGGCAGTACTGCATCCTGTGAGCTGCGAAGTGATATTGTACGGGCCGCAGGACACCACGTTCTGTAGAGCGGTCTGAATCGATGGCAGAACGTCTCCAGTAAGCGAACGCTGAACCAGCACGCTGTATGGTATACTGGACAGCATCGCAGTCAGAGTGTTGTGAGAAAAAAGGAAGTCAAGTGCTGCTGTATCTTTCTCCTGTTGCTGCGCGTCGACAGTAGGGGCGAAGGTGCATTTTGGAGCGCTCGACGTAGTGCTTGACGAAGTCGTCGAGCTGGACGATGCAGAGCTGGACAAGGACAGGGAGGTTGATGATGAGGCCGTGATCGTTGAAGAAGCAGAGGTACTCGAGATCGATGGAGACGATGTGGGACTTGAGCAGGAGACCAGACCAGAGTCTGTGGCATTCGAAGCGATAAAACTTCGGCCAATGGTGTAATGAGCAGTTCCTCGCCATTGTCCTTTGTTTGTGGCATAAGTGGTATCCCAAGCCTGGGTGTAGAGAGTGCTGTGATTTGTTAGGGCGGTGACATCAATAATGTGTCGAAAGAGCTCGAAGCATACCAGTACTGTCCTTGATAGACAGAGTCTTTATACATCTCGTAGGTGTTGTAGAATCTGCATGATTTAGCCTGACCCGAAGTTGGCGGATGCTTCAAGTTGTATTTTGTCTGCGCACTTCAGCAAGTCAGCAGCCGGCCCGAGAGATAAACTCATGAGGAGATACGACTCACGTGCATGCAGCAGCGCAAAGCGTAGTGTCAAAGGGACCGTCATTGAAGAGCTTGACACCCATAAATGTGTCCTGCAAACACATGTCAGTAGGCGTCGATCATTCTCAGGCCAAAAGCTACGTACAGCCTTGTTGCAATTGAGAGGCGCGTTGATCGCAGCGCCATCCAGAACAGTGTTCTGACTATAGCCATCCGCTGTCACGACAACAACATCACGTCGTGACAAGCTTGTGCTGTCGGTCGTCTGCTGCGGCAAAGGATCGGTATTGACGTCGTTGATGACAGCAGCGATGGCACTGGCCTGATTGTAGTTCTGAGTGTCGGTGGGACTCTTGGAAGGTTCTGGCGTGTCGTCGACCAGATCGAAGTCGATATCCTGACGGCGAAGATGCCTGGATTTATTCGGTAGAGCATTGGCGACAAGTCCGGAAGCCACCAGACTGAAGATCAACGAGGATCGCATGCTTATGTTGCCAAGATTGGGATGGAGCTGTTCCTCGTCTTTTGCGTGCGACGCCCATGGTTATTATGCTCGATTGAGAGAGTTCAGCCCCTTTCCCAGAGCGTTGTTTCCGTGCATTCATCTCGATTGAATCTCCTCATTGCGCTCAGCCCAGCTCTTCCGTAGAAGTAAATGGTGCCGCTTCTAGAAAAAGCTGGCCTCGAAGCTGTCACCGGACACCCCGAGCCGCTCATTTAGCTTGGTAGATACGAGCTGAAAATTCTTGGCGACGTGCACCGAATCTAGACTGCGTGCTAGAGCTTGGACCACAATCTAACATTGAGAGCTGTTTTCCGATTTGGCCGAGGCACGTCAATGTATTTTGAGCTGACCAGGTCCTCCTAAGCTGATAACGTCTCGAGTGGCATGAGGTGTTTGACATTGCGTCTTCGATGCGTTGGAATCGCTGAAGTCTGTCAATCAGAAAGCAACTGGCTGCTCAAATGTCGAACCATTGTCGGCCGGCGGGTCAAAGTCGCTCGGGCTCTTCATTTTCTGATCTGTGACTGTCTTGCTTTGCTCTTTTGATTCCGTTCAAGCTCTCGAATACGCTGTCTCGCTGCTCATACTCACCGATGTCAATCTAGAGCATGAAGGTGTGCCGCGTGCAACGAGGCCACTTCGCACTTCGCTTCCGTTCTTTGCATCCTACTTGAGGTTTTACTTATTTGTCAAGATTGAGTGGGCAGGACACCAAACAAACGCGCTACATCTATGAGGCCCCTCTCTTTCGTTGAAATACATGTCTCAAGCATAGGACAAGATCCCTTCCGTAGATATCCAGAAACGAAGCTTTCGTCTGTGGGACACCACGCCAGGAAGTGTATCCCACGACCATCTGGGACTCGAAGCTTGATATCTCTTACACTGCAGTCCCAGTGCAGACGAAAGGAGATACTTCCTCTCTGCATCGAGGCTGAGATGAATGTCTAGCGTTACTCGGGGGAGACAAAGGATGGGAGTGCGTGGTGTCGCGGCGAGAAGCGAAGTTGCCGACTTAGACTGTGGATAACGGGTTCGTCATATGACATCTGTCGAAGGTGTGCTTGAGAGAGGGGGTGATGGTGGGTAGGCTTCTTCTTTAAATTTGTTGCTTTCGAGAAAATGGGGTGCCATATGCTTTGTTAGAACAGTGACAAATAAGACACTCCTGCGTATGCAAGCAGATCTGACGTTGGACAAAGACCTCTGAGAGCTGTGCACTATGAGTGCGAACAATAGCGAAACTTTTCACGAGTGATGGAGTGAGCGACGCGCCGTCTTTGCAGAGGCCGTCATGGCTCATAGAAGCAGCGACGGGATGGCTTCGTAAGAAGAAGGTCGCAGCTCAAGCAGACGTGCGGATCCGTTCGTGTAAGACTTATTCGAGTGTCTGCACTACACGCGATGGACAAGACCAGAGCGCGGCAGCACAACGTGTCCCCTCTCACCCGCTGTCTGCCTTCGTCCGTGGAGCTTCGATGAACGCAAAAGGCACAATGACGACCGAGAGGCTGTATTGAAGTCAGTGCAGCGAGAAAACAAGAACGTAATCACAAGAAGCATTACACTCGATAGCAATACGCGCAGAACAAAACAAAGTGGTACTCTATTACATAAGTGTCCTCTCAGACCGGGCCATGGAGATAGGGAACAACCAGGCAATAAAGAGTGGTATGCGACCAGTCTACGAGAGTTTTCGATCTTGCAACAGGATCATAAAGGTCATTGATATGGAAGGAATCAAAACTCTTGAGTTGTGCTGCGTGGGATTTACGCGCCGTTGTCTGCCGAGCAAACGAGATATATAGAGGAGGAAGGGAAAGGAAAGGAAGGAGGGAAGTCTTTATAGGCGCAGAAGGACGCCGAGTCGAGCGCTAGATCACAAAGCCTGTGCGTGCTGGCGAAGCGACCAATGAGGATGCAGGATCTGAGCTGGAGGTGGTGATCTTGTTCACAGACCACTTCAAAGTATCACTTGGGTGAAGTTACGGCAAGCTTGATGATGAGCTACAAGTCCCAGCTTTCACGCGGAGTGCATCTTGGATCATTGATGATGTCTGTCGATCTACCTCATTCTAAGCTTGCATGAGTCGAGCGCCCTACCCTTCGACCGAGAAACTATTGCTACTCGAGAGCAGAGCGTGCGCAAGGCTGAGCGTGACCAATAATGCAGGCAAGACTAGCATTCGCATATTGTAGGCGGAGTTTTGGTACGATGTGCCTCTCTACCGTCTACTCCGTGCAACCTTCTCGTACCGCTCATAGTAGATGTCACTCCTCCCAATTGTGCATCGAGAAAATAGGCTTCGGTTTGGGTTTGGATGAACAGTTCAGGACTGGAATGAGGCTCGCCGTCGAGGAATCCTACTGAGCCGTGAACATGTTCTCGATGAAACCACTCCCAGAGAGCGCTCTGGCTCAGCACGAGATCTTTTATCATTCCCGGCTTCTCTGTCTCCGGTATTTGACAATATGGTGGCCTTGGCACACACCTCCAACGGTCTATGCATGTCTCACGGCGTCGACTCACAAAAATCACGGAGCCCAGACTTTCCACATCGTTCCAATCATCTACAAATTGTCAAAATGAACAACTCAATGAAGATGCAAGACGGTCCCCACGAAGCCGACGAGGCGTAGGGACTCTTACTCTGTACGCTCTTCGCTCTTCTTCTGACACCTCGTAGCATCAACAACGATCCTATCGACAACCCGAAGACTGCCGAGGAGATCAAGCTTGCCGAGGACACCAGAGTTGCCGCTAGCGAGGCCAAATGGGTCGAGGTGGAGGAGCTCCCCAACTACTACGCCAACACCAAGCCTCCTGGTCGCAAGTTCCCCGCCAGTTGGGCCAACGACGGCATCAACCACTACATCGATGGTGACGCCGACGACATTCGTGCTCCTCCCGTCGAAGAGACGGCCGAGCCTCCCAAGAAGAAGAGCCGTACGGGTGTTCGCAAGAAGAAGAGCCGCCCTGACCGCAAGAAGTAGGGCAACCACGGCAAACCACATCCTCTACTGTACGTGACACCCCCGGCCAGAATACTTCTTCATTTTACTGACCATGCGAACGCAGAATTCAATTTGAGGCTCGCATTGCTGCTGGGGGGATACATCACATAGCGATATCACCATCATCAATTCAGTCACCGCAAAGTGAAAAGCAATCCTCATCTATGTGATATGCCATAGTGAACGTGCTATGTTGTTAAAGTGAATCCCAGCCAAAGCTTCGCGCGTCTGCGCCTCAGCTATGTTTTCCTCTTTCCCTTTCTTCCTTCCGATGACCCTCCATCAACATCATCCAGTTCTCTCTATCTATTCTATCGTCTTTTCGACACCACAGACTACTGTGTGTCAGCTGCTCCTCCTCTCCTCTGCTTTTGCAGGGAGAGGACTGGTCATAGCCATCACCCGTCCAAGGTAAGCGCCCGCTTTCATTATGCCCATTGTCTACGATCCCCAGTACTACACTTTCGATAAGCGCTCCGCAGTCCATCGTGTACCTGACTGGGCTAAGCACCTGTTCGTATACCTTTGTCTTTCTCGTTCGGCACGCTTCGCCTGGCTTCCCGGCGGCCGAGACTAGCTGTATCTTTCGTGTTTACCTCTGTCCACGGTTCCAAAAACTGCACTTTCGAAGAGCGCTCCGCCGTTCGTCTCGCGCCTTTTCGGGCTAGGCACATGTTCGCACATTTTCGTTTCTCCCGAAATGCACACCACACCCGGCTCCACGGTGGTCGGGGCGGGCTACCTCTTCCGTTATTCTTCCAGTTTACGATCCTCCGATGTACGCTGTCGACAAGCGCCCCACAGTGCATCACGCGCCTTCAGGGGCCGGATACATGTTTGCAGATTTGTATCTATCATCGTATGCGCTGCACGGCTTTCTTCGTCTTGCCCAAGATTGGTCGGCAACATTGATTGTGTCTTTTTTCACGACTTCCGATACTACTCTCACGCAAACCGCTCTGCCACTCATCGCACGCTTCCTTGGTTGTTATACAGACTCGCAGACTTGTGCATCTCCCTCTACGCTAGGACTTCCGCGTAGGCTAGACCCTTCATTGTACGCTGTATTTGTTCAGCTATTGTTTCAGCTCTCAGACTTCACACCATCGTTCTTCCCTGGTAGCGGCAGATGCCTTTCACTGCCTGTTCTCACACTCCAAATCAGGCTCTTTCGCTCATTGTATTCCCTACAAGGCGTCTGCGTCATGGAAGAATTAGCTTCATTGGCTTTCTGTCGCTCGAGTCAGCTTTGGAGCATCAGATGTACAAAACTTGCTCCGATGTCACATCCGTCCCCACCATTACCGACCAGGGAGTCATTCAATCTGAAGGCTGCTCACCCTCTCCTCCAAAGTCAGATGCTCCCTATTTATTCGACACCATACACAAGGTGGTCCGGCGTCCAAGCGACTACGATCACGCAAAGAGCAAAACGGCGAGTCGTCAATGGACCATGTCCATCTAATGGGTCATCTTTCACGAAAAGCATCGACGAGATCCGGTTTCTCTGGTCAGCTTAAGCACGTTCTCTGGGCAGCTACATCTGCTTCATGAGCCCGTCACTTGGTGGTAGAGACGCAACTGGTGACCTCGTGCGATCCGCTTCTTCTAGCGCCTGCGCAGCACGACGCTGCCTGCTCTCTTCTCTCAAGCAGAAGCAATCTGCCCACCTTCATCTTATTGCAATCCACCACATTTTCGCATTCTTTCCGGCAGCAGGGAAACATGCACTTTCACCTTTGCTAATTATCCTCAGCAGTACTCAAGCATTATGTATCCCATCGGATCAGTGTTTACTCCCACCAGAGTCTTCTGCGCCTCCCACATTCCGACCAACTTCAACTTGTTGAACATACATCGGAATTATGGCCGATCAGCTTAACATGAACAACCTTTCCCTAGGCGAGTCTCAGCACGCTCCCAGACGAAGCGGCGGCGGTGAATTCGACCCCTCCGCATACGAGTCTGTTCATGCCAGAGGCAGCACTAGATCTCCTGCTCTTGGGCCTGCTCTCATCGCTATTGCCCTCTGCGCCACCCATCGCCGATTTTCGGATGGTGCGCCTTCCATGAACGGTCACTTCGACGGCCCCAGGTATGTCTCCTACGGGAATACCCTCGAGATCTTTTGCTGACAAAACTCACAGGCTCGGCGAAGGCGGCTGGGGCGGCGCTCTCACCTTCACTCCCAGAGGCGGCAATGGCTTCGACAGAAACGTCTACGGCAACTTCGTTCAAGGCGGTGGCGGTCAGTGGAGAGACGGCAAGCACATTCCGGGCCCTTCCAACCCTCGCATCGAGCGTGAGTTGCTCGGTGTCCCCAACGACTCCAACGTGCAGCACAGCAGCATCAACTCCGAAAAGTAAGACGACATCCCTCCGCTCGAACCATGATTTACATCTTCCCTGAACTCTTCTCTGACATCTTCACAGACCGGCCTGGCGTGGCTCATCCACGACTGTATCGCTGATAAGAGTGACACTCTCGGCTGATACATAAACACACCGGAAACTGTCGGGAGTGTCATCCTCGTCCAGCTGATTGACTCAGAGTTGGGTTAGACAACTTCGCGGCACCGAAAGACTCAGTCATGAGCAAAGGAACTCTATGACTCCGACCGCATATTGCACAAAAGTTCTGTTGCAATCCATCCAAGGTATGTACCTCTACTTGCCAATACTTTTTCTTCCTCGATACTGACATCCTCCGCAGCGTCCAAGCCCGACCGCCATGTTTCGCGACAGCCTCCAACCGTCTAGGAACTATTGTGGATTGCGACTCAACACCGAACGTCTCTTCTGGTCTCATCAGACCCGACAATTACCTCTGGAGGGCTCTCGATAGAGGACGTGCCTTTGCGAACGATGAAGAGCTCGCCAACTTACAAAGCGATTTGGCGACAAGGACACTGACAAGAAGCTGTTCTTTTGACAAGCTTAGTAGCCGAGGTTGGATTGTCTTAATCACTCGTGGGGATTGAAGTCGCGGTTCGCTGTCCAGATTTTCTTGAATAAATCATTGGCAGTTTTGCTCTCCTTGCTATCTTTTCCAGTACATGCCGTGACGATGTGAAGTACCACGCCGTCATTGAGACGTTCATGCAGACTTGCGCCACTCTCTCAAACCATACAAACATCTAGCCTTCGCTGTGGCACTTATGTTCAAGAATCAGCGGGAACTGGAGTAGAGCGTTTGAGACCGCTTGATCTGGACTGCCTTCTGCGTTACCACTTCGGATTCCTGCTCTCCTCCATTTAACATTCCATTTCTGGCTTCCTTCCATACACATTCGTCCTCAATTGTACCACGTTATGTCGATGCCTGCCGTCAGGTCCAAGTCTGCCATGAGATCGTCGATGCTGCCCGAACAACGGTCCCCCTCCCAAGCGTACGTTATATCGTACGAGGTTTTCCACTACCTATGCGAGTTGATGACATCCGTTCCTCCACCTCTACAAGCGAGTAATGTCCAACGTTGCAGAAACATCCCAGCTATCCTTAATTACCGCCATGCATTGATCGAGCTCGTCTCAGTGATACTCCAGCGACCGCGGCATCTCCTTTCCAAAATAAATGGACGCAACGATGCCACTCTTACCTTTGCGCTCGACATTCCGAATCCAACAATCATTAATGAACTTTTGGGCTGTAGATCAATAATTATAAACAAGACGGCTAGCAGTGCAATCAATGGCGATGGGAACAGATTATGCGAATGGACAAATCTTTGACAGCGATTCAGAGTCCGGCTGACAATATCGTTTCAAGCATGCAGCATTTCTCATCGCCAGATGACGATGCTCATGCTGTTATCATCAATCTACATCGTTCTTCTGCTTTTTTTACTTAGAGGCTACCACCAACGACTTGTCGTCCCACACAGGACACACTCCAAGAGTCGTAAAAATAGTCCTAAGGATCTCGGTCCTCCGTTCGGGCGTCAGTTCTTGTGATAGTTTTCGAAACTTCTCAACTTAATCCTGGAGCTACGACATTATTGCTGATGCCTCTTCACTTTGCAAACGGTCTGGACCTCGCCGCAGCTAGAGAGGCTTGTCAAGCATTCTAGCCTGCAGCTCAAGGATGTTGGCCTTCGGGATCTGCGTCAGCCACTAGAATAGACAGGTACGAGAAGTAAGAGGCTGATATCATGTCCGCCTATACATCCCCGGTCGTTCCTGCTCGTGTGCTTGCATAATTCGCAGGCTGGGCAGAACCTCCTGCGCTATCACGACTTGAGTACGAATCATAGTTTGCCGAATGGAGGTCAAGCTGCTCATTGAATGACGAAACTTTACTGGTACCACATTCGCGATCTATGGGGGCATTCGATTCCACGCAGGATGCAAGAGGGACGAGTGTTATTTAGACTGGGATGACTTGACACAAAGTATGACAACGATCTGGGCAAGCGCGGCGACATCTTTCTAGACAGATGCAGGGATCATCAATGTGCTTTGCGAGAAGGTATGTGATGGACCAGACTTCAAGTAATGCTGTAGCATGAACTAGATCAGCCCAAACGTGCAGATGTTATAGCGAGCAGCAAGAAACAGTGAGAGTTCGGTGATATGTATTGAGCAACTCTGGTCACAACCATATCCTCGCTGGCTCCAAGCTTCGTCACCAGCTACAACTCTTCCAACTAGTCTCAATCGAGCGACCATTACGGCGGCCGTCCTCGTCCGGAATATTCGAGGCCGAACAAGCAGCAGCGCAAGTGAGTCGGAATATTCGGTTGCGCTTACTAAGCGAGTCAGTGATTTTGCACTCTCACACGCAGCCATAAAAGCGCAGCGCTTTTCTGTTTCCCTCCTCTCTTCAATCCTCCACGCACGATCAGTCTGGTTGATCGCATTCGCAAAGATGATCAACCATCACCATACCCTTCATCCATCATTCTTCTCTATCCTTCTCCATCATCAATCAATCTTGTCAAGCGCTCCTCGCCAATCACAACCATCAAAACTTCTTCGTGTCATGGAGGCCTGAGCCCTACTTCGCAGTGGGTTTCCCGGCCCCTTGCGTACCTTGCGCATCATTTGTCTTTTTGTACTGACACACCTTTGGTAGGAAGTGTTCGCTCGCAAGTCCCGTCACTTTGCGCCGCGAGCAGTCGAGCAGCCTTGTTGTTATGTCTTTCGTCAAAGACACCCTTCCTTTGGAAGTTTGGAGACCTCCTTGGTTGCGCGCTCCCGCCAATACAAGCAACCCTGTGAATCTCGCCGCAGCGCGAGAGTGTGGCTGGTCCAAGGACTCTACATCGACTACCCCGCGTTCAACGCTCCTACCTCGGACAGTAACCCCACCTGGGCCAGCATAGCCAAGGTCTATGTGTGGGGCGGCGAGGGCGGTGATGTCGGTCCTGCCAACGCTGAGCTCGAGGCTTATCTTTTCGAGGGCGAGCACAACAGAGCCGATACTAAGGGCATCTCGAACAATGAGAAGAATACCGACGTTGGCGCTGCTATGCGATCTGACGCTCACGATGCTCGCCATGCCTTTCATGAACGCCGGCCTTCATCCTAGCTCGGCAGAGAGATCAACATCCGCCTCAACGCCTGCCCTGTGACCGGCCTGCCCACCAAACAATGTGAAGAACATCGACGTTGACGCCGCTATGTGGTCTGACGCTCGTACTGGTAAGCTAAACATTCCCTAGTTTGCGACCCTTTCCAAAGCTGACATGCTCAGGTCCTGCTGCCAATGTGAAGACTAGAGAATGGTGGCGCGGCGTCGTCGACGATGTCCTGCCAACTACACAAAAAGATCCTCCAAACTGCGTTGGATCACATCTTGCGTGAGATTCCATCTTCGAGATTGATCTCTATCATTGTAAGTCAAGTCTTCCTCCTCCCAGCAGTCTTCCAGTGGCTGACTTTCTCGTAAGAATGGTGCTTTGAAGATCAAGGAGAACCATGTGTGCCCAAACCCGCTCAACGACCCTGCCAGCACCGCTCGGAGCAACCCCACGGTACCGACTATGATTGTAGTCGGTGCCGCGAAGTTGTTCTGAGCGGTGTTGGCAGGGTCGTTGGGTGTCGCTTGGAGCGGAGAGGAGGGTTACGGAGATGGGAGGAATCGGAGGAGACGCAGATGCTAGAGCTCCAGGAGAATGACAAACATCAGGCCTTCGCAATTACTCATCCTTGTCTTTGTCTGTCTCCAATGCACCAGCTTCTCGCTCGCCTTCCTCTTCGTGCTTGTTCTGTCTCGTGTCTTTCCCGAGATGTATGCTCACATTGTGGCCGATCGTCGAGTCGTGTCTGGTTCAAGATTGGTTGGAACTGCTACTCCTCCCCTTGGCCCTTCTCCATGCTAACAGCCGGGAGTAATCCATGTCTATCAGCCGTTACGATCTTCTTCAAGCCCCTCTTACGCTTTTCAGCCTTCGACTCATCCTTATCGTCTAGCTTGCATCTTGTGTGAAGGGGTATCGTCGACCAGAGGGTAATTTTCTTCAGCCCATGATGCCCACATATCCTGTTTTTAGCTAATTGTACGCTGATATAGTTTCGTCGCAGTGGTATCCTTGTCGAGCGGCTTCGCTGAAGCTACGCAAACGAGACTTCACGCCCTCCTCTCTGACAGCTTCATCACCGTCGAGCCTCGAGACGGCCGTCTTTTGCCATGCAATTGCAAGAATGGTTTCCATAGTAGGAGGTAGCAGACTATCAGCATCTGTCCCTTGCTATACACCTTCACCACAAGCGAGCATGTTGCCACAACCTCTACTGGGTGCACAAGACGTGGCACCTTTCTCTCGACTGCAACACACTGTTGTTCTCTTGCAATCATATATCCCTCGGCCATTGAACGGCTGGTCAGCTACGAGGTTGACATTCCACCACCTAGTCTTGAGTTCAACGTTGGGCAAGATCTCAAGATGACACATGATTAGCTGAGCATTCACGTATCGCCCACCACCGTCAGACAGTACCAGCAGAGCTAGGAAGCAGGTATGCGGGTATCTCAGGACACGTTCGGTACACAGCGACTATGAATTGAGAAGCATCTTTGTTGCTCAATGCCCTTGGAAACGCTTATACGGCACAGTGTTGAACGAAGAGCTTGTGAAATATCGCTATCTTGTCACAGGCTCCAAAGCCTATTTACAATTGATACCCTCGATACTCGTCCGATTGAAGTACATCTCTACACTCTTGATCTCCAAAACGCTATCCTTCCCTGGCGGCCCACCGCTCCAACTGCCCCCATTAGCCCAATTATTCCACACCATACTTCCCTGCTGCTTGGGGACATTTTTCTTCATGCTTCCCACATACTTGCCATCGACATAGAACTTCGTGATACCGGGTAGCCAGTCAAATCTGTATTCGTGGAAGCCTGATGACATGTCTGCGGGTGCTGGAGAGGAAAAGGTGGATGCTGCAGAGCGGGCAGAGGACTTTTGGTTCGTGAGGAAGAGTTGATCAGGGAAGGATGTGCGGATCTCTATGTCTGTTTCTTGGGTGTCTGATTTGTAGAAGAAGAAGCCTGGAATTTCCATTAGTAGTCTGCTCCGTGGATCAGTTTCGACACACTCACCATGACAAGTCCCAGGTACGGCGCTAACTTTCGCAACAGTCCTCACAGAAGCAAAAAGCACATCATCATAAGCCGTCGTAAACTCGGCACCTTGAATAGGCGACTTTTTCTGCCCGCCCGGCACGCGAAGCTTCAACGGCTGGCCTTTTTTCAAAATCACATTTCCAGGTCCATAATATTGGTCAAAAGGATGTTCATCGTCGTTTGGGTCGGCGGTGATGCCGTAGTTGCTGATTGAGAGGCCGAGGGGAAAGTTCGACCAGTCTGCGAGATTGTACTTGACGTATTGGTTGAAGCGGCCGACACCGGGGACGGTGTGCATGCAGGACTTCTCTGTGGTCGCTGCTCGTGGATCCAGTAGTGATGTGTCGTTGATAGGCGATGTCGTGACTGAGGTCGCTAGAAATGCTAAGATCGCTGACAGACCAGACAATTTCGTCATTATTACCTAGAATAACAAATCCTCGGACCAAAGACTGGACATGCAAAAGGACAGCGAAGGACTACATAAAGTAGAAAACAAGGAGCGAACGTTGAGGCTTCGAAACGGCTTTCGCTAGGCGGTATGTAATCCTTAACGGTGATGCGCCGTTATTATTGCGCTTACAGCAAGAGCTCATTGTGGTATCCACGCTGTGGTCACGGCAAAGACATGTCAAGAGGGTGTTGTGATGGGTGGAGATGAGCGAGTCTTTTGAGGAATGTTGGCGTGTTGCGGAGAGGCTGCAAGCAGATTTTGCAGAATTTTTCAAGTCAGGCTAGCCAAGAGTATGACCCTGTCTCAGGATCGTCGATGCCAAAACGTGTGCATATCTACCTCACGGTAAATTACAGGCAAGATACCAGGTCCAATCTACGACATGACGAGCGAAACGGGTGGCCGTCCAAACTGCATGACCGACGCCAGGTCTAGGCTTCTCCGCAAACGATGGAACAAGCATCTTTGTGTAACCTCAAATCCCAAACCTCAATCAGTTCACATCTGACATGTTTGTCACACGGCATCCTTCGAAGAGTCATTCGCCTATCCCACTGATGAGTGCTAAGATAACACAGATATCCCTGCATCCAAGCAAGACAACTCTCCACAGACATGCCATCGCGTAAGTCGGTCAATTTTTTCAAGAAGGTAAAATGTCTATCTCACTGGTGAGTGCTGGAAAAACGGAAACATCTCTGAAATTATCCCACATTATTATCAATAATTCTGTGATAGTATGTCAGAGAGAGTAAACAAATGACCGCGAGAGGGTTTTCCCTATGTATATCTTCGGGACCTGGTGTGCGACGCTGGCGTTTAGGAGAGTGCGACGTCCCGTCGACAACCGGGTCAATGGCTCTTTAGTGCTCCCGATCCCTCCCTGTCTTTATTCATATGATAGAATACCCCAAGCCAAATGGTATGATGAAGAACAAGACATCTGACGCCGCTTTATTCGCAGCAAGTTTGTAGAAGGGATGAAGGTCGCAAATCGATCATGAACGTTGCAAAGAACATCAAGATGAATGAAGCAAGCTGCTAGCTTTCGACCTATGCAACGCACATCTGTGACACATCTGTGACGGATCCTGGAAACAAGCAGGAGAACATGATACAGTACGAAGCATTGATGAGACTATGAAGGGTAATCGACCAGCACGCATAGAAAAGCCGCGAAACAACAGAATGACCGAGTACGCGAAAGGCGCCGTCCCATCAGAGTCTGTTAGAAGCAGGCGACAACGAGGAGATAAAGAGAGGAGAAGGAAACCAGTCGAAAGAAAAACCTGGACAGAAGTCAGAAGCTGTCGTGAACGCGCAATGGATGAGATGTAAATACCTGAGATGACCTCCGCGTCGTCTTGCTCCATGCAAAAAGTTTGCAGAGCTGCTTGATATTGTTACAAAGGTCAGGTGTGAGCACGAGATCGCATGCTTGTGACAGAAAGAGGGCTGTCCCTGAGCGCTCTCCAAGATGAGCAAGGGGAGGAATGCAATGCCACTGCTGAAGCTCATGGTTAGTACATATCAGGCACGAGATCAGAGCGGCAGGGGGGACGGCCTGAACCATCGTGAGGCACGGGGCTACTTCGTCCTCCAAGAGTGTATATAGGGGATAGACTTACTTCTTTACCAAAGGCACAAGGTGACGCTGACAGTGGGCACGTTGTCCCAGAGAGGCTTGACGAGTGGTGTGTGCTTAGCGACCTCTTGATTCTGGAGTGCGTATTCTAGCTTGACCGCTTTTCTGGCTTGAGCAGCAGCGATTTGAATGAGGTATATCGGTGGTTAACCAATCGGCAGGGTGTAATTTGTAGTCGTAAGTTGGGCTTTCGTTGGTGGAGGAGGGAAGAGCTTGTAAAACTCCTCCATTGCCTGTTTCGATGGCAGGATCCTCGAATCTGGTGACATGAGATACTCACTCCCCTCATAATGCTGCAAGACCTTTTTGATGCCCGAAGGTCCTGTCCTCGCATTGAAGCGGGGATAGTACCCTGCTTCATTACTGTTGATGTACATGCGGGCTTGAGTGTCACGCGATGGGTGACGATCGCGGACCTCGGCGATGATTATGTGGCTTGTTACGAGGCTTTTAGCGACAATCCGATTTCTTGTAACCGTGGCATGTTCCAGCAGACCGTGCAAGACCGTCGACATCATACTTGCGGTACCTATCTCGGTGGTTGGTCCGTTACCACCTTCGCTATGTGGGAGTCAGCAACATTCATCATATCGTTGACAGGAACTTACAAGTCTAGATTAAGTATTTGGACTCTGGGTCCGTTGTTTAGATCTAGCCCGAGTTCTGTTGCCCGATCGAGGACCATGTTAGCATGCCTTGTGCCAGTGACAAACGCATCGTCGACGCCGCAGTGGTGTAGCGGCCGACTGTTCGGCTTTGTAGCCAATTCTCCTTGGGAGGTCATCGAGGTTAGATGGTTGACCTCCAAAACCATGTCCTCTAGCGACCACTTACCGCCTCCTGGTCTCCTTAGCCTTGCACTGGCAAAGGTTTGCGTGTCTACCACGTGCATGAATGTGGCATCACTGTACGATATCAGCACAAGCTCTCACGTCTCAGATCGATCCTTACGTACATGTCAACTCCGAGATCCTTGAGACGTTCCTCATCGTCTCCTTTCGTCCCGCGTGCGTGAACAACAAGGATAGTTGGGATGACATCCCCAAAGTCGGCTGGTGTAGAAAGGAAGTTGAGATATTGATCAAGGGTCAGTTCTTTTCCTGTCTTGTTTCCATACCCCAGAGAGGGTGCAGGTTCTGCCATGATAATTGTGACTTGCGAAATATTACGCGGGCCCTGGAGAGGCGAAAAAAGTTGACAGATCTGAGGACGGGATAAGTTAAAACAATATCAACCTCAGTGCGGTCAGGGACAATGCCAAGAGTTTCGAAACGAGTCCTCAACCACTCTCAATTTTCCAGACTATCGCGCTATCAGATGACTCTCTCGTTCGCAGCTCAGTATCTGCGTCTGCTTCACAAAACATACGCGCAAGCACTTCATCAAATCATCAAAATCAAAACACGCGTATATCAACCAAGACACCTCTCGCAAAGTCATCCCTCAAGTTCATACCAGTGAGTTGCCCCTGAGTGATCCTTTTGCTCTTAATACTGATTGCCATCGCAGAACCACTCTTCATCAACATGCCTGCCGCTCAGAAGGCCGCAGTCGCCATTGTGCAAGTCGTTGGGGTCTACGTGCCCATGCTTGCTGGAAGCGTTATCCTCGAACAGAAGTCGGTACCACCTTCCTTCTTGTACTCGATCAGGGCTAACAATGCCTCACAGAGTCATCAAGGAGAAGGTCGAAATGGAGACCAAGTGGCTGATTGATCACAACAAGAATGGCAAGCCCAAGCCTTTGGCCGCCAACGAATTGCCTTCTGCCCCCAAGAGTGGTTGATCGAGGATCATCTCACGGCGTGGCCTTCAGCACCTTCCAGTCAAAAAGACGTCCAAACAAAAGAAGAGGCTAGAATAAACCTGCGAAGCGGATGTCTTGAAGGACTTGTGGCCCCGCGCACGATCGAACAAGCCTACTCGAGCGTCAATCGAAATCATTCTACAGTACAGCACAATCGACATCGATCAGTATGCTATACTCCTCGTGTTCTTTTCGGTTTGACTGACCATCTTCATCAGGATCTGGCGACCTCGACAGCTTTTTTTTATCACTCTAGCCTTCGAGCTGAATTGAGCCTCGCTGCTGGATAGGCTAGGAACAGGCAGTCACGTGGCAAGAGCTACTAGTCTATCGAATTCACAGTGAGTGCTATCTTTCCTCCCTCACTTCTACCTTGCCTTTCCCTCTCAATATCTTCTCTTCACTCCTTCCCTTTCTCCTTCCGTTCCTCTCCCTCTCTCTCTCGCCTTTTATTCTTCCACTCTTTTCCTGACACCGTCCTAAGATCTCAACGAGCACCTTTCATCTTTGTTCTTCTTAAGGCCTAACGACCTCCTCCCCTCAGCCTAGCAACCGTTCAGACCCCTGCGCTTGGCTGAGGAGGGGCAGGTCATCACCGTGGAAGGGTGCCAATCATGCCCTGAATTAAGTGTTTCTTCGATCGCAACTGTTCGATCTTTACTAACGCTGCGCAGTTCATCGATGGAGGCCGACCGGCCTCCTCTCCTCAGCCAGCATTCATCACAGACACCTGCGGCTAGGCTGGGGCGGGGTGGGTCATCGCAACGGAAGGTTGCTCCAACACATCAACAAGGTCAGTCATTTTTCCTACTCACGTCCTTGTATACCGCTGATGCCTTTGTAATTCAAAATGAAGAGCCGCATACATCCCTCCCAAGCCGGCCTCAACGCAGACACCTGCAGCCAGGCTGGGGCGGGGCAGGCCACCGCATCGGAAGGTCGCCCCCATCACATCATCAAGGTTGGTCACTTGTTCAATTGTCCATATCAGACCTTCGCTGACCTGTCTCAAGTTTCGAAGAGAAGCTCCGCATACATCCCTCCTCAGCTGGCCTCGACCCAGACGCCTGCCGCCAGGCTGGGGTAGGGTAGGCCACCGCGACGGAAGGTCGTCACTCTGCCGCTTCTACCGGGCTGTGGTTGTTCGGATCGTCCAATCCTCCCAAGATTCCATCGTCCATCAGACAGATGTTGAATTTTGGCGATTCAACCAGCCTCAGTCTGGGTGGGGCTTTCACTCTGGAGAACAGGCGTTGACGTGCGCAAGTCTAGACGTCGTGGTCGCCTGCTGGAGTCAAGTCACAACGTGCCCAACCGCGTGACGAGACTTCAGTAGGTCATTACGACTTCTCGTACCTACGCATCGACTTCTCGAACAACTTCAAGGGTGGCTACGCCTTCGTCAACTTCTGCAAGCCAGAGTACATCACCAGCTCCGTGCGGAAGCGCGTTGGTCACCCTTGGGGCATGTACGGCTCGCTGACGAAGTGCGAAGTCTCATACGCCACAATCTAAGCATTCGCACCTTCCCGCGTGCTATTCAACCGGTCCGCCGGCTTGTCCGACGTGAGGGTCAGCAAATATAGGCGCAACAGCGACTGCCCTTTGGCAAAGTTCCGCAACTCGGTTGTCATGGAGGAGCCCCCTGCATTCTGTTCCAAGCTTTGGTACAATATCGAGTCCACCGACCTGCCCACCGACGAAGAGACTGGCTTTCCTGATCATCGTGCCATCGGTATCGCTTGTTCTGGCTGTCTTGTGCAAAACGGCTCTGCCCCACGCCGGCCACAAGACCAGAGGCGAGAACTCTACCCTCTTGGCCAAGAAGACCAAGAAGGCTCTGACTGACGAGGACGAGCCCACCCCTCTTCCCAAGAAGACCCTCCAGGCGAAGAAAGTCATATTCGTGGTGGACACGTTGGAGAAGAATCTTGGCCGGAGGAGAGCTCGTGCTTCTCTTCCCTCGGTCCAGCCTCTTGCAAGAAGATCTACTGTACTGTTGTCGGTTACTACAAATCGGCTCGATTATTCACGTCTTCAACATTCCAATCGAGTATATCTGTGTCTCTTGATGTTGGGATTGCATCCGTCATTCTCTAGCTCTTTTGGCTGTGTCGACTGCTTGACAACGGCTCTCTTGACTTCGTGAACGCTATGCATGTCCTCCTCCCTCTCCTTCCGACATTCTTTCTTCCTTACTTATGATTGATTGCTCTTGTGCGCTTGTTGTAGATATCCTGCCATACGAGTCAGCATCAGAGATCTTTGAGTTGATCGGTCACGTATAATGCACATATCTTACCTCCCAGACACCGAACAATCAGATTAACCAACAAGATGCAGAAGAGGAGCTTCCAAATTCGCGCATCCCAGATCAGTCGACACTACAGCCACACGGGTGCGCTCAGTCATATTGAGACTGATGATTCTGGTATGAAAGGTCGACATAAACGCGTTGAAGTGCTTTATGAGCACAGCAGCAGAACGAGGAGAAGTGCTGCTGTAACCAGAAAAGCTCGATTGCGAGTTGAAGTTCGTAATGACTACATCAACACGGATGACAAGGTTTAGGGTCTAGTCGCGAGGTACATTGTGGTAGTTGCTGTTGATGTTTGCGCGCTGGACGATGAGGAGGTGAGGGCTACTCACGAGGGGGGCTTGATACGGGCCAGTAGCGAGAAGTATAACAGGTTTGAGGTATACTTACGAGGCATGGGAGCGATCAAGCGATCGGCTTGAGGTACGGCCGGGGCGGGAGGTGCTTCTTCTTCCTCTATCTCGTCGTGCTCGCGCTTGATGGCGGCGACAAGCTCGGCTTGTGGAGCAGTAGGGGCATCTCTGCGGGCTCTCTTGCGCTCGGGCGATTCATCTTCTGTCTTGACCATAATGTTGTGCTGTTGTGATGCAGCGTGAAATATGTGTTTCTAGAAGTGAGGAAGAAGAAGTGCAGCTAGAGCGTCGACTTGGCTGATGAGAGGTGCGAGAGTTCGACGTAGTAGCTTTCTCGCGCAATTTGGCAAATGGACTTCATTCTGTACTTACTCCTTATCCTCCTGACACGGGCAGATCTACTACACAACAATATGCGTATCTGCGACAATCGATACATGAGCGATACACTACGTAGACAGAATACGGCTGATCATTCCAGGAACTGTGACCTATGAGCTATAGCACACTGGAGGAAACTATCACGGGCACCAGCTAAAGAAGACACGTTGTTTCTATGTGAGGTGAGTGGAACTAAACTTGAATCTTCGGTAATGACTGTGGTGGGACGTACGACTGGGGAGTGATGACCGAATTCTGACCATGATCTACCTCTCTCCCTCTTCTGCTGCACACGTTTCCATTGATCATCCTGCTCGAATATGCTCAGTGGTCTCGCTATGCCATCTGTAGTATGAGTTCTACTCAGACGGGTCTCGGAGCGATGTGCGATCAGCGACCATCTGCTCAGGAAATGAAAAAGCGGATGGAAAGCTCGAGCCGTTCCCAACTTGCAGGAGTCCAGATCACAGCAAAGAAGGTACTTGTGGTCATGTTGAGACTCGTTACTTCCAATTGAAGATCATCAACGACGGCGCTGAAATGATGCAGAAGGCCGTTCATAGAGCGGGATGATCGAGCCGTGTATGTGGCGAAGTTCGAAGTTGGGTTCATGTTGGTGATGGTGACGTGAATGTTTCGATCGGGGTCCCAACCTCGTGCTTGTGCTTGTGGAACCCAGCGGTAGCCGAGGTGGCTCTGAGCCTGATGGATGATGAGATTACTGCTTGGGACGGCCACGAATGCGGCTGTCGTCGGGTCAGTCTCGAGACGCGTGATGGGCTGAATTGACTACTCACGTCTCTGAGGCTCAGGCTGGGCCATGCGAGGGGCATTGTGGTCGGGTGTTGGAGGCATAGCCTGTAGCTGTGCCACTCCGACATCACCAGGGGGTTCTGCGAACGCAGCTTGGAGCGGGTCAAGATCTATATGTGAGACAAGTTGAGAGAGCATACTCACGTCTTGCAGGCTCTGGCGAAGCCAGCGGAGCGATCTGGCCAGGATCTCCAGGAATTGTAGGAGTAACACGAGCTTCTTCATCGTTCATCGAGCTGTATTCACGCTTGACACCAGTGGGGGGTGTGTCCTGAGAGTCGAGGGGGGCATCTCCACGTGCCTTCTTGCGCATTGGCGACTGGTCTTCTCCTTCGGCCATGGTGTCTTGCTGTCGATATATAGCGTGACGAGGAAGGAAGGGGAAGAGTGATTTTGTGAAATGATTCGCACAATTCGTTACTCGAGTGATAGCCAAGCATTCGAGGTCAGCACCCACGAAGTTCGACTTCTTACAACAAATCACACCAACTCTCCCTCCTTGCCCGCATACGTACCAGTCTCAGAGTCATCTACGCCAAGATCTTTGTTACCAGGAGAGTTCTCCTGCTGATTACCCAGATCGACTAGACTGGAAAGACAAGAGATGATGCCGACCGCAATCTTCTGCCTCTAAAAGCCCCTGTGGGTGTTTTAGTGGAAATCCATCCTACTCGCTTCCAAGATAAGTATTGCAGGCTGCTTCTTTGCATGGAGGGTCACTCCGGACGCTACAAGACTACACGACAAGAATCGCGGCAAGAGCTGAACCAGACCATGAGACAGCTTGGGGAAAGAGGAGTGCCACGTAAGACACCGGACCACTGCAGCTCGGGTGATGTAGCAGTGGCGTTTTCAACCAATAACTTCAGGCTCGATGATCATGTATTATCCTTGTCGGCATTGTAGTCCACGTTCGCGTCCTCGTCCTGCAAGCATGCGTTATGGAGCCGTGTCTTCTCTGCGCCGACAGACGGCGACACCTTTGTGTTGAGTGCGAACGATGCCCAGATGCTAAACTTGATATCTTTTTCTGATGCGTGATTTGGCTATCCATAAAGTGACTCATCATGGACCGTCAATTGTAATTTTGCACTGTCTTGGGGCGTTTTAGAAGCTCCATACAGATCCAAAATGAGCTGTAGGCTCGGACCATAACGTCAGACAAGCTCTGGCAGACATCTTCGTAAGATGGTCAGCAAAGTGCCATACACAGAAGCAAAGGATGGTGGTCAGGGTCCTGCCCATGACTTCCAGGACGGACCCGTTCCGCTGTGCCCGTCATCGGCGACGGAAGCGGGGAAGTCAAGCCGGAGTCCGGTTGCACCTTCTATTTCAAGATTAGCCGCTCCAAACGTCTTTCTTTGTTCTCTCGAGTCTCGTCGCGTCCAATTTTTCTGTCGTCCGCATGCATCGTCGTCGAGAATAGGCAACATGGCGAGCAATACGACAGCCACAATGACCGAGCCGACACCAATGCAGGCTGCGGCCATTGCTTCTGGAGGCGGCCTTTGGGGTGATCCGGCAGTCGAACTGAGTATGATGGGCGATCAACGACAGGCTACACGCATCAAGAGCTCGGAAATGTCAATTCAGGATGTGAAAATAGCTTCGAAAAAGGGCAATGCGATTGTTATGGGATGCATTGCTTTCAGTACTGGTATCGCATCTTTTCTCGCTGGTGTCATCACGATTGCCATTCCAATCATGGCAAAGGAGCTGAATATCCCCGAGAATCTGGTTCTTTGGTGAGTCTGAACTGTTAGCAAGCCTAAAGAGCTATGAAACTAACCAATCAATTTCTAGGCCTGTGACCGTATACTCTTTGGCTTGTGGATGCACGCTTCTTGCCTGCGGGTCAGTCTCGGACGTCATTGGCAGCAGACGGATGTTCTTGTCAGGCTGTTTCCTTCAATGCTTCATGACAATGGCTTGCGGTCTTTCCAAGAATACTGCCCAGATCATCGCTTTTCGCTCTTTTTCTGGTATTGCGGCGTCGTTTTGCTTGCCTTCGGCCGTCAGCCTGATCAATGAAGTCTTTCCTCCCGGCAAAGAGAGGAACATCACTTTTGCCATGATGGGTGGAGCTCAGCCGTTTGGCTTCGGCATTGGTATGGTACTGGGTGGTGTATTTACTGGAACTATTGGTTGGCAATGGGGCTTCCATCTTGCTGCCATCATCAACTTCTTTATGTTCATCCTCGCTGCATGGCAATTGCCTCCCACACCTGTAGCACACAAGCGTCAGATCTGGTCTCGACTTGCGACTGATATCGATTGGCTTGGTCTCATTCTTGCGAGCGGCTTCCTTGCCATGCTTTCCTACGTCATCTCAGCTCTGACTGGAGATCTGACTGTCATGAAGCAGCCTGTCAACATTACTTTGCTTGTCCTCTCGTTCGTCTTCCTGGCAGCTTTCGTACTTTGGGTGGGCCGTCAGGAACGCCTTGGACGACCAGCTCTCATTCCAAACTCTCTCTGGCAACATAAAGGCTTCTCCTGCATCTGCTTCAACGTATTCTGCGTCTGGGCAGCCTTTAACGCGTTTGAGCAATATGCCAACTTCTTCTTCCAAGATGTTCAAGGAAACAGTCCACTTGGTACAGCTCTTCGCTTCCTGCCAGCTCCCGTCTCCGGTGCTCTTGCCAACATCGGCGTCGGCCTGCTTGTTCATCGCATCAGAGGAGACTGGATCGTTGTGCTCACGAGCATTGTCTCGGCTCTTGCCTCGCTGCTAATGGCCATCATTGATCCATCATGGTCATACTGGCGTTGTGCTTTTGTGGCTCAATTCTTTAACCCTGTCGGTGCGGATGGCATGTTCACTGTTGCCAACTTGCTGATCACCTCTATGTTTCCTCCCGGTGAGCAGGGCGTGGCGGGTGGTGTGTTCAATACCGTATCTCAAACCGGCAAGAGTGTCGGCATGGCATTGACGCTACTCATCGCGCAGCAAGTGACTGCAAACTCATCTCACGCCGACAAAACATCCCCCGAAGCATTGATGGTCGGATATCGGGCAGCTTTCTGGTTCTGTGTCGCCTTGATCGTAGCAAGTCTGCTTGTCAGTGTATGGGGCCTCAGAAGGATTGGCAAAGTCGGTCTGAAGAAGGATTGAAGCTTTCGCTGGACACGTTGCATCATATCAAAAGTTGCTCTTATGCCATAGGCCATTACAGGCGGCCGTGTTTTATCCATCCTTGTAGTAGCTCCCTCTTCATCGTACTGGCCCTTTCAGGCAGATGTGGAAAGGCAAAGATGTATTTCAGGTTGCTGATGCGACGAGAGCAATGTCTTGATACAGTCTGAATCTGTTGCTCCCAACTGAGGATCCCCCGGTCACGCCAACGCTTCTGCATCGTGACATTCACCACGTGGAGAGTCTTCTCGAGCTGAAAGACTGATTCTCCGAGTATTCCCTCAACAGAAGTGTTGTCTTTTGATGGTGTCTGGATGCAACTGATTTTCGACTTGACCGCAGAGAGCTCGATCATGCCTAAGGCTTCCGAAATATCACGATCGAGTTGTGATATGACAGCAAGATTCTTGCATTCCGACAACTGGCTGACGAGAAACTCGGACGGATGAGAGTATCCGGAGTAAGACAATCGGGCACTACGGATCATCTTGTGGTTCCGTATCTCTTGTCGACAGCTGTAATGGTAAAGACTAGTCATGTGTTCAATCAATACCTTTGCAGAGCTATTGTTGAAGCCGAAAAGGTGACCAGCGAATGAACGATTTCGGTAGCTCATTTTCACTTCGAGGGTCAAGTTTTCCGTTCTTCCCTCTTTCAACTTGCGGACTCGACTTTCATCCAAGACTTGTCGCCATCAGCCAAGTCAGTAACCACATGCATTCTTGGTAGCTCTTCCGCATCATAGTCTGACCATTAAGGAGACACCATGAACGGCACCAATCAGCCTTCTACACCTCCACCTCGCCAAAGGGTACGTTCTCAAAGATCTCACGACAGGAGAGCGTCAGACTGATTCAATCCAGGTCTTGCCCCCTCGCTGCATACATCCCAACAGCGCCTCGCCTCCTCCTGATCCTCCTCCATACACCAGCAACGACAGCAACAGCAACAACGACCCCTTCGTCGGCCCTGGAGGCCTCGAAAGCGTCAACCACCTGATCGTCTCCGCCCGCCTACCCCTCCTCACCGCCACCATCGCCCCTATGCGCGAAGAAGTCGAGCTTCTGCGTTTGCTCGCAGCACAAAACATCGATTCTAGGATCAGGGAGGTTATCGAGGGTGTAGCGGCTAGAATTGTGTTTCAATTGAATAGGTTGGAGAGTGAAGCTGAGAGGCTCAAGGCTGACATCTTTGGACCGATGCCTGAGTAAGATGATTTCTGGGTGGATATGGATAGGAATGAGAAGCTAATGAGATGTATAGGGCTCGTGATGACTACTACCGAGACTAGGGAGGGGGAGAAGGTGTCACTAGACATGAGAAGCACGATTGACAAGGCGGCGGAAGGCATATGGGTAGGGCACTGGAGTTGGGCGCGATGAATTGGTACACAATATGTCTCGAATCCACATATCAAATCAATTGCCTTTGCAAATTAGCATCTTTACAAGTGAAACACAGAAGAACCCGCATGGAACGATGTGCTGGAACCTTCTGTGATAAAGAGCTCGGCATTGTACTCGGCCGGCTGGCTGGCTTGACACAAACGATAGACTTCGTGTCTGTTCCTCTTGCAAACCACAACAAACAAAAATACGCAATTTATAAGCTTCAGGCGCTCTGATATTCTTCTTAACTGTCTACAAACATTGGTGAGGCTCTTTGGCACGTTATGCATGTCTTTACTGACGTGTTTGGCTGTCAGAGAAGGCTTTCCCAAACCATAACAACACTTCTCGGATATCATATCATCCCATCAACACCTTGAACATATTCTATCTTTACAACGACGTAAGTCCACACATGCCTGATACCTTCCAGGTCCATGACTAACCCTCGAAACCAGAACATGCCTCACACCACCCAGTCGTCCCACAGATCAACCAAGCCCCCCACCACCACACTCTCCAACATCTCCTGGAACCCCACCCCCCACAACCACATCAACCACTCCTTTACCTCCCTCCACGACCCCTTCAGCCCCATTGACTCCTCCCGCACCGCAATGTTCTCTCGCTTCGCCGCCGCCATCAAGGTCACCGAAGCAGAAGGCGTAGCCAACCATCTCCAGCGCGAACTTGAGCGTCTGTTTGCTGTTGCTAGACTTCCTGATCAGAGTCCTGAGGGTAGGGAGAGGGCTGTTGAGCAAGGGTTTGAGGCGTACAAGATGCTTGAGGTTTGTGAGAGGGATGTGGAGTTTTTGAAGATGAAGGCTTTTGCTTGCAAGGAGGATGCTGAGATGTAGGTGTGGTGTTTGTTGTGGTTGAGGAGATGTGTGCTGATGATTTGCAGTGGTGATCTTGATGTCGCACTTTCTACTCCTACCAAGAAGGGCAAGGAGGTCAAGAAGAGCAAGATGCACTGAGGTCTGAGCTATGCTTGAACTGCGCTGAAGAAGAACACAGAGCATGTCGGCCATGCTCGAACAAACTTTGAGAAAGCAATCAGGGAGGAAGGAGGAACTTGAGCTGGATGAATGAAGGACAACGCACTTAACATCAAGTTGCAGAGCTCAGCGTCATGGCTGCTTGCATGAGTCTATGGAAGATGATCGAGGGAGGGTCAATTGGCAGCCTTGTACAATGCAATAAAGAATTGGAACGCTTGTGACCCACCCTTGTGCCATCGTGATGTTCGTGTTCTCTTCATGTGGATAAAGCGCCCCGTTCCAGACCTCGACGTTCCTACCTTCGTCGGATCCAGAGACGATGCCTCGCTCACGGTCTTCGAGTCTGTAAGCTGCTCCATGCTGTCCAGCTTGATAGTATCATCAACTTTAAACTTGCCTCGTTTCTGGAGATGGCGTAAGATCTCAGTCTCTACAAGAAGCGCTGTCCCTGTTCGTCTTCGCCCCACTCTAAACCAAACTCTATGACAGGGAGTTACGGCTAGTCCATCATCCATAGACGAACACATTTTCTCCAAAGCTGGCACCCTCAAATTACCGCTCGTGTACGTAACGTAGAAACAAAACAATGAACATTGCAAAACGTGATTGTCGTTCTCACTTGGTCTTGGCGACCATATGGGAAGACAGGTAGATTTGTACAATCTATATCGCAGAACAAAAACTCCGCCTCTTCTCTGCAAACTTCGCGAACGACATCTTTTTGCAAAGATCGTTTTATTGCACCTCGACAGCGACAGCCCCCCTTTTTCTGCGCCTTGACAGCAATAGTCACCATTTCCCTGCCTGACTGCATACAAACCAGCCTGCGAAAACATACCCGCAACCGTCGCGCAAAAATGTCGGATCATTCAATTCTCGGCTTGATGTTCACATACGATCGCGCCTCGAATCGATACATTGGAGTCACGCAAAACGGGGATGAACATGCCATCCTCACGCCCTATGCATACCACAAGGTCCTGCGCAACGGTCTGCCCAGGCTCAACACGATCCCTACTGTCGGCGACGCGGACGGGGATGATGAGCTCGATGCCGGCAACGGGCAGCCTGCAGAGAATGACGGCGGTCCAGACGATCCGATCGTCATATCAGAACGAGAAGAGAGCTCTCAGGAAGAGGATGAGGAATCGCAGGGTGATATTGAAGAAGAAGTAAACGATGTTGATGAGGAGGTGAACGAAGTTGTCGAGGGTGCTGGTCGACCCGAAATCGCTGCAGAGGCAGACGGTCTATCAGTCCAGTCGAGCGCTTCGGGAATCTTTGTGAGCTCCGACGAGGATCTTCCTGGTAACGACGCCTTCAAGGGTGACTCTGTCCTTGCCCGCTTCCGCGAGCAACAGGAGAGAGGCAGACTCTTGCAAGCCGACGATGAGGGATTGGGCCCGCCCTTCGGTCCTCTGGACCAAGCCATTCTTTCTGAGCCCGCCCCGGGTGCTCGTACGCCTATCTACAACGAAGAGCCCGAAGATCAGGCCACAGATCATGAGGGTCATGGGGCGCAGCAGCCCCTCAACAGATCTGCCGCCAAACGCCCCCTGGAGCAGCCTTCCGAGTCTCCTTCGCAGGCTCAGCCATCTCGCAAAAAGAGGTCTCGTCGCCCTTCTCTTCCATCTCCCTCCCCCAACCCTCACGCCAACGATGCCGAGCAACTGCAGTTTAACATGGTCCCTCTCAACCCCAACCCATCTCAGAGCATCCTGGACCAGTTCCAGCCAGTTCCCGAGGCTGAGCTGAAGACCTTCAAGACCTCAAAAGCTCCCGTCACCCTGAGTCAGAAAGTGAACTACGGATACAGAATGAACTTCGCCATCTGTATGCACCCTGGTTGTCCCAATAATGAGAGACATGGAGGTATGGGCTGGACCAGGGCTATGCACCGTGATGCACACATCGAGAGCGAGCATGCCGGTTTCAAGCAGCCTGAGCAGGGTACGAAAGCCACTTTTGTTTGAAACTGGGGGTTTCGGGAGGCAGGACTATCAAGACAGGGAGATAGAGCAGTATAGGCATGGAATCGGGACAGCATGCACAGTGATAGTATCAAAGAGGGCTACAGAAGGGGCCAGAGGTCCAGAGGTGTAGGCCTAGACAGTAATCAGATCGGATCCATTCACTTGCCTTCGATTCTCGTGCTTGCATATGCTTGTGATGTCTCATCTTGTTCTTTCACTTGACTCATGCTGGGGAGTGAAACATGTCGTCCAAAAAGCTTGGCGTCTCCAACGTCCTCCACCACCACGCGCGCAATATCAACACTTTACATTGCCTTTTGACGCCTTCCTTCTCTCGCGCATAGACAAAGATCTTCAACCAAGCAGTAATTACAGTTACCTGGTGGGAAAGAACACAGGCTAATCATCTCCAGTCATGTCACACCGCCGCCGCAGAAATGCTGTCTCGCAGCACAATCCTTTCCTGGGTCGCCGCGCTCAGACGGGGCAACTCCTGCCTCATCAAATGCCTTTTGGGGAGGAGCCCTCGTCGGAGGACGGCGCTCAGGAGAGCGAGGACGACGACGAGCGGTATGTTATGCTAATCGCTCAACTTCCGTCCCACTTTTGTACTGATACTAATGATTGCAGGCAAGAAGAACAAGAAGAAGAAGAAGACGACGACGAAGCCATGAGCAACATGGCCGATGATGGTGGCAGCGATGAGCTGGTCTCTCCTTCCCCTGAGGCCCAAGAAGACCGCAGCAGCAGCAACAACAATAACGTCCCTGCTGCCCCTCAAGCACCAGCTCAGCAAGTCCGCTACGTCTCTCCCGACCGTATCCGCTTCCCCCTCTCTCTCGCCAGGGCTGGGCTGGTGACTTACCCCTCCGCTCCCGTGGTCATTGTGCAAACCTCCGAAGGTCCCTGCACTCTGACCGATGGCCAGTACTACTGGAACGCCATGGGCAGGCCTCAGTGCCTGAGGAGGGGGTGCCTAAATAACAGGGGCACGGGGTATGCAGCGGAGCAGAGCCGTGATGATCACATCGGGACTCATCAGGTCTTCCAGACGCCGGCCTACTGGCAGGAAGCCAGCGGCACGAGTCAGTTCCGATGTCGAAGAAGAGATGGTCAAAGCTAACCCGAGGCAGGAAACGGCGAGCCCTATCGCATTCTCTGAGCTTCGAGCTCAAAACACCTCCATAGGGAGAGGCAGTCAAAATGCACAGTCATTTTCAAGTTTTTGTCAGTCGTAGCGGGAGTGGAGGGGGACGAAAAGGCAGCACAAATTCAAAACCAAATGTTGCCGCTCGAAACTTCGCATGTTCATTTCCCGGGCTTGACTCACGTGCTATGGTCCAGGGAAACACGTACCGCCAAGCGCTTTCCATCAAAATGCTACAACTTCCCGTGCTATTGTGTACTACTATTGAGTATTGTTCTTGCAGCGGCTGATCCACAGCTATACAAGTCTTATTGAGGTATGTACACCCAAGATTGACAATACAATTAACCAAGGTATAGGTGCTACAAGCTCGCTGTGATGGACCATCCTTTCCTCACGCCAATTCGTCTCACGCCTGATCGGGAATCAGGGTGTAGACGACTTCTCTACACATCTATCAACTCACACAGCGCTGGCGCTTTAGAACCATGTCTCAACAAAGAAGTACATCGTTGCTAGTACATGTTCCCTGTATTTGACTAACATGTTTGACAGGATTCCTCCCCTCTGACCCACCTCTTGGTCCACTGGACAACAGGGAGATCTCCGGACAGGAGATGGAAGAGGCTGAATCGACTGTCAATGAGTACCTCCAAGATCCTGCTGCATTCGACGCAGCCAATTCAGGTGGTCGTTCAACTGCAACCGCCACAATCAACACTCTGTCTTTCCAACAGACTGATCCTACCGTCTCCGACAACACAAGCATCACTCATTCCACCACTCAAACATTACCAAACGAAGACGAGCAAGCCGCGGAAATGGGCTTCTTCCTAGCCGCACACGCCACAGCCAATCATGAACAGGTGCTAGAACCTTCCACCAACCAGCCAACCTCTCGTGTGTAACGCCGAGTTTCGTTCGTTGTTCCTGCACAGGCTCAACCCCCCACTCGCCGTCCTCGAGTCTATATCTTCACCATCATCGGCTGGGTCAGATTGACTCGCCGCCAGCAAGCAGACAATTCCCAAGGCCGTTACCAGTGTCTCGTTCCCGGCTGTCACAACCACAAAGGCCATGGCTTCATCGGTGGCTTTGCTCGTCGCGGACACTACCAGCGCTATCACGATCATCGCTAGTCGCAGGCTTTTGTTGGCTGGCGTAAGTTGCCCTGCCTGGCATTGTCATTGTATACCTACTGACTTGATGCAGAGGATGGTCGTCGTGTTGTTATACTTTGAAAGAGTCTGAGTGCTTGGGTATTTTGTCCAGGGCTCGACAGTAGTCTGCGAGAGTAAAAATTTGTCCTCGGGCTCGAAAGGCGCCGTTACTGATATTTTGCAGATGTTGACCGATACATGCATGAGCTTGCAGTTGCCAGGACAAAGAGAAGAGAGCAAAAGGTACAGGGCAAAGAGTACATCATGCGACGCCCGAATATTGATTGAGAGCGTGAACGCCATTGGCAGTTCTGGAACTGGGAAGGATTGATTTTTTGCGCTTAAAACAATAACTTTCTAATCAATTCCCGTGTCAAGATCGACGGCGTCTCTCTAGACTTCTGCCATGGCACAAGATCTCGATGTCCGTATGTCCTGCTGACAGGTATGGCTGGGGATGCTTATTCACGTACCAGACATTCTCCGTTGAGAGACTGTCTTGAAGCCTCTCTCCGCCAAGGAGACGGTAGACCTGAACATGTTTGTAGTTTGGTACAGCACATTTTAAAGAGGGAGTCTATGGATGAGAACGACTCTTTACTGTACATCAAGTCTATCTCACAATTTCGTCACTGGCAATAACGTTCATCATTCTGCACGCCTTCACGTACCTTCCTCTTTTCTTTACAGCATCACAAGCTTCAATTCTAAACATAGTTCACTGCGGGGCTTCTTTCCTCAGTGCCGTAGGCTTCGGGTCTCAGAAAGTTGTCTCCGCGCTTACTCAACTTCTTCCGCACCACTACCTCCTCCAACAACATCATAACCCTTCCTTCTCAACATCACTAACCAGAAGTATTTATTTTGTTCTACCTGCCTGTACCTCTACTTACCATCCGAGCAGCAACATCACCTCGATGGATCACGTTCTGATAGTCATCGAGCGCCTGAAGGCCGGCGAACAGGCACTTGAACGCAGATTGGAGATCGCCGAAGCCACTGGTAGAGTTCTCAGAAGAGACAGTGACGCCGTGCTTGCGCAGATTGAACGCGGTCAGAGCGTTCAAGACCAAACTCAGCAGTCAGATCCAGGCTTCACCAACACATTGTGTACAGATCGTGATAGGAATTCTCTGCGCTCGCACTCGGGCGTCAATACTTGGGATGGCAAAGTTCATGAGAGACACTTTGTTTCGGGAAGTCATGGCGTGCCACGCCGTTTTCAGCAAATTGACCCTGACATTTCTTCTCAGACTTGGACAGATAATGGTAATAGTTCGCTGCGCACATACTCGCGCTCAATCATCGGAAACAGCAACAATGCTAAGAGACAATTCAGACTTCAGGATCAGGATGTGCCTCAGCGTTTGCAGCATGTGGACCCAAGCATCCATTCTACGACTCAACCGTTTCACGACAGAATCGCTTCCCGCACCAACTCGCGTGCCAACACAGGAGAGAGCAACAATGATGAGGGCCGGATTATTTTCGAAGATCAGGACGTACCCTGGCGTTTCCAGCACACGAGCCCCGGCGTTTTGGCCACCTTTCCATCATCTCGAAGCAGATTTCCGCTCCGCACTAATTCAGACGCAGTCGCTCTAGCTGATGACCATGAGGAGAGCCCTCTCGTTCCTGGAAGTTTGAGCGTGCCCAATCGTTTTGAGTTGTTTGACCCTCTCGCCTCTGACACCTTTCACTCTTCCCAAAATGGAAAGCGTTCCCGCGCTGATTCAGACGCTATTTCTGGATTTGATGACCATGAGAATGCATTGTTCATTTCTCAAAACCAGGATTCACCCAGCTGTCTTCAGTGCTCCAACCCAAAAGTTGCAAATACCTTTTACTCGGCACATATCGATGTTTCTTCCCGCACCAACTCATACGCCGACGCCGAAGGTAACACCGATGAAGAGACCCTTTTTGTTTCTCAAAGCCAGGACGTGCCCCGTCGTCAGCAGTACTCGGACCCTGGAGCTTTGAACACCTTTCTCTCTGCCCACAATAGAATTTTTCATCGCCCTAGATCAACCACAATCACTGGAGCTTATGACAAAGGAGAGACTTTGTTCGTTTCTCAAAGTCCCCAGCCTGTCGCTTCGGCTTCCAGAATGACACTTCGCAGCCTTCACAGTCTTTCTGTTCACAACGACGACGCTACTTATGCCAAAAGACGCTGTGTCACCTTCACACAAGAAGAACCTATCTACATCTCTGACGACCACGACTCACCCAATGAGTACAATGACTATGGCGACAGTAACGCCGTGCCTCCCCATTGCCCCGAAAATGATGCCAACATCGGCTACAACAAGTCCAAGTACCAAAGTGATGGTAGATTGATCAAGCAGCCATACGTCCAACCACTCACATCATCAATGCCTTCTACCTCAACTGCCATCCCTTCCATCCGCTCTACCATCAACCATCCCTCTCGCACTCAAGATTCCACCCAAACCTATTCCTCCAACTCCGGCGTCGGCGGTCCAATCCGCCCAATGCAACAAGAAGAATACGACGGCTTGAACGCTCGTGCAGCTGAAGTAAACAGCCAAACTCCCTGCCCATACCCTGATTGTGGTCGCCTTTACTCGAGTTACAGTTCTGTTGTCAGACACCTTCGTCGAGGACACCCGGATTGGCCGGTCGTCAGGGAGAAGATGAAGAGTAGGTACAAGGAGTGGAGTAAGTTGTGTGAGAAGATTGGTTCGAATGGCTAAAAGTTTGAAGGGTGGAGGACCGATGGGCTGTGGTAGTGGGCTTCGAGCATAGCGATGTTTCGATATTTGCCCGGGAGGAAGGCAGTACGTCATTGGGGGGTCGGCTGGGAGGATGAGAATGAGAGAGGGACGATCTCTCACGTCTCTCGGCTCGAAGCAATGCTACCAGCTTCTTGTTGCGTGCACGGGAGCAAAGCAGCACGTTTCTCTGGGAGATGGGCTTGGAGGATGGAGATCAGAAAGGAACGAAGGAATCTTCGACGATCAGTTTCAGGCGCAGTAGCTCCCTGTTGCGTACCAGGTAGAGATGCAGCACGTCTTCCTTGAGAGAGTTTCCGGACATCGAGAAAGAATGGGTTTTCTTCACCTTTGAGTTCGCGATCTATCAAGCCTCTGCTTGACTGACCGGTAGAGAGGCAGAACGGTCTTTCACCATTGCGTTGTGGTTCAGAAGGAGGCGAACGGAATGGACAGGCCGACGCAAAGAAGGCGCATCAACATGACTTCAAAAGTCATACATACCATGCAAACTCACCAATAGGAAGGCAGAACGATCTCTCCGTTTTTGCCTTGTGGTTGTGGAAATAAAGAATGGCACCAACGGCCCTGGGCAAAGAATTGAAATCAGCTCAGTCCCATTGACAATGCAAACTCCGTCGATGCTCCAGCGCAAAGGCAGAGTGATCTCCATCATAAGTTTGGGTTCCTGGAAGTGGAAGATGGTTTGCATCGGCGTAAGCAAGAAAGGCAAGCCAGCATGACCTTCGTCCTAAGGCATATTCTTCTTAGTCAACGGTGGGGAGGCCGAATGATTTGTCGTGACTGGTTTGTGCCCCTAAAGATGTAAGACAGTGTCCGACGCATTGCACAAACAATGCAGATCAGGATGATCTCAATGGCAATGCACACCTTCCAGTGTCAGCGGTGACAAGGCGGAAAATTCCGTTGCAATCGTTGCATGATCTATAAACGAATGCTCGTACCGTCTGCCCGCGGCGTGGAGATGCAATCGAGAATGATCTCGAGGGTGAAGGATTACGAGTGGATGCAGCAGTCAAAAGGCGGAATGACTTTGGGAAAAGCAAGAAAGTGTGTAGAGATGGTGGTAGGTATCTCATGCCCATGAATGATGAACAAGTCCAAACGTCATCAGAAATGAGGAACTGCGTGTCTGTGAAGGATCCAGAAAGCAGGATGAACTGGACATAGACTTATAGAGATCAAGGGCTGAGAATTAAGAACACAATGATCGAGGAATGCTTGGCACTCATTAAGCTGAAGCCAACGAAATGCTGTAGGCCTTGTTCCACCCATCTTCGATTCTTACGGCCCCACAATTGCAAACATCTACCTGCAAGATGTCGATCCCTGAAAACAAGCGCTTGCTACCTCTCAAGGAATTGACATCTCAGAAGCTAAGTTTATACAGACGCAAGTCGATTTTTCAAAGTTGTGTAGCGCGATACGGCTGCCACCCTTTTTGTACTAAACAGCTTGTCTACGAGGACGACTCTACACATCATGATCTCATTCGTGACTAGATCGATTGCGTGATTCGAATCCTCTTGAAGCTTGCAGCAAGGGTACATATTCGTTTGGACGACCGTCGATTCCAAGATTTCTCCCCCCATCAATGATCTTCCTCTTGAACAACAAGCCCTGGCTCCTTGGGTCGATCCTATTGAAAAATGTCTCCAAAGTTACGCAATCACCGTGCACAAAAGAACTGAATTTGATCATCATGGTTCCGAACCCCATGACAGCCAGACATTGTAAGTGCCTTGATCTGTAGCTCTGACCCTCGAATTGCTTTGCTGACGTCTGCTCAGCTCAAGGTTCGCAGGCTGAGGATACTGGCAACTCCTTAGACGAGTCAAAGCAAATGTGACTTACCGTGATACATCTATTCCCAATGACAATCTCACTAATCAGCTCCGCAAACTCTCTTCAGCTGACCGTAGAGGTACCTGAAAGTCTTCTAGATTCCGACACGGCTTTCAGCTCAGGTGTGAAGATCACGAAAGGGATCTTCATGTGTAGAACGATGAGCCCGGCCAGCTTGTATCTCGGATTCCCTCAGATGTCATCAAACTGGCCAAACGTCGTCTTGACTACGTTCGCTTTGTTCAAAGCACCCGCGAATCAAACTTCGACTGGTTCCCCGGCACGTCGGAGCACGAGTACGAGCACACGATGGAAAAGTTGTCCCGAGAGGACGGTGCACGCGCGATGATCGAGAAAGGAATTCGGGAGAATGACGTGAGTGGTGCGACATCTCGTGCTTGAGCACTGGATTGATGATAATTGACAGAACGACTACGTGTTTCTCGGCCTTGCAAGTGACGCCCTCACGTACACTCAGTCATCGAGAATCGACATGGTGTTCTTGAGGTTGGTGTGAGCGCACCAAGTCGAGGCCAATGGGCAAGTAGAAGAGGAGGGAGCTTTTGGGGGGTGCTGAAAAGGTCTTGACCAGCGTGTCCGAGAGAGGCGACTCGGGACTCTATGTCATCGTTGCTTCATCTTTGCTCGACGGCCAGGGCAGTTTTCCCGAAGGTCGCTGAGATATCTTGCGATAGTGGCAAAACCATTCTTGTTAGGACGACAGTAGCTTGCTTGGTGGAGGAAGGAAAGCAGCATTGAATATGTAGTCGGCAGAAGTCTCAGTGCAAAAGAGTCGTTGATATCCCTACAACCACTCTTGGAAACATTCCGCCTTCCAATTCGCGTTTCATACGAGCAACAGCCCTCAATGCAAGCGCTCAAGTCAATGAAACAGCGTTCGACCGTTCCCAGCTTTCACACCTGAACGTCCCTACTTCCATCTCCAAAAGTCCCGTCTATAACTCCTTGGTTATCAACACAATTCGCAGTCAAAATCTCATCTCTACCAACCTATCAAGCATCAAGTCATCATGGCTACCGCTCAGGAGACCCTCTCGAACCTGGCATCCGAGCTGCATGAGTACAACCTCAGCATTTCTACCCTCTACCACACCATCAAGGTCATTCGCGAGACCCTGAAGGTCCTCGATCCCGCTGAACCATCGCCCTCCTGGTCGACAACAAGGTTGAGGGAGAGAAGATGATCGCTGCAATCAAACGTGTCGAGATGCAAGTGCCCCTCCACCCTCCAATGCATCTGTATACTGACCCGCTCAGGTCTCTCAAGATCGTCATCCAGTACGGTCACGTTGTTCGCGCCCTTCAGGAGGCAGTCCATCGCGTCAAAGCCTTCCTCTGGATTGCTGACAAGATCTTCACCACACCCTCCGCCGATAACATGACTGTCGTGACCAAGAAAATCACGAGAAAGGCGCTTTATTCCCATCTTCCATTCTCCAAGCTTTTCTTGACATCTGTGACCCTTGTTTCCGCGCGCCCCAGAATTATCCTGCTTACACATTACTCGTAACAATGTGTCTCACCCATCTCGGTCGGTACTTCGACAATATGTCCCGTTGCCGCACAAACAGCAGCCGCGTCGCCCATGACATGACAGAATCGCAACCTCTTATACAGAGCGGTACGTACAGTGAGAGTTTGCACCATTCACAACGATATGACTGACACGAAGAAGCTCTCAAGACCAATTCGCGGAAGCGCACCGCAATGAGAATGGCAAAGCAGGTTGCGTTCGTTCCCACATCGAAGGAAGTCCGCGGCGACTTGGCTATCAAGGACGAGGACAGAAGTCTTGACTCCATCTCGCACGTTGCTTTCCACCACGTTCATCTTTCGTCTGGCTCTAAGGTTCGCGAGGCACTTGGTGAGCGTGAGCTTAACGATGATCGTTCTTCTGTGTCGACTTTTATGTCCCATCAACGAACATCCGCTTGTGACGTCATGGACGAGCAGGACCACTACCGCAACAACTCTCAAGCCTCTCGCTCGCACACCAGAAGCGACTCCAACAGCGCTGTCTGTGACGCAGAGCTTACGTCCATGTCTTTTTCTGGGCTCTCTTCCATAGAGTTACAGGGCAGCGATGTCCTCAGCATCGACTGCGACTTTGACAACCTCACAATCAGCGTCGACATGTCAGACTCCATGCCAGACTTTAGCTCCATGCTCGACAAGATGGTCAACGAGTCTTCCGTCTTCAACTGTGACATCACCATCGTGCAAGACTCGGACTCGTGTGGTGATGACCTTCTTTCTGACGTCGCTACTGCCGGCCACAAGCGCAGGCTTATCTCGCGCCGCCGTCAAATCTCAATCTCTTCAACCTCGAGCGCAATGTCTACTACTGCTATTTACGGTTCTCTCAGGTTCCTCACACCCAAGGTCAGCCGCCCTGGACGTCTTCAGTCACCTCCTGCTATCCTTGACAGAGAACTTGCCATCAAGTCTTCAGAGGTACGCCATACTCAGGTCCACGACAATGTCGCCCCTATTGATACTATCTCATCGCCGCCTTCTGAACAGGGTGCGCTCGCCACTGCGCAGAAGTACTCATGCTGTGCCCAACGCACCTGCGAGAGCGAACTTGCCCCTGAGGATGAGTCTGCAACAGCTTCTGGCTTGTCCACTTCTGAAATCGATCTCTACGAATCCGAGCTCTGTGTTGGAGTGCTCAGTGCTTTTGAAGAAAAGTATCTCTGCAAGGAAAGTAAGATGGCCATTCTTCTCGGGGCTTGTCACGGTCTTACCGCTGAGCACCCTTGTAACCACACAAATACCAACTTGAACTACCAGAAGCCCGAGAGCGGCGGAAGACCCCATCGCGAAATCGAAATACCCCACGACAGACCTGCTCGCTTCACTTCGTCTCTTCCCACTTCCCTGGGTCCTGAAGGTCAGCTCGGCCAAGCTCACGAGAACCCACGTTTTTCTCAACGCCGCGTCGCTGCTCAGTACAAGCCATCTCGCCCTGCCCTTCCTCTGGCTGAGCTTCCTATCCGTGAACGCAGAAGCGGTGGACTCCCCCTGAACGACCCAGCTCGGCGCAAGGTACAGAGCCATCCTATGACTGGCGATGAGATCGAAGCTATCAAGGCAGCTCATCTGCCCAAATTTTCGCGCGAGAAGTCGTCTAGCTACCACTTTCCCGCTGCCTGGCAGCCAGCTGTCGAGAGAGAAAATATCGACAAGAAGCAGTCTCACAATAATTATCTTATGAGCACTAAGAACGAAGAGAAGACCAAGGAGACTACCGTTGTACGCAGAAGTGCCACCAGAAAGCCCGCTCACAAGTCGTGGTTGCCCACTTTGTTCTGAGCACACTCTAGCACAAAGTAACTTGGACGAGGATTGAGGAAGCCCAGCGTGGTTAAGGATGGGGAATGAAAGATATGCATTGAAAGAAGAGAAGAAATTGGGACTTAAATGTAAGATAGTAGTAGAAGACAGAAAGGACGATCAGAACCGAGATGTCATATCATGAAACACCACGCCAATCGATCGTCACTTGTCGGACACATCTCGCCCCACTAAATTAGATCATGCGTTTTCACAGCTGATGTTCCAGGATGTAACTCGTTCTTGGAGTACCATGAAAGCAGCTGTCGGTGCCGCTGGCGCTTGAATACCGCGAATCGTGTTCGTTGTCCCCTAGCTCGGTCAGGGAAGCCAAGCACGACTCGGCTCTAACAACCAGCCATTCCTCTTCACGTTCAGAACATCACAGGCACCATTAGTATGAACAACTAGGTCCCTATCGCCACAATCGAGCTCTGCGACCGCTCATTGAGCATGTTGACAACTCGTGATCGCATTGCGCCTAGCGCTCCACCTACTTCCTTGCGCGAGGACCACGTCTGGGGAGTGTTCTTCTCGGGCGCTGGTAGCCCTACGAGCGTGACTGCAAGGTCGCTGATGCTCATAAGTACGTCTACTTCTCGCAGTGTGCAGATGTACCTAACTGACATTAGATACAGAGCATTGCTTCTCCTGTCTGCTGCACTGCTCGTGAGGGAGCGAGAAGCGCGTTTCATCGTTGCTTCGCCCGTAATAGAACTGAACAGTACCCGGCCTCTCGATACCTAACCAGACCATCACTTACTATGTCCCGAAGAGTCCCTGGAAGATTGATCTTGGTGACCGACGTTGAGAACCAGGTCCTTTCTGCTACTACTTCCACTGTAGTTTGCCCTCCAAGTCAACCTGGTAAGAGCGTTGCAGCATGCCCTTCGTCTTCCATTCTACTGACCCGATCAGTTTCGAGGAGACAGACTCTCAAGCACAAGAAGAAGCTAGCCAATCACCGCCTGACATAAATGTCTCTGACTGGCCTGTGAAAATGCAACATGTCTTCTGGCCTGCGTCCTTTGTTCGTCGAGAGTTGGCTTTTCTTTCTGGTCTTCCCTCTTTTCTTTGTTTGGCTACCATGGCCCTTCCGCTTCAAATACCAATTCTTTGTCATGGTCTACAATGTATTGTTCTCATGCCAGGCGACAAGTTGCAATCAATGCAGAAAGCGTCTCTTCCAAATTATGATATAATTGTCGAGAGCCCCCCTAATCTCTCCTCTCTTCACCACCCAAGAATCGAAACTCGAGGCAGACCTACAGACGACAATCGGCTCCAAAAGTTCTCCCTCAGCCAAAACCACTTCTACAACAAACTCCACAGAATCTTCCGGCAAGATGTGCTGGGGTGAGAAGCTGATCACCACTTGTCCTTATTGTCAGAGGGTCACCGTTCACGATGTCATGTGGCTTGGTTGTCCTTTTGGCCAACCTCTCGGCACTTGCATTGACATCTTCGTAGACACCATTCACGCCATGTCAGCTCATCCTCTTTGCGAGCCTAGAGTCGTCTTTCCTCAACGCCCTCGTCTAGACCGTCTTTCTCGTCTTGAAGCCCTTGCCGTCGTCGCCACTTCTCCTCCTGGAACTTGGGAGGCTGGTTCGCCTGTTTACCTCTCTACCCAGTCTGCTCCTGGTGTTCATTTCGTTCAGCCCATCCCCCCTCCTGCTTATGCTTTGCCTTTGCCTGCTGGTTGGACGGCTGACGCTGGTGGTCCTCAGTCCGAACTCATGACTTTGGTTCTTCAATACACTGCCGAGATTGCTCATACGCTTCAGGATCTGGTTGGACCCATCATCGGTCTTCATCGCAATGTCGCTTTCACCAATGTCCGCCTCTCTCGGGTCATTACTTGGTGTGAAGACTTCATCACCCGCATCGTCGCCAACACAAGCACCTTCGCCTGGCACGTCCGTCAAGCTGAAGATGAAGTCGCTGCTAGCAGCATCCACGCCATCCAAGCCCGCACTGACCTCGCGGCTATCGAGCACGAACTTCGCAACGGTATGGTCCCTTTCGTTCCTGCTAACATTTGGCACAGACGTTTTGTTAACCTTTTCATTCAGCTTCGCCGTTTGGCTGGTGAGCTTTCGCCGCCGAGACCTGCTACTGATTATACACCTGGTCATCGTAGAAGAGATGCTATTTCTGCTGGTTCTGGTAGTCAGGATTTAGATATACCTGATCTTGCTGCTGTTGGCGAGGATGATGCTGTGCTTTTTGATACCGTTTATGATAGTGATGGTAATCATGTTTCGAGATCTGATTCTGATGGTGGACACCCTGGTGGTGTTGAACCTGATGATGATGATGAGATGAGTGATGCTCGAGCTTGCGATGGTAAGTCCCAGTGACAGAAAACATACTCGAATGGTAACTCTCAATGGTATGTGATTTTGCTGACTCTCTTATGTTTTCTGGGTCGGTTCATTACATCAAATACAAACACAATTCTCCCAAAACCCTGTTTTCCCCCTTACCCAGTGATAATGTGATTAGTGTACCTCTTGAGATCGATGTAAATGATAGCATCTCTCCCAACAAGGACGTGAGTCTGCGATTTCTATCGTGCATTTCGACGGTCCTGTCGTAACGTGTATCTATGCTTGGAGTGTGAGAGCTTTCTTCTTTGACTGGTGTACCGGGGGCAAGGTATATTAGATAGAACCATTTCATCATCACTCCTCATACAATATCGTGGCAGTCGAAAGGCAGCATGTCTTCCAGAATCGTCTGTATCGCACGTAAGATGGACACGATGTGTGAGAGCGCTCTCGATCGGTTCGCCGGTAGCATGACATCGTTGGTGTTTCATTCCATCAGTGTGCCTCGTGTCATAAGCAGCGGTTGAAAGGCAACATGTTTTTCTCATTGCTCTTGATCCCTCGTGGGATAAGAAGCATCTGCCCTCTCTCAATACGTCTGGTAGTTTGGAAAACACGACCATGCCTTTCTACGGCCCTGTACAGGAGTGTATCGATGCTTGAAGTGGTGTCAGGTTTCCTGCTGCTGGTATGACCCTACACAGACGCCGGCCGTGTGCTTGGCGCTCCGAATGTTCACTTGTTTTTCCTACCTGCCTTGCGTGTTCATTCAACTATCTCTCCAAGCGATATCATCAACGTGGACATCATCATGGTGTATCACAGCTATAAATCTTTTGATCCTCGTAAGATGTCCACTAGCGACCTTATCGACCTGTTCGCCGGCCGCTCCACGTAAGTGCACATTTTTGGAGGTATTGCTGGCGGCTAAGAGAGCATATAGCTTGGGTATTCGCTCTCCTTCTCCACCTCCCCCACCTCCTACGCCACCACATCCCCCTCAGGTTGTACCTGCTGGTCTTCCTTGTCTCTGGCATGGCTGCGATGCCAACTTCTCCGGCCCCAACAACGCCAACGATCTCTTCGTAAGTCCCTACCCCCCGCCTCCCTTGATTGGAACAATGACAATGGGGCTGGCGCATTCTACGCTATTCATCCTCTCACACAATTGTCTTCCTAACTATTGACCGGAGTTTATAAAGATGCTCCTTCTTTGGCCTCAGCTTCGTGCTGGAGATTGGGCAGAACGGGAGGCTGTACTACGTATACAAGATAATGCCATCCATTACATCGGCCCTATCGACCTTAACACTCTCGATGTCAGCAGCCTGCTCCACCCAAAGGAGGACGACAAGACTACCCAGAACGGGATATATGCCGCCTCAATCAACAAGTTCATCTACTTCATCCATGCTCTCACCGTATACGCCCCTGCCATCAATGACCGTACAGAGCATGACGATTTAACCTGGTGGGATCATCGTCGCGGTATTCTGATGTCCCCTCCACTTCGCCGTCAGGGGGTCCAATGGCTGCTACAAGATCGCGAAGAGCTTGAGGAGCTGGCTATCAAGTACCCTGATGCTTCGGTGATGTTGTCCGGCCGGGTCTTTTGATAAAGCTGTCCAAATGCAGTATCACTTTCTCACTACCGTAATCTACGTATTGGAGCCCTGGATATTGCATGATCAGGAAGCTTCTCGTCGAGGGAAAGCGCTGTTTAGCTAGCTGTGGCAAGACAAAGGCATGTCTTGGAAGATAGCATTCACGTTCGGGAGCGTATGATAGGCTGTGACCTAAGTGACTGCACACATACTACCCTATTTTCTCGAGGCGTGCAGATGACTCCCGCGACACGGACTTTCGATATGTTGAGGTGCACCTTGTCATCGTGGTCGCTGGTCGCTGAGGCAAAGACTTCCTCGTAGATGATGTTGCTGACTCTGCGGGGAGAGAGAAGATGGGAAATGGGAGAATGGACGGAGCTCTAGCCTTTGCTGCGATGCGGGTCGATCTACTGCCTTTGATGGTGGCCACAGTGGTGACGACTTCATTCTTGCTATCGATACCAGTCATCCAGACTGGGCGGTCTGCAAAACATTAGCTGCGATAAACGCATCCTGCGCAGATCGCATATTTTACTACAATAGCTCATCCTAGCTTGTGTTGAGTGCTGAGAATGTTCATGTAGCGAGCTTTTTGCGTAATCTTAAGCGAGATAGAGACGGGGTAAAAACCAAAGGGCTGATAGGTCAAATGTCAGCGGATTCAGTACAGCTCGCGCGGAGTGGTCGACGCGCGTGGTGGTCGATCCATGACTTCCCAATCCAGCTAGCTTGTCGTGGGAAATCCCTGCTTAGTCAGACCGGCAGGTGTCAAAATGCGTGAAAAAACCAAAGTTCTTAGCTCTCGACCTCCCTCAATATCAATATTCAATCATGTAATCCTTCAGGACATCCTTCCCTGTTCGATAACGCCTCTCTCAAGAATGAGCCACCGCTCCAAACGGACACACCATCATGAGTCATCAAGTGATGCGTGGTATGCTGTCAATATGCAAGAGACTGATGTGGAGTTTCCAGTACTGCAAACGGCACCCACGAGATACCATGTCAGACTCGGAGCGGGTGGAGTGCACGGTAGTAGCAGGGAAGTAGATTGATAAGCTACCGAACTTGATGTTGAAGAGAGAACGAATGATCTGTTTCGATTGCATTCACTTTACACTTACTATCCATGCAATAACGCAAGGTCCGTCAAAGGTAGATTCTCCCGAGAGAGGATAAGAGCGAGGGTACGTCCGAGAAAGGATAGCCAGAACTCACCAGAGTCCCCGGCATCGTGCGTTTGATCTTGTAAAGAACATTGCACTCTGACAAGTTCTTCCAAGGACTCTTCGTGGGGTCGGAGAGCTCATGCATTATCCTTCCGCGTCGGTGACACGGTCATTTGACCAATTCAGAGCTGGTAACTCAAGTCTGCAGCGCGAACCCTCAACGACAATCCATGACTCCAGTATTCTTCGGGGTACTCTGAGAGAGATGTCTCCCTTCCTTAGTTCTGCCTGGTATGCTTTGATTCCTGCGAACACGGCCTTCAAAGCCTCGCCAGTGGGCCAGCCAAAGTCGTAGAAGCTTCTATGCCTTATCTGTAGCTGAACAGCAGGATGGCTGCGCGACGCAATACACTGGCTAAATGTCTTGACGACCTCGAGAGACAGTCGCTGTCAGGTCACGCCCCGTCCGCGGGTAATTCATGCTTGACTGTTCGTGGGCGTCTGGTTTTCCTTGGCGAGCAGCCCAATGGCTACCAAAGTCGCGCCGCTTTCAATTTCCGAGCTTTACTTTCTTCTCTACACGCCAGGCATCCGTCACCTCACAACTGCAGCTGTCGCAACCTAGAAAAACGGTCTACAAGACGGAGGTATGGTCTTGGGGATGACTGCTTACCGCCGATGATTGCTCTACACAAGTTTGGCCGCCTTGTTAGACAACCAACCCTATCCCCTCTTTTTTTGGAACCGGCTGGGAGGCCTCTGCGCCTTACTCGAGTGGACTCGGTGGCAGACGCATGTCCCCTGGTACTGTGTTACCCGTATTTCACTACCTCAGGTTGACGCGAACTATCTTTTCATCGAGTCTACTGGCATCTTGCTGGGTCTTGAAGAAGGGTTTACATAGGTACTCTCACGAGTGACAGTCACTTCGGTAGTTCAACGCAAAATGATCCAGCATACGGGAGCTCAAGTTGCGTGACGCTGGCGACTGCCGGACATGATATGTATTCTAGATGCTCGATTGATCATGTCAGACTGGTCAAGAGGACGACCCTGGTCAAGACCTCATCCGCCACTATCGACCTTTTGGGGCGCTCGATATCGTCCATGAGGCGTCTGGAGTCATGATGGAAAGATCAAACTTGCTTACTGTTGCTTATAACCAGGTTAGCTTGACTTGCTAGCGTCACTGCCGGCATACACCGCTAAAGCAGCCCATGTGTCTTGGGGACTGGTTTGCAACGTTCCAGAAATCACCACCTCGGAAAACCTGCACAGATACACCACTGCATATCCGGTAGAGAGAATACTTGGGCGACTGCCAGATTCTCGCTTGTTTCGCGCTCCGATTCTCTACGCTCGGGAAATGCTTGTTTTTCTGTCTCTATGCAATGGTAGAACATTGAAGCCCTTGCTCCGCACGTTGACCAACGCAGAATATACCGCGGAGTGGTCCACCATCCTGAACGGAAATGATAGACTGTATTGAAACACTCGAGATGCGAGAAGGTGAATCTCCCCCACAGTCGCCGCCATCTACGCACCACGGCTTCCTCAGAACGGGCTTTACGAAGCTCAAGTCACGCCCGCGCCCACCCCACAACTCTCGCAAATCACTGCAAGACTCGATCCCTCGACATCCAAATCTCTCGATGCGTGCAAAAGAGAGTCTAGGGGCGGCAAAAGAGATGATTCCGCTGAGGCTCGAACTCAGGACCGCCTGTGTGTTAGACAGAAGTGATAACCAACTACACCACAGAACCGATTACTGCAACGTCGACCATGCTGAGGCTCTAACTTTTCGCAGTTACAGCGGTTGTGCAGCCAGGTAATGGCAGATCGTGCACGGACGCAGTGACTCCCTGGACGAAGAGCATGTCGCAGCCTTCAGATGCCTCTGGTGCTTGTCGGATGAGAAGCTGATCGAGAGCAGTGCCAGGTCAAGCAGGCTATGCGCCGTGAACAGAGGAGGAGAAGTCGAGTCATGAGACGAAAGCAGCATACAAAGACGTGATGGCATGTAAGTTGAAGGCGAAGCCAGGACAGAAACGGACAATGCTTCTTGGTCGGTGAGTTGTTTGAGCGGCTGGCCAAAAGTCGTGGAGAAAGCCGAGGAATGTTCGAAACCTGCTTGCGGCGTTCGAGGACCGCAATCCGCTTCTCTCCCGACATTAGTAACGAGCTGACGAATGCTGGACGTTTTTGTTGACAACTGCTTGGAGAATGAACGACAAGGCGAAGACGTGGATGAGACTGGCTGGAGGTGCTGCCTTTTGCAGTCGGTTGCTGTGTGCTTCGCCGCTTTCGTCTTTCGCCCAGGACTTTGAGCGCTTGGGCTTGAGCACTTTTTTGAGTGTCAGAACAGCCTTTATTCATAGCCAAACGATGCGATCGCGCGGCGAGAATGACCCGATTGTCTGAGAATGAAGCCGCCTAGAGACTTCGCAGTCAAGAGCTTGCCTGGACCAAGAGCACGCACGCTTTGAGGAAGCAGTTTGCAAAGTCGAACAACCCCCATAGTTCGCTCACCGCTCTAACAAATAACGGTCCGGGTGGCCTCTTAGGTCGAACCGCTTGCAGCGTCCTGGAGCGATTGGTGTCTCGTCAGGATAGACTGGTCTGCAGTCTCAGTCAGGTGCAGCAGGTAGCCTGACATCGAGCAAAGGAATGGGAGGTGTTGCTGAGTTGAGCAGCTGGCAACTCGGGCCAGTGCGAGACGCTGTCATCATTGTCTAAGTCACGCAAAGCGTCCGGCGCCTTTGATCCTGGCTAAAGATGATGGACGATTTGGGCGGCGCTGCAAATGTCACACTGCTACGACATTGACAACTATTAGTAGGAGAAGCTATCCTCCAGACTTGTCCGTGCTTGAATGGTAGACGGCCACTCAATCTCTCCGACAGCTTCATGAAGGCGCACATGATGAAGAGTGGATTCAGCTCGCCCGTCTCATCCTGCTCTGCCGGCCACAGAATGTTAGACAAACGCAATGGCGCCATTCACAGCACCTGTGGATATGATGCTCACCGTCAAGGACAGGAACTTTCATACACAACAGTCAAAATCGATAAGGGTAGCTGGAAGTGGGTGCTGGGCATTCACGGACGTCCGAAGAAGAATTGGACTACAAGCTATTACGCAGCTCACAGCGCGATGGCTGTACAGCATACCTCGCTGCCGCTTGAACAGACATCAGGCAATATGAGAGTGGGTCTTAAGCGAAGGCTTGTCTTCGAGGTAGGTGCGGATAACGTAGCGGCCGTGGCTGGAGCATCGAGACAACCTGAATGGTAAGGTGTGCGCGTCTTCGATCATCCCACCTCTTTCCCACTGCAGAGTATGCCTGTCTCGCATCTCATGTCTTTTGTCTGCAGCCTTGCTCTTTCTGCGCGCGATCGTCTTCACAGAAGCTCGATTGGAATCTTCTTGATAGTATCGGTCGGATGTTGGTAGGTTCGAGGGGCGCGCGAGGACGGTAGGTAATGATATTGGTGTTGTTTCGTGATTGGATCCTTCTCTTTCCCACTGCAGGTTGTCCCTGTTCGACATTTCTTCTCTTTCGTCGCCTGCAGTTCATGTACATCTCCTTGCTCTTTCTTTGGCCTTGTGTGCGTGATATGTGTGGTGCGGAACTGCATGGGAAGTTTGTTCTGCGCTGCTCTGTTTGGGTGGCTCACGCTGGCTTGATACCCGATGCTGCGGTTTGGATGGTTGGAGGACGAGGGCTTGCCTGCTGGGGATTTCGGTATGTCGTTATGTCTGTGTCAGGAGTGGGGATTATGCTGATTAGGTGTACAGAGATGTTTCCTCGCGCCCACGGAGGTCGGGAGATTGAGCGCCCTGAGAGGCCTCAGATGCCTCGTGCTCGTCTTGGTGCTTGAGCTGGGGTGCTTGTTGTCGCTTGTTGCTGTTGCCTGCTGTCGTCTCTTCGCGCCTGCCTTCTTTGTCTATAGTATAAGAATACTATCAAAAGCCAGGAACAGATTCAAGAGAATCATCAAGATCAGTGAGATGGTGTGATATACGTAATTCGCCTCGGGCGGCGTAGGCTCTCGACTGGTGAGTAAGAGCATCTCAACATGACTTTGCATCGGCGCAGCTGGTACAAATGGTAGAGCATGCCTGATGAGATCGCAATAAAACAGATAAATTGGGCAAGTATTTATTGATCTCCAGCATCGCTATGCCATGATTTATGCAGCCATCAAAAGGCAACATGCTTTTCAGCACCCGCTTCTGTGTACATGGAGTTCTTCTATCTTTAGATCAAGGCGAACAAGTAAGAATACCCGCCAACTTCTGCCTCACCATCTCTTGATCCGCTGCGCTCGCATCTTTCAATGTCTCAGCCATACCAAGACTGACAGAGACATAACATCCTTCTGTCTCAATAACGCTTGCCTCTGTGGGCAATTGCTTTTTACCACAAGTCTTTACATTCACCTGTCCCATGCCATCGTACAGTCTGCTCATCACAAACTTTCCATCGCCCTCCGCATCGCAAACCCCGAGCTCAACATTCGGAAAGTTGACATTCAACCAAGTACCACCAGGCAGATACGGCGCTCCAGAAGCCAAAAGAGCATTAGTAAGCTGAAGAGCCATAGCAGCATAAACCCGCGAATGCAGTGGAGTGACAGATTTCCAAGCCATCGGATACCCAGAATGACCACTAAACGCAATAGCCGGGACATGAAGCAAAGAAGCAGCTTTCGCGGCACCAATAGCACCACTAGTGAGGCCTGTTGTAGTTGCAAGATTATCTGCGCCTTATTAGTATGATTGGTAAAAGGGATTTGGGGGGGAGGAACTTACTCTCGAGATTCACACCCGATATTGCGAGATCGGGTAACACGCCAGTCTGATTGATGACTCTCTCAATGCCCATCGTCATAGCGGTGGTAGGGTAGGAGTTCACATAAGTGATGTTATGATCGCTTGGCCATGTTCCTTGTACAGGACTGCCAGCATGACAGGCATAGTAATGGCAGGGTATATCCAGTGGAGTGGGTGGAGCGGTCAAGGCACCAGCGGATGACTGGTCGGCTGGAGGAGTGGACATGAGGACATCGTGACCTGAGCCTTGGAGAGTGCGGTAGAGGGTGCGGATGTTCATTTCTGCCCAGCCATCGTCGTTGGAGAGGACGATTGTGGCAGCGTGGAAGCCAGAGGCAGTATTGCCAGGGCAAGAATATTCAGACGCATGATGATGGTTGTGAGAGAAAGGGTGTGGATAAAATCGCTTTCGAAGAATAAGGGGAAGGCACGTTGCATCAATGAAGGTGACTGGATGGTACATTGAAAGGGAGTCGATTTGAGTTGATTGATCGTCATAAGTTTTCCCGCCATGCGATGAATCATCTCCACGTTGATTCCTCGTGTCCTCAACCATTTGAGTTCAAGAAGCTGCCAACCTCGAAACCGAAAGAGCATTATAATTTTGACAATGTGGCAAGTTCGTCTTAAGTGACTGCACTGATGACCGACCTCAACTCCCACGTCATCAAGGAACATCCCTCCAGAATCGGTACCTTGCGTCTACTTCCTGTTTCAGATCACTCCAAAACTCTGCAGGCTCAAGTTCCCAATCAGCAGGAGTCTGGGTCTTCCCTTTTCCAGGCATTCCTTCCGAGTCCCAGCTCCAGGTAGTGTTCCCAGTAACCGTAGGGACCGTGGCCTCGGGGGTGGTATTCCTTCTTGGGAGTGACACACTCAATCCTTCTCATGAGTCTCAAAGCGGGAGTAGTTCTTCTTGCATCAAAGCTTGAACCAGTCTCGGTGCATGTGGGCGATGATGACGCGGGTGCCGGTTGACTTGTCAACAGTGCCAGTACCGAGTGCATAGTCATAGATCATCAGGCGGATCTCTGCAGGTAGCTTTCTGAAGAAAGAGCTCTGCGTCCGAGCGAGAGGCGTATCGTTCTGAGTCGTGCCGATGGAAGAAGCTGATATGTTGTCAGCATATGCTTATTGGTCGCGGGATATCGAAGATCGTCTTGCTGGCGCTGTGGATGTTGATGGCGCGTGGAGGACTGTCAGCGCCTTGAACTACAAACAGAGTGTCCTGATGGTCTTGTTTGTGCGAGTCGACAGGCAGAGCTGCGCTTCTGTCAGTATGCTTATTCTCAGTATCAGCGCACATCAACTTAACAGTCTCTTGTGCGACTGTGGCATTCCTGGTCATCCGAGCTGGGCCTTCCTCGTTTTTTCTGCCTCTCTTAACTACAAGGCCAGATTTGCTCTTGATCAGGGCGCTTCTCGTCTTAGCAGCCATGACGGGTCTTTAAGATGAGTGCGAAGTTATCTTGAGACGCGTGGGAACAGACGGTGGAAAAGTGACTGCGGACTCGTGGGTGAATCTACGGCCACGCCAAGCATTGCGAAGACATGAGTGCTTGAACGAATGACATCAGACGGTAACAAGATGCAATACCAACAGGGGGCATAATTGAGAGGAGGCAAAAGTGTGAGACGATTTCACGTACTGAGTAAATGTATCGATATTGTCTTGTCGACTGGAGAATCGCTTGTTGAAGCCCCTAAATCGGGTGATGGAGTCATCCTGTACGCAAATATTGATTTACATGACAAGTGGATGGCGAGAAGCAGAATTTGGATGTTGTGGGACATTATGCTTAGGCCTGATCAGTCGAGTCGGAGGGTGAATTCGCAAAGTCGTCAGGGTGCTCCCCTCACCAACCCAAAAGTGAAGGGTCATTTCTAACGTATATCAACTGCACAGTAGACGAATTGCGCGACAATCCGTTACCAGACTTTCGGTCTACTTTTGCGGCTTGGTGCAGTCAGCGCAATGACAGAAGTCTAAAAGATATCATCTACTCTAACCTCATCTATCTAACCATATATACACAAGCACCTATATACATACTTAATGACAAACATATAATAAACCTAAAGATCCAGACTTTCATAAACTAATGACGCTTCCTGTACGATCTAAACTCTGCGATCCAAACTCTGTGTAGACCCCTAGCCATAATTTTCGGCCACGCAAAACTGTTTCTTCCTTTGCAGTTTTCAAAACGGGGTGGATACAATAGCTTTTTAGACGCGCTTGTGCTTCGTGAGAAAGAATATCCACATTAGTACGATTAGTATATTGCAGGAAAGAATAGATGTTCCAGCCATATTCCGTGACTAGATCTCTAGCTTATAATGACGACGGTGCATCATGAGGCAGGTACTTTTGTGCCACGAGATGGCAAGCCACTTGACCAAAGCGACGGCCAAGGTTTAAAAAAAACCTAGCAGTGATCATTCAAAAGGAATAGACGTCACAGAAGAGCAGACCAAAATTCACAAAAGGTAGAGAGCACGTCGTTGTAAAAAAATAAACAGTAAAGCATTCATTGCAGCTATGTGCATTGTTTCATTCCCACAGTCTGAGTATAACAACTCAGATCTGTTCAATCCTACACGAGTGTCGAGACGTTTGTCTTGCACATCTGCTCGTCATCGTTTGACATCGATTGGCTGGAAAGAGACTTTGGGCTTGGAAAGCCCATCGTGAGCAACAAACAACAACTACTCATCATCCTGGACATCGACAACCGTCTCGGGCCACTTGCGGGGATTGACCTTGCGAGTGAACAAAATGTCAATCTCACGGAAAGATCTGTCCTTGAACTCGGGGATCCAGATCCAACTCATGACGGTGCAGATCAATGCAGTACCAGCCCAGATGTAGCCACTCTTGCCTCCAAGGTTCCACTTGTCGGTGTTGAGCATGTAACTCGCAAGGAAGATGCAAGGGATGTTGACCAAGTAGTATGCGGCACGTCCGACACCGGTCGTCAACGGTCTCAGGCGTACGGAAGAGGTTTCACCGATGATGGCATAGGAGACAGGGGCGGGACCGAGACAGAAGAGGACCGAGACAAGAAGGCCGAGGGAGGCTTGTGCGTTAGAGGCTGCTGTGCTTTTACCAACAGAGGCGGCAATGCCAAGCGCAACCAAGAAGCAAGTGGCGATAGCTTGGCCGTACACGTAGATGGTGCGGCGGCCCAAGTAGGTGGTCAGGACCCAGGAGATGATGACCATGATCCATTGGAGGGCAGAAGTGATAAGGCCGAGTGCGAAGGCAGTGTCGTCTGCCATACCAGCCTCTGCGATGGTGTCAGTTTCGTGTGAGCACGTGAGATGATGGTTAGACTTACGCTTGAAGAAATAGACAGCCTGATTGGCAATCAGGTTACCCGTCAGGTTTTGAGATGCATACACACCGCACACGATCAAGGTGCGGTAGCGATCGGTGCCCTTCCATAATTCAATAAGACTGGGCTTCTTCGCAGTCTTCTCGAGGTCAATGGTACGACGCATCATGGATACTTGATCCTTGGGGTTGTCGCCTGCACCTTTGCGGCCAAGACGCGTGATAGCCTTCTCTGCCTGAGCCAGCTTGCCCTTTCGTACGAGCCACCAAGGTGATTCAGGGGCCAGGAATAGGAGGATAGCGATAGGAGTTGGGAACATCCACTGGAGTGCGATGGGAACTCTGACATCACAATTAGTATAACCGTCTTCGATGGTAGGAATCAGTATTAGGATACCTGTAAGCAGAGGCGTTGTTCTTGGACTGGAAGTGATAAGTGATACCACCAACGATGATTGAACCGATTGCCCAGAACATTTGCAACATCTGGGTGGCAGGCGCTCTCAGTCTCATGGGCACGATCTCGGCGCAATAAGCAGGAGCATTGGCGATGAAAATGCCCCATGGGAGTCCTTCCAAGATCTGAGAGGCGAGGAACATGGGCTGACTGTTGCCGAAGTAGAACACGAAGATGAAGGCGTTCAAGGCCATAAGAGCGCCAATGGTAGTCCAGCGGTAGCCGATTGCAGAAGTGATGGGACCGGCGAGGAAGCAGCCAATGAAAGCGCCGACTGGGCCAGCACATTGAAAGGCCGATTGCCAGGAGGCTTCGATAATATACTCGCCACTGACTCCGCTCTGGACGCCAAAGTCCTCTGCAAATTGCTTCGTGGCGATGAATTGTCCCATCAGGAAGACACAGTAAGATTCCATGATCTGATACAGCGTCAGAGATGTATGCTTCATTGTTCATGGGAGACAGCTTACGATGGTGGATGACATGACAAAGGCCCACCAACTCGCAGCAGGATAAGCCTTGATGGCCTGCAAGACCGTCATGTTGTGCTCGATGTTCTCGGCATCGATAGCGCCCGCTCTGTCCACGCCGCCCTTCTCGTCATAACCGTAGCCCGACTCGGCATTGTGAGTTTCGATTTCCATGGCCGAAGTCGGCTTCTCATTGATGTTGTTCATGTTGTCGGATGCTCCCTGTGAGAGAAGCTGTCCAAGGATTGGCGGAGGAAGAGAGGGTGTGTTGATGGAGTGGGTAAGATGGGAGAGTGCAGGTGGGGATGCAGACTTATAACTAAGTGCAGGTGGGTGGGCACGCGGAGACTTGTGGAGAGTTCGGGCGTGGGGTAGTAACGTCCGGGGGGGTTGCAACGTGAAGCGTCTGGGGAAGGGAAGGCACGCTAAGCTACGCATTCAGCCGTGTCAGCCGATGCTGTGAATTACTGCGTTGAATGTACCGAGAGAAGGGCCTGTTGGTCCCGCCACCCGGTGGGAGGCATGCCTCGTCGCCTGTCGCTACAGGACAAGTACGGACGCCCACGGAAACTGAACGCTCGCATCCTTCGACCGGTACGGATTCTCGCTACATGGACGAATGCGGCGTAGCGTTGGCATATTGGCCGACGGGGTGAATTGCTTATCTACCGAGTCGCGCCGGCCTAAGCGCGCCAAAACAAGGCTTCGTGCTTTTAACCGCCGACTAAATTTCCATGTCGAAACGCCTCTTTGCAGACGACGAGCACGCGACCGGCATGCTAGACTTGGAGAATGAAGCTTCACACATGGGCATCGTCGAACATGTCGGCGTGTAGCGGATGCATGTGCTTTGAAGATCACCTTTCAACCGCGAACGGCCGCATCTGGGTTCGGGTGCTTGAGCCAGTAAGCAGCACCCCTTGCAGTAGGGCTTGCCGTTGGCGCCAGATATGTATATACGCACCCGAAGAGGTCAGATCGTCATCACATCAATATCGACACCATCACATGGCATCCAGCCTCGACACGTGAGAAGCGCCCAGCTTCAGCCGACCTCATGGGTATTGTCCTACAAGATCTTGACGAGATGGAAGTTCAAAAGGGCCGTCGTGCGTCCGAAAGTCTAGATCATAAGGACTTCGGCTCTTGCGACGGGTGATATCTTGAAGCGCATACACATAATCATGGAAACAGACGGAGCTCAAACAGACGAGGAGACCGGCGGGAGAACAGAAACGGCACGAGGATCAATACCACCGAGTAAGACAGCCAAACTTGCCTTCGTATCCGGCAAGTGTGGACGCCATTTGCGTCCTATTCCGCCGGCCACGCCTTACGACTACATTCCAAATTCAAAACAGGAGTGTTATCGCAATCTCCCTTCGGCTGAAGAGATGGAGGAACAAGAATCGAGAAAGAAGAAGTCGCGATGTTAGATGCGAGGGCTGAAAAAGCAGGAAGCCTGGACGAACGAAGCCTCAGCAGGAACCAAGACTTTTGGCCTGATGGGAAAGAAGTTCTGGCCAATCTCATTTCGCCGCATCGTCGAGCCGCATTCGTCGCATCTTCACATTCCACCGCATCCGTGAAAAGCATTCGTCTTCACGAGTCTGTTCGCCTCAAACAAAAGATCCAAGAGTGTCAAGAATATTCCGCGCATCCGGAATCAGGTGCCGTGAATGTACCAAGCATCACGCATGGTTGAAGACCATTCTAAAGCGACCTGCGGAGTCTGTCTCAAATCGTCAGGGGCCATTCAGCCTGAATTAGCCTGATTGGTGGAAGACCTTGAGACTTCACCGTATCGTCCCACCGCCTTCCCACATCGTCGCGATCCTCCTCTCCACAGAACATCAAGACTTCGAAAATCGATTGCGGGGGTTCGACATGCGGGGTGTTGCATCCTCGCTGCATCTCTGACACGATGGCTGATCATCCGTCTTGCTTCTGAGATGTACCGAAGCCCTACATAGTCCTGGCGACGACGACGTTAGGGCTACGATTCATTTAGTTCCTTCCTCAAGGACTGATAGACTATCATGACTCCTCTCCTCTGCTGATGACGAACTGTGCCTGTCGCTGCATCTTGCTCCGACCACCAGAAGACGATATACCTGATTGGCCTGGTTTATGATCGAGGCTCCAATACTGTCAAGGCCAGGACGATGCTTGCATTGCTCTTCTGCTGGTATAGAAGCCTCTGTCAGTCTCTGGACTAGTACTACGGCCGACCTGCAGAATGACCTGTTCATCGGCAAGCTCTTGATGCTATTGCGCCTTCGCCAACACATCCACGACGATACGACTTTGCGGGAGTATGAAAGAGGCGAACGAGACAGTTCCGCCATCAACCCACTCGTCTCAAACTTCTCGACTCCGATATTCCACAAATCATCCACGATGTCCAGATTGAATTGAGGCTAATGGAAGTCCGCTGCATGAGCACAAGTTGCCATGACTAGTTGATTATATATCTTCCAAGACCTTTCTGCTAGCTGCGTTCATCTGGCCAACTCCACGCAGACTCCTTAGTCCACCACCCCCGGATCTACCTGGAAGAGAAGACCCATGGAACGCCGACTTAATCCTATACATGCGACAAGCGTCGTCAGTTGCGTCGAGGAGGCAGCGTCACACGTCCATGAACCTTCGACTGATATCACCGCTCTCATCTTCCGTTGCTCTCCTGAGATGAAATATTGGCTTGATGCAAGTTGACGATCTGGGTGTCGATTTCGTGGCTTTCGACCGACACCTACGACCAATGGACGGTGAACGACATGTATCGTTCGACACTACCCAACAATGACTATAGATAAAACTTAGCTCGTGACCCCTTCTCCTCCAGGATTAAGAAGACTATGCAAGTTGAATGATATGCTCGATCAACATCTTATGTCGTCTGTAGTTATGTCATATTATCCATGAAGGTGTCTCGACATAACCATTTGGCCTTGGAAAAAGATGCATACAACAGAATCACTTTTGCATGAGCGGAAATAGCCGTACCTCGTTGAGAGTATAAATAATCTTAGGATCTTCTGGCTGGCCAAAACATTCGACCCCTTTCCGCTAGTGGCGTTTCCGCTTCTCTAAGCTTCTGAAGGAGGTTGACGGCATCTGGAGTGTCTCAAATATCATCAAGAAGTACGCCGCCGAGTATCGGTCGAGTTCACCCTGAGTCATACATCTTGCGTCGAGGAAGCAGCGTCGCACGTCCATGAACCCTCGCCCAACATTACCAATCCCGTCATCCGGTGTTGCCCTGAGGCAAGAGTTGCGTGTCGGCAGCGATTCGCTGGTACAACGTTAACGAGAGCTGTAGGAAGCGAGGCTTCACATTTGGTCATGGACGTGGTGGCTCAGAGGAAGGTCGCCTGGGAACTAATGCCTACTCTTATTGTGAGTTCCCCGGAGAGTGGTCCACACGTCAGTGACCACTAGGAGTTTTCACCCTCTCATCTCCATGGCGACATGACTTCAATGTAGCTTGACGGGTGTCAACGTCGTCAATCAACGCTCGCCACGACAAGTAGAGATCCTACATGGGACAAAAGCGGATCATGGACGTGATGGTCGACTGTCAATGCGCCCGAGTATCTTCTCTCCGTCTTTAGCGCAAGATGGCAAAGAAGATAGCTCACGTCAGTCACCGCTGCCATCCTTTGCGTTCTCTCCAATAACAGTGGACAGAACCTGAACAAAACTTGAAGCAAGGCATCAGCGAGTTCCTCTGGAACAGGCTTGCCAATTCCAAGGAGAGCGACATTATCACTGTGGGCAGCGACCAAGGTATGCTGGATGGAGAGAGAGGGAATCAATTCCATCCCACCCCATCACGTTGCAGCACCCCACAACTACCGCCCCAGGTCGGGGTGTTCGCAATAATTGTTGATTCCTCCGGCCTTAGCTTTTATACGTGATCAAATTTTGCTTCGGCTTGTCCAGCGCTCAGGCAACAGGTATGATGTAGGTGTCACGGACATGGCCGATGGTTTAGCTTCAGCGGGGAGTCGCGGAAGTCCATTTTTATCTTTCCGGGCACGAACAAAAAAGACGTCAAGCACCAAAATCATACGCAGGGAAGGGATCAGAATACCAGACACTTCACAAGATACCATATTGCTACTCTTCATAGAACTGAACTTGTCTCCAGCTCGATGTACAACGATCAAGCAGATGTCACGGATCACTATGAACAGACAACAGAAGATCATGAAAGACACATTCGACAAACACAAATCCACGATGGAACCTATCCACTACTAGCCAGATGCGATAACAACTTCAATGAGGTGCACTAGCCCTCATCCGACCAGTGACAGAGTCATTCCAGTACTCTTGCGGAGCATTCGTAATACCTCCAGCATAAAAGTCGCGCACCTTCGGCATACACCTCCTAAGCAAATCATGAACAACATCAGATCCAGGACACCTGTTTCCGAAAGATCAGTAAACCATTCAAACAAAGATCGCATTGGCGCAAAACTTACATGACATCCACCGCGGGATTCAAGGGTGGAACATGTACTGTAGGAATGAATCCTAGCGGATGGATAATTGAGGAGAGATAGAACAGCTTTAACTCAGGGAAATGGGCAGGGTCGGGCTGAGTATGGAGTATGCTGGTAGGATTGAGATCGAAGTCCAACCATCCATAATACAAACGGAGAGATTGTAGCTTCGGACAAGACACAGCCAGGCTTTTAAGAAACACAGCTCCGTCAAAAGGAGTGAATCCAGGGATTTGGAACTTCAGCTCCAGATATTCTAGCAGGGGCATCTGGCTAAAGAAAGTAGACATGTCGTTGTTGGATAAGGACGGCTGAAGACCCTGGTGATTGACATCACAGATCGCTAGAATCTTGAGCGCCAGATGCGCGAGACACTGCTGACATGTGGAATCCAGCCACGTGCCAGCCGGGAGATTGAGTTGTAACAAAGTCAAGTTGTTGCAGAAGCGAAGATGAGAAAATATCGGACTCGCAGTATTGACGGTCAGAGTCAGGTTCTTCAGGACAGGAAGAAGCGGCAAAAGTGTCCTCACTGACCAGGCGTCCATGTTCAAATAACCTGATGTCAGCTCCTTGAATGGGTTCGGTATGACGTTTAACAGTATTTGCGTCATGACAGAATTGATAGGTGCCTCTGTTCCCAAGAATGTAAGACCGACCTTTCTAGCCAAGATACAGAGGGTAGAGAGATCGACGAGCGCATCTGCTGCTGCTCCCCTCGTGGTCAAGTTTCGCAAGGGAAGGCCTTCCACGACTTGGTCCAATTGCGCTGTCGTGGCGTCAGGAATCTCGCGCCAGATATCGAGACTGTAGAGTAGAGGACAGTTGTTAAGCAGGGTTGGCAAGTACTTATCGCGAGCATCCTGAGGACGTTGGGGCTGATCACTTCCCTCGACGCGGAGCATTCTCAGCTTAGGACCAAGGTACTGCGAGACATTGAGACCCCAATTCATCACCGTCTCATCTTTATGTTCGAAAATAAGCCACTCAAGGTTGTTGAACCACACAGATAATGTGTTTCTCGGTCTTCTGATCGTTGCAAGACCGGCGGGGGTAGTGGTCTGTCTATAAGTTTTCAGACGAAGGGTGCGCACTTTGTTGGCGTAGAATTGTATGGTCAACTCCCCCAGGACCGATTGACTGCCAAAGTTTGATCGCCGCATACGAGCCTGCTATTGGGTCTACTTGAGCTAGACTGACCAAATCCGGTGCATTGTCGATTACATCGACGAGCATCTTCCTGACTTCATTTGGGAAAGTACTGTGAAGATCAGCCATGTTGGAAGATGACTGTTTGCTGCCGGGTGGTGTATATGGTTTTCGATCGAGCAGAGTGTGACACAGACTTCGCTTTAGAAAGGTAAAGTTGACAAGTCGGCGTAATTTTCGCAGCACCGCTTTCTTTGTGGTTGTGGTACGCGGATGCGACTCAGGTGGCCTTTTGTGGTGTTCTGCTCGACTCTGCTTGTGTCGAAAATTATAATCCAACTCGGAGAACAAAGGAACGCGTGCACTTTTGTCACGAAGCGAAGAACGCCAAGGTCTGATGTTCAGGTCAAGCCGATTATTCATATCTATGGAGCTTTCGTCAGCTGTAATGGGCTATCGTGGCTTTGATGTCTCGTGTTCTCGCGGGAAAAAGGTTGGACCAATACCAAAGGTATGCGCTCAGCACCACCAGTCAACATGTCCAACCTCCAGAAGATGTTCTATGCTGGGGTTTCATCAATACAGTATCCAATGCTCAACACCTGTGTCTATCTCGTGCCACCGCACCGCCACTCTTTATGCCATAACATCACTCCAATCCCATCCACTGCTGTATAAATACCTCAATGTGATCATGAGTAATGTCACAACGAATAGAACCCCCACAATACATCTCAAGCGAGGTAAGCCGAGTAAGCTTGCCCAAGGCCATGAATGTAGTAACCTCGAGCTCGTGGTCAGAAGCAGAAAGTTTGATACTCAGATTCTTGGACTCCTCGGGTCTCGCGATAGCGTTGAAGGCACTCTCGTCAACTCTAGATCCATCAGCGTGTGTAAGATCATGTAGTGTGACAGTAAGCCTCTCTTCAGCGACTTCATCAGCGGAAGCAAAAGCTCAGCAGTACCGAGGTCAAAGCCACAGGTTAGTGTCTCGAGGCCTTTGGAAGGTGTGAGATTGCTCAGCTTGATAACTGTGAGGAGCATATCGGCGTTGAGAACTGTGACGATGGGATCAAGACGTAGCGTGTAGATGTATCCAAAACGAACCAATTGACGAAAGACGCCCGGGCGAAGGACTAGTCGACCAGTAGGCGATGTAAGCCCAGCATGCTAAAGCGCGTTGTCTTTAATCAGGAAATCGAATAGGACATACCGTGGTACGTCAAAGTGGCCGGAGTTGACAACGAGAGTGTGTAGCTTAGGACACTGCAAGCACGATTGCTCCATCTAGTCAGGGGCACTCTCACCCACAACGAGCTGCTGGCTTTTCTCATTAAGAGGAGCCAGCGTGCTGGAATTAGTAATACGCAAGACCTCGAGCGCAGAGCAAAAGTACGGCGACACCAACAGCTCAAAAATAAACACAAATCTACAAATGCTCAAGCCAGCGAACCTAAAACTCTTGTGCCTTCAGAATGTCATGAAGCCGTTCCTGTTGCATTCCGAAGCAGATCTTTTGCGTAAAGACAGCAGTGTCACGGGTCGACTCAACGCCTTCGTGTGTCAAGACGTGAGCGAAACGCTTATCATAGATAAATGGTAATGCATATCTACGCCATCCAATACAGACCTCTACAATATTGAGAAGCGTTGGGAGGTCGAGGACAAGGCATAGGACCCTACCAGGCATACCGTTGCATTGCCACCAATGGCGATGACTGGCGATGACCTGGCTGACGCCATTGGGGCTTCCTCTGATCTATAAAGGCGCGGAATTGGGAATCCAAACTCTGGGACTTTGAGCGGTGTCAGTATCGAGGAGCAAGAATCATCGATGAGATCAAGACGTACAGTGGTGGTGCGCTTAGTTTGGCATGGCGGCGTGTCTTCAACGCTGCGATGCAATAAATTTCGAGTCATGTCGATTTACAAGGATCTGTTTATTGATGATAGTCCTGATGCGGACGTGGCTGTAATTGAAGGTGGTGATGATTTTGCTAGAGAAGATGCAGAGAGGAGACACGCCAAAGATCTGTCCGACGAATATGATGAATGGCTGGGGCTGCCAAGACTTGGATGAGAGTGGGAGGTGAGAGCTACGAGACGGGTACGGTATCTTACATTGGGTCTTCCTGGAGTCGGCGAGCATCTCGAAGGCCCAATGTTGAGCTAATCTAGTGGCTGACTGGAGTGATAGGGCAGAAAATTCAACGATCATCTGTAGTGACATCGCGCCTCTCCTGATATAGCAACCTCAAAAAGTACTCCCAAGCACTCGAGTTCCTCCCTGCCTTGCTCTGCCCTGACCTGACCCAATGCATACATATCATAGTCCTTACCCCAAAGTGTAAGTTGCTGAAGGTTGGGACAATGCCGCAGGATGATATCAACATGAGAAGGATCAGCCGAGCCATCTCCTGGCCATGTCCTCGCAGGTTTATTTTCCCAACGCTGACTGACCACATCCTCGTATTCGATGTATCTCAAGACAAAGACTTCAAGTTTTGGAAAGTCTGGCTTCTCTGCTTCTTTCCAGGCGGAGAAGTCGATCGCACAGGCTAGGTTGCAGGTTTGTAGTAGAGGGCAGTTGTTTGCTAGGGACGTGAGGGCAGGAAGGGACAGTTGGCAGGGAATAGTCAGCTCGAACGTCTCGAGCAAACGCATGCCGGAGGTCATGGTGTCAGAGTCTTCGTCTGTAAAGAGTGACTCTCCCGTCCTTCGCCACCTGAGCTGTGTCGGATTAGTGATGCAAGGCAGCAGCTCGATGGTCAGTCTGCGTAGACAGTGTAAGTCTTGGAGATAGTGCATTGGATGTATCGAAAGAAGATCCCCGCTCATCATGAGGGTTAAACGCTGCAGATGCTTGAATCTGTCTGCGATAGCAGGTAACCACGGCTGCTCCAGATTCTCTACGTAGACTAGCAAACTCGATAAAGTGTGAGGAAGCAGGGGGAACAGACTTTCTCAAGACTGAGGATGCTGAAGATGAGGCATATAAGCACTCATGATGAGCTGAGTCAAATTGTTGACAGTCTGCTCGAGAGACGCGATACGATCTTGAACTTGGACAGCACTCTCGAGTGTCTGCACGCGGTGATTCAGATCGTTGTTGATGCGATGCTGCTCGACGGCTGCTTGGTAGCCAGCTTGGTATGCTGCGCGGGTGGTGTCACTGTTTGACTGCTGTAAAGGCAGACCGAGAGGTTGCATGGGATGTTGATGTGGGTGAGAGATGGACTGCTGTGGCTGGTTGTGAGGAGCATGGTGGGGGTTGAGAGGCAGAATGGCAGCGTTGTTAGTCGAGGCAGAAGGCACAGGGGGCATGGGCGAGTTGTCGGGAGTTTCCTCAGGGGTAAGCCGAGCAGCACCAATTTTCTGAGCAAAAGTCTTTGCAAAATTGCCAATGTCTTGACGGGTGACGAGTGCGTCTGGCCAGTGCTGACGGACCAGTTGAAGCGTTTCTGACCTCGAAAGCCCTTGACGCAGCTGTGTGGCCATGAAGACGTCCATCTCATGCGTGCGAGTGCGACGGCGGACGGCAGGGAACGACTCTGCATTGTCAGGGCCGTGGTTGTGGCCGTTACGACCGCAGTGTCTGATCTGCCACTCGCCTTGAGGCACTTGAGGCTCGACGGCGACAAGGACGATACGCATGCGACAGCCCATGCGCACTGAACCTCTTGCTGCACGCTGCCGTCTGTCCGGCGTCAACTTGCGAGTGTTTGCAGGTTTGCCATGTCGCTTGCATTCCCACAAGAACTTGTAAGTCACGCCTTGAGGATTGCGACCTTGCTTGCCCTTGTTGATGCGCACAAGGTCGAAGCCATTCTCACGCGACCACTGATTACCGTATTCTATGGCAGCCTCGAACGAGGGGAAGCGTCGCTCAGGTGGAGCAGCCTCACAGACAATTGTATATGTCGATGGAGCTGCATCGTTGTCGTTGTCGTTGTCGTTGTCGTTATCGTTATCATTGTCATTCTCATTCGCGTCGGTCGCATCGCCTTCATGGTCGTTGTTGGCGTCCATGAGCGACTGATCTGTTGTCGCATCATCCAAGCCCGAAAGGCCGGCCAGGTTGTCTGGTATGGAGAGGCTTCCAGGAGCCATGGGAGGTATGGAAGCGTTGGTGGGAGGTCGTCGGTCGGTGTGGACGCTCTCGGAAGAGTCGTTGGACGCGTGTAGTAGCTCCTTCCTCAATGATCCCATCCACTGCTCTTGCTGCATCCAGATATCAGATTGTTTAACTTGCTCTTTCTGTCCCCTCAGGCCACTCGTACCTTCCTTGCCCGATGCTGATTGCTCTTTCTCACGAGTCGCGACTTCCTTCCGCTGGCTGACCGAGGGCGCGCGTCGCTCTTGCGACGCGGAGTTTCCCGACCGACTCTCTTCTTGGCACCGGCAAGCCCGCCCCTGCCTCGCCGTGCCAACGTTTTGTCTCTCGTCATCATCTCCAGAAGTTCTGAGGCAGACACGTCTACAAATCAGAAGATAATCATACAGCATCCGAGGATAATGGCAACGTGTGGTGTAATGGCCCAATATGCTCGTTGTTTCTATTATTCGTGACGAGATGTGTATCATGGCCTCCAGCCAGGGCCATTTCATGGTTTTCCACCTACACTTGGCAGTTTTCAGAATTGACTCTGTTTCATCTACCATCTCGAGCCGGGACACACTGCCAGAATTCACCCATCTTCCTCTCACGGCACAACCTTCATGAAACACGCGAACATGCGACAGATGCGGTACATATCAGGATCTCGCCATGTGAGCTATTCTTCGAGGTCAACGATAACCACGCCGTGGTAACCCTGTCCCTCGTCTGTGGTAACACAGCGAATCTCGATGGATTCTCGAGACGAAGAATTTATGCCAATCCTTCCAGCATCGTGTCAATAAATCACAACCCGCACGATAATTTCTGCATGATTGGACAACTGTCATGAGCTGTTCTTTTGTTCTTCTTACAGCCTGACGGTGGTGACGGCGCTCGCGACGTGGGTCGTCTTTGTTCGGAAAACTTGAGTAACAAAGCCTGCACCTACTTCATGGAACGGATCATTGATCTGTCGTCGTCTTTAGTCGATCATGAACGATTCTGATCCTTCTATACACAATTTGTAAGTTCTATCGCTCAGGATATGCTGTAACGCTCTGTACTTCGAGGCAATCCGGGAGTGGGATTACGACAACGAAGCTCGGTTTCTATATACTTTTCTTCACGTTTTGTCTCTTTGTATACTATCGGAGCGAGACCTTCTAGTATTTGAACAGCCTTTGTAAAGTCCTTTCCGGATGCGATCTTCCCCTCTTCAAAGGCCATCGTCTTCACGCTAGCCTCTCTCTTCTTCCATACCACTTGACGGAGTCAAGCTTACTCAAGTGGAGCCATTGGGCGGGATGAATGGATATGGTGTCACAAAACACCAGATTCGGAGTCTGAAGGGTTTGTATGGTGCCGACGTCTCTGAAGCTTAGCCGGCCGCCATGAATTTCGAACGTCAAGATAAGCAGTGTTTGATGATGAAGGAGGAGCTTGACACCATAAGGATCAGCACTTCGAAGGACAAGAATTTGCAACTTGGAAAAGTGGGATTTGGAGATGAGAAGGACATGGTCGACCATTTGCCGGCTCACTCGATTGGTGCGCAAGTCAAGAATCTCCAAAGCAATCTCGCACCACTGTTTGTTGACCGCTCTCAAGGCCAGATAGTCTTTGTAACTGATTCCACGCATGTTGCGTGCGTCGATGATGTTGGGCTCGAGTATATCCTGAACGATCTCGTCCGGCATGTGGGGCGCGATATCACGGAGAGATTCGGGCTTCTCGTCTGCCATGATGAATTACCTCAAGCCATATGCCTGATGATAGAGAATTGGATTGATGATTGATGTGATAAACCGAACTGTCAGAGAGTTTCTCTCCACAGTCATAATGTCTACAAAGCCGGCGTCTGTGGAGGAAGGAAGTCGCGTGGCTCTCCCGTACTCGTCGCTTCCTCGTGGGTTCTTGATGACGGTTAAATGAGGCTTCGGGGTTGTGAAGGTTGGAGCGTCGCGCCTTCTTTTCAATGATCGTCGAGACGACGTCGGGTGATGAGACTTCGCACGCAACTTCAAGCTCAAACTCGTCACTGGCTTTGATCCTGGTGACGGGAGAGGCGTGAGACTTCGCGGACGTAGAGGTCATAGTGTCGCTCCTTCCTTCTGCGCTTGTTTCTTGAGTGGCTGATCAGTGAGGCTGTGACGGCAACTGTGAAAATCTCTTGGGATTGCTTGAGTCGATGTGGATGATGTGCGATGGAGTCTTTGCGACCGTATGTGTCGTTGGAAAGGTTTGATGCTCTGAGCTGTAATTGATTAGTAGTCGGGTTTCCCGGAACACGTCGACGAAAGCAATACACAGGACCACGTCCTTGTCTGTTCACGATCGTCGGAATGGGAGAATATGCGTTGGGTGGAGAACTTGACTGTGTTCGGACTAAAAACCATCTGGCCACCGCATAACGACATCAACCCGAGAGACCTTGGAATGACCAGCATTTCTTCCAAGCTTTGCAGCTGACGTCTCAACTTACCGCTTCGTCCGTTGTATGTAACCTTCCTTCACTGCTGCCACCAAAATTGAATTTGTTTTTGACTGCAATCAGAGCGGTACGCGACGCTTGACGTTGTCCGAGAAAGTGTTGTTATCGATGATAATGAGGTTGGCCCGTCTTAGGACTGGCATCTCGTCTCGGAAGATCGTGACCGTTTGGCTCATTTTCTGTGCCCTAATACAAGTCAGCTATTGCACAGGAGTATGGTAGAGTAGAGGGAATACTTACGTAGTCACGTCGCCCCCAGCAGGAGGTACCAGTCGGCCCAAGGTCAATCTCGTCAACGAAGGGAACGCAACAAGATGCTGACTCTGTGCAGCAAGGCGGTCCAGCGAGACGAAGCCCGAAAGCGAGACACGAGCGACATTGCGACACCCTCTACCAATAGCGCCCAGGACAACAACAGGGTCGACGAAACGGCCAGAGAGCTCGACGGTCTCCAAGTCCCGAAGGTTGGCAAAGATTGACCTGTAGCCAAGCGCGGTGACGTGACGGAAGCTTGTGGTGGTTGAGTGCGTACCGGTGATGCGAAGAGTGCGCAAGCGCACGATGCTGAACAAGGTCGAGATCTCGGCGAAGGTGAGATCGACACGGTCGACGAACTCAATGCTCAAATGCTCGACATGATGAAGCGCACGGAGAGAGTCCCAAATAGAAATGACACCGCGGACGCGAAGGGTGAGGCGGGTCAGGGCAGCCAAGTTAGGGAGCAGGAGAAGTGCTGCATCGGCTTCGAGGTCCAGGAGGCTGAGGTTCTTGATGCTCGGAAGCAGAGCAAGGGGCGAGGCAACAGCACGTTGAGCCGTAGTAATAGTGACTCGGGCTGTCAGCAAGAGGCGGACCAGGTGCTGCTGCGTAGCGACGGCCCCAAAGACCACATCATCGACCAGAGCATCCATGGATCTCTCCAGGGAAACAAAACGCAGTTCAGTGCAGGTGGCCAGCACAATTGCAAACAACGGAGGAGTGCCTCCAGAGATGGCGCAGCTCAGATCCAGCTTGTACAGATTGGTTGTTCCGGCCAGACGCATCAGGAAGTTGTCGGTGGTCAGGGTTGGGATGACCAAGAGCTGGTTGCCTGGACCGACGAGGCGATTGATCTGGACGACTGGAACCTGACTGTTGGGCGTCGTGGGTAGGTCGATGGTTACGTTGCGATGACCAGGAGGGGGAACTGGGAGGTTGTATGCCATCTTGATGCAGAAAGAAAAGCTGATTGCGCGAGGTTGAAGAGGGAGTGCAAAGGAACGGAATTTGATAAGCAGACAAGGGCTGCGGACGACTACCGCCAAGGCTTACAGATCACATTGTCACATTCGTTATTGTCACGAGAGAAGGCGGAAAGTGAAGGGAAAGAAATTTCAAATGAGGAACAAGTTTTGGAATTGTCTATCAATTGCACCACACAGCGCCACCTACTGGGAATACATGGTAAAGCAGCAAATAACTTCATAAGCAAAAGCAGCCATCCATAGTGTTCAGGAGATCTATTGTTTCATTTTGACTGTGTCACGGACATCAGTCGTCAGTAAGCGTATCTGGTAAGCGCCAGCGCTGTATCTAGGTAGTCAGTAGTCAGCATGATCACTTCAAGTGAGAACACTGTTAGTGATCTTGCAAGCATCAATATGGCCATGACCACGGCAACTACAACAAGTAGTAGCACCGCAACCATTGCAAACAACCCATTGAACACCGCTAGCGCTAGCAGCAATGGGAGCCAGACAAGAGATGTTGGCGCAATAAAGAGTGTGAGAGCGAGCAACACCCCAAATACCAACTCTTCTTCTGACCTTGGCAATGTTCTTAGCAGTCAGAGCGGATTTGGCATGACGAAGAGAGATTTGTTGAGGGGAGCAACAACGAATAGGCCAACGAGTGAGCGAAGAGCAGCACTCAGCGACGTGAGCGTTGAGGCAGGAGGGGCACCAGCTATCACCGCAAGGAAGAGTGAATGTGTAAGTCTGCTCATCACAAGAAGTGCATGTGGGTGTAAGAGGGACGATGATGAGGAAGTAGATGATGAGCAGGACGTCGAGAAGGATGATGGAAGAACCGACAAAGCGCTCGTAGAGCGTGTAAGAAGTGGTGTCAATCATATCTGAAGGTTCGTAGTTGTGGATGAGACTTACCTTTGGTTTGTTAAATGCTCGAGTCCTGTCGAGTATTTTTGGTGTTTGTGTTTGAATTGTTCCTGATTCTTGTCAAGGTAGGCACACATAGGTGGTTATATACCCTCTGGAGGAAGAGGTATGCCTTCCAACTCACCCACGGATTGTCATGACAGGACAAAGACATTGTGACAGGCGTGTCGATGGAAACAAAGCACACAAAAGTTTTTCGAGAGAAACACAAAGAGGGAGCCGTTCTCTGATGACAAAGCTTGCAGAAGAGAGCTGCAATCCTCAAAGAAAAGCCTCCGTCTTAGCTGCTTCCTTTTTCCGTTTAACAAAGTATCCTTCGAGGCTATCAAAGAACAGGGTGCATACTCTGTTGCAGTTTCCCGAGGCAGTTACCGTCGACCTGACATACTTGCTCAGGCGAGCATGAGGGTCGCCGATTATAGATTCGGATGCAGGCTAGTAAGGTGAGCTCGGTTACTCGAAGGGCTTTCACGATGTGGTGCTGCGCTTCGGGATGTGCAGCGCCTATCTTATAGCGATAGAATGATCTACAAAATCCGTCCCAGATGATTTGCCGGGTACTATCGAGTCACTACGTGGGAGATTCATCAAGTTTTTGACTGCCTTGGAGTATCTTAACGAATCTTTGAACGCCAGCATGAAGGCATTGTTCTAACAGAAACATGGCCTAAAGAAACAGCGAGTGAACTCGAGAAACGCGCCCACGGTCTGTTGCGCTCAAGGCTACAACACCTATCTCGAAGCTATATAACCACCCATGCGACCCTCAAGCGTTCTCTCCAAACTTTACAACCTTTCATCACACCAGCGACAACGATAATGTTCTCAGCAACGACCAAAAACTCCTCCGCACTTCTCTGCGAGACGTGCTATGAAACCCGAAAGCTCTACACCCTCCCATGCTCTCATTGCCGTTGGTGCAAACCATGCACCCAGACACACTTCGAAACCGCTTGCGCAGATAAAAGCTGCTGGCCATCAAAGTGCTGTAGCTCAACCCCAATCCCTCTCTCCTTTGCTGAAACCATGCTAACTCCTGATGCCATTGCCCAGGTCCTTCGCCGTACCCGTGATTGGCGTGATCCCCTCAACTCGAACACTTTGTTCTACTGCGCCAACCCTCGATGCTCGCACGATCTCGCTAGGGATGAGGAGTATGAGGTTGATCTTACAGCTACTATCGTGACTTGCCCTGTCTGTGCCTCTGACACTTGTAGCGCTTGTAGTATCTCACCCATACTGGCCCCTGTGCTCTCGACTCCGCTGAATCTCAGCTCCTCAACGCTCTGGATCCGGAAAAGTTCAAGCGCTGCCCCTTCTGCGGTCTCCTCTGCGAACTCATTTCCGGCTGTCAATACATGACTTGTCACGACTGCAGCGGTGAATGGTGTTGGCTCTGCCTCGAGTCTTGGAGACGCTGTCGTGGTTCCTGCACAATGTCAGAGGGCTTTATCCCTAGAGAACATCCTGAAGAGAGAAGGGGGCATCGGAGGCACTGGGACGAGCTGTTCTTCTTTTTGGCTTCTGTGGTTGGATTTGCCGTCGCTGGGTGAGTCGGCACTATCGCTGTGTTGCTCACTTCATTGGGTGAGAGATGAAAGGAGGGAGATGGTTCATGCTTGTGGTAGACATATGATGAATCACATCTTTGTTATAAAAATGAACGTTTTTTTGACTTATAATCTCTGTGAATGTGTATGTGCTTCGGACGGTTTCTAGTCCTTCTTGTTACCTTTGCTGCCTGTGACTGGAGTTCCCCTTAATAACCCTCTGAATGTTGACCTGTCTCCAGACTGCAGATCGACCAGCCTCCAGCGTCTCGATCTTGCTAGCCAACATCATAGCACGCTTGTCACTTCCCCGAGCAACTTGAGAGAAGATCTTGCTGACGACCTCGGCCGGACACTTGCTGAAGAAGTTACGGCCGGGTACAGGAACAGACGGATCAGCTGGTGTGGCGCCGACTTGGTGTGCCATGTCTGTGGTTGTGTACTGTCAGTCGTCAGAAGAAGCGCTTGGTTATGTTTGCCAGGAGGGGACTCTACGAAGCGAATCTTATCTCAATGTCAGTTTCGGTCGTCTCTGACATTGACGATGTGCACATCTTATGACCTACTTGTTTGTGCGAACAACAGAGAGCCTTAGATGAGGGCGATGTGCTGTGACCTTCCAGGTGTTTGACAGGAAATTGCTAGCTTTGCTATGTCGTTACCACGTAAATCACTGGACCACCACGACCACGACCAATACTTTTGTAGAACCAGTAAGTTGCAGCTCATGTCATGCGACAACATTTGCATCATTCAGAAATCCAAGAATAGGAACAGGCAAGTAGAAATTGTGGTCTGAACTTCGTCGTCGTGGATTTTGAAGTTCGCCAAGGAATGCGCCCGCTCGAGTCGCAACCAAGGTCACCTGCACACTATGTAAGTATAGCGTTCTTACATCAAGAGACATTGCATTTCTTGAACTACAGAGCTATCTCATCATTTGCACCGTTCGGAAATATCCATCTACTCAAGTATATCTAGGAAGATGTCATTTATACAAAACTTCAATAGAGACGTTTCCTACGGATACTCTTAGAAAGAAGACCCCTTCCCTCGATAATCTACTAAGACTTCCTCCTTTCTCGCCGGTGTCCATTTGCTTCGCTTAAGAAGCTCATGATTAAGTCTAACGAGGTACTGATGTCCGGGTTTAACGCCATCCACGCCTATAGCTTTCTTAGACCTTCGAATCTTCCTCTCGTTGCCGTGTTTATCGAGTTCCTACCTACGCTATACGACCGCCCTTAGTTAGGGCTTGATCTTCCCACCGTTTCTGCCGAAACCTGTAGAAACGATCAAGGGTATATGTGGCTTAAGTGTGAGATACTCTTGCTCGTTAGATGTACCCCGAACACGATGAAGTTCACCTCTCTGAACTAAGAATCGGGTGGTTAGTACAGCCGACTCAGTCGCTCTGTCGATGATAATGAATCCACTGCTGATAAGAGCCCTTCTAACATCTAATAGACCTCCCTACGTAGCGATTGTGATTAGCGTCTTTGCATAAGAGGTAAGCTCTAGCACAATGGTAGGTGGTGACTGCTCTGTAATGGCATATAACGATAGAGTTATCGAGAGTTTGATATCGATGAGCGGGCGCTCGTCAGCCGGTGATGCTATAGCTTAGCTATGGTGGGGAATGCTTTAATAACCTTAAGGGAAGGACTGCAGTCTTAACGTCGTTTCTGTCAATAGCAAGCGTATCGCACGTATAGGTAAAAAAAGAATTAAGGCTTGTTTTTGCTTGTAAGCAGATGTTAAGGTTTTAGTATAGTGCAAAGGCATTTCTTATCCTAGAAACATAATACGTCATACTTCTTACGTCATGACACTAAAGCCACTACCTACCCTGTTAGGACGAACTTGTGGGCTAAGACCGCGCTAAATGTAAGCTTGCATCTTTGTACTGTTTGTACCTTTCCTACAACAGGCTCCCAAGTCGAATCCTACAGATATGGTGCTTCCTTCGAGTTGGAAGCTTGCGCACCGTACCGACTTTAGTCAATACTCCGCCAAGCAAGATTCACCACAAAACGTTAATTTTGACAATCACCTGCAATTCTCCTTGCGCAATCCATTCCATTGCCTCTTCTCCGTCGCGTGTCCAATTATCAATATATCCGCTGTGCATCACCTGAGGCACGAGACAAACCGACAGTCATTCACTGAAAATGTCGAATACCACCTCCTCGGTCACCATCACCCACGTCGTACCGTACCATATCCTTACGCTACCAGACGAGTCGCTGGTTTAGGTCATGAGCATCCTTCCCGCGGCAAATGTACTCGCTTCGATGCAAACTTGCACCGAAAGATCAGCTTCGCGCACCACATATCCCTTTGCGAGTGACTGGGCAGCTGGCGTTCCGGAAATGCTCAAATCCCGGCGCCTTCACACTCTGGACCTCGCCATGCAGTTTAGCTCGAGGTTTTGGTCGAGATCTTCGTACAGCAGATTTGTGTAAATCCTCTCGCTCTGTATGATGTCCAGAACCTATATCGATTCACCCATCGCTCCTTGATCTCTCACCTTCTCTACAAGGACACAGGCTATCAACTGAAGCACTACAGTCTCGACATGACAGAATTGACCGAATTCCAGCTTCTTACCGCGCCGTCGAGCATCTGGCACTGGGGGGCCACTTCAACTTGAGTACCGACGTGATAAACAATCTAGATCATAAACTTCCCAAGCCAAACCACCTTGCTCTTGCGGCTCATCCGACGCCGAAGAGCTCAACTGCGATGTCTCTGATCCTCTCTTCCCAAAGCTTGAGCCTGTAGCCCTGGATTAATTGGACGAAGGGCTGACACTCTCGGAGCTGTAAGCCATGATCCAATGTATTCCTGCTGTGAAAGGTCTCAGCTGACACTTGTCAAAGAGACAGTTACATCCGTTCCATCTACCCATCGTTGCCTTCGTCGGTCAAACCCTTCAGATCTTCTCAGCAGCTGAAGTATCCACTTCTCGTTCCTCGACCCCGACGCAGAAAAAGTCCTCAATTACCAATACCTACGTAATCGAGATCTTTGGCTCCTGGAGATTGAAAAGGTGGTTGAGATAAGTAGATGACACACTTACTATCCACCAAAGATCGATGCGAGTTGAGTTGACTTCCTCGTACCCAGCTAGGCTGTTGTAGTTGTCGAGACGACCATACTCATCGAAGCCATTGTATAACAACAAGTCGTAGAGATGCTCACATGTGCTCCCTCTGCTCAAGTGTAGTTCTATCCGTCGCTACTGACGAGAAGATCAGGTCAATCACTCCCGTATGCCATGGTAAGCTCTCAGACTCCGCATCTAGTGCGACTCTGGCTGATTGACTTCTAGCGTGAAATTACTCAACGATGATCGCTCGAAGAAACTTGAAAGATGCAGAATACAAACGCTAGAGTAAACGCCGTGCAGGATCCTTCGCATTCCGCAAGGGCAAACACTCTACAAGAGGATATACGACACACTACTTCAATACCATTTTGGCAGCTGCAGAAGCAAGGGATGATGCCATGATCGTAGCTCGAAGGAAATCGAACCTAGAGTGGAAGATGGAGACAGAATCAGCGATATCGTGATAAAAGAGAACTAATTTCCCACGAAAGGTTGTTATTTATCAGAGCTTCATCGGGCTGCTTCTATGGTGCTGGAAAAAAACAGAGATGGAGCGTCGGTCATCTCATCTGGATGATGCTAAAGCAGAATCATCCGAGGCGGTAATCTATCAGTCGACGGCTTTCACAAGAGTCGGATTAAAGTGTTCCTCCCACTCTCCACTCCAAAAGAATCACTGCGCAAATCACATCTTCGAGAAGATAACGAGGGTAAGAAAACGCTTGGACAAAAGAAAGATCAATTATGCAGCTGTGCACTCTGATCATAACCGTTCATAAGGCACCTGCGCCCGCCCAACCACCCCATCCTCCTCAATGGTATCCTGCCTCCCTCTACCCCCCTGCCCCTGTCCAAGCCCACCCCGTCTCCCATTAATCCTCCTCTCATCCTCCTCCTTCCCATCCTCCCCTTCACTCAAAGAATCACTATCCCTCTCCCCCCTGATCTCCACACTCTGCACAATCTCCCTAGTCTTCCACGCTCCCAAGCCCGAAGAAGGTAAAGGTGGCAATTCATGCGTATTACCCCCCGCAATCGTAACTTCAGTTTTCCCCGTGTCTTGACCACCGGCTCTTAATTCGTCCAGCGTCATCACATCGTCGAATTCCAGATCGCGGCGTTTACTTCTGCCTCCTCCGCCTCGAGAAAAGGTGTTTCCGGCGCCGGGGGTGAAGGCTTTGCTGCCGCCTGTGGATGAGGGGAGGCCGCCGCGCATGTGGCTGCGGAAGCGGGAGAGGAGGGGCCGGAGGGTTGCGGCGTTCGCGGCCGTGGCTCCGATGCCGAGTTCGACGGTGGTCCAGATTGCGACGTCGGCAGTGTTGTAGAGGAATTCGCCTTTGAAGTCTTTGAGGGTGTGGACGAAGGGTGTGCGGATGATTGTTGCTGTGCTGCCACTATATATCACACAAAGGATCCCAGTCAGTTGGTTTTGCATCTTCACAAATAGCACGGAGAGGCATGTGGAAAGTGGAAGGTCGAAAAACTTACAGCGCGGCGAATCCCAAGATACTAGCCACCAAAACCTTGGTCTGCCTCTTCATCTGCAACTTCCTAACAATGAAAAATGGCAAAATGCCAAACGTCCAGTCCGCCACTGAATTCAACACCGAGATGATATAAGTATTGATAACAATGACTTTGGGAGAAAGACATTTGCCATGATGTTCAGGGTGCAAATCCCACCAGAAGGAAATGGGTCGACATTGAAAGGTGACGAGCAGACAATAAGGAACAGCAAAGACGACATTGAAGATCATGATCCAGCGAATGATCCAGATGTGGGTTTTCACCACGGCGATGCGGAGGAGGAAGAGACCAATGCTGATTTTTAGGGTGGCAGTTGCGAGGGTGTAGGAGATTTCGCAGAAGAACCAGTACTGTTGATTATGTGAGTATGGCTGCTGTTGACCTTGGTATCCAGTGACCAACTCACCATCAAGGCTGTTTGTGCTTCGTCATCATCGCCTATGAGTGCTCTCTTCTTACCACTTCCGTGTGCGACGGCCGAGAGTTGACAGATGAGGTAAATGAGATACAGCGCAAAGGCCGCGAGCATGGCGACGTCATCACGTCCAAATTGATTTCCCAGGATTCTGGTCCTGTATTCTCTGTCAACATTGTGGCTTCATAATGGACGTAGATGTGACCAACCTGGTGTATGTTCGCAAGATGGTTGACAAAGCAGTGGGTATCAAGAAAGCTATAGCCACACCGAGAATCTGACCGCTTCGATCATCCGTACCCATCGTGTGGTACTGCTGATATGTGATTGCAACTCTATGCCGAAGAGGACGTTTGTGTTGACAGAGAGATGTTGGAAAGATAAAAGAAATATGAAAGAGTTGATCAAGCAGACATATCTTGCGACTAAAGAATGAATAGAGTGGAAAGAAAAGAAAGTTTAGGAATCAAGAAACACCAATTCGAGTCGTGGTCAGAGAAGAGACAGCACCTACTATATGAGGCGCCCTGTTTTTACTCCCCGCGCAAAGTGGCTTAGGCATACTATATAGCAAGGCGAACAGCCATCACGCCTGACTCGAAAAGGCGAAAGAGCGACCATGGCATAGGGTCCAAGGTAGAGGAAGAAGCTGATTGAGACTCTGAGACGGCCTAAATCGGGTTGGCGTGGGGTTTGGCGGTGGTCTGTTCTTTGGGTTCGGTCTCTGATCGGCGTGCTAGAATGGGTGCGATGTTCGAATGCTCAGACCTGTTCACCATCTGTGCACCTACGTAATCTAGGAAGCGGCCGTGTGGTCCGTCTTTGTAGAGTGTCCGGCTTGTTGATCGAGGCGTGTGAAGGTGCTGATCAGTGCTGTGCAGCTCTGAAACGCTCGGAAGAAGTAACAGACGTCTGATGACCGGCCGTCACAGTGCAGCGACACTGCATGATGAATTTGACAGTCTTCTATAAGGTCTCCCGACTCCAGAGCATAGGGTCGGATCCGATGCAGGGAAGAAATCCTTCGAACATGATCGACGACGTGACAGCGGAAAGGGGTAATCTGGAATTAGGTCAGCCAGCGAGGCAAGATTAGGGCCTTCTAATCTGAACGCCTTTCCACTCCCAATCGGATCAAAAGAGGTCCGGAAAAGGTGGTCGTTGATCTTGCTGCACACCAAAAGTTCGCATGACATGTTCGGTACTACCAAGTGACTAGCATCCAAGCCATTCAAACAGGCCGGGTTGTTTCGTGTTAATAAATCAAGCCAAAGAGAATGGAGAAAGTCGAATGTCGATTCTTATGACTCGGATCGACAGGTGTCAGGGGACAAGCTTCGCTGAACCGTGCACCTTCGAATCAGTATCTTATCTCCAACAAAAACCAAATCAACCTCTTGCGGTTCTTGTCGATCACAGCGGCATATTATATTATTCTTGCAAGCGAAGTCTTCTCTCATCTGTTAACCTTCCAAAAGGTCTCGCGGTACTTTGAGCAAAAGTTGACATCGCTTTTGTAGACGAAAACGAGAAGTCCAGACCGACAGCTCCAGGCCACCACGACTCAGCATCTCGGCCGAGTCAAGAGATTTTGAAAAGCACGAGCTGGGAAAAGTGTGAAAAGAGGAAAAAAGTACTTTGTACCTCAAGGCCAAGAAGCCTGATAGCAAATCATCTTGGCTAGTATACAGTGCGATCGTTTAGCTGTTTTCCTTCTATCAACACGGCCTCTGCCGCTTGCATTTCAAAGCACACTCGGCCTTGTTCACCGACAATGACAGTTTCCCCTTGCGGCTCGCCAACTTGATCTCCAGTCTGCGACTCAAAGCTGACACCAGAGACGCTGATCTCACTTTTTGCATTCGTACCTGGCGCTTGAAGACGGATGATGTCAAGACAAGTGCCTGCCTTCCAGGACGTGCTGACAGAGACTTTGCGGACGGGACGTAGGCCCGCGGAGTGAGAGGTCGAGTCAGTGATGCTAAGAGTCGAGGGATTTGATAAACCCTGAGTGCCGTTCCAGACCTGTAGATCGATAAAGACGAGTTTGTGGAGCTCTTCGTGGTGGCGATGGCCGGGTGAGTAAATGGCGTAGCCACTGAAGTCGGAAGAGTTTGCGGTAGGTATTTGAGCGACTCGTTGTTGCTTGTTTGACGCTAGCACATGAGCCATGAAATAATGCCCGTAAAAGAGACTTCTGATGCCTGCCTCGAGACTTTCATTCTTGTGTTGATAGGGCAGTGGAACGAAGCTTGAGTACTCTGCGTTTGCACCGAGATGGAAGTAGACATGAGGCATTCCAATGCTAGCTGCTAACAAGACGTAATCAACATTCCAAAGAGCAGCACCAAAGGTATCGCTAATGCCACTTCGACCAGAGCATGAGGCAGAGTTCGTCTCTCCAAAGACAAGAGGTATGCCGGCTTTGTCTGCAGCAGCGACTTGGGGCACATACTGCGACACATTGTGCCAAAGAACGCTGTGGTTCGACAGCAGGTTCAGACTTAGCCTGTACCAACGAGCAGTGTCGCAAGTGGATTGAGGGTAGAGGTGAACGGCATACGAGCCTATCTTGTCTTGCTCAGTCAAGCCAGCGCGAGTAAGGTTGATGATGTCGAAATCGTCAATCTCATCTTGCTGGTCCGGTAGCCAAGGAGGATCGGCAAAAACGGCGGCTTGAAACTTTGGCGGGTGACTTGCGGCTTTGTACCATGAGGAGCTTACGATCTGACTCGAGATATTACGCCATTGCTGGACATACATAGCGACATTCCAAGTAGGAGGTCTCCAGCCTTTGTTGATGAAATGATCGATCTCGTTGCCCAACTCAATCAGCTTGAGCTTGTCACCGAGTACGCTGTATGCTGCTCCGGCTTCCCGTACAGCATTTTCCCAAGCACTCGAGTTGTCTTTAAGGTTCAAAGTGTACAGAAAGTCTGTGCCGTCCGGGAAGTAGCTACCCCATTGCTCGAACCAGGCATTGCTGATGTTGAACGTATTGGTAACGGTGGTGTTGGGCAATGCGGCGGCAGAAACATTCAACTCGGGATGGTAGTATGTTTGATCGCCAGTGTTTCCTCCTACTCGGAGGGTCGGTGGTTTTCCAGTAATGCTTGCAATAACTTTCATGAGGTTGCGAGTCAGATTGGAAGAGATGTAATCCTGCGTCCAGACCGGCTCGAGGGAGTACGCATAGCCATCTCGGAGGAGCTCACGGGTGGGAAGATGTTTCGGTACAACGACATCAGTCGCCGATGCAGTGACAACAAGTGCTGAGAGAAGAGAGAAACGCGATAATTTGACCATGATGGGAAATGTGAAGCACCTACCTTGACGAAAAATCGACCTACAGCTGGGTTATAAGGACTCTTGCGGACATGATTATTCTTCCGTCAGGTCCAGATATGATGCAACTGTCGGATGTCACGTAGCAGGAAGTAAGGTCAAAGACGAGTGATGCACTGCTGATCAGGTCCAAGGTTGGAGACGTGTGCGGGGTTTCGGTTAAAATGCAATGGTATGCCCTGCTCGTCGGTGTTGAAATGTCGCGAGGGACAAGGATGAGTCAACAGCCATCAAGAGGACTGTCAGACACCAGGAAGAAGGTAGGTGTGACGAAACATGGACAAGTCGGCTGTTGGTTGAAAAGGATGAAAGGCTTCTGACGCTGTTGTGCTGGCTGTCAAGATTGCGCCCGAGGCTTCGTCGTCGCTCACCACTCACGGGTCTTGAAGGTCAGCCACACAAGTCTTGCGCAGACTGGCCTATGTGGCGTATAGCAGGCATCTGAATTAATGTTTGGGCAATGCGGGTTGACGTGATAGTGCGGTGGTCGTTACTCTGTCGATGGATAATGGATGGACGAGGAGGAGGCATCGAAGCTCTCAGGCTCTCAGCTCTCTAGTCGCGGCCAACTCTTTTGTCCATCATCATGACGCAAGCAAAAGCACCCGAATGGCAAGAGCTGTTCCTTCTGCTTTTGCAGTGCACCTTCCTCATCAACCGCACCTTCCCTCCCAACATGCGTATCCTCATCACCGGCTCCTCGGACGGCCTCGGCCTCCTAACCGCCCGCCTCCTCACCTCCCGCTCCCACCAAGTCATCCTCCACGCCCGCAACCCCTCCCGCGCAAACGACGCAACTACCGCCTGCCCCTCCGCCCACGCAACAATAATCGGCGACCTCTCCACCCTCGCAGGCATAAAAGCTTTTGCAAAAGAAGCAGATGCACATGGCCCTTTTGATGCCGTGATGCACAACGCAGGACTTTATCTAGGTCCTTTTCGAAGGACGGAGGATGGGTTACCGGCGTTGGTTGCTGTGAATACGGTGGCGCCTTATGTGTTGGCTTGTTTGATGCAGAAGCCGGGGAGGTTGGTGTTTGTGTCTTCGCAGTTGCATCGGAATGGCGATGCTGGGTTGAGGGATGTTGATTGGAAAGAGAGAGGGGAGGAGAAGTGGAATTCTGGACAGGCGTATGGGGATAGCAAGTTGCATAATATCATGTTTGCATTTGCCTTCAACAGGCATTATGCTATTCCCACGGCGAGCGTGGATCCTGGATGGGTGCAGACGAAGATGGGAGGGCCGAGTGCAATGGATGATTTGGATGCTGCTGTGGAGACGTTTGCCATGGTTGCTACTGGGGAAGGAGACTGCAAGAACAAGGACGTCGGACATTGGTATCAGATGAAGGAGAGAGACTTCAGCCAAGAGGCAAAGGACGTCGAGACGCAGGAGAAGCTGTTGAACATCTTGGAGCGTGTTTCGGGAGTCAAGATACCAGAGTAACTCGATGTGGTCAACTCTTCATCCACCCATCTAACATGATGTTGCCATGAGGAATCGGTAGCATACCCATCATTCCCAGCTATAAAAGAAGGCAATAGATGACTGCGACTTCGAAACGTCATAGTGGACTGACTGGCCATGATGGTTATTGAGTCATGGACCAATGGGCGTATGAGCTTCAAACATCGCAGCATGTCGTCTTGATCCTCCGGCAAGTCATGTCGCGTTGCATCAGTATAACAGAGCCAGAACACGACGAGCTCCTGAACAAAGCCCTCTTACAGCAAGACCGTTTCTCTAGCATCAGCAGAGATTCGTGTTAGCAGCACCAAGTGTCACTCTGTAACATCGCAAGTATGGCCCGATGAGGAGACCAGTCGCAACAGATAACGCGCATCTTCCAATCTGCCAAGCGCGTCGATCGTCACAGACACAGACGTGACAGGTCCACGAAGAGCCGCGTAGTTCTGTCAGGGTCAATGTGTATCCTCATATAGCGACTGATAGTCGATTCTAGGTCGATTCGTGACATTGAAGCGCTCGTTGGCAGGAGATAGAGAAGTGGGAGGGTCTTGAGGGAAGAAACAGGAACGCGTCGCGCGAGTCGGCTGTTCTTGCTCGGGCATCTTCTGTTCGCTTCATCCTGCTGGTATATCGGTACGGACGGATACAGTAGTATCTGTTCACAAGCGAATATAGTTGTACTCCCTTTGGAGCTTTGAGGAAGCATCTTAGACGCAGAAATGCTCATTCTGAGCTTGGGATTCGGCCAACCTTAATGTTGATTTACCAACAGCATGCACACTATATGGACCGCTGAGGCCCAGATCCACGCCGTGGAATATCATTCTCCATAATGCTAAATCGAAAGTTCCGACCACAAGCTTGGTCTGACCACCTTACAAGGTCAATCTGTCCTTCAGAATAGCTTAGGATATCTCTAGAAGATGATAAGTACTGCTTGACACCTACACGTCGCCGTCAGTGAAGGTGGCTAAATAAACGAAGGTCAAAAACGGTACCACCCTGACCGTGAGATTTTCCACCACCAAAAAAATCCTGAAGCTTTGGCAAGTCAGAAAAAGTTTTACACCGTGTCTCCACATGTCAAACAAGGCCAAAAGATGTGTTCCGACACGGGGAATTGAACCCCGGCCTCCTCGGACCTGGTTGTTCTTTCGAACTGTTTGAGAGCGAGAAATCCTAGCCACTAGACCATATCGGATATTGTTGAAGCACGTTTCTGCCCAAACTACTATATAGTTTTTTGAATGTCAGAAGTGAGAATCAAAGCGACTAAGCCTCGCGGTCGCGTCTCGTCGTCGCGATGCGTTGCACTCCTTATGGCCTTCATCAAGTCACATCTCCGTCACACAAGATCACCTCAAGGCTTGATGCCCGATGCTGCGACTCAGAGACTGTCGGTATACCGATACACTGAGGTCTAGAGCACAGTCAGGCCGATGTGGCTGTCAAGGAGAAGCATGCCCGTTGCTCGAGCGACGCCTAGATGTGTCGCCAAGCTCAGTTGATCTTCTCCATTCGATCTTGTCTCCATCCAACCAAGAGAATCATCTTGTTTCCAGCTCTTGATCTCTCCCAAGACACATGAAGCTTTCCTCTACATCCCCATCTCGGTCGCATGAACCTATCATGGCCTTGAACGGCATGTTCCATGCAACGACCCCGCTCAAACGTGTCCTCAGAGCTCGAGAAGGCCCGATAACCCATCCGCATGAGCTTCAAAATCATCGGAAAGAGTTCCTTGGCCAGCAGATTTGGAAGAGTCGAACCGACCGCTACGAAGTGTGTTTTGCTGCATTTTGCACAAAACTCACGTGGAGACTGAAATAGACTTTCTTCCAGGCATTTCCCCAGGAAACGGTCGAGGAGGTAGGTCCGGGGAAAGAATGGCTGGGAATGGAAGGCAGAACCTATTCTTTCCACTCTGCTCGCGTGCTCCCCAAGTCTCATCATTGCCCCCATTCTTGGTGATGACATGCCAGGTCGACAACGGTGAAAATTCTGCAAACTCTGGGGAAATGAATATAGCCAGAAAAGAGTTGGTGGTGGAACGATGATATACGCTAAGAGAGGATTTGTTGACGCCTTTCCTTGGCTTCAGGACCAGACTTCAAACTGACTTTGCATCAGAGAGCATTGTTCCTTACAAGCGAGAAGAGACACAACGCCCCGTCGCTAATGATGTATGTTTAGACATTTGCACTCAGCGGTCGGATTTTCTCAATTTTGTCTCGGACCTTGCCTTCCCCATGGGACACTCTTGAGCATATGGACATCTCCGCACCAGAATAGTCAACACGCGTCTGCTGTTCCAAAGGTGTAGAACAACAACAACCAACTGCAATTTGAACATCTTGAAGGAGCCATAAACAAAGCAACTCACCCAGCTACAGCACGCCAAGGACTTGAAAGTGTTCTGGAAGGACAGCAAGCTTTCTAAGATTAAGTTTCTGCATACAAGCACGATGGGCCATGTTTTGCGGCGCTCCACGCGGGGACCCCTCATGCTCGAAAAAGGCAGGAGCCGGTGAAGACGAACGGTCGTTGTGACATTTTTGATGCTTCCAATTGGAATCAACGCCTGGCCAAACTCTGTTTCTCCCATTCCCCAGCCCACCACACTTCCCCCCTTACCAAACACATGGCGCACTGACACTTGGATGCAGAATATAATGTGTCCTTGAGGGACGCTTCCTTCTCTCCATCATCCCTCCAGATCTATCATCACATTCCCTTCGCTGTCATGGCTCCTCCTACCATTCGCGGCACTTCTGATGTCGACCGTATCGAAGCCCCCGTCACCGTCAAGGCTTACTTGATGTGTGCTTTTGCCTCTTTCGGTGGTATCTACTTCGGTTACGATGTAGGATGGATCAGTGGTGTCATGGGCATGAAGTATGCCATTCACACCTTTACTGGTCTTCCCTACGACACTCCTGCCGAGGACTTTGTCGTCGGTGCCAGTGACAAGGCTCTTGTTACTTCTATTCTTTCTGCTGGAACTTTCTTTGGTATGTTGTATCCCTTACTCGGTGATGTGCATCTCTAACAGCCTTCAGGTGCTCTCATCGCTGGTGATCTTGCCGACTTCTTCGGTCGTCGCACTACTATCATGATCGGATGCTTGATCTTCATGGTTGGTGTCATTATGGAAATCATCTCTACTGGTATCTCTCTCATGGCCGCCGGTCGTTTCGTCGCTGGTCTCGGTGTCGGTTTCGAATCTGCCGTCGTCATCTTGTACATGTCCGAGATCTGCCCCAGAAAGGTTCGTGGTGCACTCATCGCCTGCTACCAGTTCTGTATCACCATCGGTATTCTTCTCGCCTCGGTTGTCGTTTACGCTACTCAAGACCGCATGGACAGTGGTTCCTACCGTATCCCAGTAGCTATCCAGCTCGCCTGGGCTTTGATCCTCGGTGGTGGTATCGCTTTTTTGCCCGAATCGCCTCGTTACTTTGTCAAGAAGGGTCAGCACGAGAAGGCTGCCAAGGCTCTTGCTTCCGTCCGTGGTCAGCCCCAAGACTCTCAATACGTCGTTGAGGAGTTGGCTGAGATCATTGCCAACCACGAGTACGAACTTTCTGTAATCCCTCAGGGTAGCTACTTCTCATCTTGGGCCAACTGCTTCAAGGGTTCGCTCTGGAAGGCCAACAGCAACCTTCGCCGTACCATTCTTGGAACTTCTCTCCAGATGATGCAACAGTGGACTGGTGTCAACTTCATCTTCTTCTTCGGTACCACTTTCTTCCAGCAGCTCGTAAGTCATCTTTATATCCATGCTTTTGTCAGCACAACTAACCTAATCAGGGCACGATTTCCAACCCCTTCCTCATCGGTCTGATCACTACCCTCGTCAATGTCCTGTCTACCCCCATCTCCTTCTGGACCATTGAGAGATTCGGTCGTCGTCCCCTCCTCATCTGGGGCGCCCTCGGTATGCTCATCTGCCAGTTCCTGACCGCCATCCTCGGCACCGCCATCTCCACCGAGAACCAAGCTGCCACTCAAGCTCAAATCGCCTTCATCTGTCTCGCCATTGCCTTCTTCGCCTCCACCTGGGGTCCCGGCGCTTGGGTCCTCATCGGCGAGATCTTCCCTCTCCCCATCCGCTCCCGCGGTGTCGGTCTCTCCACCGCCTCCAACTGGCTCTGGAACACCATTATTGTAAGCTCTGCCCTCCCTCTTCTCCCTCCTCTTATCCCATTACTAACAGAAGAACCTTCCAGGCTGTGATTACACCCTACATGGTAGGAAAAGACAAGGGCAACCTCGGTCCCAAAGTCTTCTTCGTCTGGGGCACCCTCTGCACCTGCGCCTGCATCTACGCATACTTCCTCGTCCCCGAGACCAAGGGACTTTCCCTCGAGCAGGTTGACAAGATGTTGGAGGAGGTCAACCCTCGTAACTCTGCTGGATGGAAGCCTACTTCTACTTTTGCAAATGAAATGGGAATGACAAAGGGTGATATCACAGAGACTGAGATTCATGTTGATGTTGAGAAGAGAGGTTGATTGGTTGCTGAAGGAGATATTGGATAGCCGTTTCTTTTGTTTGGGAGGTGGAGTGGTTTTTGTAGAGCACTGGGAGATGGCTGCTTGTCAAAAATTGATCAGGGTTCACATATCCAGTAGTCCATGAAAAAGTCGCCGGTTGTATTGCTCTCATACTCCAAGCTATTGATTGCCTTGTGTGCTTGTAAGTCGGTCGCTTCTCAGTCTGACAATTCAGCGTAACTGTATCATTTACAACCATTCCACCTCACACAAGATATGATGAGAGTGTCTCGATTCTTTCGGGGTGTCAGCAGGCAGATCAACACTGACCCAGCAGGCGATATCCACTCTTGAAGCATATATCGCAGCTCGATAAAGCGCTGACTTTATGTTTGTGTCCCCCATCCTGGGCTCTCACGGGAGATGGCAGTCGTGACATCTAGAGCGACATCTCTCTATCTCGCGCCCCGATTTGCAGGCAAGCTCTGATGGCTTTGATATCTTTTATGAAGGTCTGTGTATTAGCAGAGTGAAAGGAGCAGTTGGAGAGTTCCCCGTCCATATCGCACGAAATGTGCCAAAGGCTGTTGATGTTCGCGCAGTATGTTGGAGGTTCTTATACCTCGTCCAATAGCGCGAGAGTCACAGTGAGAAGGACAGAAAGATATGGTAGGTTGACCACGAAGATACGTACTGGAGAGATGGCAGCAAGACACAAGACCATAGTATACTCCACCCGGATGCAATGGATCGACCTGACCTTCTTGATCTTGGAGGTCCATTGCCCCAAAACGTTGATAAAGGTGTCGTAGATTCCCAGATAGTGACCAAGTACCTCTTGAGGGAGCTTGAAGTATCAGTCCCAGAAGTGGCATGTTCGTAGTATGGCTTGGCGTTCGCGAGATGATTTTGAGTGCGTCCATGTTTGTTGCGGTTTTCGAGCGACTCCTGCACTAGGCGCAGACGTGAACATCAGATCAGCGTATGCACACTGTTCCCCTACTTATTATCACTTTTGGCCGATCACCCACATGATCAACTTATTATGTCCGATCCTAGTGCTCGCCTTCCACTGGAAGTACTCAGCATCACAATAGGTTTCGCCGCCATCGACATCCACGAGGCCGCCGGAGCGACACAAGTCAACACACAATGGCGCATGGAGACCAGTCGGATCAGATGGAGGAGAGTCAATCACCGCGGTTTTCCAACCATACAGCATCTTGGGGCTTGTTATTTAGATGAACAACAATTGTACGCCAATCTCATCCGGCGAATGACGTTCACGATCAGCGTCTCAAACAACCACCCCAATCTATCCAATCTCGGATTTCCTGGTCTCCAGGCTCTCAAAATCAAACAAAGCTTTCTTCTCGGCCACGGAGGGACTGTTGATGTCAGCAGTCTTATCCAACCACTGCTCAACACCCTCGTAATCGAGGGAGGTACGACAGAAAGGTTTCTGCCCGCCCTCAGCGACGATCTCGGAACTCTAGGAAGCATGCTACAACTCACAACCCTCTCACTACGTGGCTTGACTACCCTTAACTTGAGCAATGTCACCGAGACCGCTCTTCTGCACACTTCCAGTTGCATGCCACTCCTAGAGGCCCTTGGACAGACTTTGATACGAGTCGAATAATCGGCCAATGGGTGTATCGCGAGAAGTAAGGAACAGGGGAACCAAGGATTCGAAAGGAAATTACAGGCTAAAGCGATTGGAGAGGATATTACGTGGCAAGAAAACATCAGAGTTGGTCGTATCGATAGTCATGATGGTATCGACATGCCCCATCCTCCATTCTCATCATCCACGTCACTCAGGGTCTAGCCAGAATCGTATACATGCTCTTTTTGCTCTTTGTTCGATGTGACAGATGTATGTGTCTATTTCTTGCTCTGCTTTCCCGGAAGACTAGCACTGATGACTACAGATCACTCTGCATTTTGTCAGCAGCTATACAGGATGATCACGCTGTCAGGAAGAACTGATTTTGTTCTTTGTCTAAGGCAATAGAGGTGTCTGTCTTACTTTTGCTCGGCTTTCCCGGCAGACAAGCACTAATTACTACAAATCACCCTGCATTTCAACAGCAGCTACGAGGGAGACGCACGTTGTCAGAGAGTACTGACACAATTCTGCCAGAAGGTAGCAGATGACGGGGCAGTCGAAGGTATACATCGTAGCAGACGATTAATGCAAGTTCAAATCGTTCTTGAAAGCAATCAAGGAGCTCGATCGATCAACTCGGATATAGGGAGTGACAGTAAGGTACAGCAAGGCCGGCATGAGAGGCAAGATGATGGGATGCTTGATGATCAAGATCTCGCGATACCTCTACGACGAGTAGAAGTCTCCGTGCATCTTACCACATTGATGAAAGGGAGGAGTTCCCAGATAGAGAACGAGTTTGAAGGCTCAATAGTAGCATAGCAGGAGGTAATGAAGATGAGTGTATTGCGAGACTCGCTCCACTGTTCTGTTGGCTAGCCCGCATGATGCAAGATTTCGAGTTGGAGAATTGGTTGCCGCACTTTCACTACTGTGTTTCACCTATTCGCGCCGCCCCTCGTCAACCACAACTTCCGCAAACAACGCGCCATCTCAATCTCGTGCGTCAACTCTTCTCCGTCTTCCTTGAGCATCGCCATACAAGATCCACAACGACTTGGTCAATTCCTGGCTCGATTCCATGCCAGACCCCTTGATGACAGCGATGGCGCAAGTCGATCACACCAACACTCGCCCCCTTCCGGTGCTTCCTGCCGAGATCATCGCCAGGATTCTGGACTTTGTGAGCAATGACAAGCCGACGCTGGTTTCAGTCGCTTGCGCCAACAGGGTGATGTTCGAGCAAGCCATCAGATATCTCTGGTCTGATGTCGGCCCCGACAACAAGCAGGTTGGCCGAATGCTGCGTGCTCGCGACGGCCGTCTGCAGGTATACGCCGCGCAGATCACCAAATTGAGCTTTGAGATCAGCTCGGTGAGCCTGCTCCCTCCCCTGAACAACATCCCTCTGCCCCTCCCCCAATATCTGGACATCACGTATGATGGTGTCCAGGATCCTCGTCGTCCACCCACCTCTCTCGTTGGTTGCCATGTCTTGCTGAACCATCTGATTGTTCCTACGCTCAAAGGCCTCTACCTGCACCGACCCATGCCATCAGTCGGCAACTTTTCCACCGGTAACTTCCTGCCTCGTTTAGCTGATGAGTGTGTCGGTCTTGAGGAGCTTCGTATCGCCTCTGCCGTGACTGGTGCGACACCTTCGGAACTTGTCAAGCTGCTCGACTCCTGCCAGCGTCTGGACCAACTTTGGTTGGCGACTGCCGACACCGACAATCTGATCGACGAATCCAGCTTCAAGCACGTAGCTTCCCATGTCCGTCTTCGCAGCGTTATACTAAATGGCACCATCACCACCTCTCATGCTCGCTCAGCCTTGTTTAACAACGGCGACAATCCATTCGGATACTTCCGCGTGCTTTGGAATGAAGATCGAGGCCGAATCTCTTATCATGATACTGCCACATGTACCAGGCATTCAGTGGTTGTTGACTGTCCTCGGTCCAACTTCCATCTTCAATGCGCTACGCTATCACGATCAGCTGTCGCACTTGATTATCGAATACCCTCAAGAGCATCATCTGAGTGCCAATGACTTCGCAGCTCTCGCTCACCTCACCAGTCTGCGACGACTCGACATTCGTGGCCAAGATACTGAAGATCTCACCGATGTCCATGCAGACATTTACTGCAACTCTGCCCTGATCAACACCGTGGCGGCACTGTTTAACCTAGAAATCCTCAACCCCAACATCAAGTTCGCTTCCTGGGACATGGAACTTCTCGTCTCTATGGGAATATCTTGCCGCTCTCTCAGTACCTTAATTGTTTGCGGTGCTTTCGATGTCTTGGTTCTCGACGGCATCACCGCAATGGTGCTGTTTTCGGAGCTGCTTTCTCTGGAACTCAGTTGCTTGTATGACTTTGCCGGTAGTCCAAGAGTGTAAGTGACCTTTTGACCTAATCGTTTCGGATCACCTGCTGACTTGTGCTTTGCTGTAGCAACGACAGAGTCAAGAAGCTTGTTTCTATCATCAAGTATCACGCACCGAAGCTCGAGACGTTCAAATCCGCTGGTAACGAGTTCTCCAAACTTGTCCAAACTACATGGGGAGATCTCAAGGAGAATTGAAAACTTGACGAGACGATGAAAGAGATGGACTTGCGCGCAGTAGTGATCGCATCCTTTTCGGGTGTGACAAGGTCTGCCAGAAGTTCCGCGAGAACAGAAGTCATCGGTGTCGCCCGACGGTATCTTCGAACATCACATCGATGAGAGAGAAAAGCTTAGATAAGATGCGCCACGTGAGAGGTTCAGAGAAGAAGGGTCTGCAGTGACTGACAAAGCGTCTATGATGGTCACAAAGGTCAATTTTAGACGAGCAGATACTATGAGGAAGAATGCTTGCACTTTGCAAGCACAGAAGAGCAAGAAAGAACGAGAGAATAGTCGATTACACAAGTAGCTTCAGCGCAGTAGTGGATGCATCGCTAAGCGGTGCACCAAGGTCTGCCTCGACTGCCGCTAACGGAAATCAGAACTCCCACGAGGTGTCGCCGGTGGTGAGAATGATCACAGTCAGGGTGGTGAGTTTGGCAACCAGTCTTGGCGAAATCTTGCCGGTCGCAAATTCCAAGCATGATAGTCCTCATACAGACTTGACAACCACCAATCTTACCAAAGCAGTCGGGCAACACGATGTAATCATGTCGGAGATGCAGGAGAGAAGTCCTCCCAGATACCAGAACCTCTCAAAACACTGTCGCGTGCCGTCACCTCTCCACCAGCTACCGAGATAAGGGCTATGGAAGACGCCGCAAAAAGTCAAACGTGGTGGCGAAAAACCTTGTCTCCATGTTTTTGCTCGATCACATCGAGTAACACGCCCGCCGCACCTATATCACTCGACAAAAGAGACCAAAGATAGAGAGATACACCAATAAGCCAAGTCGCTTGGATTTCGCTGGCCAAGCGTCGTTGAGCGATGAAGTTATTGGTTCGCCGGGCTTCAGCTTTTACTCGATCGGCTTGCGTAATGGCAACACTTTGAACAGTATGCGACCTCTTGCTACCTTTTGACAAGTTCAGGACGTGAGGTTGGAATTGCGACTGCCCCAGACTGGCTCCAGATTTTCTTGCTCTTCTTTGCGTCCTTCTTCGCCTTCTAGAGCGACCGGGGAGTTGCCTGGATGTTGGAGCTGTCGCCTTATCTAAGGTTTTGGTGACGCCGTTCGATCAGCCTTCAGCCACATCCCCATCCTTTTGCTGCGCTTTGACCTCAGCTCGAGGGACGTCTCATATAACGACGACCATTGCCGGGCATGTTCTTATAGGACTTGTAGGTCGCTGCATTTCTGCTTTCGAGACACGCGATACTCCGCTATTGCAACATGCCTTCCATTCTGCAGAAACTTGTAAGTCGCGACGACGTCAACTCGATCTGATGGCAAGAGACTGACAAGCCTTAGGAAGTTGAGCATGACAATGGCTTGTCTAACAATGAGCTCTTCCTCACCAACCATGACTTGAAGATCGTCGAGCCTGAGCGTCGCCAATGGAGCGCCTTCAACTTTGTGGGCTTCTGGATTGCCGACTCGTTCAACATCAACACCTGGATGATTGCTGCTTCTTCTCTTGACGTCGGGCTGTCATGGTGGCAGGCTTGGATTTGCGTCTGGTATGTCGATACCGACATCACGTTGTAAAATGATATCTGACATGTCTCTAGGGTTGGCTACACTATCTCTGCTTTCTTCATTTGCTTGACTGGCCGCGTCGGTGCTGTCTACCACATTTCCTTTCCTGTCATGAACCGATCTTCATTCGGTATCTACGGTTCATTGTGGCCCGTCCTGAACAGAGCACTGATGGCGTGGTAAGTCACGAACAGAGAAGTCTGGCTCGTACATCCTCTGACGAACTACTAGCATCTGGTATGGTGTTCAAGGTTGGATCGGCGGCGAGTGCGTCTACCTCATGATTCTCGCCATCTGGCCATCTTTCGGCACCCGTCCTTCCTTGACAAAAGAGATTGCCCTCGGCGGCACCGTCAACTATCTTATCGGCTTCATCCTCTTCTGGGCCGGCTCGCTTCCCTTCATCTGGTTCCCCGTCCACAAAGTCCGCCATCTCTTCACCGTCAAGGCCGTCGTCGCACCTACAGCCGGAATCGCTTTCCTCGTCTGGGCTCTTGTCAGAGCGGGAGGTGCAGGAGAAATTATCAATCAGCCTGCCAAGGTCAAGGGATCGAAGCTCGCTTGGGCCATCATTACTGGCATCATGTCTTCCGTGTCCAACTTCGCCACCCTTATCGTCAATGATCCTGATTTCTCTCGTTTTGCAAGCAAGCCTAGCGATGCTTTGTTACCTCAGTTCATCACCATTCCTCTTGGCTTCGGCCTTACCTCTCTTATCGGTATTCTCGTCGGCTCTGCTTCCGCAGTCATCTATCCCGAGCTCGGTGCCGTATGGAACCCTCTACAACTCCTCAATGCCTTCATTACTGAAGATGGCCATGGCAGCGCTGGCGCAAGAGCTGGAGTCTTCCTCATCGCCGCTGCCTTTGTGGTCGCTCAACTCGGTACAAACATCGCTGCCAACTCCATCTCTGCCGGTACAGATTTGACAGCCTTGCTTCCTCGCTACATCAACATCCGCCGTGGTGGGTACATCTGCGCCGTCATTGGTATCGTCATCTGTCCCTGGCAATTTGTCGCTGGCTCTAGTACCTTCACTACTTACCTCTCTGCTTACTCGGTTTTCTTGTCTGCTATCGCTGGACCCATGATTATCGACTACTACTGCGTCAGAAAGGGATACCTCCAAGCTCGCGACCTTTACTCCGCTGATGTCAATGGTCCTTACTATGGTCGCCTTGGCATTCAATGGCGTGGTTACGTGGCTTACATCTGCGGTATCCTCATCAATGTTGTTGGTTTCGCCGGCGCTTGTGGAGCTTCCGTGCCCATCGGTGCAACTTATATCTATCGTCTCAATTTCTTCACAGGTTTCTTGGTCTCTGGTGGTGTGTATTGGGCTCTTTGCACTGTTTGGCCTGTTGCAGCGCCTAATCCTGTGGGAAGCTGGTTGGAGGCTCCTGAGCCTGATGAGGAGGATTTGGCAAATGTGGTTAGTCATGGCAAGGAAGTCGATGTGTTCTCTAGTGGGATGGATGTTGAGCAAGGGGGTTTCTTTAGGAAGAAGATGGATGCCATTACGAAGGCTTTGTAGATGTTTGTTGTGGTTATGTGGTTATGAAAAAGCGCTTTTGCTTGACTTTTATTTCACTTCTGCCCGTCTTTTTGTCGTCTCCCTGCTTGGACTCCAGCATTTCGTCATCATCCTTCAGTGTACGAAGATCGATCTGACTTGGCAGGAGTGGGTCCTGATGCGCACCATCACTAATCAGATGGCAAACTTTGCAATTCCTCGCATGTGGCTCAGTGTCACGACTCCTGCTCCTGTGCTTGCCGTACGTCAAGTCGTCGTCCCTAGGGATGCTTGGCTGGGAAGTAACTGCCCTTTTGCCCCTGACAAAATAAAGTGGAAGAGTCGTGATCTGATCATTAGCGACGAGTACCTTGCAAAGCCAGAGAAGACCAGTGGCGACTGGCTCGACGACCTTGAGTCTCAGATCAGCGATGAGTTCCGCGACCACGAGAGCGAGGACGGCAAGGCGGATGACTCCGAAGACGAAAGCATTGATGCCACCACGTCCGAATCGACCGTTGTCAAGGACACCTACAACCAAGGAACCGCCTTCATCGTAAAGAAGAAATCTACCGAGCGACGCTGATGGCCCTGAGCCAGGCTTGCTACATCCTTGTATGTATTCTGCACCCCCTGATGCGGGTCAAAATCCCCACCACAAGCTTTTGCTGACCGTTCCTAGATCTCTCACCCCTTTCGTCTCACATCACATCCATGCAGTTCTTCTCAAATCAGTCGAGAATACCGACGAGCATTAGAAGTTCATGAAAGAAGAGGCAGCGCATCACAACAAGAAAAGCGTCGGCAGCGAACCACAAGAAGAGAGGGTGAGTAACTCAGCAAACAAATGCTTTCAGCCTACAACAACAACAATAACGAATACTGATACGACATGCAGGAAAACTCTGGAAAGACTTATCGGGAACACTTGCCACATCCCTCCAATATGACAAGATGACACCTGCATTCGCAGCTTTCGTCATTACGGCATGACATTGGAAAATCAGCAACACCGTCAAGTAGGAACAAAAGTAGGAAGACTGCCAGTATCTCCAACTCCCGAATGGAAAAAGTGAGTCATATCTCCTGGGCCGCAAGTTGAGTATCACTGATATCTTCTCTAGCAGCACATCAGAAGCGCCACAAACAAGAGAAGTGTAACCAGGCGTTCGACAGGAAAAAGGAGAGAAGAAGCTGTAGCCTTCTCGGCTGGTCGTCTATGGTTAGGCATGGCGTTTTTTCTTTGATTTTTTCCTTAATCACTCCATGACAAAGAAGCTGTCTTACATTATATTGTCTGTGGATAACAGGCTTGATCTCATAACGGCGGGAAGAGCCCTGAGTAAGCTTTTGTACATACCCCTGTCCAGCAAACAGAACACTGACTGCCGACGCACTTCAGATCCAACAGTGAGATCGGCAACTCCACGGATGATGACAATGTTGATGATCTCTCGCTGCGAGACCGCCTACTTGGCTCACCTGAGCTTCTATCCTCGATCTTGGAGATGTGCGACGGGAGGACTTTGCTCAAGACCGTGGGTGTGGATGATTTCTGGTTCAAACAGACTATCCGTCAGACCTGGCGTTCTGTGACTAAAGCCCACATGCTTGCTCGCCTGAGCCTAGACAGGCTGCCAGTCTGCAAGAATTGCATACGAGAGGTGACGGTCTAGGATCGTGCGGGTCTTGCGCGAATTCCATCTCTCCGTCGCCTCGAGCGCGTTACCATTGGTAACCTTTACCTCCGTAACGCCGTCTGGGATGACTTATTTACCCTGCTGCCCTCAACACTCAAGCACATCAGTGTTCAGAGCTACGCAACCCCCGCCCCTCTCCAGGCTCTGTCTCCGGCCGACCAGCCAGACTGGCTGCTGTATATCTTTAGATATTGCCCACTACTCGAGAGCCTGTACCTCTCCGCTCTCCACGACTACAAGCACGGTAGTCTTCTCAAGGTAATCGAGAGCTCCTGCAACCTCCGCTCGATCTGTCTCAGTAACGGCATGGCCCACGACTTGGAGCTTCTAAGCCTACTTGCCCGCAAACCCCTTCTTAGGGACCTGAAAATCTGAAGCCCTACCCTCAGCAGACAGTTTGGTCGTTACATCGACACGTCGATTTCTACATTCCCCTCTCTTGTCAGCCTAATTATCTGGAGTGACAAAAACGTCCTCGGCTACATGGTGGGCCTCGCACCCAAACTCCAGAACATCGATGCCAGAATAATTAGTAGCTGGCACGACAATGGTAGCTACTCAAGTATCTTCAAGGTTGCCGCTCGTCTTCCCGAACTTTGTCTGTTCGAGATAGGTGCTGCATGCCCGTCCACGGTCACTGGTACTGACATGCTAGCTCTTGGACCCAACATCGAGACGCTCCACTTCACTCCTCACAACCCTTTTATTTGAGGTTTTGGCCCTCGCACTCTTACCACAGCAGAGGTCATCAGGCCCAGCATTTGACACTCTCTTGTCCACTGACGCTTTCATGGTCAACGTTTTCTTGATTCCTCGCTCACACTTCGACGTTCCGGTCTTTTCTTTCCTTTTGCTCTTGCTTGCTAGGGATCGCACCATGCTCTGCACATTTGTGCATGGAGCTTTGAGGGATGGCGTTGGGTTTTGGCGGTCTCTGGCTTCTCTTCTTGTTCTTCTAGACTTTGAGGTCCTGCTCTGCACGACATTGCATGGAGCTTTCTTTTCTTGGTAAGCAGCGCGGGATAGGTCTTGGAGTTTTGGTTCTTTTTTTCTTGCTTTGCTCAAATACAGTCCTTCCTTTCCAATGAACATATGCGTTGCACAACAGAACAGTAAGATGGGCATGGGGATGCGTCAGTCCAGTAAGTGGGTATAGCCAAGAACGTCGATGTGGGTCCAAGCCACAGAACTCTTTGTCGGACGCGTGAAAACTGATTTTACGGAAACGTCTCGTGGTAAAGGATGAATCTTAGCAGCGATCTTGGACCTTGGAAATGCGAAGGAGGTACGAAATACGAAAGACTGCAGTGTCTTGTCTTCCAGAGATAGATGCTCTTGATTTCAACAATCTCTGTTGACCTCGGTGTAATATGACATTTTCTTGTCGCTATGACGGTAGTCAAGACATATCGCAAAGATCCCAAAAGCTCTTCTCTATATAACGCAATTGCGATGCTATCTCCAGTGTCTCTTCGAGCATTGATCTGGCCTGGAGCTACTGATATGACATGCAAACCATTGTGAGAGCCCTTTCGTCAGTGCTCTGGATATTTAGTGACTTCCGGCGATGCTTCCTTTGTTCTGTTTGAGGTCTGTACTTTCTGATCGTAATGCAAGTAATCAAAAAGCTTTCAGTCATGCCATTACACATAGCGAGTTCAGATTCAAGTCCTGTCCATGATACCACAAAACTTTCGGCACGATTGGTTGTCGTAGGTGGTTTCTGCGCCGGAAAATTGGTAGTTGCTCGACAGACCGCTCTCTAGTCTGCGAACCCACACCCGCCCAGCTCTTTTGTTTTTCCTAGGTCTCGCACAACCAAAACTGTCGAAACTCGTGCATCACAAATCAGCGCCAAGTCTACACGCGCATTTGCTGTCAAAGGTGGTAAGCGCGTCTAGCTGGTGGTCAGAACAGTGCGCCGCAGCATTGTCTCGCCCTCTTCTAGGCCAGCCTCGCAATACCTGCGCGCGAACCCGTCATCAGGCGCATACAAAGATGTCGACAAGGTCCTCGAGTCAGTCTTGATCCTCATCGATCTTCAATCTTACCCCTACTAACTGCTTACAGGCATGTCATCGAAGTAAACCCCCTTGATGAGGGCGAGGTGAACAGCAAGGAGTCTGACGGCTCGGACGTGTTCAAATCTTCTGCCTCGAAGGACTTCATGCCCTCGCTTTGCGTCTCTTCGATGAGTTAATACACTGCTGGTCACCAAGAGCCAGAGCTCGCTCCTCCCGAGTGGGTCGGCGAAACGTCCACTATTGAAGAGTCGCATTTCGCCATCCACTCTAACGCTCCTGAGCTGTCCCACAATGACTCCAACCCGGCCACTTCCAACGACACCGCTCGCTTGAGGGCTATCAGTACCCCTGCCGTTCTTGCCAGCTCATCGCATTGCGAGAAACACAGCCATGGCGAGTCCAGGTACGTATTCCTCTGCTGACGCGCCACTGGTAAATGATAACTGACGCTGCACAGCGACAAAGAACAAGACACTACCGTCATCCTCGAAGATGGAGATGTCACCCCTCTTGAGCTCATTAACAAGGCTACTCACCTCAAGAAAGCCGAGCTCGGTCCCGGCCTGGTCAACGACATCGATGTCTTAATCGCTCTGGCCACCAAGCTCGGTCTCAAGAGCGTATCGACTTCCAAGAATGACGTTCCCGAAGCCGTGACTATGTTCTCACTGGACAACTCACCCTCGCTCTTCATCCCGCTCGCCGGTCTCACCAGTGTCTCCACCACCACCACCAAGAAGGGTTTGGCAACTCTGCTCGCCATGATGCCTGCCCTTGAGGTCATCAATATTACGACCGCAATGGGTCACGAGGACAATGACTACAGTCTCGACGCCGCTTTTGAGGTCGCCTCTCGTCTGGCCGGCCTGCAGGAATTCGTGCTGACTATAGCTACGGGAGAGCAGATCACTGGCGGCGAAGTGCTGACTCTTGATGACAAGCTCAGCTTCCTGACAATCAAAACTCCTAGCCGTTCAAAGAACGCCGAGTGGTATCTAGCGAGGTGACAAGAAGATGGGACGAGCGCCCAGTGGCGCTTGTCACAGATACGTAAGCCGCTCACGCGACTAGATGTAAGCTTTACAGAGGGCTCAGATCCACGAATCTTGATCAAAGCGGCCAAACTGTATCGAGCAATACTCCCATACATCACCCTGCAGCACTCCGCCTTGACCAGGCCATCGCTTTGTAAGCGCAACGTTACAGCTGAAACAATCTACGTCGATGCAGAAGACCCTTGCAAGATCCTTTGTTTCTTGAATTGGCAGCATGCAGAAGTCCTACCGGCATACAAGTAGATAGATCAACCACCCTTTTTTCCATCAGAAGGACCAAAAACAATCTATGATCTCTAGGCCCAGTCTCCTGACGTAGATAGTAGATAAATCTCTTTGGCTATCGCCTTCAAGCAACCAAAGGAGCACTCGCTGCTTGAGAACGCATGGAGAATTCCCGCTGGGGACGAGCTGACATACGTCACCCGCGCTCTTGACTACATCCGAAACGAACGACCCGATATCGCTGAAGTGCTGGAGGATGACCCTGAGTTGGCGCCTGGGAAGTTGATACAAGCCATCAAGAGATCTCTACTGATACAAAGGGAGGGAGATGCAGCCATGCAGATAGTCCGCGATGAGGTCGGGGATCTTGCTGCCCAAGATTGGTCGGTCAGACCAGAAGACTGTGATCGAGTCAAGGAGCTGCTGAAGATTGCAAAGGAGAAGGTCTTTGCAAAGTACGCTACTGATGATACAAGGGTGAAGACGGAGAAGATGTGGCCATTCAGTTGAGCTCTGTCTACGTTGATTGCACCTGATGAACGACATGACGTTCAGCTTGCTGCTTTTTTCTTCCGCTTCCCTGAGGGTCAAAGCATATTGATTGTTGACGTGGACGGTGGCTATGACTCAACACCATGTACAACCTGGTTCACGTTCCGGATAGACAAGTCAAATTCGTAGACTGAAATACAAGACCGAGGTAGCTCCAGTCCTTTGATATATGCCAATGAACGTCGCGCAGGCTTCGCCATCTTACAGAATCGTCCACCGATTTTCCCACCATATCTAATCACAGACCTACGCCCGTTCGACATCGCTCATCATGCTACGAGGGTGAAGCATACATGAATCAAAACTTCTCGCCACCGATTCATCACAAAGCAGATATGCATGCCCTTCCCACATGTTCCTCATTGCTCAAATCGTCAGGCTCCAAGGGACTCTGTGTATACTAATGCCTGTCAACATTGTAGCCAAGAAAATGTTGTCCTTAACGAAGATGGTGATATGCGGCTGCACATCGACCTCTTTCCAACCAAGCTGAGCTAAGCCCAGTTATCTGCTGACGATATGGAGCTCGAGACAATCCTCGTGATCCGCATTGCCGGAGCGCCTGGAGACTAGACGTTCCGAGATGTCCCGAAGCTTGCCTGGTCTGCCTGAAGCATTGAGAGTACTGCAGCAAATGAGACACAATTTTCTGCAAGAAGAGTGACATGTCCGCCAGCAGTGCGGGAAATACAAGTGCAGCGCATCGAAGCCCGGTAATAACAGCAGAATACCTCTACGCACTACAACATAATACTATAATCTCATCACACACGGACTTGCCGTCTTCCTTGCTCGCGCATTACCGTACCCTTAGCCCAGATCCGAAAGTGGTCTTTCGTCGCGATGAGCCGTTGCAGAACGCGGGAGTTAAGCTTTTCCGTGTAAGATTCCAAGACGTAACGGCGAAGCTTGACTTTTTGCTTCCTCCACTTCCCGATGTAAAGTATCAGGGCAGGTAGGGCGAGGAATTTGTGATGTAAGACGTGATGATGTGGTCAACCAATCGAGATGGGACATGTTTATGGGATTTTACGATATCACATAGTTTTGACACAGATAGATAGTGGACAATTATGAGGATTATGTTGAGCTGGGAAGCTGATATAGTAATTTGAGGAGCGTCAAGCCTGGGAGCTCAGACCATCTTCTTCCGTGTATACACGGTGGACAAGGTGTACCGCTGGAGTCTTCGTAGATTTGTGTGACGCTGACATAAGCCCTCTCTTCTGCGCATTCCTCATGTCACAGCATGCCATCTCGAATAAGTAGTTTGCGGTGTCTGATAAGTCAGGACTTGGTTCTGGAAGCCAGGCTAGCTTCCTGTCGAGAAAGCGTTCATTTGCCAGTGAAGTGCAAGACTAGCTCGTGCCTGTTCCTGTTTCGGATCCAGTGTATTCGTGGTCGTCACAGCAGTTGTGTCGAACGTGGGGTCGCTGCTCTTGGGAATGTCGTATGGTAAAGGGACGACGATGGAGGGTGGGGTATGTGGCTGCGGAGGATGGTACTGGACGTACGGAGTGATATAGGGACTGGTGTGAAGAAATTTTGTCCGCCGAACGCTCGTCGCTGGGACCTCTTGATATGGGAGCATGGTACTTGGTTGCTGAGAGCTCTCAAACTTGAGATATGGTGAGGAAGCTCTCACATGCGATTCTCTTTGTCGTTGGTCACGATATCTTTTGAAGCGTCTGTTGTAATACCAATTCTTGATCTTGTTCTCGCTACGATTCACAAGCTGTTTGGCGATATATGCCCAGCATGTTCCCTTCTCCCGGACAAGCTTGTCGACCAGGAAGCATTCGTAGGTTGTCAGGGGGCCATGGTTGAGTCCTGGTCGTAGGTTCTGGTGATATCGCTCGGCGCATTGTTTTGGTGTTCTGGTACCCAGTACGTTCGAGATCTGGTTCCAGTCGCAGGGTTCGCAAGCGCTGACGATGCTCAGCAATGTCATGTCTTCCTCTTCGGCCCATGTTCCTTTGCGATAGCTCGGCATGTCGGAGAATCTGCTAAATGCTGTAGAGATGGAGACGAGACGAGGAGTGGTTGATACTTGAATGTTCTGCTTGTTCTTGAGATGCGGTGCTGAGTGGCCCGACCGCGAGAGACTAAGGAAGGAGCCTGGGCTCACTAGCGACGTTGATACCGGTGAGGGCCCATGGCTTTAGGAGATAACAAATGTCTTCTGCGGTCTACTTTGGCGACCGACAGGGGAACTGTGATAGGCTCTGAGTCTCCAAGAAATCAAGCGTGGCTTCAGTCGTAGGTGGCTCGACTGCTTCCCCATTCAAGATGGCGGATCTCGATCTTCACTCTATAGATCTTACAACGATCCAGACAAATGGCGATAGGTCGACAATAGAGCGCGTCAAAGCTTGTATAGTATACTCCGGGTGCAATGGCCTCGAAGCAAAGTCTTGAGAGCAACAGCGACGACCTCAGGTTATGGTGCAAGGACATGAGCGTTCGCCCTAAATTAGATGTGATTCCATTTGTCCCTTTCGGATGAGACACGATCAGCGCATGATGATCAGGTTGATAAACTTCAAGAGCGCAGATGAGCGACGTACTTGACCAATTGGGCTGATGACCACGCGGGCAGGCGGAAGTGGCTCCGGGAGGCGACACGAGCGACCGATATGTGACCGTACATCGTACAGCTCACAACGTCTCCATGCACGCGAGGACCTTGAGTTGAGAAACATGTTCCCAAGTCACTTTCTGGGAATGGCTTCGGACGTAGAAATGCCATTTTAAGCCGTGGACGGAACATGTGGGGCGGGCCGTTGCACAACGCGCAGCTGGATCTAGTATCACAAACTCTATCGGACATCGCTCTTTGGCAAGTGTATTTCCGGGAGTGTTCTTCGGCATGCCGAATCAATAGCCGGTAGCTTGGAGGTCTTCTCACCTTCCAGTTTAAGCAGAATTAGTGTCAAGATGCTCAGTCCACCTCCAGCTCTACTCCGCCTCCTGCATCGCGCTCCTCCTTTGGACAAGTTAAGCTTGCTTTGCTTCGGGATCGTCAATTTATGATGTTGCTAATATATATTGATGTGACCAAAGTCAGTCCGCCGATCTGCCAGATAAAGATCTGAAGAGCTCGAAATCATCAATGTCGCGCTACAACATTTCTTGTTGAGTCTTGAGGCTGTCTCCACCTCGGAGAGTTTAAGGAGACCTCAGAAATACATTATTTCGTCGTTTCCCAATGATCTGCGAACGACTGTTCTTTCAACGTCGTGCGTATTCGACCGTAGGTGTGGAATTTGGGGTAAACCGTAAACACTGAATCCTTCATCATCGTGATATTGGAGGGTCTGGAAACATGCACATGGACGTTTCATGATTCACTTGCATGCTCGTATCCATCGCAGATGCAACAGGAACTAATACTAGGGCATTATTACATCTTTATTTGATCAATGGATTCTGCTTTTGTCACCAACAGGGTGCCAATTATCTAGACGTGTCTGCCGTAATGTCAATTCGAACACCTGAACGACAATTTCATGCTTCTCAGTCACCTGCTTGATTTCGATTACGTCAACCAAAACCAGTTTGTACGGTGAGTCTCCTGTATAACGCATCTCCTTGTCATGAACATCCCGTTGGACTTGAATGGGTCAGTGTCTTCCAAATAGGGGGCCATTGTATGGCAATCTCGAAGCGAGCTGCAACGGTTGTGCCCATCTGTATACACGACGTTTGAGCCAGGATCTCAATCTAGACGATGAGGACATAGCTTCGACATACCAAGGCCCAGAGTCGAGGATCGATAGTTCGGTAGAAACTTCGGCAGGAGTGCATTTTCGTAACGTCTAGAGACCATGCACCATCTGCCTTGTGAGAGGATGATTGGACGACTAATCGAGCCACCCTTTTTCAACCGGTATGGCCGCGTACGATGTATACTCTGCTTCAAGAGCTCTTCCTTGACGTGTAGAGCTATCTGATTGGATGCTCTTTGCGATTATAGGCCTATATTCGGACGCAACAGCTTCGGCCATGCTTGGGCGAGCCATTTCAATTCTTCCTATGGGCATAGTCCTCTTATGTCACTACATTTGATCCTGATGCTTATCACGGTCTTCACTGCTGTGACGCAGAAACGAGCATCTTGGGTGGGCTCATTCTTGAGGTCCCAAGGCCAATAAGGATTTGCTTCTTATCTTCTGCATTTAAAACTTCTCTTACACCAGTAAATCATCTGGCCAATCTGAGCCTCACCAACCCGAGTTTTGCCAGAAACTAAGCCCACATTCCGATGGACATTCAAAGTGAGTCTTTACCTTACGGGGGTAACAGAAAACATTACTTTGCATCATACGACTTCTGCATTGACTCTCGCAGATCCAAATAGCCTCCAGTAATGGACTACTTCACCTTCATGTCATTTTGCTATACATCTTATCGCTTGCCTACTTTCATGTGATGTCACTCTAAGTGCTAAAGCGCCTATGTGTCGAATTTTCCAAGATTGTACTGCAAAGACAAGGAACAAGGGAAATTCAACCAGCCGAGAACGACAAGCCCCGAGAAGGTCAGGGGATGGAAAGCGCTAGCCGAGCAGCGATCAGCGCGATGAAAGGGTAACGTCATAGTGTTGTCGTTGCTTGCGCTGTTTTGTCGTAAGAGTAGTAGCTTCTGATTGTTGTGTGCGCTTCATCGATGGAAGGAGTGCTGATGGCGCATTTATGGTTTTGCGAAGGTGCATTGAGCAGACATTGTAAATAGACAAAGTGCTCATTAAGGAAGCTGGCCGATTGTTGGGAGATTGACATGGTGTCAATTGTGTCGATTGACGTAGCGCTGTATTATTGACAGAGCGAAGGTGTGGAGAGAAGAGTGACTTGCAACGCTCTCTGAGCAAAGAGAGCAGTCGGGAGTTTGCTGCTGACGTCGAATTGTGAGCCGATCAGGCCTGCTCAATGGTGCTCAGAGCTTCCTTGAGCTCCTCATCGGCAAGGTAGCGGAGATACTCAAGGTAGCCCGGACGTTCCCAAAAGCCCCAGCACCAAGTTCTCTTGTCGTCAGCGCAGGACTCGTCACCGTAAAGCTCTACCTCACGAAGCAGGCAGTCACAAGGGGTGCTTATGGTCATGTGCTCCAAGTTCGGCATGGCGATAACCAGCGTAAGGAGCTCTGCAGCAGTGCCTGTGAACTTATGCTCCAGGTCATCCACCTCCTCGTCCGGGACGATCCAGAGAGATGTGAGCTTTTGCAGGTACTGGAGAGGCAGAGGGTCGTTGCCGCTAAGCTCGCAACCGCAGAAATTAATCTTCAGGTATTCCAGAGCATGAATCTTCGGCAGCCGTCTGAGAGCGAACTTGTTCATGCGAGTAACCCGGGATTCAACCGTCATCTCAAAGCTTTCCAAGTATGGAGCAAGACCATCCACAAGAAGGTGCTCGGAGTTCAAACTAAGAGATATGGACTTGAAAAAAGGTTGAGTCTGGAGGAATCGCGCCAACTCCTTGGTGGAGATGAGGGGTTCAACGCCCAGTGTGATATCTTCCAGATGGTGACAATTCTGGCTCATTAATTTGAACCATCGACTGTCCTCTTCGACATCTGCATGGCGTACGTCGCGATCGGCGTAGTCGTACATGAACACGGTTTTGATAGTGGGCACGAACAGAGTGTTGAGCTTCTCGACAGTCCTGTTGCCTAGAGAGGCATACCTGCACTCAATGCTGGTCAAGCGGGGCAGAACAGGTAGGTCACAGGTGAAGGAGAATGGGAAAGAGTAGCCCGAGCCATCCTCATCGATCTTCCTCTGGTGTTGCGTGTCCTCCAAGTGACGCATAAGGGTGGCATGGCTGGCGACATCTTCATCTGCGAGGCTTGATGCAACAGGTCGTCCGTCGACCGGACTGTGCCACAAGAGGCGGACAGCCTCCTTACCCCAGGCCTTGTTGACATGCATAGCGTTGTAAAGCTCGGCGTCAGTGAAATGCGACAGAATGATGGCGACGAATCCCGCGGTCTGTCCAATTCGTCTGCTCAAGGCTGATAGGTGGTACGGTAGCGGAGAGCCGTCATGGTGCCAGAGTAGACTATGAACCTCACCGCCAGAGTCACACAAAAAGTCCTTGAGAGGACATCCGGTATGGCGTTCGGCCTCGAAGGATCTGAGCACGTTCATGAGGGCGCCAGCGCGCTGGGACCTCTTCATTGCGACTGCGGTGTGTTTGAGGTGCGCAAAGTTGCGTCGATGCAAAGACGCAATCTGTGTGATTGAAGATAGGATGTAGAGAAAGACGACTATCGAAACGCGCTTTGCGTGAAGGAAGAGATGGTGGAGGAGGTTTAAAGTCGTTGGATGGTTTTAGAGGTGTGCACGAATGATTTGCGCGCAGGTGTGAAAGTTTGTGTGGCAGCGAGTGAGTCCAAGTTTCCGAAACACGGCGCACACAAAAGTCGCCAGCGCTCAATTTTCCGACTTCTCGTTTCTAACCCAACAGTACGACACAACACTTACGAGTAATAAATCCTTCAACGACTCTCAAAGCCAAGTTTTGAGCAACGAAAGAATCCTACTACGGATTTGAATTGGCATAAACATCAATAGACTTTGCACGACCAGCGATATCCTGGCTCTGCCAAGTGGTCTATCAGTATGTACTCTCTTTTTGATTGTTCTGCCATGTCTACCTCAGAGTTCGCAGAGTCATTGCGAAGCTATGTCTTGCAGAGCCGTTGCGAAGCTCTGATCATCCGCCCATGGCCGGTGGCTCGTTATCCAGCGCCAAATTCCATTGTACAGCTTTGGCTGCCTCCAACTCAACCTCAGCAATGTTTTCGAGGTAGCTCAGGTACTTCTGACGACTTTTCGAGTCATCAAAGCGCGGGTATCCTTCCGGTAGATCGTGGCCCACTTTGACAGCAGATTCAAGGTCGAAGAAGTCAAACTCAAGATAGAGTCGAAAGTCTGTAAGTCGCAGTAGAGTCTCCAGGAAGAAGGCCAGTTCCTGTGCGGTAACAGCACATCTCGTAGCGCCGATCTCATTGGACCAGATGTACAAATGCTTGAGGTTTGTCAAGCTCTGCAGGCTGAGCAATTTATCGCTGGTGACTGGTGCAGGTCCGACTGTGATTTCCAGCGACTCGAGTGCATGCATCTTAGACAAGATCTCATACGAGTTTGGTTCCATCATCCACTCTGGACCGACTCTCAAACTCTTGAGAAGAGGACGTACATGGTCGATCAGAAGATGTTCATTGCCGCGGCCAAGCCTAACCGATTTGAGATGTACCATGCAACACAAGAAGTGATGGAAGTCGCGACGACCCACACCATTGTCTTCTCCAAGGTCAAAGCTCTCTAGCAAAGGGCATCTTTCCAGCATTGTTTTGAACCATGAGACGTGAGCATCCCTGCTAACGCGCTCCGAGTAGTACTGAGTCCCGTCATCCACATTATCTGCAAGACTGAGATGCTTGAGAGTGGGCGCGAAGATACCAGTCATTTGTCTTTTGGTTCTGCCACCAAGTGAAAAGGTCGTGCATTCAAGGGTGGCGAGGTTTGGAAATTGAGGCGCGACAACTTTGTGTAGGTTTTTGTCGAGTCGACCGCGAGTGTTGCCTCTGTCGGTTTGGGCGGTATATATGACATGGCGTACAAATCTGGCATAGAAGTCCACCTTGTCTGGTCGCTTTTTCTTTGCTACGTAATAAAATCGGAAGTCGTTGTCGTCAGGACAATACCAGAGATACGGCAAGCCCTCGCTGTAACAGGCTTTGTTGACTCGGATAGTAGAGCGAAGTGTAGGTCTGTCAGCCAGAGCCAAGATATTCATCCAGATCTCCGGTATGTTTCCTATCCGTTCAGCTAGAGCAGAGGGTTTCAACTCGCACGTATCATCTAGGCGGACATGAGGTCTGTCTAGATCAGAGTTGGTTCAGCCCGCCAAGTAGAGCCAACTTACCTTCCGCACGTGTCGCATGTTTTGCTGTGCAAGTTGGCCGTGTCGGTCTGCTCCATCTGCTTCCGTGAAGCCTCAAGCCATTCGTCCTCAGTCATGGTCATATCGTTGAAAGGTGATCTGGAAGATTGCGCGAGGAGCCCAGCACATTTCTAAAGAGTCCATGTATATATCATAATCAATCACCCATGCGTGGACTCGAGATTGGCACTGCAGTAAGCTCAAGGCAGCAAAGTCGGTAGGGCGCAAACAAACGCGACGTTGGCCGACGTCGGTGGCCGTGCGAGGGCCGCGAATTTGGCCGAGACCTACCTTTCATCGCCAAACTTTACCTGTATAACGACATAGCCTCAGAGCCAAGCCTGAATGATCATGAACAGAACTGTCGAGTGATGGCCATTCAAAGAAGAGGAGAGGGAGCCGATGCGGCCGAATTCTCTGGTGAGGCTTCAGTGCTTGGCGCTGTCCGTGCGCGAAATTGGCCAGGGTCGTACCAGTCACATTCTTCTTTAACTCGTGAAAGGACAGAACTGTCCCTATTTGAGACACATAGATCTAGAGGATGCTCAGATCTGGGACAATGTATTCATCACTATGTATGCTTATGGCAATATCGCCTAAACCCTACTGTGGCTGCTTGCAGAACAATTTTGAGAGAGACATGCCGGTTGCGGCTTCGAGCTGTGGCGAGCTGGGACGGTTTGCTGATGATGATGCCAATATGATGAGTCTAGCTTGACATGAGGATATGTGATTTACAACATTGGCAGAAGCTTCAAATGCAACAAGGTACTACTACAGTAAAGTGAACAAATGATGAGATGCTAAAGGATTCAGTCTGCTCTGGCCATCAAGGTCTTGCAGCCGACGTTGTCAAGGCAACCTCTCCGAATGTCTTGGCCGACGCTTCCATCCTCGACAATTCGATCGAGGCAACACCGAAGCCTGAATACACATGCATTATTGTCATCGCTCCTGCCAGATCCGCCAAAATCAATGCCATCGATATCGACGACGCCGCCGAGTTCGTTTGCAGTCGCGACTTCCCCAGACACCGAGCCGTCGCGCGGGCGTACGCTGAAGCGCAAAGCCGACGACGTTCAGGAAGAGAAGGAGTGAAAGACACAACAATGGCAAAAGAGGAAGGCGCGATCGCAGTTCAGCAACGATAGCGACGATATGAATGCAAATCCTCAGAACCCGATGAGTGGACGCGTCATACTTGCACCAATACCTCCATCCACGATACTGAGTCGCTCGCGGTTGAGGTCGTCGAGTCCGGTGCGACAGACAATCAAGTCGCTGGCAAGAGGCGTACCTGCTGTGAAGCTCATCTCGCCAACTGATGCGCAGCCCCTGCCGAAGCTTGTTCTAGAGCTGCGTCGCGCTCTTGTCATCGATGCGACAGTCGGTACCATGCCTGAGGGTATTCGTGATCAGTTTCGCGAACAAGACGCCAGGACCTACGAAGAAACGTCCTCTGCTGCTTTTACCAGTGACATATCTATGATGCTTATCTACCATATATGGAACAACCCCCTGCTATGGTCTGGCAACAGCTTATGAGCATAAAACAGCGGGCGCAAGCGTGCTTGGTGAAGCTCAAGGACGAAAATGCCTGGTGCGATGTCGTCAATGCTGTCCTCACCTCTGTCCTGGATCTCAACAATCTCCATCAAGACTTGGAAGTTAACAACATCCAGTCGCAATCCCTTGATCCACAATATCTGCCTCGTGTTTGTAACAGCGGGCGACTTGATGTAGTCAACAAGAAATCAGACTTTGCGCTGGCAATGACCAGACACATCATGAATCCCACGGATTTGCCCCTGTCAGCCATGGCTGATGCTTACACTTCTACCGTCCCCATCGCCTGCCCGATCGAAGTAAAAAGACACGGCGGAAGCGCAGAAGAAGCGGAAATACAGCTGATGGTTGCTCTGTCTGCTGGGCTGTCGCATTTGCAGCATCTTCGTCACCTTGGAGATCCGAGTGTAGATGATAAACTTCCGCTCATGGTAGGATGTGCAGTCATTGGTCATTCCTGGAGCTTTTATATCGCATGGAAGGACATCAGTGCAGATGGCGCAATCACTGTGATGGGTCCGCTTTCTCCTGCTAATGCGAGCACTGCTGACACTACTTCGATGTTCGTCCTACTCAAGATCTGGACCAAGCTCGTTCAATGGTTTGATGACATCTGGCTCTGTAACCACTATTTCGACCTGATAGAGGCTGCAGTCAAGGCTACTCGCGAGAGCACCGCAGAGTAGAAGCAGCAAGCCGTCTCAACATCTTGACTGAGTCCAAAGCTGGGTGACCCATTACTGTTCCGATCGAATGAGGACAGATAACAGGACCACAAAGGTTCTCAGATTCTGGATCAATAGATACGCACGACTTCTCTGGGGGCAAGAACACACTGCGACAAGACTGAGGCAGTCGCTCCTTCCTGTTGCGACGACCCCGCAGGACGACTTGAAGACGGGCCGTGTTCCGTCAGCCAAGACGGAGCAAAGCCGCCCTCTTTCGCTCCTTCCACCAAGGTGTGACCTAAAGAGCGGCTTGTCAACCGTCATTAGCTACGAGAACGCGACAACAATCATGCTTCTCCTCTCCACATTGATTGTTCATTACCGGAAGAGCCGTCATAGCTGATAAGCTGCTTACCTTCTGCCTGCCCTCGTTTTTAATATCGATTCATCGCTGCATCTTCTCCACAATGAGCAACCAAACTGTCAACATTGCCGAGTACCTGTTCACCCGACTAAACCAGCTTGGAGTCAAGGACCTTCATGGAGTTCCTGGAGACTTCAACCTTGTCGCGTTGGACTATGTCGAGCCTTGCGGGCTCAATTGGGTCGGCAATTGCAATGAGTTGAATGCTGGTACGTTGCCATCGACGTGTTCAGGTCGATCCGTTGACTGATGGCCGCAGGCTACGCAGCAGACGCATACGGAAGGCTCATGGGCATGGGAGCTTTGGTGACGACCTTCGGAGTTGGTGAACTGTCCTGCCTCAACGCCATTGCTGGATCTTTTGCCGAGTTCTGTCCGGTCGTGCACATCGTCGGAACGCCGAAGAGAGCTGCACAGAAGAGCGGCATGCTCCTCCATCACACTGTACGTCCTGTTGGTCACGCTTCTTGACTACCCGATCTCTGACTCCTATCTAGCTCGGCAATGGCGACTTTAATGTCTTTGCCGACATGTCGAAACCCATCACGATCGCGCAGACCAACCTCATGGACCCAGCAACAGCACCAGCCGAGATCGATCGTGTACTACAAGCCTGTTACGTCAACAGTCGACCAGTGTATATCCAATTGCCAGCCGACATGGTGACTGAAGAGGTCGATGCAAAACTGTTGGATACACCGATCATCATTGAGCCTCCGCAAAGCGATCGTGAAACGGAGAAGCTGGCAGCAGACTTGATTTTGAGGAAGTTGTATGCAGCAAAGAGGCCGGCACTTCTGCTCGATGCCGGTGCTCAGCGTCATCGTGTTAGTTCAGCTCTCTGCTTTCCAGTGGCAACATGCTGACTTCCTGCAGGTTGAAGCCTTGACCGAAGTGTTTGCCCGCAAGACGGGTCTGCCAACCTTCATCACACCCATGGGTAAAGGTGTGGCGAACGAAGAGTCACCGCTATTCGCAGGCATCTACATTGGCAAAGGTTCCGATGACAATGTACGAGCGATGATCGAGGAGAGCGATTTGGTCATCACCATCGGTAACGTGAAGTCAGACGTCAACAGCTTTGGTTTCTCTTACCGCATCAGTCGTTTGAGTTCCGTCGACCTACACTTTGACCACGTCGTGATGGACTGTGCCAAATTCGAGAATGTTTATATGAAGTGGCTGCTTGAATTGCTCGTCAAAGAGGTCGACCCGTCCAAGCTGCAGATGGACAAGGTTGTGATGCCTATCCGCAAAGAGCATCAACTTACCAATGGTGAGGCGACGACTCAAGATGTGACACACGACTGGCTGTGGCCTCGCATCTCGTCGTGGCTGAGATCTGGCGATGTCGTCATCACAGAGACTGGCACATCCTTTGTCGGAATCTGGGAGACCAAGTTCCCAGCAGGTGTACAAGCCATCAATCAGACATTGTGGTCGTCAATTGGGTATGGCCTTGGTGCAGCGCAAGGCGCGGCTTTGGCTATGAAAACGTCGGGCGGACTGCGGAGGACCGTCTGCTTCGAGGGCGATGGTGAGTGTTCTTGGTTCTTTTCACATCTTGCATGGGGCTGACAGGCTGCAGGATCCTTCCAACTTACTGTACAAGAGCTGTCAACCATCATTCGGCAGGATCTGGACTGCACAATCTTCCTGATAGAGAACGACGGCTACGAGATTGAGCGCTGGGTGCATGGCATGAAGGCCAAATACAACGACATCAGCAAATGGCGATACAGTAAAATTGCCGAGGTCTTTACGCCAGAGGATGAAGCCTCTCAGCATCGTGTCAAGACATATCGAGTCAGCACTCGCACCCAGCTCGAGGAGTTGCTTACTGATGAAGAGTTCTCGGAAGGAAAAGGCTTGCATGTGAGTTTGATAAAGATCATGGCTTGCATGGCTTGCATGGCTTGCATGAGCGCATCGCTAATCATCCTGACAGTTTGTGGAGCTGCATATGCCAAAGTACAATGCGCCCCAGACGTTGATTGACTTTGCCCAGAGCCTGTCGAAGAAGTCCGAGTAGAAGAGACATCAGCTCGGATAGACATATCCCCGAAGAGGGAGCGTACACCGAAGCGCCCTGGTTGGCCGCTTGACACATGCAAGTTCGCTTCTTAATTTACTGTCCTGTAGATCCTCCACAACCCCGCATTGATCATGGCCATCTCCTCGGCTCATGCACGTTCGCTTCCAACTTCTATACATGTTCCATCGTACAACTCTCTTGTCCCCTTACGGACGCAGCGCTATGCTCGACATCAATGATCGCGCTCTTGCTGCTTTCTTGGCAGGGCATGGTATAGGCTGACTTCGCTGCCAAGAACGCTGTCGCAAATTGGCTTTTAGTAGCCTGTACACGTGCCAGCCCAAGCGGCTCTTCCGTCATGCCGCCCGTTGAACTCTGCAAAGAAAAGGTCAAGCCTACCGAGGCTTCCTCAGGTACAAAACGACTTTTCTCCCCTTGGACACCGTGGACACACGAGATGATCTGCGCTTCTCCATGTTTCCTACGGACGTACTCGACAAATCACACCGATCTTGTCGGCGAACAACACCATGCACATAGTCAGATGGTAGCTTTTGTTCAGGGCTCGAGTAGCTAGCCTGTCAAGCACTGTCGTTTGAGGACAAGCGGAGTAACCTTGTAGTATTGGCAGACTTTACCATAGCGCGAAACGAGGGGTATAACAGCAAGGCTTCACCTTTACTTGGTACTACCTCGTGCCCATCCCTACCTCCTCCATCCATCAGGCTTCATCATGCTGTCGTCTGTTCGAGACATGCTTCCCAGCCTTGCTCTTTGGGTTCTGCTCTTGCCCGCCACATTCGCTGCTATCCTTCCTCAGTACGACCCTTTTTACAATGCGCCGGCTGGATACGCTTCGAAGGCTCCAGGAACTATCCTTCGCACTCGCAGAGTCATCACCACCTATTTTGGTCTGATCCCTGACGGTGTACAAGCATGGCAATTGTTGTACCGCACCACTGCCATCAATGGTACTGCCATCGCCTCGGCAACTACTGTTTTCAAGCCTCTCAAGCCCAAGGCCAATAGCTTCGTCAGCTTCCACACTGCATACGACGGTTCTGCTGTGACCGGCGCTTGCGACCCCAGCTTCAACTACCAGCTGTTCGCCCCTCAGATTGACCTCATCTCGTCCGTCGAGTTCTTCTTGCTTCAGGCTTACCTCCTGGAGGGATATGTTGTGCAGGCGCCTGACTACGAAGGCCCTGATGCTGCTTTCGGCGCTGGTCGTCTTGCTGGTATGGGAGTTCTTGACAGCATGCGCGCCGTTGCAAACTTTGGCTCCACCCTTGGCTTCAGCACTTCTACTCCAAAGATCGTTGGGTACGGCTACTCTGGTGGTGGTATCGCCACTGGCTGGGCTGCATCTCTGCTGTCGACTTACGCTCCTGAGCTGAATGTCATCGGCTGGGCATCTGGCGGCACTCCTGCTAACCTCACTGGTACGGCTGTCTTCATCGATGGCACACTCTTCGCTGGCTTCCTTCCGCAATCTCTTGTCGGTCTCGCTGCAGACTCTGCGTACGGCGCCCAACTCGACCCTGTCATCAACCGCATCATCACACCCAAAGGCCGCAATGACCTCAAAGTCGCTGAGCAGATCTGCGGTGTTGAAAACCTCCTGACCTTTGCTTTTGGCCAGATCCAGAGCACCGACTTCCAATCTCTCGGTAACAAAATCTTCTTTGAACCCACTATCGCGAATGTTCTTAGCAAACAGGTCATGGGTGTTAATTCGAACGAGACTCCCAAAGCTCCTGTTTATCTCTTCCACGCTATCAATGATGAAGTTATCCCTTACGCCAACGCCTCGACACTCTACGACGACTGGTGTGCAGACGGCGCCTCCGTGCACTTTGTCACTGTGGCGAATGGTGGACATGCGACTACAGAAGTCATTGGCTTTGTCGGGGCCTTCAACTTCGTCAAGGCTGCATTCGCGGGTACAGTGGCAAGTGGGTGCTCGAAGGAGACGACATTGAATGATACACTTGATCCTGTGGCGCTTGGTGTACAGTTGGAGCCTGTGCTTGTGCAGTTGTTGAACGCACTTGCTGTTGCTGGAAGGAAGGATATCAATATCAAGAATAATATTCAGACGCTCAATGAGACTGTGGGAGCTTGAGTCATTCGAGGAGGGAAGAGAACCTCGGATGTTCTCGACACAGGATCATAGTCATGTACTTCTGCCACCTATGCATCTACTCAGTTCTGCCTCCTTGCGAGCGACATCTGCCAATATTTCTGTCTATCGCATGATGCGAGAAGCAGGCGCTGCCGGTGTCAGATAACGCGGGGCTAGAATGTTATGTCAAGTATTGTTGCTCAAGCAGTAGATATTTCGCAGACGGACACGGAGACAGTATAGATGGAACCTATGTAAGATGCCGGCAACTTGCGATTATCAGACTCTCATAACAAAACAACTGTTGGAATGCAGAAGGATGTGTACTCCTCTCAAGAGTACCTCTGACTAATTCAATCGTGCTTTCCGCAACCTCAATACAAGGCATACTCTCGGATCCACAAGATATCAGTACCTTGCGACCCACGAAATAGCTGTAATACAAAGACTGCGCGCTCCTCAAAAGTGACTGACTCAATCGTGCTTCTCCATCACTTCAATATGAGCTGTACCTTGTTTGACCTCCGCATCCTCTACATCGGCTCTCAACTCCATCTCTACACCAGCCAAGAAGTCCTTATCAGTTGTGTCTCTCACCACGCGGTAAATACTGGGTCTCTGGCCTGCCTGACGGTCCCGGAACAAGATGTCCACAGCTTCCAGAGGCAGATTTGAGGTCTCTGGAAAGTAGAAGTAGACAATAAAGATTGTGACAAGGTTGATGGCTGCAAAGATGATGTAAGATTTGTAGCCGATGTTTGTGATCATGATGGGGGTTATCTCGACCACAAGAAAGGTGGTTAGCCATTGGATCACTACCGAGAGAGCGGCGCCGCGGAGGCGAAGCTTGAGTGGGAGTAGCTCTGAAGGGTCTGGAGTCATGGTCAGTATGTAGATCGGGCGGGGGCAGTGCTTGGATGAAGAGACTCACAAACCCACATGTTGCTTTGCCAGCCTACGGTGAAGCAGGTCTGGTACAGATACAGCATCACTGCTGCACCGTAACCAAGATTATAACCCTTGACGCCAATGAAGACTGCCGAGAGGCCCATGCAGATGGCCATACCTGCGGAGCCGAACATGAAAAGCTTGCGTCGGCCGACTCGGTCAATGATGAACCAAGGGATGATACTGCTAAGGAAGAAGAAGATCTGGAGACCGCCAGCAGCAAGCAAGGAATCGTGACGACTCAATCCGATGGAAGTTTGGAAGATGTATGATCCATAGCTTGACATGACGTTGGAGCCTGTGAGTTGTTGGAGGGCATTGGCTAGCATGGCAATGGCTACGCGAGTCGAGCCACTGATACCACCATCTTTGACGATGTCGCTCCAACCACCAGTCTCCTCATTCTCCAAATCGATGGCAATCTGTATCTGTCGTATCTCCAGCTTAAGCTCGTCGTCGTCAAGAGCCAAACCACGTAACGCGGCCAGGTTGTAGCGTGCCTTTTCGACCTTGCCCATCTTGGCAAGATAACGAGGAGATTCAGGCAAAAGGGGGACCAAAGAGACAGCAATCAAGACAAAGACAATCTGGAAAGCGCAGGGGAACCGCCATTGGACGGATGTGGTGAAGAAAGCCATGCCATAGTCAAGCCAATTCGCAATAATGAGTCCCATTATCAGATTGGAAAGCTGCATCGCCATCATACGACCCCGAGACTTTGGAGTCGCGCATTCAATCAGCCAGATGGGAATGACGGATGTCATCATGCCTAGACCGAAGCCAGCAACGATGCGACCGACGATGAACTGAGCAGAACCAAAAGATGAGGTCTGTACTGCTGCACCCACCGAAACGACGACAGCACCAGTGACCATGATGGGCTTGCGACCGAAACGATCACCGAGTAAGAATACAAAGACTGCACCGAGCAAAGCACCAATCTCGTAAGAAGAGACCAGGAAACCAAGTAGAGAAGCGTTGGGGTCTTCGAAAGTTCTGAGAAAAGTGGTCGACGTGGTGAGACCGCCCATGAAGCCCAAATCATAACCAAAGAGACTATTGACCAGATCAGTACTTATGCGACAGGACACCAAGACTGCTACTTACAGGAAACCGATGCTGCATGCGAATGTCACGGCATATACCAGGTTCTGGCCTTTGAGCTTGATGAATGTTGGAGAAGTCATCTCGAGGTGCGAGTGTCTTGAAATCGCTTGTCTGCTTGGTAGAGCTTGTCCCGTGGGGTTGAGGCTGGGGAAGTGGAGATCTGGGGAGATGGAGAAAGACTCTTATATTGCTAAGGTTGGACTTGTTGTCAGATCCATCGGTTTCTGAGTCGGGTCGTCACTCCCTGCAACTATCAGGTCAAATCCTCGAGTGTACTTCTGCGAATGCTAGGCAATCGAATCCACAAAGAGCGGAATGGAGTAAACCGGGGGCAGAGCCCGAACGGCACCGCGTCAGCATCTCGGCGATGATCATCAACCTTATTTCGACAGAAGGTCAGCCCTCAAACCAGGTAGGTACCGTATCTATTGAGTGTCCAGGCCCACAAGTAATCCTTGCCGCGGGGGTTGTAGGCAAGAGCGGCTAGTTTTTATTCCCGGACACGAGGTAGAGAGCGTCTGTTACGTGCGAGAACAGGATCTCATACACCGAGCCGATATCTCGGCTAAGATCCTGCTCGCGATTGAGTTCATGGAGAGAAGATTATTGAGAGCTGTTTTGCGTTACCATTGCCGCCTTGTATTCGTCCTCCACGAAGAGCACGACTCGGCACGGCATCTACGAATCACAAAGATCTGGGCTCAAATCTATCATCGGCTGATCTAGCTCAGATATCACACGGTTCGACGGGCGGCAGCTATCTGCTATATCCTGTGTGATGACTTCAATTGGCACGAACAAGGCATCGGCCGAGGCTTCGACATCCTCATCATGTCTATCAACTTCTATAGCTTGGCTAACAAGCGATCTTCGTGCGCGACGTCCTGCTGATCGGCAACGCAAAAGATAGGAATGCCTACGTTCCACTTCCTGCCGAATCCACGGACCAGCAGCTGGACCTCAGCGCTACACAACCAGGATGCAAAGTCTCGTGCAAGTCGATTGTATGGAGCCTTCACATTAATCAATGCCGAGCAAGGATTCAGAAGCTGTGGGCCGCCTTCCACGAATACAGTTGTCGACTTCAGAACACCGTCTCGTTTCGCAGTGAGATACGTCGCGCGATCCGTGATCAAGTACGCCCCCTTGCTCTCTGCTTCCAGCAAAGCTTCGTAGGGTGTTACTGGAATGCGAACTCTCCAAGATGAGGCTGTATCGAGATTGACTTGTGCGGACTGCCACAGCTCAAGCTCTTTGTAGTACGTTGCCGAACCATCTGCCCTTGTGTGAAATATTGCAGGCAGTTCCGGTTGCGTGCTAGAGCCCCGGAACGCGATCTTAGCCATGGCACTTGTTATAGAAGGCTCTGGTCCAAGGGCAGCGGGGTCTTCTCGTGGACCTGCCAGAATGAAATGGTCGTTGAATACTCTCGACACTTTCGCAGCCCAGCCTTCACGGACAGCCAGCTCTTCATACTCTGGTTCGTACGTCAAAGCAACCTGAACGACGTCGCCCAGAAGAGCAATCTGGGTGTGGCGAGAGTGGTTCAGCACCCACTCGAGTTTGAATCCTCCACCACGTGAAGCTATGAACACTTCGCACAGAAGCTTCAGAATCCCAGTGTGACCAGCCCCGCCATTACCTAAGCGGAAGCCAAGAGGAGCGAGAGCATCACCGTAGGTCGCGGTCGCGGACGTCTGAACAAGATTCGAGATCGCGGGGTCAGGATCTGGTGTCAGGATCGCAGAGTGGGCATATCGCGACCACGAAAGATCAGCGACTAAATTGGCGGTCAGATGGGGTGGCAAGGAGTGTTCTTGTAAGAGACCTTACTGTGCAAATACTCGGGACGTCCGACTGACAGCATGCTGGGTTTCGATGGCTCAAAGCAGGGAGGGGTAGTCAGGCATCAAGTATAAGAGGCGCAGAGGCTGACGGGGATACCGCCTCTGAACTGGAGTTGCCGTCAATCGCCACCTTGTACACCAAGCAAATGCCGAACGCGCCGAATGCTTGATTTTGGTGGTGCCAAACACCTTGTCTTCTTGGACGATGGTCACAATCTTCACAAGTTTTCACGTCACGCCGTGGTCAGAACACGCATTGGCGCGTGTGCGTCACTCGTGAACAGCGCTTGTTGAGGACGTAAGATTTGGTCCCCAAGCTTGTGTAAGGAGGATCAGGAGAGACAATTGCTCACGTGTGTCTCTCCGCAGAGACGATTCCCAATTGCTGAAGGCAACTCGGGTAAAAGCAGGATCAGATCCATTTGCAAGATATGCGTGACCGAGACATTTGATCGATTCGATATTTTCAAGCTATTTACCCCGTAAGGGTCATGAGCTGTCACTAATTAATCCACTTTCCAGCCAATTGTGTTCCTCAACTTCAGTTACGTGACCAAGACAGTGAGCCTACACAGTATGAGCAAGATACAAATCGGGCAGGGTCATTCCGGCAACAGAGAGCACGCCAAGACCGTCTGTGCGTCGACTCCCCAGCTGACGCGTCATGGGATTTATCACTGTCTTGTTTGTCTCTCTGCGTCTCGAATGCGCCCAATCGCTTGCATTACCTTTATAGCGGTTGCTAGCTCGAAACGCGTACGAGCGTCTGCAATATCTGTGTCTGACAGATTATAAATGCGTGAACGTCTTTGTTCGCTCGTCTGAAGCCTGCAATCGATTGATACCACTCTCTGAAGCCGCCGAGTTCTCGTCTGTGTCTCCTGTCGTCTCTCCAAACGCGTCCCGTTGATCACGTTCCGTTACTCACGTCTTCTACGCTTCGGTAGCGAGGCGATTTGTTGTTGGATTAATACGAGGCATTTCCAGGCTTGATGATAAGATAGTCCAAATTAAGGCGACATCTCGCCCTGGAAAGCTGATAGCCTGGTCCCGGGAATAACACGGCTATGATCACCCCGAGCTTAGATAAGGGTCTAGGGCACTTGATTGTGCAAGCGCGAGCTTCTGGAGAAAACCTTGTTTCGCGTAAAAGTGCTTGTCAAGCCGCCACGTGTGCTTGGTACCTTCTCTTCTGGATCAAGCACGATAAAAAGATTCCGGTTTGCCGGGCGACTCTGCTTTGAAAGCAAATCAACACTCCCTTTAGTCTAGAGAATACAGTCATTGAACGTGGCGAACAACTGCAAATCCCTGATCGCATGGCAACGGACCGTGTTCTTGTTTGCATGCTCTTGAAGCAACATTTCTTCGGCACATAGTGCGGATGATTAGCTTCACGGCTTCTATCTTAGTCACTTGATCGTCCACCAAATACAGTAGTGGCTTGTCTCTCTGGTAGCAACATACACACTGACCACAATGTCAACTATAGTCCACCGTCTTTCGAATTCAAACGATGATCTTATCGTTGGCATTCGAAAAAAGCGGCTGTTTGAGTGGTTTGAGGTATATTTAGACTCTCCCTACAGGCTTCAAGCAGTGATAACGCCATGGACTATCACGGTCGCCTATAAGATCTGGCCTCAGGTCCTCTCAAGCACTTGACATGAACCCCCCTGACTATTGTGCATTGGCTCAGCGAACCCCCGGCCCAATGAAATCCGACACAGTTGCAACTACATCTTCCGCCGACTATGGATGCGACATCCAGGCCACCCGTCCTGCACCCTGGCGGGACGATCGAGACAAGTCCGATGCGATCTCTGTGATAAAGGGAGCCGATCTGAGTGAGAAAGCTCAGAACGACATTCAGGCAGCCGAGATTCACGACGTCTCACCGCTGGATGTGGAGAACGATGTCGAAGAAGTCATGGACAAAGTCTTGATATTGACAGTCGATGAGTGTTGCAAGCTGGTCGAAAAGCTCGTTGAAGAACACAAAACCGACTACAACCTCTCGTCTGCACAGAAGGAGAAGCTTGTTCACTTACTCAGAGGTCCAGCTCAAGGACAATCGACCGATGAGTGGGAGATCACCTTGAGAAAGGAGGCTGCCCTCAATTCCTTTTACTCGCCATACCCTGAAGTTCGGTCTATCACCACGCCTCATGACGATCCAAGCATATCTTGCGAGACCATTCGTGCCCATCTTTTGGGCTACGTGTGGGCATGTATAGCTCAATTCGTCAACTCTCTGTTCAATTCCCGCTACCCATCCATCACAATTCAATCTAGTGTCGCACAGATCTTTTTGTACCCTTGTGGTCTGTTCCTAGCCTGGGCACTACCAGACTGGGGCATCACTCTCTTCGGAACAAGGCACTCGCTAAACCCCGGACCTTGGACCTACAAGGAACAGATGCTATCCACAATCATTGTCAACGTTGGTTTGACTTCTGCTTATGTTTTCTGGAACATACAGACTCAGCAAGTCTACTACAAGGACACTTGGCTCACTCCAGAATACAAGATACTCTTGCTCTTGTCAACTCAGCTCATGGGCCTTGGCTTTGCTGGTCTCCTCCGAAGGTTCGTTGTGTATCCGGTCCAGGCAATCTGGCCTAGCATTCTGCCGACCCTCGCGCTCAATCGTGCTTTGCTAGTCAAAGAAAAGCATGAGAGTATCCATGGATGGCGAATGTCCCGATACAAGTTCTTCTTCATCTTCTTCGCAGCAATGTCAATCTACTTCTGGCTTCCCGGTTATCTCTTCCCGGCGCTCAGCTACTTTGCTTGGATGACATGGATTAAACCTGACAACTTCAATCTCGCCATAGTGACAGGCTCCCAGACAGGTCTGGGTTTCAACCCCCTGTCGTCTCTAGACTGGAATTTGTTCTCAACCTACGCATACCCCTTGACTTGGCCATTCTTCAGTCAGATTCAGCAGTATGCTGGTATGATTTTATCTGGGCTCGTCATCCTCGCGACGTATTATTCAAACTTCAAATGGACGGCATACCTGCCCATCAACTCTTCAGGCATCTTTGATAATACCGGGGCACCATACAACATCTCGAGAGTCATGGAAAATGGACGTCTAAACTATGAAGAATACGAGAAATATTCACCTGCGTTTTACGGAGCAGGCAACCTGGTTGGGTATAGTGCGTTTTTCGCGTTTTATACTCTCACCTTCGTGTTCATCATCCTCGACTTCTGGCGACCTTTATCTCAGGCATACCGACGTATGGGATCTGCTGCATGGTCTCAGCTGAAGAATATGGCTACGAGAGCTAAGAGTGTCGTGACTTCACTTGCTCGAGGAGGCTTCAAGCAAGCCGGTCATCACATGATGCATCTGATGGACACTGAGGGTAGCATGTACGACGGCTTCAATGATCCGTTCACTCGTATGATGCAAAACTACAAGGAGGTGCCCGATTGGTGGTTCCTCATCATAGCCCTCATCTCCTTCATCTTTGCAATCATCATCTTAAAGACCTACGAAGGCTTGCAGACCCCAGTGTGGACAATCTTTTTTGTCATCATCCTAAATTTGGTCTTCTTGATCCCGATGAGCTACCTCTACGCTATTTCAGGTACGACGCAAGGATTGAATGTGGTCACCGAACTCATTATGGGTTATGCCTTGCCGGGCCGACCAGAAGCTCTAATGTTTGTGAAAGCTTATGGCTATAACATCAACGGCCAAGCTGACAATTACACGTCTGATCAAAAGATGGGACTGTACGCCAAAATTCCGCCCCGTGCCATGTACCGCGGTCAACTGGCAAGCGCAATTATCACGGCGATTGTCGCGTACGGTACTGTCGACTTCGTGGACACCGACATCAAGGGAATATGCACTCCAGACCAGGCTGCGAAGTTCAACTGCGAGAACGGGTCGGAGGTATACTTTTCTTCCTCGGTTGTCTGGGGTGCTATCGGGCCCGCTCGAGTCTTCAGTCAGTTCTACCCGTTCATGAAGTACATGTTCTTGCTTGGCTTCTTACTCGCACTGGTATGGTGGTTTATCAAGCGATACGGGCCAGTTATGCGGTCTAAAGTTCATGCGACGCTTCCTACAAGCATCTTCCGACCGTTGGATCTAATTGTGTTCACTCCCATTTCCTGGCTGCAAAGTGTGCATCCAGCACTTGTCATCAACGGAATGCTCTCGTGGGCTCCGCTGAATCTCTCTTACTACACAAGCGCGGTATACATGTCGTTCGGCTTCATGTACTACCTCAGGTTATACAAGACAAGTTGGTGGGAGAAGTACAACTACGTGCTCGCCGCAGCATTGTCTGCTGGCGTTGCGTTCTCTGGTATCATCATCTTCTTTGCGGTACAGTATCATCCAGTCGCTGTGAATTGGTGGGGTACCAATGTAGTCAGTCGAGGGGTCGATGGTGGTGCTGGCCAGACTGCTTTGATCACTTCTCTGCCCGCAAAGGGCTATTTTGGACCTGATAGCTGGAACTGATTGCTCGGACATTCTGTATTTTGGCAAGAACTGAACGGTGGACTCTCTGTTTTGTGTTTTGGTTTTTACTTTTCTTTGCTTATCCTCTCGTTGCTGATTGCTTGTCCCACATGACTTTGTCTGATTTCAATGAACCATACTCATATTTTGATTCATCACCAGTTCAGCCCGGTCACAATAGAGATTTCCAAGAACTTTCCGACTATCTGCAGTGGTTCACCACTTCTCACTACGATGGTAAATGAATTTTGCTTGTGCGGACGATGCAATTGATTGTGGGGTTTGACAACTCCCAACTTGAAGCTCGGTAAAGACGGGGCGCGGCGAGACGATTATCCGAGAGAAACGCGTACCGTCGGGATGCGAAGTTCTGATGTCATCCCAAAGTGTAGCCCATAGCAGGATCGTTGGGATCGGGACCAGGTGAGCATGTGATCGACCACTCGGGTATCTTTCTTAGCTGCAACGCCCTCAATCCATACTTGGGCACCTGCCTCTTCCACATCTCCTCTGTATGCATGTCTAATACTTGCTGCATCGGCAAAGGATCAATGACTCGCGGCGTGCTGAATGCTTTGGCCTCGCTATTCTTCAAGATTTGCCAATAGTCTGTTGATGCATCCCAGTGGTCCCAATTCGACTCGAATTCGAGTCCCAGAGGCGCTGTGCATGCTTGTCGTTGCGTCTCGAGGTGACTCATCGGGATTACGAAGAAGCCCATCTGCTTCGGCATAGCGCCTAGAATGAACTGAATTGTCGCATGGCCGAGCTCATTGCTTCGATTGTCTACAAGCCATGGCTCATTTGGCAGTGGTGGAATTTGACCTGGTCGCTCGAAAAATGCGTTACTGAATGCGTGGGCGAATTCATGGACCAAGGTCGTTGCGAAGACAAGAATCATGCGCATTGATGCTGAGGCTGGGTCTAGCCTGTCAGGCTTGCGATCCTGCGTCGCGCCAGACATGGTCAAGACGCCGTCAAGAAACGCTTGGTAGTCGCTATCTCCACTCAAGTTGCGATTGTACCTTCGGTACATGGAGTAGACAAGTGAATTCATGCCGATTCTTGTCTGACGTGTGTGGCTGGACCTCATTAGCATGTTCTTGTACTTCAGGGTGGTAAGTGTGACTCACGGTCCAGAAGCAAGTTTCTCTTGCTGTCCAACAGGCTCACTCAGATCCTCGATGGGGTAGCAGTACGCCAATGCGCCTACATTAATCAACATCTGAGGGTCCTCCCAGTAAAAGTGTGTCCACTTTCGCATCTGACACAGCTTAGTGAAGGTCTCATGTTGCTGGACTGCAGTCAGAGTATCGGGCATGTTGACTCTTTTGCACTGGCCTAGCTCTGGGTCGTTAAATGATGTCACACAAGAAGGCGTGGAAAGGGCGTAGAAGAGACTCAATGTGGTGACATCGTCAAGGGAGGCACTTGCCAGAAGAAGTGCAGGCTTGATTGCTTGATGAATCTCGTCCGTGGTATCCCACATGTCTCGTCTGAAGACTGGATGTACCCGTTCGTGCAGGTCGTTTGAAGGATTCCTGACCTTAGCATAGTTGCCTAGAGGATTCATCCGCGGGTCTTGACCTCCAGTCTTTGCGTTCAAGAAGCCGGCTTTCTCCAGCACTCGCAGCCACCACTTTTGATGTAGCTCTTGCCAGCCTGCTCGGAAACTTGGTTGTCCTAGGCAGTATTGCACAGGCCAGTCGAACGGCTTGCACTTGCCCTCACCGGTCGGGTCGTTGATGTCTCCCATGCGAATCTTGAAGCTCCCGTTATTGTCGTCTGCAGCGGCCCAATGTACTGCATCCCGCGACCATTCTGGCCTTCTGTAGCCGTCGCCAAACCAGAGCTGAGAAGGAAGGGTTGGTGGATGTGGTATGCCATAGTCGAGAGTTTTTGTTCCAGCATTGCCTTCAGCTACCATCATGTCACGGTTTCGTAGTCACTAACCTTTCGAGACTCGGAACAACACGCTCGAACCTCGAGCCACAAAGCTGATAATATGTCCACGGTTGCGACCGGATGCGGAGAGCACAAAGACAAGCGTCAAGAGAAAAACACCGCGGCCGATGTTCATTATGGGCAAGACAAAGAATGCCCGATGATCAAAAATTGACGCTTATGCAATGAAATACAAAGCACACAGCATCAAGGGGCCGATTGTGCGCTATCGGCTAACACATCATATCAGCTTGCGCGACGCCACGAGGGCGCTGACACGTCCCCAGAAGCTTGAGTTGCATGTTTACAGAGTGAGACCTTGGCCGATTGACTTCCTTGCAGTTGGCTTAGAGTCTGTATACGGAACAGGGTTTAGGATTTCCTGCCCTGACATGTGTACTCCAGAGGAACGTGCGACCAGCCAGCATCAAAATGGTCTCCAAGCGCACGTCTTGCGGTTTTTGTATCTGCTTTGGCACGGTGTGTCACGCGAGATGGACTTTTCTTGCTCTTGAACGCGATCCAACCTTTGAACACTTAATCGTGACCCTAAAATTGATTAAGAGCGCTGGCGAAGCGATTGGCACAGAAATCTAGCCGAACGTGACCCCCCTATCTACACCAGCCATAAGAAATTCAGGTAGAGTGTGCATACCGTTTGTGGTGCGGTCACATCTTGGTGAAAAACAAGCTGACAGGGTGGTGAGCTCAACGTGTCAGGCTTGGCAGAGCAAGAGCGAGGGCTCGGGTGATGTATCGTTGCTGCACTGCCACCGCAATCTCGCGACCGTTTGCTTCAGAAGCAATCTCACTCGTCGATGTCTGGCGGATGGAGGTCTCGGACCAGCCCGACTTGACTCGCAGATGAGGAGAAAGGGCAGAAGATGGAAGATGAGCTCGCCAAGGAGAAGAAGACAGCAAGGAGGATGGGGACGTGCGCAAAGATTGGAAGCTGCGGGAAAAGCCGCTGGCAGGAGCGACCGGCCAAGTTGGATGACCGACGCAGCGGGCGCATCTTGCACCTTCTCTTCGACGACAAGCGTGCACTGCAGCCCTGCCATGACATGCCTCGCACCTGTAAACCTCCCTGGGCTCGTCAATTCAGTTGGGAAAAGTAACGACTGCGACCACACGACTCGTCCGGCCATCCCGGGATAGGCAGGCGACAGGGCTCAGACTCAACACGATGCCGCTTCTGGTTCACACGACGCCAGCCAGCGCTGGGCAAAACATGATAACAACCACAATCGCCACTGCCTTTGCGCAATTACACGAATTGAACCTGTCAATACGCACTCCTGCCGTTGTCCAAGGAATTCAAAAGCATACCTCTCGCTAAGAGCGCACACTGCTTCAACCAAAATCGTCTCTTGGACCTTGGCGGCCAAGCCTTGTCCGCCAGAGTACTGGCTTGGACTCCTTGGGAACCTGCTGCACAATTGATAAGGAGAGTAGTTGACGTCTGGTACAAGTATGTCGTTGTCGTCGTGCCACGAGGTAGGTTTGTGACAGCACTTAGCTTCTTCCCCTGTGCCATTTCTATTCCATCCCTTCTTTTTCCCTCAGGTGACTGCGTGGATCATCAATTATCGACAAGATGGAGAAGTCAGCCCATGAAGACATCTCTGGCGGGAAAGTCTCGCCCCAGCTCAGCAATGACGGCGCCTACGTGACCGACTTTCCTCCCGCAAAGGCTCCTCTCATGACCAGGCTTGGTCTGACAGCCGACTCGTTCAAGCGCCGTACTCTTGAGGACGAGCACAACCAACTCAACAAGACTCTCAAGAGTCGCCACTTGAGTATGATTGCCATTGGTGGCTCTATCGGTGCTGGTCTCTTTGTCGGTTCTGGTGGAGCTCTGAGAACCGGAGGTCCCGCTGCTCTTCTCATTGGTTTCGGTATCATGGGTGTCGTAAGCTAATCTTGTTCTCTTGATCGTCGAAGCTAGTGCTGACACTTCCGCAGATGATCTTCAACGTTGTATACGCTCTCGGTGAACTCGCTGTCATGTTTCCCATCTCGGGAGGTTTCTACACATACTCTGTCCGCTTCATCGATCCTGCCTGGGGCTTCGCCATGGGCTGGAACTATGTCTTCCAGTGGGCGATTGTGCTTCCGCTTGAACTGGTCGTCGCGGGTTTGACTGTCAATTATTGGGGCTTGGACGTCAACGTTGGCATCTGGATCACGGTCTTCTTCCTGCTCGTTGTCTTCATCAACGTCTTTGGTGTCCTTGGCTATGCTGAAGAAGAGTTTTGGGCAGCTCTCTTGAAGCTCTCGACTGTCTCCATCTTCTTGATCATGGGTGTTATCTTCGTGTGCGGAGGTGGACCATCCAACGGCGAGTTCAGCGAGTATGTTGGCGCACGCAACTGGTACAATCCGGGAGCCTTCGCCGATGGCTTTCCTGGTGTCTGCTCCGTGTTTGTCACCGCCGCCTTCTCTTTCTCAGGAACCGAACTCGTCGGTCTTGCTGCTGCCGAGTCAGCCACCCCTCAGAAGTCTCTTCCCTCCGCTATCAAGCAAGTCTTCTGGCGCATCACTCTCTTCTACATCCTTGGCTTGTTCTTCGTTGGGCTGCTCGTTCGCCATGATGACCCTCGTCTTCTTGGATCTGGAGGCTACCTTGATGTATCCACATCACCTTTCGTCATCACCGCAGTCGATGCTGGTATCCCTGCGTTTGGCGACTTTGTCAATGCGGTCATTCTTGTCTCTGTCATCTCTATCGGTCTCTCTGGTGTGTACGGTGGTTCTCGCACATTGACTGCTCTCGCCGAACAAGGTTACGCCCCCAAGGTCTTCACCTATGTTGATAGAGCCGGCCGTCCTCTCTGGTCTACCATTTTCGTTCTGGCTTGGGCTCCCCTTGCCTACATCACTCTTGCCAGTACCGGAGTCATCGTTTTCAATTGGCTACAATCGCTGTCTGGTTTGGCCGCTCTGTTCACCTGGGGTTCCATCTGCCTTGCACACATCCGCTTCCGCGCTGCCTGGAAGTATCAGGGCCACACTCTCGACGAGATCCCGTTCAAGGCTGTCTTCGGTGTCGTCGGATCCTGGATTGGCCTCGGCTTGGTAGTCATTGTTCTGATCGCTCAGGTATGTTGCCGCGGCGTCCCGAAGTATTGTTATGTGCTAACTTAAGCAGTTCTACGTTGCCGTCAAGCCTCTCAGCGTTGAAGCCTTCTTCTCTTCGTACCTTGCCTTCTTTGTCGTTGTCGTTTTCTACTTTATTGGTGCTGTCTGGAAGCGCAAGATCTGGCACAGACTATCAGCCATTGATGTCGACTCTGGCCGTCGCGAGATTGACTGGGAGCATTTCAACAAGGTCAGGGCTGTATATGAGTCATACCCTATGTGGCGCAAGTTGTTGAGCCACATGTTCTAGTCTAGAAACATCGTCATAGATCGCGGACAAGATTCCGCGGTGACTGCTCGAGGGAAGCGACAGGTGCAACTCAAGATTTGATATTACAAACAGATAGATCCTTCGTAATAACTTATCAACCACCCGCATCTCCAAGGGGCTCTTGTCTTTCCTTGTGCGACTTCGCACTTGTGAGACGATCCTTAGCTCTTCGCATTGACTCGACAGTCTTGCATGGAGTGGTGCCTGCGATGCGCGCTGGTCGCGTGTATGGTCTCTTGCGTTGCTCGGCGTCGCATCCGCTACGGCGCTTACACATCTCTAGCATACCTTCCGCCAATCCGAGCACTCCGCCACCGCCAGGAGCGGAAGCCAGGGCCAAGACACACTGCTTGTTATCAGCAAAACGTCGGCCTGCCAAGGTTCTTGTCTCCTTCCACAACAGGCAGGAGTGAATGAGGGGCACAAGAGCCCCGGATGTCGACATCCCGCTGCTGTGTGCGGGGTTTTTGCGAGATCAATCCGCCAAGTTTCGCAACGTTTGCCAATTCTTCGTATTTTCTACCAAGACCTCATTTGAGATTCATTTGCTACGTTCAAACAGGGCTGTGCTCTTGGTATGCTCCGTGCTACAGATAGCTACCTACTTGCCGCCCAATGAGACATTCGAGATTACCCGCTATACCACAATCGCCTGTCACCCCTGGTCAACAGACTTTCGCCATACCGCTGGCTCATCTCGCGATGACCGCGGCACGACACTCTTGTACTTGACAGCCCAGTAAACTTCATCACACGGACCTTCTCCCTATCGAAAGAATGCATGTTGCTGCAGAAGCGCACGTTGGCGCAGCTTTTGAAGTCTTGTTCGATGTCGCTCAATGTCTACGAAAGGAAGGTGACACTTTTGACAAGCTCTTGATTTTGTTATCGTACTAGTGATTCACGACGCGGCAGAGAAGTGCGCGTGGTATCGCTACATACTCCGCTAATTTACGGACGAGAGTGAGAAGTAGGTGAATGCTATAAGTATGCAGGCCGACCGGTCAAGGTAGAGTGTCTCATCAGCCTCACCAGCCCTCCATTTCCTGATCTGCAAAATTGAAGATCGCAAACATGAAGCTGTCACAACTTGCTCTTCTCTTTTTACCAGCATGGGCATGCGCCTACTCAGAGGCCGAATATGACGATGGCAAGGTGCATGAGATGATCATGAACAGGAAGCATGTAAGTACATTCGCCCATGACGACTTGACTTGGGACTCACAACCCATCAGGCGTCCTGGAATAAGCACAGAGGATGGGGTGAATACAACAGCAAGAAGTGGAAGTCGTTCCTCAAGCACCACAAAGACAACGACGTGATCAAGTGCAACAGCAGGGGAGTTGCAGTCGTCGAGCCTGGAAACCCATCAGAGACGTTCCGATGCAAGAACGTAAGTCAGACTGGCTTAATTGTCCCACACGATACTACTGACAGAAGACGACCAGATTGATTACTACGACTTTAAAAGTCATGCAGATCTCGGGTCTTTCGCTGGCGAAGGCTCTTCATCATGGGGCTGGGTCGCTCCGAACGGTCGTGAGTTCGTGGCCATCGGTCAAGCAGATGGTACTGCTTTCGCAGAGATCAACAGAAATGGCAAGCTCGTCTACCTTGGTCGACTCCCGCAGAACTCCGTCTTCTCAATCTGGAGAGAGATTCGCTCGTACAAGAATTATATGGTCATCGGATCCGAGGCTCGAGGTCATGGCATCCAGTTCTTCGACATGAACAAGCTGCTCAACATCGACCCAAGAAGCCCGAAGAACTTCAGTATCACTGCAGACGTCACTGGTCTTTTCACTGATCTTCCTGTCGGTCGCACGCACAATGTTGTCATTAACGAAGAGCTTGGCTACGCTGTATCGGTCGGTGCTGCACCTCGCAACAGTACTTGCAGAGCTGGCCTCATCTTCATTGACGTCAACGACATCACCAAGCCTGTCTCGCCAGGATGCGCCAGCTCTGACGGCTACGTTCACGATGCTGAATGTCTTGTCTACCGCGGACCTGATAAGCGCTACTATGGCCGCGACATCTGCTACGGCTACAACGAAGACACTCTCACCATCTACGACGTCACCGATAAGACTGGCAAGAACGCATCCAAGATCATCTCGCGCACTCCCTATGTTGGAGCTGCCTACACTCATCAGGGCGCTGTCCTTGACCGTGACTGGCAAGAGTATCTTGTACTCGACGACGAGCTTGATGAGGAAGATCGTACTGGACCTGCTGCTGACCAATTTCCTGTGACCTACATCTTCGACATCCGCAACCTCGAGAAGCCTGTCAACACTGGCTTCTACAAGTCCAAGCAGAAGTCTATCGATCACAACCAATATGTTTTCGATGGTCTCGTCTACCAGTCCAACTACGCCGCCGGGCTTCGTGTATACGATGTCAGCGGCATTCCTGCTGATCCGACCGGTGGAAATGTCGAGGAAGTCGCATACTTTGACATCTACCCTGAAGATGATGCGGCCGATGGTCTTGTCGACTTCGTCGGTACCTGGAGTCATTACGCTGGTTTCCCAAGTGGTTACATCATGATCAATACCATTGAAAGAGGTGTCTTTGTCGTGAAGATGAACAAGTTTGGCAAGAAGGGACACGGCAAATGGTGGAAGAAGCCCAGACAAGGTTGGTGGTAGATCTAAGCGCCAAGGAATGGTCGCCGTCACACAAAATGAGTGCCTCTGGTCGTCATCATATACTTTGATACACGAAATGTATGCACCAGTCAGTACCAGCCTCACAGCATATCTCAGTGTGACATCGTACTCCACTTCAAAGCGACCGCATTCCCGCTGACGCTGTGTTTTGGCTCAGGCTTCCTAAGTTGTCGCTTCCCGTACGCTGGGGATCATGCTTGCAAAAGCGTGTTTTTAAACTGCTGATTTTCTCACTTAGTTGTGATATGCAGCTCCCACATTCAGGTCACATCCGCGCGGACTTCATCCAGAAGCCCCGACCACGATGACACGCCGCGAGTCATCGGGCAAACGTTGCACCCACAAATAGACCTTCAAATAATATGCGCACAATCTGAGACTGGCAGGAAGTACGCGTGTGATACACAAGCAAAACAGTCGTCGAGGTCCACGAGATCTTCTTAGTTGTCTTTAAAGGAGCTATCTTGTTCCCGACGGATCGTCATGGATCGTGAAGGCGTATACCCGCGACGATACCAATCACTCACACCCCCATTCTCGTCTCCAGTGTCGCTGAGCCGATTGTCGTATTGTATACGAGTGTCACATCAGATCAGGATGCCGAGGTCGGATGCCCAACGGGCTCGGAGTGGAGCTACAACGGCTACACCCGTCGATATGGGGCAAGATACGCCAGCGGCCGTAATTACAGCAAGAGTTATCTTCCTCACACGTTGCGACGCGACTTTTCACACATTCACCACTGCCAACACCTTGATCTGCGACTCTTGGTCCTCTCAAACTCAACAGCGACAATGCCGGACGCGCTCATCGCGACACCTCCTTGCGGTCCAATCCAGGGATTCAAGCATGGCTCGGTGACAAGATACACTGGCATACCGTATGCAAGGGCATCGCGCTTCGAGGTCCCTCAGTCGCTCGAGCCCTGGACGAACAATTTCCAAGCCACATCTCCTTGCCCAGCTTGTCCGCAGCCAAGCGACAAAGCTTCAGGCCTTATCTCGAAGAAGCCACTTCTGAGTGGTCTCGAGATCAGCGAAGACTGTCAATGCCTCTCCGTCACGGTGCCCGACGGTGCAAAACCCGATGGCAAACTCCCTGTGATGATCTGGGTGTATGGAGGATCTTTCTCGTCTGGCGCTGCCGACTCACCTGCCTACGATCCTTCCAGACTTGTCGCTGAACATCGAGTTATCGTCGTCAACATCAATTACAGACTCAATCTCTTCGGCTTCCTGGGCGATGGCAAGAAGAAGCCGGCCAATCTCGGACTGCTGGATCAACTGGAAGCCTTGCGCTGGGTGCGTCGGAACGTCGCAGCATTTGGCGGGAACGACGATCCCAAGACAATCACCTTCTTCGGACAGAGCGCTGGTGGAAGCTCAGTGGCTGATCTGATGGCTGTGCCCGAGGCATCTTTACTGTTCGGGCGGGCAATCGTACAAAGTGCACCATTCGGCATCACCAGAGGCAGAGATACTCTGAATGAAACTTTGCTCGAGGTAGCCAAGTCTGCAACGGTGAATTCCTCGGCTGATGAGCTAGTTGCACTTTGCGAAGCCATCGACAAAGCTGGCTCGGGGACTCCGCCAATGGGTGGGATGCCCTTTGCACCGCAGTATGGACATGCGCCGTTGCCTGCTGAGAAAGACGTTGATGCTGCGCTCGACAAGGTTGCATCCCAAATTGATCTGTTGATTGGAAGTACCGATCATGAGGCATCGCTCTAACTCTAGGTCAAAAGGTCCCCTGCCCTCGGGGCCTTTTCCCCGCATCCCGCCGGCTAATCGGATCCCGCGAGCCGACCTCTAGACCTGCCCTTAGGGCCTTTTCGCCCGTACGCTAAAGTCATTTTTGATCTCTACCCGTACGGAGCCAAAAATCACAGCGTGTAAAAGTCCGCCTCGACATCTAGCCGGTGCACCGACATCTCTACCGTTCGAGCTATAGTTACGTTGTTCGATTATATGTTAAAGACAGCCACTCATCTCTATTCGACGCGACGCTAAGACGCGACCGAAGACTAAAGAGCTCTCCCCGCCCTACCCTTCCCGTACGACGACTTATTACGAGAAAGTAAAAAGAAAAAAACATATAAATATATATATATATATATATATATACATATACATATAAAGTAGCGTACGAGTGGCACCCCTATACGTAGCTCTACCGCGCTAACCGCCCTAAGCACTTCTCGTATAAGGATTCTTCTCGACCTTAGGTCCCTAGCGCGCGCGCGTATACGCGTACTCTCGATATCGATCGATGTCTCTTACCTCGTATAGAGTCGAGTATAGGCAGGAGTAGGACTGCTTCCTTTATAGCGTATATCGCTTTAGCGTACGGCCGGGCTAGATCGGTACGTACTAGAGCAAGCGACATTAGATTAAGGGTAACCGACTTCGTACTATTAAAGCTCTCTATCGGTCCGTCCGGGCGGAAAACTACTAGAGCTCGTATAAGATACCCTCCTTCTTAGAAGAAGCCGATCTAATCCTCTTTCTCTATAGCGATGCGTTCTAGTATTAGCTCGATAAGCAATCTTATTATTATATCTACTAAAATGTCCGAAAGATAAGGGAGCATTGTCGTACGGCGTATAGCTAGTTAGAATTCGGTAGGAAAGGTCGGCCGTCTAAGCTCGTACGTAGCCTAGCTCCTTCTACTATACGGACCTAGCTGGCGTAGATCGAAGTATCGTATTAGAGAATCTTTCTATCCGGGCCCGACTCCTATTTTATCCGCGTATAGAGTATAGATAGCTTAGACGGAGACGGCGACGGCGACGGCGACGACATACCGCGCTACCCTATACTACCGCTAAGCTTATACGAGAGACACGAAATAGTAGTCCGGCAGTAGAGGGACTAGATCGACGACCCGTACGACTATAACGGCGACCGTTAGCTAAAACGAACCGGATAGTAGGGGTTCCTAATCGACTCGACCCGCTCGTAAGTCCTCGAATATGTCGTCGAGCCCTAGCGGGCTTCTCCGCCGTATAAGGGCAAGATATAGGACGCGGTAGCATCGCTAATTATACGCGCCGAGAAGCTCCTTACGCGTACGAGCTACTTCGTGTAGGTTACTATCGTATAGGTCGAGGACAGCTATTACATCCAGCAGCCGCTACAGCTATATTAAGGCCGTCCGCAGCTCTAGAAAGGCGTACGGGCCTAGTAGTAGATCGTACTCTTCTTTATACGATTCTACCTAGGCGGTCTAGACCTCGCCGTGCCGCTATCCGACATATAGCGAGAGACGCTACGAGGACTAATAGCTATAGCAGAGGACCCCTCGTACGAAGAGGGGGAGGAAGACGACTAGCGGCGGTCCGGTAGAGACCTAACGGCGACACTAGAGCTAGAACGCGGTATCCTCTTCTTTATTATCTTACTGCTCGATTACGTCGTACGAGGCTAGGAGTACGAGAGCCTAATAATCTGCGCTCTCGCCGNNATNGCCGTATAACNNTAAGGATAGCTCGGCGTCGATAGGTACCCGTCTATCCTCTCGGCGCTTATTAAAACATTACGCTATCTCGTACTATAGGAGGCGTACGAGAGACTC